AAACAGTGTCCACCGCTTTAAAATGCATGGGGGGGGGGGTTCCCCGTCCCCCACCGATTGACGCCCATGATAATTATGTACCATGGCAACAGTCTGTAAATGTTCCCGTTGGTCTGTTAAATTGGCATTTTGTGAGGCAGTGGCATTTATCATAAAACGTACTTGAAAGGCTTAAAGGAAAAAGTCGATTAAACTTTTATTCAAGTTGGTTCAACACTACTAATAAAGCAAGGCCAAACAGCCAACAACTGCCAATGGATACTATTATTTATGCACACTTCGTTATTCCAACCCAACGTAGTTCAAAGATTGCGATATTTGAAGCAATGCATCGATCCTTTGTTGATCCCAAAACATGCCCCCGAAATTATAACGCGACACTGAATTATACGTGGCGGGCAGCGAACTCACAACACTCAGCCATGCATGGTGGAAGCAACATCACTCTGCACGTCACACGCTTGTACTTAAACATACCGAGCACCCGTAGACCCAACCTCGTTTCCAGGGTGTCGAGCAGGCTGCAGTACGCGTTGCCATCGACATTTTTACGCACAGCCGGGAAGTAGTACGCAGTGTACACTTTCGATTGGTCAGACCGCGCAAGGTATACTAATGTGTAGTCCTTCTAAGTATTCATTGCACTCGGCGCAGGGGCGGCAAGCAAAGCATAAAAAACAATAGGGACACTTGGTGGCCACGCACCATGGAGAAAGAATATTTTGCTAAGGGGTGCCACAAACTTCACTCGAAGAAAAGCCAGCACAGGGGGCGGCCAGGCAGTCAACGTGAAAGCGCACACGACGCAAATTCCTGTGCAAAACGCAGTCACGAAAAATCGACGAAACGGATCGCCGGTCCGTACGGGAAAATTAGGACGACCCGAAGTGTCCGACCCGGCGGAAGACACCCTCCGTATTTTTCCACGGACGTGGAGCGATTTTGGCGCCGCGGGAGACCGCGGTCTCGGATCCTTTTAGGAGCAAACATCATCTCGGAGGCCGAGTAAAACTTGCTCTTATATATATACAAGCTGATTTACCCGATCATAGATCGGGTAGTGCGTAGTGATGGGGATGAAAATGTGGGGAGTTAAATGTAAATGGGGGCTATAGTTGGGGAGACGTTATAGAAAAGTAATTTCTGTGGTGGGATCTGAGGCAATTTCTGACCACTCAACCAATTTGAGCAAAAGATCATGTTTTAAAGTTTGGAGTTTGGAGTAATTGAATCAACTACATGTATTCTGAGCAATAGAATCATTATTGTAGGCTATATTTTTTATTCGGGGAAGAAAAAGTGGGGGGGGGGGGCCAAACAATGTCCCCGCTTCAAAATGTGTGGAGGAGAGGGGGGGGGTCTTCCTGTCCCCTGTCGATTTACGCACATGATAATTATGTACCATGGCAACTGTCTGTTTATGTTCCCGTTGGTCTGTTAAATTGGTATTTTGTGAGGCAGTCGCATTTGGAAAACGTAGTGAAAAGGTTACTGTAGTACACAGGCGAAGGCTAATTGTACAGTTTTGACAATAAATCCTTATGCAATAAAACGTGAAGGTGTCATTTGAAATGAAAATGTTGAGTGTTACCATAAAATTACAAACGGTAAGAATCATGGAGGAAGGGCATAATTAAGTTTCAGTATTGGACTCTTCAACAAACGTAAACTTGAACTTCTTACAATTTGCGAGACCGTCTGCGAGGATAAAGTTGATTCAACTTTTATTCAAGTTGGTTCAACAATCTATAAAAGAGCAAGTTTTACTTGGCCTCCGAGAAATGTTTGCTCCTGAAAGGATCCGAGACCGCGGCTTCACGTCCATGGAAAAATGTGGAGGGTGTCTTCCGCCGGGTCGGACACTTTTTCGTCGATTTTTTTGTGACTGCGTTTTAAGATCGCGATATTTGAAGCAATGCATCGATCCTTCGTTGATCCCAAACAGGCCCCCGAAATTATAACGCGACACTGAATTATACGTGGCGGGCAGCGAACTCACAACGCTCAGCCTTGGTGGTGGAAGCATGGAGCTGTAAACACACTATGGAAGCAACAGCACTCTATCACGCGACGTCACATGCTCAAATAGCGAGCACCGTAGACCCAACCTCGTTTCCAGGGTGTGTAGCAGGCTGCAGTACGCGTTGCCATCGACGGTTTTACGCATAGCCCGGAAGTACTACGCAGTGTAGACTTTCGATTGGTCAGACCGCGCAAGGCATACTAATGTGTGGTCCTTCTGAGTATTCGTTGCACTCGGCGCAGGGGCGGCAAGCGAAGCACATGAAAGAGTAGGGACACTTGATGGCCACGCACCATGGAGAAAAAATATTTTGCCAAGGTCACCCCATGCTACCGTTTGGTGAACTCTTTTGCAAAACAGCCAAGTAGAACACGTAAACACAACCCCTACGTCGAAGCCGCTGACCTCGCACAGTCTAGACACGCAGAAAAAGCCAACACAGGGGGCGGCCAGGCAGTCAACGTGAAAGCGCACACGACGGCAAATTCCTGTGTAAAACGCAGTCACGAAAAATCGACGAAACGGATCGCCGGTCCGTACGGGAAAATTAGGACGACCCGAAGTGTCCGACCCGGCGGAAGACACCCTCCGTATTTTTCCACGGACGTGGAGCGATTTTGGCGCCGCGGGAGACCGCGGTCTCGGATCCTTTCAGGAGCAAACATCATCTCGGAGGCCGAGTAAAACTTGCTCTTAGGTATGAGATCCCTTACCGCCCGGTTCCCAGACGGTCTGGGCTAAGCCTCGCCCACTCCGAGAAAGGGATTGGGACTCCTCTCCAAAGTGGGCGAGCTCGGATTAAGAGAACGAAGTACAAGTCTGACTGGTGGGCCCTCTCCTGAACCTAACAAAAGAAGCAATTTGCAAGGCGATAATCCTCACTGCTGGGTAACAAAGACCCGGCAAATCAAAGGGCGCGCCGCCGGTAATCCCTCCCGTGGACTGCTATTGTTGTTGACCCATTGCCCTCGCAGGCCTATTGAAAAGCTTGAGTGATCAGTGAACATGGGTTTCAATTAGTTACGTGGTACGTTTTTCTCCCCTTAAATGTATACAAATGTATATGGACTTGCACCGATGAATCCCTGAATCTGACTTTTAAAGCAAACGGGTTTGGTATTTTGTTCAGTATTAAGATCAGAATTCCCCAGTTTGTTCTATTTACGTGCATTAATTAATTTTTTTCGTTCAACAGATAGTCCAAAGGCAGGAAAGGGAAAGAGGTATACCGATGATGAACAATAATAAAGACGGAGAGCTTTCAACCTTTGATTTTCTTTTCGTCTTTTCGTTTTATTGTTGTTATTACCATTACCTTTATTATTTTCCCTTGATCAATTCTGATGGTGGTGTGAACATTTCTTCGTGATGATGATAAAAGCCACCGAAGATCATTAATTACACAGAAAACTTTTTGTAAAAAAAGCATAAAAAAATAAACAACTGTATCCGTAATCTAGTGATTAAAGCACACTATTGATTTGAGTAGACGAAGACTGAACATTAATAAAAGCTTTCCGGTTAGCCCAATATCCAAATACATATATAGACGTTATTTAAATGCGCAATTCAAACAACAACTGATCAGTTCGCTTCCAGGGTTGGGGGGCACAATGTGAACAGATTAAATGTCACTTTTAAGTTGAAGACCTCTCTTTGATTTCCCTCCTCGCTCTCTTGCAGCCATCATTCAACATCTCAACCGTCTTGCACTTGTGGTCGGTGTACCACTCATTAAAGTCTGGGAACTGAAGCTTGCTTTGGCCAAATATGCTGTGGAGAATCTCGCTATCGATTCGTGGTATTTTGCACTTCTTGTTGTTTTCGTCACGGGAGTTCCCGGTGATATTTTGCTTTGCAAGTGTGTCCTTCGGGATCTCCCTTTTCATGAGGTTCAGACAAAGCAGCCTGGCGCTCTCTACCTCCGAAGCGGTGCGCTTCCTCATCTGTACGTCGCGGAGAATAATCTTGTAGTCGGAGACCTGGCGTATCATGTTGTGATTCCCGCCCAGAAGGTACGTGCCCGGCTCTGGACCCGCGATTAACTTGGACTGGATATTGCGGGATGACAGTGGTGTTCCGGTATAGGATGCGGTTGGGTGATGATCTTCAGATGGAGTGTCTGTAGAGGGTGGGTCAGATGTGGTCGCCTGTATTGGAGTGGTGGGCGGGTGCGAACTAGGCGTGCCAGAAACAATCTCGGGTGTAATTTTCATGGCGATGTATTTCACCGCATCTGTCAGCTTCTCTTGCTTGCGGATTGTAGATGCTAAAAAGGGTTGTCAGGCATGGAAAACTGATGATGTAGCCTAGCCTACATGTATTTTGTACAGGCCTACATGTAAAATCGCGTGGACCAATATATCATCAAGGCACATATTTCTTTATTCTCCTCTCACACAGAACTATGAATTGCAATCAAATAACAAATTTAGGGAATTCAATGAGACCCTTTCACAACATTGTTTTCTTTGGAAATATGTAAAAAAACATATTTTTTTTAGCATTCTGGTACACTTGCAATGGCTCCGGGTCAGGGCCTAAATTATCATCGACGGCACGGTTGTAAAGTCTGTTTACTAATTCCCATTACATTCGCCAATGAACCAGTCATGCCATCAAGGTAAACGCAAATGTGACGTTTAATACATGGCTATCTTTTATACTCTGAAGTCACAGGTTTTCTGCGTGTTTGCAATCACGATGACTGTTGTCAGAACGCTGAAGTTAATGCGCTCGCTGCGACATTAGAGTTTCGTTTATCACAAAGTATAGTGAAAGGGTATCAGACTATTATGTTTACAGCGTGTATCACACTTTCTGTCTGACACCCAATCCCGCGTTGCAACAAAGCAGTATACGTCATGGGCTGTTCCTTCGGTTAGATATCCCCCGCTGCGCTGTATGTATTCGATATTAAGACATGAGGGAGACCGTTCAACGAATGACAAAGAAGGTTTGCTCTGCGCTCACTTGACGCCAGTGCAGCATGAATTTAGGTTGTATGAAGTACGGACTCATTGGGGGTATTGCGCATGCCCTTGCATAGACAATTAGGAGATGGACCGGTCACGTGAGAGGGTTTAACCAATAAAAGGGGAAAAGAGTCCGATTTTCATACGAGTCCGATTTTCGTATGACACCGGGTCCCGTACACGGACGACGGGCGGGAACGTGGTCCATGTAGTAGTCATTCACAAGTTGCTTTCACAGCTCAGTGGTTTGATTAAAGAATGTGCGTGTTCACGTACAATTTTGCAATGTCTTATCTTGCATATTTTCTAGATAGAAATTAGAATAGCTAGAAAAAAATATTCCAACTATTAATTGAAATGAGTCTCAGGGTGAACAAAAAATGTACACATAAAAATCTGGTTTCAGGATTTAAAGTGAGTGAAGTTTTTGCGTCAACAGAAAAACTTAAACCTTAAAACAAAGGGGGAAAATAATACGTTGTACGTCAAGCAATCAGTAAAACCCATATAGGCCTACATTTACACGTGTTCATGCAAAGAAAATACTGCCATTCTATACTCTATAGCAAAGAAAATGCTGCAGATAATCATAGCCAGGGCAAACCATAGTTGGCCAGGCGCTGTAATCCTCGAACAATAACCACTAATCCGTTGATAGCGACCAAGAGAGCCACTCCAGTCAACCAGGCTCACGCTTGAATAACCGAGCGTTCATACCGATCGGGAGCTACAGAGTGGGTTATTCCCACCCGCTTCTCGAGCGTCACGCTATAGATATAGATAAGCTTTTATGAGTTGTTCACAACATATCGCGCCATTTACGTGCTCCACTGTTCACCATGGGCAAGGCTCATGTCGGTGGTTCGAGCCGCCAGGGCTGGTGTGAGGTTTTCTGCTTGTTCATGAGCTGGTTGCTTTGGGTAGGAATACTCAAAAGTCTTGGTGTGATGCTGCCTACATTGCAGGAACAGTTCACCGCCCAGACCTGGCTGATCGGCTGGATGATATCGATCATTCATGGCGTTATTAATGTCTCAGGTAATTATATTGAATTCGTGTTTATTGCATATTCAATAAGTTTGACCAGTTTTTGAATACATTTCCCGATTTCAGTTGTTTGAAAATCTACGTGTATTTAATTCGCAACTTGGCCAGTCAGGTCAAATGCAAAAATTCTTGTGGACTCATCATCAAACGTTTACACAAATTAAAAAAGGTCTAAAATTGCGCTTAGCTACCTTTAATACGTATCAGAACATGAGTTATACTGTTATTTCGGTTGTGTACTATATGATCCTAGCAACCAGTTGTGTAAAACAAAAAAACTTGTGTAAGATTTTACACTGTTGTGTAAACAACAGTTTACACAACAGGCTGCTAGGTTCATATAGTACACAACCGTTTGGTTTTTACACAACCGAAATAACAGTGCATGTACAGTGTGAAACAACATCTCTAACAGGCTTTACTGTTAGGCTTTAACATAAGGTGAATTAAATGAACACAGGGCGCGGCGGAGCATAAACTTTCTCTGTAAAAAGGGGCACATCTGGTATAAGAAATACCAAGAGGAGGTATTTTCTAAATCTTCAGGCAGTGCAGAATCGATATTTCCCTCGAGGTATCCAAAATCATGACATGTCTATGATATTTCCGCCATGAAGGAAGCTTTGACCCGAAAGCAATAACATCAGCCATGACAATGGTAGCAAAGTTGATTATGATTGCCAGGATTTTTTTCATTCGATCTTTCAATAGGGGGCAAATGTTCATACCTTTCCCCTGAAGGTTTTTCTTTTCATTCAAAAATTTCAGTGACGTTGCTAGCATTCTGTACTCACGGATTAACAAACAGCAAGGTTCACCGTGACTCATCCCCAACCTAATAGGAGTGGGACGGGCTTTTATTGAAACTAGTCATGCTTCACGCCAATTCCAGTGTAGTTTCGTTTTAATTAAAAAGCTATTAATGTTTTACCCTCTGCAAGTTTTTCCTCATAAAATCTCAGTAGACCGATAAATCCTTGCCATAAAAAACTATTATATTTTACCCTCTGCAACTATTTCCTCATTAAATCTCAGTAGGCCGATAAATCCTTGCCTAGCCTCAAACTTGCTATCTACCGAGCATAAACATAAAGATGCATTTGGTCTTTTATCTTTTATATTTGCCATTCCCCGTAACAAACAAATAACACTGCAAATATATCGAGAGTTACTTCGTTTGGTGAGATAGAACTAAAGCGGCCCCTGGCCCTGTGGCCCCACGCCGTAATGAAACAAAACATACACGAAGGAATTTACTAAATGTAAGAAAGCAGCCTTGCAACAATAATATTTACATGCGATGTCATGCATAATGATACAATTCTTTTTTCCATATTGAAATGGAACCAAAAATGGAGATAAAAATACAGGGTTCTCCACTACAGTTAAATGTTTTAAGTGCAGCACTATATTCTAAACAAAATAATGAAATAAATTGTCTTTATAATCTCAAAAAACTTTTGCTAAACATGTCAAATGAAAGTGTCAAGGAATCGCCCCCAGATTGCACCACAGAGCATCTTTATTCCAAATTAAGCCTCGACGTAAGGGCTTTGCGCTCCGCTTTCGCATAAACTTTGTCCGTCCTTTATTCCAGCACCCCCTGGCAAAAGTTTGTTCCAGCGACAGTGCTTGAAGTTTGTCACAGGTTTAATCATGCGGGGTCTGAACTGATTACTTGATGTATCATGCTTTACCTAGATGGTATACTAGACCCATGCGTGTACAACGTGTTTATTTATTTTTGTACAGTATTGTATTTCACACTTTTAATGTTCATTGGCATATCAGTACCTCAATAAATCACATTATAGGAAGTTGTCGATAAATGCATTGAGTGTGTGATTCAGTGCAAAATACAAGAAAATCTACGACAGCAGCTGAAATGAACTTTTCGTGTAATTTTTTATTTTAATGTTTCTTATCAATTTTGTTTTATCAATTTGTTTTAAGGAAATTGTAAACCTAACGTGACAATGATACATCAAATCCCAGTCGTTAGTTGTGTACGAAGTATATAACGCAGAGCTAGCATGCTGTTGAACCTTCAAGTTGAGATAAACATCTTAATAATTGCTTCACACGGGCATAATTCTGACCACGGGGGTGTAAAGGGTCTGTGTGCGGCGTATTGTGTGTTGCGTTACTAATAATAACCACTCCTCACAGATTGGCAGATGCAGTGAAGTGGCAATAATGTCGGTTAGTCCTGGGCTCCGCCCAGTGTAACGGATACCTACTTTATCTCAGATAAGAGCACAGAGGCGCTAATTACCCCAAAAATGTATTATTAGATTGGGCTCGGTTCTGTAATGGTTCTCATCTGACTTCAATATAGGTGGAAACCATACAACTAACACTGACCCAAGATATTTCAAAAGCTTTCAATGACAACTTTACGCAAAAAGGCCCTTCTCTCAATCGAAATTATTATTATCATTAGTATTATTATTTCTGGTAATGAAACCAAGGATTCCTCAAAAGCGGCCTAGGCACTGTAGCTCGCAAGCCTGAAGAAATCTGTGGAGAGAAGACAGTGAGAATAAGTTACAGTTTTAGAGGTGGGAGGAAAAGCCCAGAAGAATATTCTGGGGAAAACCCACGGAATCAGGCAGGGACTAAAAACCCAATCCAAATATTGGCCCAGGCGGGATTCGAACCCGGGTCACAGCGGTGGAAGGCGAGGAAAGTACCGCTACGCCAACCTGACTCCCCCCAACGCCTACCTTAATATTCATCAAGCTAATGCTAGTTATGAGAATTACTTGACTAATTCTAACGAAAATTCCATTTTCCTTAATCCTACACCAAAAACAAATAACCAATATGAGTGATCCCTTAGTGATCCCCATTTTGAAAATGTCTCTCTATCTAAAGGGGTTTTTCCCAGATAAATTGAAAATTTCCAAAGTCACTCCTACATTTAAAAAAGAAGACCCTGCTGAGCTTTGTAATTAAATACCAATTTACTGTCCTGTTTTTCCTACATTCTTGAAAAAGTTTCGTACAATAGGACAGTAAAATGATAATCAATATGGTTTTCGATCTAGTTTCTCCACTTCAATGGCACTTATTGACGTAGAACATAAATAGCCAAAACCTTTGATAAGAATGCCTTTTCAATTAGTATTTTCTTAGATTTATCAAAAGCTTTTGATACCATAAACCATGGTATCTGCGGGGTTGCCCATGACTGGTTTGCGAGTTATTTGAATAATCGTCAACAGTGCAAGTTTTAACTATTGCCTGTCTGATTTAAAAAATCTCATTTAAAAATCTCATGCGGAGTACCCCAGGGCTCTCAGCTAGGACCTTTGCTCTTTTTAATCTACATTAATGATATTTCAACGACATCTAAATTGTTGTCCTTTATATTATATGCTGACGACACTAGTTTATTCTATGGTAACAAAGATCTTATTTTTCTCTGTAATAATGTCAACAATGGACTGATCAGTATGTGATTGGTTAAAAGCTAACCGTTTATCTCTTAACCTAACTAAATGTAATTATATGATCTTCAGTATCAGGGACAAACATAATAATTCATCAAACTTAAATATTTTATTGGATAACACAACTGTCAAGAAGGTAGATGAGTTCAGATTTTTAGGTATTATCAATGATGACAGATTGATATGGAAATATTACATCGATGAGATTGTAAGTAAGGTTTCTAAGAGTATTGGAGTTATCAACATATTATGTTGTTTCCGTTTAGGTATTAAATACTCTATATAGTTCATTAATACTTCTTTATTTTTCTTACTGTAACATTGTTTTTGGGAACACATTCCGTACGAATTTAGATAAACTAATAAAATTGCAGAAAAAAAGTTGTTCGCATTATTACCAATTCACCATATAGGACCTACAGTCAACCACTCTTACGTGAGCTAAAATATAACAAACCTAAATAAAAAAGCATAACAAATCTAAATAAATACCAACAAGCACTATTTATGTACATGTTTATGAATAGTTTACTGCCCATTTCCTATTCAAACATGTTTGTACTTAAATGTAGCATAGCTAAAACACTCGGGGGGTCCACCAACTTACATTTCCACATGTCACAACATAAAACATCTGCATTTCAATACAATATTAAATACTCAGAGCCTAAATTATGGAATAATCTACCATTCCCTCTTAGATGTTCAAGGTCATAAAATATTTTTTTCAAAGCAAACTTAAATTGTACCTTATGTAATGTGAAATATTTTGTGTCTCTGCCCTTGGACTTTGTATGGCAATCCTACTCGTAGCCCATTATAACTATTTTTCATAACTTTGTTTACTGCTAAGAATTATTTATTTTTCTGTAATTATTCGTCTGGGTTTTTTGTGTATGTAATGGCATGCCTGATATACAAGCTATGCTTTTCAAGTTTTGCCCCCCTCTAGTGGCCTTTATATCTTGTTCAACTCTTATATCCTTCTTCATTTCTTTCATGAAGAGAAAATATATGTGTTTGTATGAAAATCAATGTGTTTGTATGAATGTAATTAACTAGATTGGCCACTCGGGGTAATGGTAATTAGCCATCACCCCAATCACAAATCCCCCCCCCCGATCCGACCTTGCATTTTTTGGAAAGGAAGTTGGAACTTACTAGTACACTTTGGAGTTCCTTGGTTTTTCTTTGTACTCGCTTTACCGGATAATAAGCAGGGGTGTTAATACTTACATCTCTTTATTTTTCATTTCTTATGTAATCAAGGTCTCTTTGCTAGGCCACTGGAGGTCATGTTTGGTTCCCGCACTGTAGTGACGGTCGCTGGTTTCTTGGTTGGGGTATCAATGATCATCGCTTCTTTTTCCACCAGTGTTGAAATGCTGACACTGACGCTGGCACTGATAGCAGGTAAAGATGTCTGTGTTCCATTTGGAAGATTGTCTTGCACGATAGTGACATTATTAGACAAGACCCCTCATTGTTTTCACATTGAATGGCTGCAATGTATTTAATGTGAAACACTCTTGCTCTTAGTACAAGGAGCGATTCGACATTGATTCTGCATCAGTGGCGTATACAGAGGGGGGGGGGGGGAGAGAGCAAGGTGTTATTTTGTTTATCGTAAACATTTCGGCGGTTTTAAGACGGTTCAGACGTCGATACAGTTAAGTCTTAATTTTGCCCCCTGTAGCATGAAAAGCTGGATACATCGCTGTTCTGCATTCCTTTTGCGTTAGGACTCTGCAGTTTTTACGGTTTTTTGCATGTGATGTTATTCATGTTGTGCATTTTTTTTCATTCTGCGCCACTTCAAGGACAGTAAGTTTAACATTACTAATACATTATAATTTAGGCAGGACGCGCAAAACCTGTTTACCACAGGTGTTTTGAAGGTTGAAAAACCTTCAGAATCAGCAGTTGTATCGATTTATATCAATTCAAATTAGTGAAGAGAGTTTTTTTACGAAAGCTAGAAGAACAGCGAGACGTTTAAAAAAACCCTCTTTGCGGCGACTTTCTCACCATTGTGGTTCCACATCCGAACGGAAACGTATACGTATACGTTTAGTTAAAGGGACATTTCGTACTGAAATACGCCCAATTGGGCTACGAAACGCGTTTTAAACGAAATTATATTACATGGAAAGAGCATTTAAATGTAGGATATAAACGTCCACACAACCATCCTTTAAATAGTGTGCGTTTGTTATGTTATTCTTGCGAGAACCATGTGAGAACGAGTTTTGGGGGTCACCATTTTGACTCTCAAAAATTGAGCTGTTGTGTTCTACTTGTGAAGCCTGCCGCACAGTGCATTGCATTCTGCGGACGTACGAGAAACAATATTGTTGTATGGTGCTGTGTGTATTATGTGAAACACACAACATTTAATGTCTAGTTGAATGTAAACGGCTGGAAATACGTATGCGACAAAATTTCCGCCGCGTTCGATGTAAACAACCGATTTTTCGTCTTTTCTCGGGAACGGTAAGACAAGGTTATAGTTTCCTTTCAACCAGACCTTAAAATAGGATAAGTATTCACTATCTAAAACATAAAATTTTCGGGGATTTCAGGACGTAATACCCCTTTAAAAGGAATCGTATAACACAGTGACAGTGTGGCGCAAAGCATATCGCCAGGTGACGCAACTGTAGACCCATCATGACTCGCTCGTATTCTCGTCTTTCAGGACCTTCTTTGAGTGTCGTCAATATTCTGTCAAGGAGCTTGATGGGCCGTCATTTTACGACACACTATGCCACAGCAAGTGGAATTGGAACATCGGGGGCCTCTGTTGGCTTGATCATCGTGGCGCCATTTACCCAGCTTCTGCTGAATACCTATGGCTGGAGAGGTACTTTCCTCATTCTGGGTGGATTGGGCCTGCATCTTGGGGTGTGTGGCGTCCTCTTGCAGTCACCACCGACTGATGAAACTAAGAAGAATGGTGAGTACCAGTCACTTGGCCCAGACATCGATGAAGCACCAGTGGTTAACTCACCAAGTGCCGAGGAGACTGGCAATTCGAAGTTGTTATCCCGACTTATCACCTTTAAGGACGCCATCTGCGCTCAGATGTCTCGTTTGGGATTCTCAGTTTGTCTCCGGGTCCCATTTTGGTTCACAACGGTCACATTCTGTTGCATCAGCTTCTGCTGCATCCAGTGGTACACCTACTACATTTCCCAAGCCGAAGCCAAAGGTTTCTCACCGTACGACGCTGTGACATTCACTACGGCTGCAGGCGTCGGAAATTTACTTATCAAGATCCTGGCTGGCCCTGTCGTGGACCGAGGTCTGCTGAAATTGCGACCGGCGATGGTGCTGAGTATCATAGTGGGTTCCTCGGCTCTACTGATAACTCCCTTGGTAAACTCCTACTGGCTGATGATGGCCAATGCCTTTATCTTTTATGGCGCTTTTGGAGCAGTTATCTCACTGAATGATCTGTACACCAGGGAGCTACTTGGTACTGATCTTTTGGCATGTACTTTGGCATGGATGGAGCTAGTTTCGGCCGTGTCATATTTCAGTCTTGGATTCTTTCCAGGTAAGACACATAACATAATCTGCATATAATATCTTGTCACGACTATCAAACTGAAATCATAGTAAATAGTTTTGATATTATATTTAGCAGTTATACACTGTAATTGATGCTTTACAAAATGTAGTCGATTAAAACAGCCATGCAAAAAAATGTGAGCTGGACTTTTACCGCAAGCTAAAAATCGCGCCCGTATTTTGAAAAATCACGCCCGTATTTTGAAACAATTTTACAGTTATTTTTGACGTTCTGTGTTTGAGGACAAGTAAAATGACATTTTTTTTACATTTTTCTGTGACTGTTTTTGTAGACTTCAATAACTTTGTTTAAGTTTGTGAAACTTTTCCCCCACTATTTTTGTAGGCTGGTTGTACGACAAGAGTGGCAGTTACGATTTGTCCTTTGTCATCTTGGGATGTATATCGTATCTGTCGTTGGCAGCGCTGATGGTGGAATGGTTTTTGGCTAGATGGTCAGATGGAAAAATAAAGTAGGAGAAATACCGAACGAAAACCGTAGTTCGACTATCTTCGCTCCAGCCCATGCTAGACGATCGTAGTTTAATAACGGTCGAGTCAGTTGAAACAGCCTAAGGAGGTTGATCGCCGGATGGTTAAAATAGCCGCGTCCATCACAACGCACAACAGGAATCAAGGACCAAAACAGTTTCGTGATATCGGTTGAACAGGCATCGTTGTATAGTAGTATCACATTCTTAGTTCTGGAAGAATTCATATAAAGTATTTATGTCTTTACTGGTCATTTATTCACCAAAAAAAGTAATTTTGAATGACAGCATGACTTGTGGGGATAAGGAGTCCTTTTATAATTCTTAAATATAACTTGTACTATATTTATAAAATAAAGCTGTCACATCTTTTGCTTTAACTTTTTTAATACATAGTATAAATACATGATTTAATCTGATTTATAAGATAATTGACCTTTGTTAATAATCAAGTGTCATTTGTTTACTTTCATCTTAATAGTTAGAAAATATCAGATGAAACTTTTAGTTGGTTAAAGACCTGTGGACGTTATGCCTTGTCAACTACCCAAACGGTTTAATTCAAGTAATTATTGTCGTGAGCTTTATTCATAATATTTAAGTTAACCTTTATCTGTCATTCCCTTTGATGTTCTTTTCATCGTATACTCATTGCAATTTAATTCATAAATTTTAATCATTCTTATCTTTCACCTTTATACTTTGCTACTTGTTATAAATTTACACTTTAAAAACTCCTACCCCGGGTGATGCTGATTATAATAACTTTTGTGAGCGGACGGTGGGGCGGCGGCGATGAAAATTTGAGTCTGCCAAGCAGAAATGGCTGCTGCGTTCTTGCTGGCACTTGCTGCACTTTCGTAACTTTTTGACATTTCCCTGCTTTTCTTTTTCTTATGACAATTTCGCGCGTTGTTGCTGTGATGTTATTTCGTGAAGGCACTGTTCTTCGTAAGAGCCTATATGTACCATATGTGAACCACACTTACTGTGCTTCCCTGAACCTTTTCTGCAAAAAGTTTGCTACCTGGCATTATGTCATATCCTAACAACACAATGTTTACTAGCAACACCGCTAAAACTGCCCAATGTCCAGGATTCTGGTGCATTTCTTGTTGAATAGTTGTGACATGACTTGTGTGGCTCTTCGTGAAAACAAAATCTCAGTTGACCTACGTTTACGCCTTTTCGTGCAATATGTCTTGTACGCGTTCAAGGGGGCAACATGTTTGTGTCTCTTCGTGAAAACGCAAAATGCAATTATCGAGATATGTGCCCCTTGTATCATTAATGTAATTGGGAAATTAATGATGTTTTGGCTTACAGAAGCATGTCAAAATGGCTAAGTACAATGTTTTAAAGCAAAATAGAGAAAAAAATTAAGTGACGTATGTGTCTCTTCGTTAAAACGTTCACGAATATAGATAAATAATCATTTGGCAGTTAAACTCAATTGCCACTGCATTATTTACAAGTAATTTTGTAACGTTTTCTCATATTTTTTACAATATAATTATGTACGAAAATTTGTCAATGTAATGTCATTTTACAAATAATTTTCTTTGCAACAGCATTACTTACAAATAAGTTGTCAACATTATGTCTTTATTCACAACATTTCTTTTTGTAAGAGCATTATTTTTGTAATAGTTTTTGACAAAGTATAATTCTTTATATGTAATTTGCATGCATGTTATCCTTGTTTGCCAAGTCATTACTTATTTAAAATGCTAACAAAGACATTTTGATTCATATATAATCAATGTTTACATTTTCTTACTAATTTTAACACCGCATTGTACATGGAGGTTTGAATATTGCATCCAGGATTGACTGATTGATTCTGGTTAACTAAAAAAAATTTCAGAATTTCCCAGTAAACTGCAACATACTTCCTGCAATATTAAAAGTGACCACAATGCTATTTCACTAAGTAATAACCTCCCAGAATAACCCCAGAGGTCCTGGGTTATAGAAATTCAGTGCTGAGCTGGTGACCAATCCTCGGTATAGAAACATGTTTCAGAGCATCATTAAGCAGTGTGAGACAGATAAACAAGTATACTCTCAGACAAAGAAAAACCCCTCGGGAAATGTTCAAAGTAAAAGGTAAGGAAACATTTTCTTTCAAGGACCATGGCAAGTGAAAAATGTACCAGCACTGAGAAACTGAGAAAAGAGCTGCTTGTCTTGCATGGTAGATGGGACAACTCCCACAACAAAAACTGAAACTTAAAATCAGCAAAAAAAAACCAGGCTGAGCTAGAACGAATAGTTGCCTACAAAACAAAAGGTGTCATCAATCGCTCCAGAGTGAAATGGTCCGAAACCTGGTGGAAAAACCCAATAAATATTTCATGGGCCATGAAAAAAAATTAGGGCTATTAAAAAGCTGATGGTTTTCCTTAAAGCAACAGATGGTAAAATTGTTAACGATCATGTCTCCATTATGAAAAAAAATGTTCACTATTATACGGAGCTTTATTCATCAAAAACATTCCTGATAAAAAAAAAATCAGTATTTAAATGACATAACGAGTGATCAATAAGTCAATGAATCGATGTGAAGGCTTACTGACAATAAAAGAATGTGAAGATGCGCTATTCGCTATGAAAAATAACAAAGCTCCAGGGCCCGATGGGATTTCTGTCGAATTTTATTAAACTTGTTGGCATGACATACAGTGTGAGTAAAAAAAAAATTGTAGCACCAAAAAAATACTGACTGGAAAGCCAATTTTAGAAACTACTTTTAGTTGAAAAAATTTACCAGATATATATGATAATATTTTGCGTATGCCGCTTGATTCAAGAGAATCACACGATTTCTCAGTTTTGTGAGTATTATTTTTCTGCTTGATGCCAATGGTTCCGTCGTGGCGCAAGGAAATCGCAGGTCGACCTGAGGCCAGCTTATGGGGTTCGGGGCCCGCCCAAGCTCAACGCCCGCCTGGCCAGATTTCCCAGTTGCGTATACGACCTAAGTCATGCTAGAGGCCAGCAGTGCAAGTACTGTCACAAAAACAAAACTGGACACTTCAGCAGAGTTTGCCGATCCAAGCGCAAACACATGCGAGCTGTGACTGTTCCCAATTAATCTGAAGATGAAATTGAGTTCTTCGTCGGCTCAGTATCGGGCAACAGTGACCAATCACACACTTCATGGCGCCAGACCATTGTTGTTGAGAACAAGCCCGTCCACTTCCTGCTCGACATGTTGACACCGGGTCAGAGGTAAACATACTGCCGTTACATGTTAACCGTACCCTCAAGCTCCGTGACACGACATTGCACTTCACCCCTACAACCCGTTTGTGTGGTTTCTTAACCCGTTTATGTCTTTTACTTCGACGGGAAAGTCAAACTGAGAGGTCAGTAGCGTCTATCATGTGAAGTCAAGGGCAAGTACCATAATCTGGTGCTTGCTGTTGGTGTAGTCGGGATTGCATAGACTGTGCTTTGGGAGACAACTTCAGACTTGCTGTCATACGAGATTCTCTCTCAAATTTTCTTAACTCCACTTGCAGCTCATGGAATGTCATTTCTCTTAGTCTCATCGGAGCTAATCGTTGTGCCACCCTCTCATCCCTCACTCCTCGCATCAATTGCTGTGTCCAGGGGCGGCGGAACTGGGGGGGGGGGGGGGGGGGGGGGGGGGGGGGGCTGGGGGGCGTTGCCCCCCCCCCCCCAGATTTTTCCAAGTGCCCCTTTTGCGGCCATATAAATGTGCCCCCTCGAACAGTAAAGTGCCCCTCAAGATACAACAAAAATGCCCTTAGCCCCCCCCCCAAAAAAAGTCTCCGGTTTCTGGTATGGAGCTTGTCCAAAAAGTGGTGCGGCGACGCGGCTTTTCTTTTTTTGTACCTGACTTTTTTGCTTCAAATGTCGACTGATGACTGCAAATGGTGCCCGACTAAACTTAGTGCAAATATATGGGAGTCCAGAGAGGCCACATAAAGCTTATTCTTGATCATAACCCCATCTAAAAACACGTTAAAATTGTGCAGCAGCAGGATTCCAGTCAAACCAGTGAGTTTGGCGGTTTTGAGACATCATCTTTCATTGAAAAAAAAACCCGTTTCATTTTGCCGACGCGCATGGCTACGGCGACGCGCGCGCATACCAGAAACCGGAGACTTTTTTTTGTTGGCCTTAAGTATCTTACTATTTCTTAGAAGTAACCATATCCCAATAATGGTATAGATATTTTTGATATAAACGAGGAATATGAAAACCAAGTCCCAAAACCCATACAATACGGCCTGAAAAAGGGCACATAATGCCTATTTAGCATATAATCATTGGTTTTGAAGAGCGCCCCCTATGTTGTAAGATGGTACCAGGTGAAGCTGAGGTGAAGGAGACTGAGGTTGCTTTTGCAATGGCTTGACGTACGACGGGAAACTTTGGTGAAGGGATGAGTTTGGAGGTTGTATTTGGCGAATGATGTTCCGGAAGGGTTGACAAGGTTGTTGGGTGAGTGAGACTTGTAGTCGGTGTTGATAACAAACCTTCATCTTTGGGTTGTCTTCTGGGGGTGGCCATAATTAATGAATAGAAACAATATGTTCTGATCTGAACACAATTATTCAAGTTGTACGAAATGACATTGAAATGCTGTGAAAAATAAATCAGTTGTACGGCAGATACCAAGCCAGAAAATACCAACAATGCAATACAATACATGGATTTCAACTGATTGGAAGAAAGGAGCAATTATAATAAACCTTCAATGAATACTTAATCCAAGATGAGTTTACAGAACAAATCAATCAAGTGATGAGCAGTGCAATCAGAAAATCAAATTATTTCTCAGCAGTTAATCAATAACTCACTGGGTAATACAGAATAATCAGCAACTTTTACAGCAATTCGACTCTACACCTTATCCCCGATAAACTTATGGAAAAATCGATCAAATTGTCAAGGTATGCTGCCTAAAAATAATCCAACAGAGCTTGAATAAGTTTCGTGTAAATTGTTTTGCTCTATAGGACCATATTTTTCACACAATTAACACTGAAATCAAATCAAATCCAACACTATACTCAGCTTGTGTGTGGTCAAACTAAACGAACCTGCTTTCAGACAAAAACACGACACAAGTTATATAACAGTACCTGTCAGGAATTTGGGCATTCAACTCTTACAAAATACAGCAATCGAAAGAACACTGATTGAACAGTAGCACTACAACGGATTATCTTGGAACAATTTGTACAACAATATAGTCAAGGAATGGAAGCAGTATGTACCATGGCCGTAAAACAAGTGAGTCTTTCAATCTTTATCAATGATTGACTTTTACTTACGGCGTCCGAGTTCCACTGTGCCAGCCTGTGGTCTGTCTTGTTTAGGAGGGATGATCGCAGTTCGGTGCAGTGAGAGTTGGCGTTTCGTTTTCCGATCCGTGTTTGGTTTTATTTCTCAATTCTTGCAAATTGTGAAAGTTGGAGAACCCGAAGATGTCCGAGATTTCCAAAAGTTTCTTGTGAAAAAAAATCATTGGGTGATGTGCTAGCCCTGGTGGACTCCCTTTCCTCCCTACGTTACGGAGGGTATGCAATGAAGACTTCGTCCAACCTGGGCTAGGTGATGTGCGAACCCTTGATGGACAGGCCGCTGGTTGAACAGCACGGGTAGTGAGTAGATGCCGACGGGACAGTGGGGTCCGTCCAGGCCGTTATGACCGAGTAGCACGGCCTACTCCATGGCGATCAGGTCTGACTTAGTACAGCACAAACACCGGGGATCAGGAACGATGTTCATCGGACAGCGTAGGGGAGTAACTGCAGGAGATCTAACAGGATCGGTAGTGGGACTTTAGCCCAGAGATGCTGGAGTCGCTCGATCCAGTCGATGAAAAACGGCAACAGGTAAACCTTCTGGCAGATCAGGTTTTCTGGACGTAGTACCCTCGTAGAAATAGAAGTATTCGCTGGTGTTTTTCTAAGAGCCGGATTTTCCACCATTTGTGACACTCTTGAAATTAGGGATCGGGAGCTCTTGAGTTGTGGTATATGCAGCAGCGAATTTATTCCGTATCTGTATATGTGAGGACAAGTTTTACATGAAGTGATGTTACTTCAGGTCTTCGGGAAATAACGAATGAGCTAGCGCCCGATATCAGACGTTGGGGGCGCTAGGTTAATTTGAATTACATGTAAATAAGGTTGTCTTTTCATAACCGTCACACAATGGATACTTATGCGAAAGCACACGTAGAAGGAGCTGGCAAATTAAAAAATATATAAAGAACACATGAGTTTTCCAGTTTTGAAACTAAAGATTGAATTGTATCTTAAAGGGTAGTGGGTGTGCTGACGGAGCTGTCAAGGTCAAATATCGTAAAAAAGTTGGGCACTTTGAGACTAAAGCATAAAACGTCGTACGTTGCTTCTTCATACAATGAATATATTGATCGGATATGAGAAAATGTTTCATATTTGCCCTCTGGTGACTTTTGAGAGGTCAATTAACTTTGTATACCCTGTTTATTAATATTTAAAGATGTATTATTCAAACCCTACTTTTCCAGAGCCCATATCTAATCTTAAAGGGAATGTACATCTTTGGCTTTTGCTGTAATTTTCAGAAAATGAACTATTTGAGGGGTTAGTATAATAGATCAAATATTGTTACACTGACATGTTTGAGCTTTTGTGTTAAAAAATGTAGATGAACAACAAAAAATGTTCAAGTAGTCTGGTTCCCTGACTCCACTAAAGATGAACTTGATCAATTTATAGTAAAATGTAAAGTAAGGGAACCAGTATAGCTGGTCTGCACCCGTTCATTAACATTTAACCAATAGGGAACAATATGGTAAATTTGGAGCAGTAGTTGAAAAATAGTTAGGTTTTTTCAACGGTGGTCGGCCGACCACCTCTGGAATTTTATACAAAAATTCCACTTTTCCTTGAAAATGACTTCACACCAGGTGCCATAATTTTACAGGATTTTTAGACTTTCAATTACCAACATCCTAGTAAGGTATTTCGTACTTTTTTGATAGTTTTGTTTTTCGATGTTTGCAAATGTTATGTATTCCCTTTAAGATATGAATTCTTACCAAAATGTGAACTTTCAAAGGTAAGGAAAGTTCATGGCTGGTGCAGTTATGGGCGTCGCCGGGATTGTTTTCTAGAGGGTGCAAAGCACATTCCTCCCCCCCCCCCAAAAAAAAAACCCACCAAATCCCTGTACTCTTGCAACGTATTTTCGGTTTATGGTGGACAGGGACATTCCCCCATTAAATTAACAGCAATGACTTCGCGCCTCTTTTTCTCTCCTTTCCCCCTTTACTCCTTTTTTCCCTCCTTTTTTCTCCTTTTTTTTGCTTTTCAAGAGGAGGGGGGGGGAAGCAAGCGACCCCCTTGCCCCTCCTCGCGACGCCCATGTGAGAGGTCAGCGGTCTTTGTCTAAAAATACAAACTTTTCATGTCCCAAGTCTAAATAATGAAACAGATATTAATTTTGACTATTGTTCTACTGGATCTCATGAATTCAGACTCAAAGACGATTTTGTTAATTAGAGCATCTGTTCCCCATGAGTCCCCCGTGTTCATGCCCGGCGACGCAGGCGCAACAGAACATACATTAATAAAATATAGGAGGCATGCCGGATAAACATTACAACAGTGCACCAGTGAGTTTGGTAAAAGGGTTTATACAAAATTATCGTGAACTAGAAATAATGTTTTATGGTTGGGTAAAGCGCTTTGGCTACTTTGATTCCGTGCAATGATCATAAATCAGAAGTTTTGCAGAATAAAAATAAGGTAAACAAAGTTAATTGACCTGTCGTAGGGCAACGGAGGACTGATATGCTCTACCCACATCGGAAATTATTTTAATGGACGCCTGAATATCTGTAGTACATTTGTGAAGTTTCAATTCAACCTGTTGAACTGTTTTGTTGTCATGGTCATTTAAAGTCGGCACTCTCATGCGCCCTCCGATGTATGTTATGAAGCATGTAATGTTTCAGTTAACATTTAAGCCTATACCTGTTTTGGTATTTGAAAATTTTGTGACGAAAGTATGCCCTATTTTCATAAACTTGGTGTCAAAATGACCGCAAGACATCAGAACAACTATATAAGAAACTTGGCAGAATGTAATAAATGCATTGCGACGATAGTAGCCAAATATACAGGGGGGTGCAGCCCCGCCCCCGCGCTATTCGTCACACTCTTCAGTCAATTAGTCTGACCAAAAGGAACTCTTAAGTCATATTTTCATGTTCCACAAGTGCCAAGGCATCAATACAATTTGTTTCATTTTCCCTATTTAAATTTTGTAGTACATTTGTACAGTTTTTATTTGATCGTTAGTCGGCACTGTCATGCACGCTTTCATGTGCATGTACTTTTAGTGGGAAAAGCTTACATTTAGGCCCACCTGTGTTGGAAAATTGACATTTTGGGAAGAAGTTATGCCCTATTTTCATAAACTTGGTGTCAAAATAAACGCAAGACATCAGAACAACTATCAAATAAACTTGGCAGTATTTAACAAATGACTTGCGACAGGAGCCAAACGTACATGGTGGGAGTTTGAGGCCCCGCCCCCTCTGCGGTTTTTCCGCCGCTCTTAAGGCAATTAGTCTGACCTAAAACCACTCTTAAGTTATATTTTTATATTCCATGAGTGTTAAGGCATTAATTCAAACTGGTTTCACTTTCTCCTCTACCGTTGCGTTGCAACGGTATCAGCAAAAAGGAACAGGAGGAGGGGGGGGTTGACGGTAAGCCACGCCCACCCACCGCGCTTTTCGGGCCGTTCTTCAGTTACTTAATCTGATCTAAAATCATTATTAAGTTATATTTCCATAATTTGCAAGTTCCAAGCTATCAAATGATGCTGGTTTCGTTTTTGTTCTCAAATTTTGATTAAATGTAAAATTTGCGTCAAGCGCTTCTCAAAATAAAATAGGCACCCCGAACGGCCGTTGGAACAAAAAAAGGGCACGACTTCTTTTCAGAAAGGGCACTTGTTCAGAAAAAAAGGGCACTTTAAAAAAGGGGTCACTCTTTACAATTTTTGTTTTGGGGGTGGGTAAGCACTGGTGAAAAAAAGGCATTTGAATGGAAAAGGACAGTCTTTACAAATATTTGTAAATACCACCCCCCGCCCCCACCCCCGCTGGCTTCGCCTATGACGGTGAAAGCTGCCCGGCTGTTGTTCAGATTATGCGTCACGTGCCAGTTGCTTTGCCTGAACAATGGCTTCTCCATAAATATTATTTCCATCGGATCGGGTGCACCAATAAATAATAGTCCGAAAATTCAACCACCAGCATGGAAAGGAGCATTGCTCAAATCGGATTTTAGCAAGGTGTGCACATTTAGAGGTGGAAAATGTGTGATAGCTTTGCCGGTTGAGCGGTGGCAGTTTTGTGGATGTTATCACTTTCAACAGCTCTCATTTGTTTTGTACACGTTTTCTAATCGAGGTCGTTCTCGATTTGGTTCCTGATGTCCTCAATTCATGTGTACGTGTGTGTCCTCGATTTACACGATAACACACACAAGGTCAACATGCATGGATAAATGAAGGAGAGTCAATATGTCATTTGCTCCATCCCCCCCCCCCCACAAAAAATGGTGGAAAAGATGTGGCATGTCACCTTCTGTAAATGGGATCGCCGCCCATGCATGTTCTTCTTCGTATACAGTCTTATATATGTGCAAATGTATACCATCTGTCGAAAGTCTGTGTCGCATGTGAAAGTCGATGATGGCTTGTATTCTCGCCAAAGTTTCAGAGACCTTAAACTGCTCTTCCAGTCCATGGATATAACCGGTTTTGCAAGACTTTTTAAGTTAATGTTTTATAAAATGCTCTTTTTGGCAAAAAAGGGGACGAATTACTTGATGTAGATGGTTGGTATATGCAACACGGACAAATAGACGATCTACATTTTTCATAATGTTTATTTTTTTTTCGCTTTCGGAAGCATGCATATGGCTATAACGTTTCAGTGAAGGACGAATTTCGTCCAGGGTAACGAGCTAAACTGTTATTAATAGTGCACCTAGTAAAATTTATTCCAATAACAAATTAATTGCAGTTCATCCTATTCTTTAAATTTTACCGACCACACGTCTGCATTAATATCCATACGATGATTTAATTACGTCGTTAATACAGGCAAAAAAGGAACCAGGAGAAAATATCGAAAAAAATCGAGAAGTATTCCCGGAAAATATTTCCAGATTATCTATTTGTTTTTATTATTTCCCCATTCATCTATTGATTTGTCGCTGATGGATGTGACTTTTGGTAGTTGGCCTACTCTTACCCGAAGATGCACATTCGTGGTGGACGTATTATCAAGGGTATAGGCAAATTTACAGGCCGCCTAATACCGAACTGAAATTCTTTGGATTCAGCCGCACATAATCAGCTTACGATATGCATTTTGGTTGATGAACACAAAACGGCGTATGCAAATTGTTTTCAAATTTCAATTCATATTAAAGCTTCTATAAATTGTTCACAACATATCGCGCCGTTTACGTGCTCCACTGTTCACCATGGGCAAGGCTCAAGTCGGTGGTTCGAACCGCCAGGGCTGGTGTGTGGTTTTCTGCTTGTTCGTGAGCTGGTTCCTTTGGGTAGGATTACTGAAAAGTCTCGGTGTGATGCTGCCTACATTGCAGGAACAGTTCACCGCCCAGACCTGGCTGATCGGCTGGATGATATCGATCATTAATGGCGTTATTAATGTCTCAGGTAATTATATTGAATTCGTGTTTCTTACACATTGAGTAATTACGTTTGCCCGTTTTTGGAGTACATCTCCCGATTTCAGTTGTTGAAAATATACATGTATTTAGTTCGCAACGTGGCCTTCAGTGAGTTCAGTGAGGTCAAAAAGCAGGAATTCTAGCAGACACATCAAACAAGTACCAAGTAGTACAACCCACGGCGGCCGGGTAACGTGTAAAGACGGTTATACGGCACCGTCCGTGCACCCAGGCCGTACACAGCGAATTTTGTTGGTCCCAAACGAATGACATCCGCATGAGGTGAATGCTATGGCGTTTTGGACTTCACTTCTCTCGAGAACATGAGAAAAAAAATGTGAACCTAGAAAAAAAAATGAATTCGAACGTAATGAAATTTTGACTTTATTTCCCTTAAAAAAATCCTCCAAAGCCTCACATTAGAAATGAAAAACAATTCAGATACAAAATAGTGACTCGAACTTACTACACCCGAGGATCTTTTTGTTGCAAAGGAAGTTGAACCTTGCTAGTACACTTGCATAGTTCCTAGATTTTTCTTTGTACTGACTTTAACGAATAACAAGCAGGGTTGTTAATACTTACATCGCTTTATTTTTAATTCCTTATGTAAACAAGGTCTCTTTGCTAGGCCACTGGAGGTCATGTTTGGTTCCCGCACTGTAGTGACGGTCGCTGGTTTCTTGGTTGGGGTATCCATGATCATCGCTTCTTTTTCAACCAGTGTTGAAATGCTGACACTGACGCTGGCACTGATAGCAGGTAAAGATGTCTGTGTTCCATTTGGAAGATTGTCTTGCAGGATAGTGACATTATTAGACGAGACCCCTCATTGTTTTCACATTGAATGGCTGCAATTTATTTAATGTGAAACACTCTTACTCTTAGTACAAGGAGCGATTCGACATTGATTCTGCATCAGTGGCGTATCCAGGGGGGGGGGGGGAGCAAGGTGTTATTTTTTTTTATCGTAAACGTTTCGACGGTTTTAAGACGTTGGGACGTCGATACAGTTAAGTCTTAATTTTGCCCCCTGTAGCATGAAAAGCTGGATACATCGCTGTTCTGCATTCCTTTTGCGTTAGGACTCTGCAGTTTTTACGGTTTTTGCATGTGATGTTATTCATGTTGTGCTTTTTTTTTCATTCTGCGCCACTTCAAGGACAGTAAGTTTAACATTACTAATACATTATAATTTAGGCAGGACGCGCAAAACCTGTTTACCACAGGTGTTTTCGCAGCTTGAAGGTTGAAAAACCTTCGTAACAGCAGTTGTATCGATTCATATCAATACAAATTAGTGAAGAGTGTTTTTTTACGAAAGCTAAAAGAACAGCGAGAAGTTAAAAAAAAACCCTCTTTGCGGCATCTTTCTCACCATTGTAGTTTCACATCCGAACGGAGACGTATACGTATACGTTTAGTTAAAGGGACATTACGTACTAAAATACGCCCAATTGGGCTACGAAACGCGTTTTAAACGAAATTATACTACATGGAAAGAGCATTTAAATGTAGGATATAAACGTCCACACAACCATCCTTTTAAAAACTTTGCGTTTGTTATGTTATTCTTGCGAGAACCATGCGAGAACGAGTTTTGGGGGTCATTATACTCAAACTCCAATAAAGTAGACAGACACCCAAGTTGTGTGTGTGTGTAGGCCTATGTGCCACAGCTCTAAATTTAATTTAAGAAAATACACCGGAATACCAAAACGTTTGGCAAACCGGAACATTAAGCGGTACTCCTGACCACCGTAAATCATCAATGAATAATGATATCTACAGGCTACATGTACATGTGTTCCGATAGTGATACCAATACAAGATTACCGGAATACCAAAAAAGGTAGGGCAAACCGGAATCATAGACGTTACACCCAAACTCACAAAGGACTCAATGATAACAAAAGCCACTACATGTATATGGATAGTGATCAATACCCAAGACCATTATCCACACAAACCATCAACAAAGAACGCAACAATGACTCATTGATAACAGTAACCACAATATAGATAGTGATACCCATGACCACTGTCCACACAACCCATCAAAAAGGAACGCAACAGTGTGAATGTTCTCTACTCAATAGGAATCGCTACAGTAAAAGCATAGACCATAAAGGTCAACAAATTAGTTATTCCAGAAAACTTTCTTAGAATAGTAAATTACAATTAATTGTTCCAACCGCTGGAATATGCGGCCGGTATAATCCGTGTGGGATGTCACGGGCTATTTGTTACACATTTATGTTTACAATAAAGATAAACTCCCAGGAATGGTAGGGAATGGGCCGTCCCGGCGCTATATTGTTACATTACAAAATTACATCTAGCACATGAAAATTTAAAGGCATATGTACCAGCGAAATGTCCCATCCTATTGAAGTTAGCTAATTCCATGTCCAAACAAGATTGGGTGTTCGACTTCTTATTTGGCACGAAAAAACGCCACACGCGAAAATCGCAACCCACAAAGAAGAAACGAACACACCAATTAAGGTACTTCCAAGTGTGTTCAAACACCCTGGCCCTTCGCCCTCATTGTGAGAAGCCATGCGGCTTGCCTCATATGCACCGCACTCTCCCACAACTCAGTCTGCGTATGTGCACCAAATACAGTCGAACCCTGATAAGATCACCGTCAATACAACACCTTGCCTATAACAAGGAAAATTTAAGGTGTCCAGTCTTTGTTTTCGATTACTGATAATCAATACAATGTACCTGTTACAACAAGGTAATGTATATATTCCCAAGGACATTGTTGTACATTCACCAATCGATCGCATGATCCTCAGAACAGCCTCCAACACATTTGCGGAGTGAAAAAAACCTCAAAGCAAACACACCCTTTCTGATTTCAAAATTGAAGGGTCAAAATCCAAGAGGGAAAAAACCCACAAATAAGTGCCGAGAAACAGCCCATCGGAATGCAAAAGTCCGGTTGGTTGTAAAAGAATTCGAACTCAGACTCGTTTAACTAACTTTAGTTGAGTATAAAAATTATACGAATACAAAAAGGTGGAGCAACAAATATGGTTTCTTGAAACTGGTACAACATTATGCTACAGGTGCGGTTACGTGATTGATGGCGAAAAGTTCAGCAAGACCCAATAACTGCGTACTTGCACCGAGTACTACATGTACCGCGATTAATGTTGGAAAATGCTCTCACAGGCAACGAACGTGCAGCCAATTAGGCCGCTCATGGTAAATTCAACATCAATAAACAAATACATTCCTTTCGAAAGTATTGATGTCCAATATCAAAATTAATAATATTTGGTATCCTCATAATGCAGAAACTACGACTGGACCACATGAGTTTATAGCTGAAGTATTCATATACATATACATTGTAATTTTGAATACTTGTTTTGAAGCCGCGACATTGGCCTAGCATTTTGGCGGCAACCCACTAACGATGATTGGCTGCCTACAATCCCAACGCTGATTGGCTGCCTAGAATCCCGACTGCTGCTATAAAAAGGCGAGATATTCATATAACGTCCGCAATCGTGAGATATAAGACGCCTAGCATGGAAATTTGCACACGGCACCAAACCAATGTTTTCCGTTGAGTATAATGGAATTTTATCATTCACTTGATAACATTTCCTATTTTGACTCTTAAAAATTACAGTGCATGGCATTCTGCGGACGTAGGACAAACAATATTGTTGTATGGTGCTGTGAGTATTATGTGAAACACACAACATGTAATGTCTGGTTGAATGTACACGGCTGGAAATACGTATGCGACAAAATTTCCGCAACGTTCGATGTAAACAACCGATTTTCGTCTTTTCTCGGGAACGGTAAGACAAGGTTATAGTTTCCTTTCAACCAGACCTTAAAATAGGATAAGTAAACTATCCAAAACATAAAATTTTTCGGGGATTTCAGGACGTTATACCCCTTTAAAATGAATCGTATTACACAGTGAAAGTGTGGCGCATAGCATATCGCCAGGTGGCGCAACTGTAGACCCATCATGACTCGCTCGTATTCTCGTCTTTCAGGACCTTCTTTGAGTGTCGTCAATATTCTGTCAAGGAGCTTGATGGGCCGTCATTTTACGACACACTATGCCACAGCAAATGGAATTGGAACATCGGGGGCCTCTGTTGGCTTGATCACCGTGGCGCCATTTACCCAGCTTCTGCTGAATACCTATGGCTGGAGAGGTACTTTCCTCATTCTGGGTGGATTTGGCCTGCATCTTGGGGTGTGTGGCGCCCTCTTGCAGTCACCACCGACTGATGAAACAAAGAAGAATGGTGAGTACCAGTCACTTGGCCCAGACATCGATGAAGCACCAGTGATTAACTCACCAAGTGCCGAGGAGACTGGCAATTCGAAGTTGTCATCCCGACTTATCACCTTTAAGGAAGCCATCTGCGCTCAGATGTCTCATTTTGGATTCTCAGTTTGTCTCCGGGTCCCATTTTGGATCACAACGGTCATATTCTGTTACAGCAGCTTCTGCGGTGTCCAGTGGTACATCTACTACATTTCCCAAGCCGAAGCCAAAGGTTTCTCACCGTACGACGCTGTGACATTCACCACGGCTGCAGGGGTCGGAAATTTACTTATCAAGATCCTGTCTGGCCCTATCGTGGACCGAGGTCTGCTGAAATTGCGACCAGCGATTGTGCTGACTATTATGCTGAGCTCCTCGGCTCTACTGATAACTCCCTTGGTAAATTCCTACTGGCTGATGATGGCCAATGCCTCCATCTTTTATGGCGCTTTTGGAGCAGTTGTCTCACTGAATGATCTGTACACCAGAGAGCTACTTGGTACTGATCTTTTGGCATGTGCTTTCGCGTGGATGGAGCTAGTAAAATACTTTTGATTTTATGACTTAGAAGTTATACACCATACTGGCGTGATTTTTAGCTTGCGGTATAGTTCAGCTCACTCTGGCCGTTTCTAATCGACTGCATTTTATAAAGCATCAGTTATGGTGTATAACTTCTAAGTCATAAAATCAAAAGTATTTAATGATTTCATTTTGATTGTCATGATAAGATATTATGCAGATATGTGTCTTACAACATCCTCAAACATAGAACGTCAAAAATGAATTGTATAATTGTTTCAAAATACTGGCGTGATTTTTAGTTTGTGGTGAAAGTCCAGCTCACTGTGGCCGTATCTAAATAATCGACCTCATTGTTTAAAGCATCAATTATAGTGTATAACCGCTAAGTCATAAAATCAAAAGTATGTAATAATTTCATTTTGATATTCGTGATAAGATTATTACATGCAGATACAATGTTTATATGTTATGTGTCTTACCTGGAAAGAATCCAAGACTGAAACATAACACGGCCGCCACTAGCTCCATCCACGCGAAAGCACATGCCAAAAGATCAGTACCAAGTAGCTCTCTGGTGTACAGATCATTCAGTGAGACAACTGCTCCAAAAGCGCCATAAAAGATGGAGGCATTGGCCATCATCAGCCAGTAGGAATTTACTAAGGGAGTTATCAGTAGAGCCGAGGAGCTCAGCATAATAGTCAGCACAATCGCTGGTCGCAATTTCAGCAGACCTCGGTCCACGATAGGGCCAGACAGGATCTTGATAAGTAAATTTCCGACCCCTGCAGCCGTGGTGAATGTCACAGCGTCGTACGGTGAGAAACCTTTGGCTTCGGCTTGGGAAATGTAGTAGATGTACCACTGGACACCGCAGAAGCTGCTGCAACAGAATATGACCGCTGTGATCCAAAATGGGACCCGGAGACAAACTGAGAATCCAAAACGAGACATCTGAGCGCAGATGGCGTCCTTAAAGGTGATAAGTCGGGATGACAACTTCGAATTGCCAGTCTCCTCGGCACTTGGTGAGTTAATCACTGGTGCTTCATCGATGTCTGGGCCAAGTGACTGGTACTCACCATTCTTCTTTGTTTCATCAGTCGGTGGTGACTGCAAGAGGGCGCCACACACCCCAAGATGCAGGCCAAATCCACCCAGAATGAGGAAAGTACCTCTCCAGCCATAGGTATTCAGCAGAAGCTGGGTAAATGGCGCCACGGTGATCAAGCCAACAGAGGCCCCCGATGTTCCAATTCCATTTGCTGTGGCATAGTGTGTCGTAAAATGACGGCCCATCAAGCTCCTTGACAGAATATTGACGACACTCAAAGAAGGTCCTGAAAGACGAGAATACGAGCGAGTCATGATGGGTCTACAGTTGCGCCACCTGGCGATATGCTATGCGCCACACTTTCACTGTGTAATACGATTCATTTTAAAGGGGTATAACGTCCTGAAATCCCCGAAAAATTTTATGTTTTGGATAGTTTACTTATCCTATTTTAAGGTCTGGTTGAAAGGAAACTATAACCTTGTCTTACCGTTCCCGAGAAAAGACGAAAATCGGTTGTTTACATCGAACGTTGCGGAAATTTTGTCGCATACGTATTTCCAGCCGTGTACATTCAACCAGACATTACATGTTGTGTGTTTCACATAATACTCACAGCACCATACAACAATATTGTTTGTCCTGCGTCCGCAGAATGCCATGCACTGTAATTTTTAAGAGTCAAAATAGGAAATGTTATCAAGTAAATGATAAAATTCCATTATACTCAACGGAAAACATTGGTTTGGTGCCGTGTGCAAATTTCCATGCTAGGCGTCTTATATCTCACGATTGCGGACGTTATATGAATATCTCGCCTTTTTTATAGCAGCAGTCGGGATTCTAGGCAGCCAATCAGCGTTGGGATTGTAGGCAGCCAATCATCGTTAGTGGGTTGCCGCCAAAATGCTAGGCCAATGTCGCGGCTTCAAAACAAGTATTCAAAATTACAAAGTATATGTATATGAATACTTCAGCTATAAACTCATGTGGTCCAGTCGTAGTTTCTGCATTATGAGGATACCAAATATTATTAATTTTGATATTGGACATCAATACTTTCGAAAGGAATGTATTTGTTTATTGATGTTGAATTTACCATGAGCGGCCTAATTGGCTGCACGTTCGTTGCCTGTGATAGCATTTTCCAACATTAATCGCGGTACATGTAGTACTCGTGCAAGTACGCAGTTATTGGGTCTTGCTGAACTTTTCGCCATCAATCACGTAACCGCACCTGTAGCATAATGTTGTACCAGTTTCAAGAAACCATATTTGTTGCTCCACCTTTTTGTATTCGTATAATTTTTATACTCAACTAAAGTTAGTTAAACGAGTCTGAGTTCGAATTCTTTTACAACCAACCGGACTTTTGCATTCCGATGGGCTGTTTCTCGGCACTTATTTGTGGGTTTTTTCCCTCTTGGATTTTGACCCTTCAATTTTGAAATCAGAAAGGGTGTGTTTGCTTTGAGGTTTTTTTCACTCCGCAAATGTGTTGGAGGCTGTTCTGAGGATCATGCGATCGATTGGTGAATGTACAACAATGTCCTTGGGAATATATACATTACCTTGTTGTAACAGGTACATTGTATTAATTATCAGTAATCGAAAACAAAGACTGGACACCTTAAATTTTCCTTGTTATAGGCAAGGTGTTGTATTGACGGTGATCTTATCAGGGTTCGACTGTATTTGGTGCACATACGCAGACTGAGTTGTGGGAGAGTGCGGTGCATATGAGGCAAGCCGCATGGCTTCTCACAATGAGGGCGAAGGGCCAGGGTGTTTGAACACACTTGGAAGTACCTTAATTGGTGTGTTCGTTTCTTCTTTGTGGGTTGCGATTTTCGCATGTGGCGTTTTTTCGTGCCAAATAAGAAGTCGAACACCCAATCTTGTTTGGATATGGAATTAGCTAACTTCAATAGGATGGGACATTTCGCTAGTACATATGCCTTTAAATTTTCATGTGCTAGATGTAATTTTGTAATGTAACAATATAGCGCCGGGACGGCCCATTCCCTACCATACCTGGGAGTTTATCTTTATTGTAAACATAAATGTGTAACAAATAGCCCGTGACATCCCACACGGATTATACCGGCCGCATATTCCAGCGGTTGGAACAATTAATTGTAATTTACTATTCTAAGAAAGTTTTCTGGAATAACTAATTTGTTGACCTTTATGGTCTATGCTTTTACTGTAGCGATTCCTATTGAGTAGAGAACATTCACACTGTTGCGTTCCTTTTTGATGGGTTGTGTGGACAGTGGTCATGGGTATCACTATCTATATTGTGGTTACTGTTATCAATGAGTCATTGTTGCGTTCTTTGTTGATGGTTTGTGTGGATAATGGTCTTGGGTATTGATCACTATCCATATACATGTAGTGGCTTTTGTTATCATTGAGTCCTTTGTGAGTTTGGGTGTAACGTCTATGATTCCGGTTTGCCCTACCTTTTTTGGTATTCCGGTAATCTTGTATTGGTATCACTATCGGAACACATGCACATGTAGCCTGTAGATATCATTATTCATTGATGATTTACGGTGGTCAGGAGTACCGCTTAATGTTCCGGTTTGCCAAACGTTTTGGTATTCCGGTGTATTTTCTTAAATTAAATTTAGAGCTGTGGCACATAGGCCTACACACACACACAACTTGGGTGTCTGTCTACTTTATTGGAGTTTGAGTATAATGACCCCCAAAACTCGTTCTCGCATGGTTCTCGCAAGAATAACATAAACGCAAAGTTTTTAAAAGGATGGTTGTGTGGACGTTTATATCCTACATTTAAATGCTCTTTCCATGTAGTATAATTTCGTTTAAAACGCGTTTCGTAGCCCAATTGGGCGTATTTTAGTACGTAATGTCCCTTTAACTAAACGTATACGTATACGTTTCCGTTCGGATGTGAAACTACAATGGTGAGAAAGATGCCGCAAAGAGGTTTTTTTTTAACTTCTCGCTGTTCTTTTAGCTTTCGTAAAAAACACTCTTCACTAATTTGTATTGATATGAATCGATACAACTGCTGTTACGAAGGTTTTTCAACCTTCAAGCTGCGAAAACACCTGTGGTAAACAGGTTTTGCGCGTCCTGCCTAAATTATAATGTATTAGTAATGTTAAACTTACTGTCCTTGAAGTGGCGCAGAATGAAAAAAAAATGCACAACATGAATAACATCACATGCAAAAACCGTAAAAACTGCAGAGTCCTAACGCAAAAGGAATGCAGAACAGCGATGTATCCAGCTTTTCATGCTACAGGGGGCAAAATTAAGACTTAACTGTATCGACGTCCGAACGTCTTAAAACCGTCGAAACGTTTACGATAAAAAAAAATAACACCTTGCTCCCCCCCCCCCCTGGATACGCCACTGATGCAGAATCAATGTCGAATCGCTCCTTGTACTAAGAGTAAGAGTGTTTCACATTAAATAAATTGCAGCCATTCAATGTGAAAACAATGAGGGGTCTCGTCTAATCCTGCAAGACAATCTTCCAAATGGAACACAGACATCTTTACCTGCTAACAGTGCCAGCGTCAGTGTCAGCATTTCAACACTGGTGGAAAAAGAAGCGATGATCATGGATACCCCAACCAAGAAACCAGCGACCGTCACTACAGTGCGGGAACCAAACATGACCTCCAGTGGCCTAGCAAAGAGACCTTGTTTACATAAGGAATTAAAAATAAAGCGATGTAAGTATTAACAACCCTGCTTGTTATTCGTTAAAGTCAGTACAAAGAAAAATCTAGGAACTATGCAAGTGTACTAGCAAGGTTCAACTTCCTTTGCAACAAAAAGATCCTCGGGTGTAGTAAGTTCGAGTCACTGTTTTGTATCTGAATTGTTTTTCTTTTCTAATGTGAGGCTTTGGAGGATTTTTTTTAAGGGAAATAAAGTCAAAATTTCATTACGTTGGAATTCATTTTTTTTTCTAGGTTCACATTTTTTTTCTCATGTTCTCGAGAGAAGTGAAGTCCAAAACGCCATAGCGTTCACCTCATGCGGATGTCATTCGTTTGGGACCAACACAATTCGCGGTGAACGGCCTGGGTGCACGGACGGTGCCGTTTAACCGTCTTTACACGTTACCCGGCCGCCGTGGGTTGTACTACTTGGTACTTGTTGAATTTGTATAAACGTTTGATGTGTCTGCTAGAATTCCTGCTTTTTGACCTCACTGAACTCACTGAAGGCCACGTTGCGAACTAAATACATGTATATTTTCAACAACTGAAATCGGGAGATGTACTCCAAAAACGGGCAAACGTAATTACTCAATGTGTAAGAAACACGAATTCAATATAATTACCTGAGACATTAATAACGCCATTAATGATCGATATCATCCAGCCGATCAGCCAGGTCTGGGCGGTGAACTGTTCCTGCAATATATAGGCAGCATCACACCGAGACTTTTCAGTAATCCTACCCAAAGCAACCAGCTCACGAACAAGCAGAAAACCACACACCAGCCCTGGCGGTTCGAACCACCGACTTGAGCCTTGCCCATGGTGAACAGTGGAGCACGTAAACGGCGCGATATGTTGTGAACAATTTATAGAAGCTTTAATATGAATTGAAATTTGAAAACAATTTGCATACGCCGTTTTGTGTTCATCAACCAAAATGCATATCGTAAGCTGATTATGTGCGGCTGAATCCAAAGAATTTCAGTTCGGTATTAGGCGGCCTGTAAATTTGCCTACACCCTTGATAATACGTCCACCACGAATGTGCATCTTCGGGTAAGAGTAGGCCAACTACCAAAAGTCACATCCATCAGCGACAAATCAATAGATGAATGGGGAAATAATAAAAACAAATAGATAATCTGGAAATATTTTCCGGGAATACTTCTCGATTTTTTTCGATATTTTCTCCTGGTTCCTTTTTTGCCTGTATTAACGACGTAATTAAATCATCGTATGGATATTAATGCAGACGTGTGGTCGGTAAAATTTAAAGAATAGGATGAACTGCAATTAATTTGTTATTGGAATAAATTTTACTAGGTGCACTATTAATAACAGTTTAGCTCGTTACCCTGGACGAAATTCGTCCTTCACTGAAACGTTATAGCCATATGCATGCTTCCGAAAGCGAAAAAAAAATAAACCTTATGAAAAATGTAGATCGTCTATTTGTCCGTGTTGCATATACCAACCATCTACATCAAGTAATTCGTCCCCTTTTTTGCCAAAAAGAGCATTTTATAAAACATTAACTTAAAAAGTCTTGCAAAACCGGTTATATCCATGGACTGGAAGAGCAGTTTAAGGTCTCTGAAGCTTTGGCGAGAATACAAGCCATCATCGACTTTCACATGCGACACAGACTTTCGACAGATGGTATACATTTGCACATATATAAGACTGTATACGAAGAAGAACATGCATGGGCGGCGATCCCATTTACAGAAGGTGACATGCCACATCTTTTCCACCATTTTTTGTGGGGGGGGGGATGGAGCAAATGACATATTGACTCTCCTTCATTTATCCATGCATGTTGACCTTGTGTGTGTTATCGTGTAAATCGAGGACACACACGTACACATGAATTGAGGACATCAGGAACCAAATCGAGAACGACCTCGATTAGAAAACGTGTACAAAACAAATGAGAGCTGTTGAAAGTGATAACATCCACAAAACTGCCACCGCTCAACCGGCAAAGCTATCACACATTTTCCACCTCTAAATGTGCACACCTTGCTAAAATCCGATTTGAGCAATGCTCCTTTCCATGCTGGTGGTTGAATTTTCGGACTATTATTTATTGGTGCACCCGATCCGATGGCAATAAAATTTACGGAGAAGCCATTGTTCAGGCAAAGCAACTGGCACGTGACGCATAATCTGAACAACAGCCGGGCAGCTTTCACCGTCATAGGCGAAGCCAGCGGGGGTGGGGGCGGGGGGTGGTATTTACAAATATTTGTAAAGACTGTCCTTTTCCATTCAAATGCCTTTTTTTCACCAGTGCTTACCCACCCCCAAAACAAAAATTGTAAAGAGTGACCGCTTTTTTTTAAAGTGCCCTTTTTTCTGAACAAGTGCCCTTTTTAAAAAGAAGTCGTGCCCTTTTTTTGTTCCAACGGCCGTTCGGGGTGCCTATTTTATTTTGAGAAGCGTTTGACGCAAATTTTACATTTAATCAAAATTTGAGAACAAAAACGAAACCAGCATCATTTGATAGCTTGGAACTTGCAAATTATGGAAATATAACTTAATAATGATTTTAGATCAGATTAAGTAACTGAAGAACGGCCCGAAAAGCGCGGTGGGTGGGCGTGGCTTACCGTCAACCCCCCCCCCCCTCCTCCTGTTCCTTTTTGCTGATACCGTTGCAACGCAACGGTAGAGGAGAAAGTGAAACCAGTTTGAATTAATGCCTTAACACTCATGGAATATAAAAATATAACTTAAGAGTGGTTTAGGTCAGACTAATTGCCTTAAGAGCGGCGGAAAAACCGCAGAGGGGGCGGGGCCTCAAACTCCCACCATGTACGTTTGGCTCCTGTCGCAAGTCATTTGTTAAATACTGCCAAGTTTATTTGATAGTTGTTCTGATGTCTTGCGTTTATTTTGACACCAAGTTTATGAAAATAAGGGCATAACTTCTTCCCAAAATGTCAATTTTCCAACACAGGTGGGCCTAAATGTAAGCTTTTCCCACTAAAAGTACATGCACATGAAAGCGTGCATGACAGTGCCGACTAACGATCAAATAAAAACTGTACAAATGTACTACAAAATTTAAATAGGGAAAATGAAACCAATTGTATTGATGCCTTGGCACTTGTGGAACATGAAAATATGACTTAAGAGTTCCTTGTGGTCAGACTAATTGACTGAAGAGTGTGACGAATAGCGCGGGGGGCGGGGCTGCACCCCCCCTGTATATTTGGCTACTATCGTCGCAATGCATTTATTACATTCTGCCAAGTTTCTTATATAGTTGTTCTGATGTCTTGCGGTCATTTTGACGCCAAGTTTATGAAAATAGGGCATACTTTCGTCACAAAATTTTCAAATACAGGTATAGGCTTAAATGTTAACTTAAACATTACATGCTTCATAACATACATCGGAGGGCGCATGAGAGTGCCGACTTTAAATGACCATGACAACAAAATCATTCAACAGGTTGAATTGAAACTTCACAAATGTACTACAGATATTCAGGCGTCCATTAAAATAATTTCCGATGTGGGGAGAGCATATCAGTCCTCCGTTGCCCTACGACAGGTCAATTAACTTTGTTTACCTTATTTTTATTCTGCAAAACTTCTGATTTATGATCATTGCACGGAATCAAAGTAGCCAAAGCGCTTTACCCAACCATAAAACATTATTTCTAGTTCACGATAATTTTGTATAAACCCTTTTACCAAACTCACTGGTGCACTGTTGTAATGTTTATCCGGCATGCCTCCTATATTTTATTAATGTATGTTCTGTTGCGCCTGCGTCGCCGGGCATGAACACGGGGGACTCATGGGGAACAGATGCTCTAAATAACAAAATCGTCTTTGAGTCTGAATTCATGAGATCCAGTAGAACAATAGTCAAAATTAATATCTGTTTCATTATTTAGACTTGGGACATGAAAAGTTTGTATTTTTAGACAAAGACCGCTGACCTCTCACATGGGCGTCGCGAGGAGGGGCAAGGGGGTCGCTTGCTTCCCCCCCCCCCTCTTGAAAAGCAAAAAAAAAGGAGAAAAAAGGAGGGAAAAAAGGAGTAAAGGGGGAAAGGAGAGAAAAGGAGGCGCGAAGTCATTGCTGTTAATTTAATGGGGGAATGTCCCTGTCCACCCTCGAAATATGATAAACCGAATATACGTTGCAAGAGTACAGGGATTTGGTGGGGGTTTGGGGGGGGGGGAGGAATGTGCTTTGCACCCTCTAGAAAACAATCCCGGCGACGCCCATAACTGCACCAGCCATGAACTTTCCTTACCTTTGAAAGTTCACATTTTTGTAAGAATTCATATCTTAAAGGGAATACATAACATTTGCAAACATCGAAAAACAAAACTACCAATTTTTTACGAAATACCTTACTAGGATGTTGGTAATTGAAAGTCTAAAAATCCTGTAAAATTATGGCACCTGGTGTGAAGTCATTTTCAAGGAAAAGTGGAATTTTTGTATAAAATTCCAGAGGTGGTCGGCCGACCACCGTTGAAAAAACCTAACTATTTTTCAACTACTACTCCAAATTTACCATTTTGTTCCCTATTGGTTAAATCTTAATGAACGGGTGCAGACCAGCTATACTGGTTCCCTTACTTTACATTTTACTATAAATTGATCAAGTTCATCTTTAGTGGAGTCAGGGAACCAGACTACTTGAACATTTTTTGTTGTTCATCTACATTTTTTAACACAAAAGCTCAAACATGTCAGTGTAACAATATTTGATCTATTATACTAACCCCTCAAATAGTTCATTTTCTGAAAATTACAGCAAAAGCCAAAGATGTACATTCCCTTTCAGATTAGATATGGGCTCTGGAAAAGTAGGGTTTGAATAATACATCTTTAAATATTAATAAACAGGGTATACAAAGTTAATTGACCTCTCAAAAGTCACCAGAGGGCAAATATGAAACATTTTCTCATATCCGATCAATATATTCATTGTATGAAGAAGCAACGTACGACGTTTCATGCTTTAGTCTCAAAGTGCCCAACTTTTTTACGATATTTGACCTTGACAGCTCCGTCAGCACACCCACTACCCTTTAAGATACAATTCAATCTTTAGTTTCAAAACTGGAAAACTCATGTGTTCTTTATATATTTTTTAATTTGCCAGCTCCTTCTACGTGTGCTTTCGCATAACTATCCATTGTGTGACGGTTATGAAAAGACAACCTTATTTACATGTAATTCAAATTAACCTAGCGCCCCCAACGTCTGATATCGGGCGCTAGCTCATTCGTTATTTCCCGAAGACCTGAAGTAACATCACTTCATGTAAATCTTGTCCTCACATATACAGATACGGAATAAATTCGCTGCTGCATATAACACAACTCAAGAGCTCCCGATTCCTAATTTCAAGAGTGTCACAAATGGTGGAAAATCCGGCTCTTAGAAAAACACCAGCGAATACTTCTATTACTACCGGGGTACTACGTCCAGAAAACCTGATCTGCCAGAAGGTTTACCTGTTGCCGTTTTTCATCGACTGGATCGAGCGACTCCAGTATCTCTGGGCTAAAGTCCCACTACCGATCCTGTTAGATCTCCTGCAGTTACTCCCCTACGCTGTCCGATGAACATCGTTCCTGATCCCCGGTGTTTGTGCTGTACCGAGTCAGACCTGATCGCCATGGAGTAGGCCGTGCTACTCGGTCATAACGGCCTGGACGGACCCCACTGTCCCGTCGGCATCTACTCACTACCCGTGCTGTTCAACCAGCGGCCTGTCCATCAAGGGTTCGCACATCACCCAATGATTTTTTCCACAAGAAACTTTTCGAAATCTCGGACATCGTCGGGTTCTCCAACTTTCACAATTTGCAAGAATTGAGAAATAAAACCAAACACGGATCGGAAAACGAAACGCCAACTCTCACTGCACCGAACTGCGATCATCCCTCCTAAACAAGACAGACCACAGGCTGGCACAGTGGAACTCGGACGCCGTAAGTGAAAGTCAATCATTGATAAAGATTGAAAGACTCACTTGTTTTACGGCCATGGTACATACTGCTTCCATTCCTTGACTATTGTTGTACAAATTGTTCCAAGATAATCCGTTGTAGTGCTACTGTTCAATCAGTGTTCTTTCGATTATTTTGTAAGAGTTGAATGCCCAAATTCCTGACAGGTACTGTTATATAACTTGTGTCGTGTTTTTGTCTGAAAGCAGGTTCGTTTAGTTTGACCACACACAAGCTGAGTATAGTGTTGGATTTGATTTGATTTCAGTGGTAATTGTGTGAAAAATATGGTCCTGTAGAGCAAAACAATTTACACGAAACTTATTCAAGCTCTGTTGGATTATTTTTAGGCAGCATACCTTGACAATTTGATCGATTTTTCCATAAGTTTATCGGTGATAAGGTGTAGAGTCGAATTGCTGTAAAAGTTGCTGATTATTCTGTATTACCCAGTGAGTTATTGATTAACTGCTGAGAAATAATTTGATTTTCTGATTGCACTGCTCATCACTTGATTGATTTGTTCTGTAAACTCATCTTGGATTTAGTATTCATTGAAGGTTTATTATAATTGCTCCTTTCTTCCAATCAATTGAAATCCATGTATTGTATTGCATTGTTGGTATTTTCTGGCTTGGTATCTGCCGTACAACTGATTTATTTTTCACAGCATTTCAATGTCATTTCGTACAACTTGAATAATTGTGTTCAGATCAGAACATATTGTTTCTATTCATTAATTATGGCCACCCCCAGAAGACAACCCAAAGATGAAGGTTTGTTATCAACACCGACTACAAGTCTCACTCACCCAACAACCTTGTCAACCCATCCGGAACATCATTCGCCAAATACAACCTCCAAACTCATCCCTTCACCAAAGTTACCCGTCGCACGTCAAGCCATTGCAAAAGCAACCTCAGTCTCCTTCACCTCAGCTTCACCTGGTACCATCTTACAACATAGGGGGCGCTCTTCAAAACCAATGATTATATGCTAAATAGGCATTATGTACCCTTTTTCAGGCCGTATTGTATGGGTTTTGGGACTTGGTTTTCATATTCCTCGTTTATATCAAAAATATCTATACCATTATTGGGATATGGTTACTTCTAAGAAATAGTAAGATACTTAAGGCCAACAAAAAAAAGTCTCCGGTTTCTGGTATGCGCGCGCGTCGCCGTAGCCATGCGCGTCGGCAAAATGAAACGTCTTTTTTTTTCAATGAAAGATGATGTCTCAAAACCGCCAAACTCACTGGTTTGACTGGAATCCTGCTGCTGCACAATTTTAACGTGTTTTTAGATGGGGTTATGATCGAGAATAAGCTTTATGTGGCCTCTCTGGACTCCCATATATTTGCACTAAGTTTAGTTGGGCACCATTTGCAGTCATCAGTCGACATTTGAAGCATAAAAGTCAGGTACAAAAAAAGAAAAGCCGCGTCGCCGCACCACTTTTTGGACAAGCTCCATACCAGAAACCGGAGACTTTTTTGGGGGGGGGCCTAAGGGCGTTTTTGTTGTATCTTGAGGGGCACTTTACTGTTCGAGGGGGCACATTAATATGGCCGCAAAAGGGGCACTTGGGAAAATCTGGGGGGGGGGGCAAACTCCCCCCAGACCCCCCCCCCCCCTCCCCCCAGTTCCGCCGCCCCTGGACACAGCAATTGATGCGAGGAGTGAGGGATGAGAGGGTGGCACAACGATTAGCTCCGATGAGACTAAGAGAAATGACATTCCATGAGCTGCAAGTGGCGTTAAGAAAATTTGAGAGAGAATCTCGTATGACAGCAAGTCTGAAGTTGTCTCCCAAAGCACAGTCTATGCAATCCCGACTACACCAACAGCACGCACCAGTACCTAAACCACATACGCCAACGTATATAGTTCAATAACAAGAAAGCTCAGATTATGGTACTTGCCCTTGACTTCACATGATAGACGCTACTGACCTCTCAGTTTGTCTTTCTCGCCGAAGTAAAAGACATAAACGGGTTAAGAAACCACACAAACGGGTTGTAGGGGTGAACTGCAATGTCGTGTCACGGAGCTTGAGGGTACGGTTAACATGTAACGGCAGTATGTTTACCTCTGACCCGGTGTCAACATGTCGAGCAGGAAGTTGACGGGCTTGTTCTCAACAACAATGGTCTGGCGCCATGAAGTGAGTGATTGGTCACTGTTACCCGATACTGAGCCGACGAAGAACTCAATTTCATCTTCAGATTAATTGGGAGCAGTCACAGCTCGCATGTGTTTGCGCTTGGATCGGCAAACTCTGCTGAAGTGTCCAGTTTTGTTTTTGTGACAGTACTTGCACTGCTGGCCTCTAGCATGATTTGGGTCGTATACGCAACTGGGAAATCTGGCCAGGCGGGCGTTGAGCTTGGGCGGGCCCCGAACCCCATAAGCCGGCCTCAGGTCGACCTGCGATTTCCTTGCGCCACGACGGAACCATTGGCATCAAGCAGAAAAATAATACTCACAAAACTGAGAAATCGTGTGATTCTCTTGAATCAAGCGGCATATACGCAAAATATTATCATATATATCTGGTAAATTTTTTCAACTAAAAGTAGTTTCTAAAATTGGCTTTCCAGTCAGTATTTTTTTGGTGCTACAATTTTTTTTTTTACTCACACTGTATGTCATGCCAACAAGTTTAATAAAACTCGACAGAAATCCCATCGGGCCCTGGAGCTTTGTTATTTTTCATAGCGAATAGCGCATCTTCACATTCTTTTATTGTCAGTAAGCCTTCACATCGATTCATTGACTTATTGATCACTCGTTATGTCATTTAAATACTGATTTTTTTTTTATCAGGAATGTTTTTGATGAATAAAGCTCCGTATAATAGTGAACATTTTTTTTCATAATGGAGGTATGATCGTTAACAATTTTACCATCTGTTGCTTTAAGGAAAACCATCAGCTTTTTAATAGCCCTAATTTTTTCATGGCCCATGAAATATTTATTGGGTTTTTTTCACCAGGTTTCGGACCATTTCACTCTGGAGCGATTGATGACACCTTTTGTTTTGTAGGCAACTATTCGTTCTAGCTCAGCCTGGTTTTGTTTTGCTGATTTTAAGGTTCAGTTTTTGTTATGGGAGTTGTCCCATCTACCATGCAAGACAAGCAGCTCTTTGCTCAGTTTGTCAGTGCTGGTACTTTTTTCACTTGCCATGGTCCTTGAAAGAAAATGTTTCCTTACCTTCTACTTTGAACATTTCCCGAGTGATTTTCTTTGTCTGAGAGTATACTTGTTCATCTGTCTCACACTGCTTAATGATGCTCTGAAACATGTTTTTATACCGAGGATTGGTCACCAGCTCAGCACTGAATTTCTATAACCCAGGACCTCTGGGGTTATTCTGGGAGGTTATTACTTAGTGAAATAGCATTGTGGTCACTTTTAATATTGCAGGAAGTATGTTGCAGTTTACTGGGAAATTCTTCTTTTTTTTTTAGTTAACCAGAATCAATCAGTCAATCCTGGATGCAATATTCAAACCTCCATGTACAATGCGGTGTTAAAATTAGTAAGAAAATGTAAACATTGATTATATATGAATCAAAATGTCTTTGTTAGCATTTTAAATAAGTAATGACTTGGCAAACAAGGATAACATGCATGCAAATTACATATAAAGAATTATACTTTGTCAAAAACTATTACAAAAATAATGCTCTTACAAAAAGAAATGTTGTGAATAAAGACATAATGTTGACAACTTATTTGTAAATAATGCTGTTGCAAAGAAAATTATTTGTAAAATGACATTAGGCCTACATTGACAAATTTTTCGTACATAATTATATTGCAAAAAATATGAGAAAACGTTACAAAATTACTTGTAAATAATGCAGTGGCAATTGAGTTTAACTGCCAAATGATTATTCATCCATATTCGTGAACGTTTTAACAAAGAGACACATACGTCACTTAATTTTTTTCTCTATTTTGCTTTAAAACATTGTACTTAACCATTTTGACATGCTTCTGTAAGCCAAAACATCATTAATTTCCCAATTACATTAATGATACAAGGGGCACATATCTCGATAATTGCATTTTGCGTTTTCACGAAGAGACATCCGGCGATCAACCTCCGTAGGCTGTTTCAACTGACTCGACCGTTATTAAACTACGATCGTCTAGCGTGGGCTGGAGCGAAGATAGTCGAACTACGGTTCTCGTTCGGTATTTCTCCTACTTTTGCCATCTGACCATCTAGCCAAGAACCATTCCACCATCAGCGCCGCCAACGATAGATACGATATACATCCCAAGATGACAAAGGACAAATCGTAACTGCCACTCTGGTCGTATAACCAGCCTACAAGAAAAGTGGGTGGAAAAAGTTTAACAAACTTTAACAAAGATATTTGTTGCAGCAACAGTCACAAGAAATGTAAACAATGTCAATTTAGGCCTACTTGTTCTCAACACAGAACGTCAAAAATAAATTTTGTAATTTTTTCAAAGTACTGGCGTGATTTTTAGCTTGCAGTATAGTTCAGCTCACTCTGGCCGTTTCTAATCGACTGCATTTTATAAAGCATCAGTTATGGTGTATAACTTCTAAGTCATAAAATCAAAAGTATTTAATGATTTCATTTTGATTGTCATGATAAGATATTATGCAGATATGTGTCTTACAACATCCTCAAACATAGAACGTCAAAAATGAATTGTATAATTGTTTCAAAATACTGGCGTGATTTTTAGTTTGTGGTGAAAGTCCAGCTCACTGTGGCCGTATCTAAATAATCGACCTCATTGTTTAAAGCATCAATTATAGTGTATAACCGCTAAGTCATAAAATCAAAAGTATGTAATAATTTCATTTTGATATTCGTGATAAGATTATTACATGCAGATACAATGTTTATATGTTATGTGTCTTACCTGGAAAGAATCCAAGACTGAAACATAACACGGCCGTCACTAGCTCCATCCACGCGAAAGCACATGCCAAAAGATCAGTACCAAGTAGCTCTCTGGTGTACAGATCATTCAGTGAGACAACTGCTCCAAAAGCGCCATAAAAGATGGAGGCATTGGCCATCATCAGCCAGTAGGAATTTACCAAGGGAGTTATCAGTAGAGCCGAGGAGCTCAGCATAATAGTCAGCACAATCGCTGGTCGCAATTTCAGCAGACCTCGGTCCACGATAGGGCCAGACAGGATCTTGATAAGTAAATTTCCGACCCCTGCAGCCGTGGTGAATGTCACAGCGTCGTACGGTGAGAAACCTTTGGCTTCGGCTTGGGAAATGTAGTAGATGTACCACTGGGCACCGCAGAAGTTGCTGCAACAGAATATGACCGTTGTGATCCAAAATGGGACCCGGAGACAAACCGAGAATCCAAAATGAGACATCTGAGCGCAGATGGCGTCCTTAAAGGTGATAAGTCGGGATGACAACTTCGAATTGCCAGTCTCCTCGGCACTTGGTGAGCTAACCACTGGTGCTTCATCGATGTCTGGGCCAAGTGACTGGTACTCACCATTCTTCTTTGTTTCATCAGTCGGTGGTGACTGCAAGAGGGCGCCACACACCCCAAGATGCAGGCTAAATCCACCCAGAATGAGGAAAGTACCTCTCCAGCCATAGGTATTCAGCAGAAGCTGGGTAAATGGCGCCACGATGATCAAGCCAACAGAGGCCCCCGATGTTCCAATTCCATTTGCTGTGGCATAGTGTGTCGTAAAATGACGGCCCATCAAGCTCCTTGACAGAATATTGACGACACTCATAGAAGGTCCTGAAAGACGAGAATACGAGCGAGTCATGATGGGCCTACAGTTGCGCCACCTGGCGATATGCTTTGCGCCACACTGTCACTGTGTAATACGATTCATTTTAAAGGGGTATTACGTCCTGAAATCCCCGAAAATTGTATGTTTTGGATAGTTTACTTATCCTATTTTAAGGTCTGGTTGAAAGGAAACTACCTTGTCTTACCGTTCCCGAGAAAAGACGAAAAATCGGTTGTTTACATCGAACGCGGCGGAAATTTTGTCGCATACGTATTTCCAGCCATGTACATTCAACCAGACATTACATGTTGTGTGTTTTCACATAATACACACAGCACCATACAACAATATTGTTTCTCGTACGTCCGCAGAATGCAATGCACTGTGCGGCAGGCTTCACAAGTAGAACTCAACAGCTCAATTTTTGAGAGTCCAAATAGTGACCCCCAAAACTCGTTTACACATGGTTCTCGCAAGAATAACATAAAAACGCACAGTATTTAAAGGATGGTTGTGTGGACGTTTATATCCTACATTTAAATGCTCTTTCCATGTAATATAATTTCTTTTAAAACGCGTTTCGTAGCCCAATTGGGCGTATTTCAGTACGTAATGTCCCTTTAACTAAACGTATACGTATACGTTTCCGTTCGGATGTGAAACTACAATGGTGAGAAAGATGCCGCAAAGAGGTTTTTTTTTTAACGTCTCGCTGTTCTTTTAGCTTTCGTAAAAAACACTCTTCACTAATTTGTATTGATATGAATCGATACAACTGCTGTTACGAAGGTTTTTCAACCTTCAAGCTGCGAAAACACCTGTGGTAAACAGGTTTTGCGCGTCCTGCCTAAATTATAATGTATTAGTAATGGTTAAACTTACTGTCCTTAAAGTGGCGCAGAATGAAAAAAAAATGCACAACATGACTAACATCACATGCAAAAAACCGTAAAACTGCTGAGTCCTAACGCAAAAGGAATGCAGAACAGCGATGTATCCAGCTTTTCATGCTACAGGGGGCAAAATTAAGACTTAACTGTATCGACGTCTGAACCGTCTGAAAACCGTCGAAACGTTTACGATATTTTTAACAAAATAACACCTTGCTCCCCCCCCCCTATACGCCACTGATGCAGAATCAATGTCGAATCGCTCCTTGTACTAAGAGTAAGAGTGTTTCACATTAAATAAATTGCAGCCATTCAATGTGAAAACAATGAGGGGTCTTGTCTAATAATGTCACTATCGTCCAAATGTCACTATCGTCCAAATGTCACTATCTTCCAAATGGAACACAGACATTTTTACCTGCTAGCAGTGCCAACGTCAGTGTCAGCATTACAACACTAGTGGAAAAAGAAGCGATGATCATGGATATCCCCACCAAGAAACCACCGACCGTCACTACAGTGCGGGCACCAAACATGACCTCCAGTGGTTTAGCAAAGAGACCTTGATTACATAAGAAATGAAAAATAAAGAGATGTAAGTATTAACACCCCTGCTTATTATCCGGTAAAGCGAGTACCAAGAAAAACCAAGGAACTATCCAAGTGTACTAGTAAGGTCCAACTTCCTTTCCAAAAAATGCAAGGGCGGATCGGGGGGGGATTTGTGATTGGGGTGATGGCTAATTACCATTACCCCGAGTGGCCAATTTTAGTTAATTACATTCATACAAACACATTTATTTTCATACAAACACATATATATTCTCTTCATGAAAGAAATAAAGAAGGATATAAGAATTGAACAAGATATAAAGGCCACTAGAGGGGGCAAAACTTTAAAAGCATAGCTCGTGTATCAGGCATGCCATTACACACACACACACAAAACAGACGAATAATTACAGAAAAACAAATAATTCTTATCAGTAAACAAAGTTATGAAAAATAGTTATAATGGGCTACGAGTAGGATTTCCATACAAAGTCCAAGGGCAGAGACACAAAATATTTTACATTACATAAGGTACAATTTAAGTTTGCGTTGAAAAATATGTTATGACCTTGAACATCTTAGAGGGAATGGTAAATTATTCCATAATTTTGGCTCTGAGTATTTAATGTTGTATTGAAAGGCAGATGTTCTTTGTTGCGACATGTGGAAATGTAAGTTGGTAGACCACCCCCCCCCCCGAGTGTTTTAGCTATACAAGTACAAACATGTTTGAATAGGAAATGGGCAGTAAACTATTCATAAATAGTGCTTGTTGGTATTTATTTAGGTTTGTTATGCTTTTTTATTTAGGTTTGTTATATTGTAGCTCACGTAAGAGTGGTTGACTGTGGGCCCTATATGGTGAATTGGTAATAATGCGAACAACTTTTTTTCTGCAATTTTATTAGTTTATCTAAATTCGTACGGAATGTATTTTCACAAACAATGTTACAGTAAGAAAAATAAAGAAGTATTAATGAACTATATGGAGTATTTAATACCTAAACGGAAACAACATAATATGTTTATAACTCCAATACTCTTAGATACTTTACTTACAATCTCATCGATGTGATATTTCCATATCAATCTGTCATCATTGATCATCCTAAAAATCTGAACTTATCTACCTTCTTGACAGTTGTGTTATCCAATAAAATATTTAAGTTTGATGAATTATTCTGTTTGTCCCTGTTACTGAAGATCATATAATTACATTTAGTTAGGTTAAGAGATAAACGGTTAGCTTTTAACCAATCACATACTGATCAGTCCATTGTTGACATTATTAAAGAGAAAAATAAGATCTTTGTTACCATAGAATAAACTAGTGTCATCAGCATATAATATAAAGGACAACAATTTAGATGTCGTTGAAATATCATTAATGTAGATTAAAAAGAGCAAAGGTCCTAGCTGAGAGCCCTGGGGTACTCCGCATGAGATTTTTAAATGAGATTTTTAAATCAGACAGGCAATAGTTAAAACTTGTACACTGTTGACGATTATTCAAATAACCTGCAAACCAGTCATGGGCAACCCCGCGGATACCATGGTTTATGGTATCAAAAGCTTAAGAAAATACCAATTGAAAAGGCATTCTTATCAAAGGTTTTGGCTATTTATCTTCTACGTCAAAAAGTCCCATTGAAGTGGAGAAACTAGATCGAAAACCATATTGATTATCATTTTACTGTTCTTTTGTACGAAACTTTTTCAAGAGTGTAGGAAAAACAGGACAGTACTTAAATTGGTATATAATTACAAAGCTCAGCAGGGTCTTCTTTTTTAAATGTAGGAGTGACTCTGGAAATGTTCAATTTATCTGGGAAAACCCCTTTAGATAGAGAGACATTTTCAAAATGGGGATCACTCATTTTGGTTATGACAGATTTAAACTATTTCATGGATTTTTGTTTTTGGTGTAGGATTAAGGAAAATGGAATTTTCGTTAGGATTAGTCAAGTAATTCTCATAACTAGCATTAGCTTGATGAATATCAAGGTAGGCGTTTGTAAAGCCTTACAGTAAAGCCTGTTAGAGATGTTGTTTCACACTGTACATGCACTGTTATTTCGGTTGTGTAAAAACCAAACGGTTGTGTACTATATGAACCTAGCAACCTGTTGTGTACACAACAGTGTAAAATATTACACAAGTTGTTTTATTACACAACTGGTTGCTAGGTTCATATAGTACACAACCGAAATAACAGTGTAACTCATGTTCTGACACGTATTAAAGGTAGCTAAGCGCAATTTTAGACCTTTTTTTTAATTTGTGTAAACGTTTGATGATGAGTCCACAAGAATTTTTGCTTTTGACCTGACAGGCCAAGTTGCAAATTAAATACATGCAGATTTTCAAACAACTGAAATCGGGAAATGTATTCAAAAACTGGGCAAACTTATTGAATATGCAATATAAACACGAATTCAATATAATTACCTGAGACATAAATAACGCCATTAATGATCGATATCATCCAGCCGATCAGCCAGGTCTGGGCGGCGAACTGTTCCTGCAATGTAGGCAGCATCACACCAAGACTTTTGAGTATTACTGACCAAAGCAACCAGCTCACGAACAAGCAGAAAACCGCACACCAGCCCTGGCGGCTCGAACCACCGACTTCAGCCTTGCCCATGGTGAACAGTGGAGCACGTAAATGGCGCGATATGTCGTGAACAACTCATAACAGCTTATATGAATGGAGAAAAATTTGCGTGAGCGGCGAGTTTTTATGCGGTTGAATGACTCGGGATTGCGTGCCAAGTATTGGAAGAGGTGTCGGTGTTTACTGCTGTGGTGTACACCTTTACGGTGAATAGCCGTAAACGTGTACTGACCTTGATTTCATACGGCTGCGTTCCCTATGTGGCTGACTAGCGACCCCAGCAGCTAAGTAAGCCACATTGAGCGTCTGCAGCTGTAATTGTTACCTCAGAACTGCTATAATAAACTTAACGGCTGTTGTAGTTTGTAAGCCTTGTAGATATAAGCCAAACAGCGAGGTAGTCAGCCTTGCACATCGGGTAGTAAGCCATACAGCAGGTTTAATTAATAATAAAAGGGTTCCCCAAATCCAAGAAGCTTCATCAGGTCATTTAATTATCCATCATTCATAAGACAATTGATGATTCAATAAATAATATCTCCGGTCCGAGGAAGAATGTGGGTTCGGGAGCAATCCACCACAAAATGATGCCAGAAGTGGGATTGGAATTGATTGAGTAAATTCGCTAATAAGTTGGAAGCTTTGGGAGGGCTTACGAAATTGTTTGGTGTTGTTAAAAAGGGTCTGTTTGTCGGATATCGTTGCCATAAGCAGACAGCGTGGTGCGGTTGCCTCACCAGGTGAGAGTACAGGCACTCGAAAAGGAATTGAGTCGCCTGGGGATGGAGCATCAGTTGCTGCATCTAGAAAAGTCTGTAAAAGCGGCTGAGCTAGAGAAATGTCGGCTTCGGGTTGACCCGGAAATTGAGTTTCGAGTCTCAGGCGAAACTGGCAATGAGTCTTTCAGGGCAAAGGCGATGATGCCGAGTGTGGCGATGTCCATGAGGGCAGAAAAGAGGTGCACATTAATGAGAGTACACCCTTTAGGAAACCTGCATTGGATGTGTAGGCAGAGGTTAAAACGCCGGTGGCTAAGATGCCTAGTGCGTTTGAGGAAGATGGTCTGAGTAATATACCCAAGCCGAAGTGATTCGGCACGGAAGAATCCCTTTGCAGAGGGACAGGAGGTTTTGACCCCTGAGAAGTTGAGGCCAGAACTTTTGAGTTTTGCTACCCGAGTAGGCGATAGTATTGACCGATTGGGAAAGGTTGAAGTTGTCCCGTCGGTAGGCTCTTGGCCATTGAAAAAGGAGCCAAGGGTATGTAATGAGAGTGCGTTGAAGGAGCAGTTGGGGCGGAAGCGGCACCGTCCAAACATCATTCCTGATAGGTATAGTGGTAAGGTCTTGTGGAGGAAGTACCACAGACATTTGAAGTCTTGTAAGAAGGCTAACCACTAGGATGATGAGGAACCCGCCACATGCCTCGCTGCAAGCCTTCCGGGAAATGCTTTCAGAGTACTGGGAAAAGGGTCCGCATGAGTATAGTTATGCGGAAATGGTGCAGTTGTTGAAAAGGAGGTGTGATTCCGGCTTGCAGGCTGAGAATTACTTAGTTCAATTGCGACATCGTCGGCAAGGGCCGAAGGAGTGTTTCAATTGAGGTGGGACAGGCCATTTTGCAAGAGGTTGCAAGAAGCCACCCAAAGGAAATAAAGTTCCAGCAGGGAAACGGAGACCAGCCAAACGGAGGACCCGCGGGCAGACTGGAGACTCCGAAGGGTCCTCCACAGTAAAGCACCCCAAGCTTGGTGGGGAAAATGGTTCGCGGACGTCAAGCTGCGATAAGAGATTGATTGTGACACCAAGTGTTGTCCAGAGCCCAAAGCATGGCTTATTTGTGGAAGGAGTTGTCAGGAAGACAAATTGCAGATATTTTGTCGACCGGGTGCAGATATTTTGTCGACCGGGTCGGCTGATACATTGATTAGTAGTAAGACCTACTACCAGGTGCCAAAAGAGCATAGGCCGGCCTTGCTCGCACATGAGCTTAGCGTCCAGCAGGTTGATGGGTAAACCACTGGAAGTGCTGGTAGTGGCATTGGTAAACATTCACATCGGTCGTTCTATTTCCCCGGTGAAGGCAGTGTTTGCAGAGATAAGATGCGCTGGCATCTTAGGTGTAGATTCTTTGGTTGATTTTTTGTTGAGTGATGGCTAAGAAAATGTCATTACCTAGCTGGACCGGCAATTGTTGAACCTCTTGAGGGAGGAGCTGAGTTAGCCACGAAAAGCTTAGCGCTAAGGTGATCATTGGTGGAAGCAGGGACTGAGTACGTCCCGCTAAGAGTTTTCAATCCTGGTCGTGAGACCAGGACAGCTAGAAAGGGGACAACCGCAGGAGTTATCTCCGTGGTAGAGGCGAGTGCAATTCAGGTAGGCAAAGTGGCTACTTGTGCCACAGAGCCTGAGTTACCCGAGCACTTGGTCGATTTATTCGATCGGTGTAAAGCCAATGTTGACGTAGAACGACATGGGTTGGTCCAAGGATGTTTGAGAGATTTTCAAGATGTCTTTTTGAGTGGTGAATTCGATATTGGCCGGACTGGTGTGGTTCGACACCACATCAATACCGGAGATGCAAGGCCGGTTAAGGAACGGCCATGGCGTCACCCATATAGTTACAAGAAGGAGATTCTGAGGCAAATTGTTGACCTACAGGGGAGAGGCATCTTAGAGCCTTCTAACAGCCCCTGGGCTGCGAACGAAGACGCCAGCCAGAAGTCATCCTTTGTGGTGAGGAATGGTCTCTACCGCTGGAAGTGCATGCCCTTTGGGTTATGCAACGCTCCAGCAACATTTGAGCGCCTTATGGAGCAGATCATGAGGGGCCTGCAGTGGGACATCATTTTGATTTACCTAGACGACATCATTGTGTTTGGTCGAACGGTTGAGGAGACCCAAGAGCGTCTCCGCATAGTGTTGGGTAGGTTGAGGGATGCTGGGCTGAAGCTGAAGCCCAGCAAGTGCAATTTATTTCAACGTGAGTTATTTGGGCACATTGTCTCAGCGGATGGGGTGGCAACAGACCCCAAGAAGGTCCAAGCCGTTGCCGATTAGCCTGCAGTCCCTCGATGTGTAAGGGGTGTCAGAAGTTTCTTTGGCCTCACATCCTATTACAGAAAGTACATCAAGGGTTTCGCAGAAACTGCGAGTCCCCTTCACGCCCTTACCGAGAAGGCCAGGGAGTTTGTTTGGAGCGAGGCATGCCAGGTGGCATTTGATAAGCTTAAGGCTAAGCTCCAGTCTGCCCCGATATTGTCCAATTCAATTCCGGAGGGCGATTTTCTCCTCAACACAGATGCCAGTGCAGACGGTATATGTGGGGTGTTGTCCCAAGTACAAGATGGAGATGAAAAAGTCCTAGCTTACGCTAGCCGTAAGCTGAACGCAATTATTGCGGGACACGATGAGAGTTGTTGGCAGTTGTCGTATACCTTAAGCACGTTCGGCAGTATTTGTATGGCTGAAAAGTGACGTTGAGAACAGACGATGACGCACTTCGGTGGTTGCTCAACTTTAAGAACCCCGAAGGTTAGGTGGCAAGATGGATTCAGATTATTTCTGAGTACGACGTAGAGATTCGGCGTAGGCCGGGAAAGAAACACGGTTATGCTGATAGGCTGTCTCGACAGCCATGTATGTATTGTGGCCTAAGTGAGGCAACTGCTGAGAAAAATTAGGTCAATGAGGATTATTGGAGCCAGGTCAAACCAGAGGAGACACTGGCTAGGGGCAAAGAGGCTCAGCCGACATTGACAATGAAGTCTTGAGGGAAGCCCAGTTGGCCGACAATTGTATGGGTTGGCTCATCAGAGCCAAATAGAGTTGTGACAGTCGCCCAGCTGGGCAGGCGGTGTCCCACACCCAAGCAGGTAGTAAGACACTTTGGTCTTTATGGTTGTGAGATATGGACATCTCTATCGGAGATGGGAGTCCGATAATGGGAAGGTGGTAAGATGGCGGTTGGTGCTGCCAGTAGACCATCGGATCGAAGTCTTGTTAGAGCTGCATGGAGGGCTGCTCAACGGCCACCTTGGAGTTAGAAAGACCGAGGCCAATTAAGGTGAGGCTGAGGTACTACTGGCCAGGCGTAGCGGCCGATATCAGGTCGCTTATTCGTAGTTATGACATGCTAGGCGGAAATCGCCAGCAAGGACGGGTACGGCACCCTTGCAGCACTGTATAGGGTTGGTGTGCCCATGGAGAGGGTGGCAATCGATTTGCTCGGGCCACTGCCAAAGAGCTATAGCGGGAATCGGTGGATCCTTGTAGTCGCTGACTAAGTACAAAATGGATGGAGGTCTATCCGCTTCTGGATGCCACCGCCAGGTTGCAGGTTCGGGGTTCCTCAGGAACTGCACTCGGACAAAGGCAGTAACTTTGAGTCGGAGGTGTTTGGCGAGGTATTGCGGATCTTAGGCATCACTAAGACTCGTACCACCACTTATACAATCCGAAATCTGACGGGTTGGTCGAACGTTTAAACAAAACGCTTGTGAACATCGTTTCGGTGTTGATTGATCCCAAGGGACGACAACGGGACTGTGATGAGTTCCTCCCGTATGCCACATTCGTGTACCGAGGTACACCCCAAGATTCAACGGGTGAATCGCCAAATGTGATGATGCTAGGCAGAGAAGTCAGTTTGCCGATCGACTTGGTGACAGAGTGTCAGGAGGTCGAAGTTGATGATCCTGGGCTAGTCTTTGCAGAGAACTTGCGTAAGAATATGCAGGCTGCACACCAGAGGGCCTATGAGTGTCTCTGGAAGAATGCCCAGAGACACAAGCGAAACTATGACCGCCGGGCGGCTCAACCGGGAGGTTTCGTAGAAGGACAATTTGTTTGGCTCTTCGATCAAGCGAGGAAGAAGGGCGTGTCCCCCAAGTTGGTGCTTAGATGTGAGGGGCCATGGCTAATAGTTAGCCGCTTATCAGATGTTACATTTTGCATTCAATACTTGCGACCATGAAGCAAGCCACGTGTGGTACACAGTGATAGGCTGAAACCATACAAGGGTAAACCCCTTGTACCCTGGGGGTACAAGAAGGGACAGAACCCTAGTGAGGGGGTTCAAGCAGCAGAAGAAACTGCAGCAGTTGTAGAAACTGCAGTAGAAGAAACTGCAGCAGAAATGCTGACAGAGGCACAAGAGAGTGCTGAGATTCCAAGTGAGGAATCGTGCCCAGTGGTAAGCACCGTCGAGTGATGTGGTAGAGGCTCAAGAGGTAGAGCCAAGGCCGAATTTGGATAATGAGGGAGAACTGCCAAGGCGTAATCCAAGGCGTAACAGGAGACTTCTCCTTCGTTATGTAGAGTAGGCCTAATCAGGACACCCCTCAGTATCCCCTGAAGCTTCGACAGCGTCGTATTTGCCGTCGCTAGAGGCGATTTCAGATGAACCACTAGAGAAACTATCGAATAGGAAGCCAACACTGAAGAGGAAGCTTGCCAAGATCAAGGAAGATGTCTTCCGAAAAGTGTGGGTCGAAGGCAAGTTTGGTCAAGCAAGAGGAGAAGCACCGCACGGTTCCAAGTGAAGATTGATGCAGTTTGGGAGAGAAGCTGTGTTCTTTGTGTGCTAAGTTTAATCATGTTTGAGAATACAGAGTTCATTTTTTTTGTGAGTTGATAGATATCGCTTTGGTCAATTTTTTTCACGCACAAAACCTTTACTTCGGTGACTACCGGGAATGCAATGACTTATTAATGTAACTTGAAAACGAAAGCATTTTGCTTCAATAATACAACATAGGCAAACGTTCAGCGAGAGATGTCAGACACAAAAAGTCATGATGATGTTATAACTGGAATTGTGCACTCTAGCAACACGAATTTCACGAAAAGAAAAGTTGAATTTGATAAATGATGATGTCATCATGACGTCACACTTGTATGCACATCTCTGTATCAGGGTTGACGTTCATACCAAGTTTGAAATTATTTGCATTGTTCCATTTGAAAGAAACGCCGCAGGAAATTAGGGCCTATATTGTCCAGAAAACAAAAACGCGAACAAAGGAACAACAACAAAAAACATCACATAACTCCAACGATTTTAAAACGGTAACCTGGTTGATCACCCCAAAAAAAATCCAACGAAGAATGAAGTCAAAACCAAGGGGTGATAGGGCCGGAGCCCCATCACTAATTTAATGCATTCAATTGTTATTCGTTAAGGTGCCAACGAACTCAGTCTCTGTTTGCCATCGAATTAAGTGACTGATTTGTCATCTAGGCCTATCTATACAGCCGTGTGGTTGCGAAGGGCGATTTGTAAAGGTTTACGTAACACATTATTTTGAATGAAACTACATGCACATAGACATGTTCACGTTGGCAGGCGAATTTTTTGAAAAATAATTCCTCCCGTTTTGAAGACCGTATCTTCATGCAACTTTCAGGGTTCATTTCACTTATAATGATCCAAGTATGTGCTAAAAATCGTGGTCCATTGTGTGGTGTGGCCACCGAGCGCACTATCAAGTTCCCACGGTATTGTGGCGAAACAGGGTACCTACAGACTAGTCTATGTATGCGCGCATAGGTCATTAATAATAATGGTGCGCGTAGACCAATCCGCAATGAATTCTACCTCACCATTACCTCCAATCGGAATCACGTGAGATTGTATTGTCTGGTTATACTGAGGTATGCCACACATTTAAAGGACAAAAGAAAGCAGAAACGGGCCTGCCTATATAACCGGCCGTTTCGTGCTCATTCATCAGTGAGTGTATTTCTGGTGTTCAGTATCGCCGGTAGTGCGGATACTTTTGGGTATTTATACCACACATCGCCTCTGGACCACGGTTCGTGGCCACACAGCTTTGCCAACATGGCAGATGAGGTCGTAATTCATGTAGATCCATCTGAAAGCGAATGCTTTTTCACACAGCTAGAAGAAGACCTATCTGGTCTCACGCAACAAACCGCAGCAAGCGTTGTGCCTACTCCAGCTAAAAGAAAAACCAAGCGCAAAAATGTCGACTCTGCTGCAACGCAAAGCGTAAGTAACCGCGGTGCTAGCACTTCGAAAGCAGCTGGTCAATCTGATTTGCACGAAACCGTAGCAAACTTGCAAAAAACAGTAGCCACGCTTGCTGAAGCTATTGCGCAGCGACCCACACCCGCTCCGCGCTATGATGCATTTTATGATCATGATATATCCGACTTGACCTCAAGAGGCAATTTCGTACCCGAAAGGGGCGAGAATTATGAGAATGATAATATCGTACCCGAAGGGGGCGACAGTCTTTGTGATGGCGATCTAGATAGCCTTCTGAATATTCTAGAAGAGAAAAATGATGATTTGTTATCTGAAATGGCGACCCTCGTCGAGGGCGACGATAAAGTTGGACCAGCAATTAATGAAAAGCTTGCTGGAACCATTAATGCATTGGCTAGAGGCAAAATTGCACCTGAGAAATTGGAAGAGAAAGTCAAACAATATGACAAACCAAAAAACTGCCCGAATCTCAGCCTAACAAAAGTCAACCCTGAAATATGGGCATTTTTTAAACCTGCGACCCGTGCACGGGACGTAAAATGGCAAAAAGTACAGGGCTACATTATGCATGCACTGACCGCCATCACAATGACCACAGATAAGCTGCTGAATGCTCGAAATTCCAAAGATCAGCCTAATCTCGATACGGCTGAACTCATCCGAATGCTAGTGGATGCAGTAGCCATGCTTGGCGCTGGTAATGCACAATTGAATTATCGGAGACGAGATCTTATCCGTCCCGACTTGAGCCAAAAATACGCACCGTTGTGCTCTTCGCAAACCCAATGCACATCATTTTTATTTGGTGATGATCTGGTACAGGCTTGTAAGGCCATCCAAGAAACCAACAAGCTAGGTTCCAAGGTTCACGGGTTTGACACTGGCGGTGCAAACCGTGGTCGTAGACGTGGCTTTAATCGTGGCTTCAATCGAAGCACGCATTACCCTTCGGGGGACTATCGGTATTATGGCCGCCAGCAGCGACAACCATTTTACCGAAGGGGCCGACGACCCTACATGCATCAGAGCCAAGCACGGCCAACTTCTGCTTACGTGACACAGGACACGTCAAGCGGAAAACAGAAGCAATCACCATAAGCCAACCACCATTCAAGAGACTGGCAAGTGGCGAAGTGAGTAAGTGTCATAATGATAGTATTGACATTGCAGGAAGGCTAAGATATTTCGCCTCCACATGGAAAACTATTACCTCAGATACATGGATTTTGGACTGTATCTCCCATTGTCACATCGAATTCACAGAAATTCCTTTTCAAAAAGAGGTTCTAAAACCTATTCTCTTTTCAGAATCAGAATCATTGATAATAGATGATGTGGTAAAAACGTTGCTTGACAAGGGTGCAATCAAACAAGCTCATCCCGGTAATGGAGAATTTGTCTCAAATATTTTCTTCGACCAAAGAAAGATGGTTCGATGAGACCAATCATTAACTTGAAAAGGTTAAATACATTCGTGAAATACCACCATTTCAAAATGGAGACTTTTGAATACACACTGACGCTTATCCGTCAAGATTGCTATTTGGCATCCATTGATTTAAAAGATGCCTACTTTACTATCCCTATAGCAAACGAACATCAAAAATATTTGTGTTTTGAGTGGAAAGACAAGTTATGGCAGTTTACTTGCTTATGTTTTGGCCTTGCAAGTGCACCACGAATATTCACCAAAGTCATGAAGCCTGTAGTGGCAACATTGCGTAACATGGGTTACATTTCGGCCAATTACATTGATGACTCCCTCCTTATTGGTGATTCAAAAGACGAATGCTCCAAAAATGTCGAGGCAAGGTGTTCACTCGTAGAGAATTTGGGGTTCGTTATTAATGAAAAGAAATCACACAAAAAGCCCACTCAAGTCCTTGAATACTTGGGATTTGTTATCGACACAATAGAAATGTCTGTGCGATTACCAGCCGGGAAAGCTTCGTCTATTGTCGAAGCATGCGCCCATTTGTTAAATCAGCAACGTCCAACCATTCATCTTGTTGCTCAAGTGATTGGGAAACTAATATCTTGTTTTCCGGCAGTGCCTCTTGGCCCCCTCTATTATAGAAGCCTTGAAATGGCGAAAGACGAAGCACTCAGAATAAATGATGGCAATTTTTCAGGGTACATGATCGTGCCTCAAGAGGCAAAACATGATTTACAATGGTGGATTAAAAATGGGTGTTCCTCATTCAGAAATATCAATGCACGGGTGTGTGATATGCAAATTCAGACTGATGCCTCGCCCACTGGTTGGGGAGCCACATGCCCTATGATAAATCTATGTACAAACGGAGGGTGGACATCCCACGAATCCAAAATGCATATCAATTTTTTGGAACTTTCGGCAGTGTTTTATGCTCTGAAGTCCTTCCTCCCTTATTTAAGGGGGAAAGTTGTTTTAATCGAACTCGATAATACAACTGCAGAATCATACATAAACCACATGGGTGGCTGTAAATCCAGTGAACTTAACGATTTGGCAAGAGAGTTATGGTTTTGGTGTTTGCAAAACGACATTTGGCCAATTGCTTGTCATCTCCCTGGCAAATTGAATATAGATGCTGATTATCTATCCCGGTCATTCAATGAAAATTTGGAATGGAAACTCAATGAGTATGTTTTTTAACGGGTATTATCAGTGCTGGAAATCCAACCAACTGTTGATATGTTCGCCTCTCGAATAAATTATCAATTCAAACCATTTGTATCATGGCACCCAGACCCTGAGGCTTCATCATGCAATGCATTCTCCGGTTTGTGGAACAATGAAATTGCTTATTGTTTTCCTCCATTTGCTCTCATTGACAGAGTCATACAGAAAGTAGAGAGAGACCAGGCGACAATCATTTTGATTTTTCCACATTGGACAACCCAGACGTGGTTTCCGAGACTGCTGCGTGTTCTCATCAGGACACCCGTCATCCTTCCCATGATCGGCGATCTGCTGTATCTTCCTCAAAGACCAGAACAGCAACATCCTCTACAAGATCGTCTGGCGCTGTGTGCTGGACTGCTGTCAGGAGATCGCTCAGCTCAAGAGGACTATCACGCAGAACTATCGACATCATTATCGAGGCATGGAAACCGAGCACGAGGAAGCAGTACTGCTCAGCAATCACGAAGTGGATACACTTTCTGTTTTGAACGGTCTATTAATCCAATTCATGCATCTGTAGCACAAGCCCTTGAGTTTTTGACTGTATTATTTCATAATGGTGCCGAATATAGTACTATAAACACAGCACGCAGTGCTCTCTCCTCGCTCTTATGGTCAACTGATGACACTGCATTAAAATTTGGTACTAATCCATTAGTCACAAGGTTTATGCGGGGAATTTTTAACCTAAGGCCCCAGCTACCTAGATATTCCCATACATGGGACGTCAATATTTTGTTAAGATATATTGCCCAGTTAGAACCTATCGAATCAGTTAGTCTAAAACATCTGACATATAAACTGGTATGTTTGTGCGCTGTTACAACAGGGCAGCGGGCACAAACACTGTCACTTTTTCGAACTAGCAATATGATTGTTGATAATGGTTCCATTAAATTAATGATAACTGATCCTATTAAAACTTCTCAACCTGGTAGACTGCAACCAGTCGTTACTTTATCACCATTTTTTGAAGACAAAACTTTGTGTGTAGTAAGAACCCTTTCAATGTACATAAAACGCACTAAAACGTATCGGAGTAAGAAAACAAAGTTATTTTTGAGTTATGTCCCTCCGTTTAAGGAGGTTTGTACAGCAACTATATCGAGATGGTTGAAACAGTCACTTAAAGATGCAGGAATCGATACATCAGTGTTTAAAGCGCACAGTGTGCGTGCTGCATCCACCTCAGCAGCGGTGGACAAGGGAGTGCCAATAGACACGATTTTGAAAACGGCTGGTTGGACCAACGCATCCACCTTCGCGAAGTTCTACCATAGAACTTGCACTGACAAACGAGATGAAAAGACATTTGCAGATAGAGTGTTAAAAACTGACAAACAATAATAGAAACAGTTTGTGTATCTGTTATTTATATTTGCGCTACGATTTAGTATAATTTTGCATTGTAACTGGAAGATAATGTATTTTGGAGAGAGAACAGTAACATGATGACCTATTATTATGGAGCAGATGTCCATACATAAATTTTGAAGTTTGTTCAAGGCTCTTGTGTCTTTTAAGAATAATTATGAAATCTGTTCTTTTACTTGTGAGTATTACACTGGCTAGCTTTGAAGTCTCACGTGATTCCGATTGGAGGTAATGGTGAGGTAGAATTCCCCAATTAAACGAACGAAGTGAAGTTCGATTGGGATTCTACCAATCCATTACCGGAATGAGGAGTCACGTGACGCCCTCCCTTTAGTAGGAGTTCCCCACCCTTCATAATTTTGGGTACAGCCAGCGTAATAAACGCTACTTTGAATAACTGATGAATGAGCACGAAACGGCCGGTTATATAGGCAGGCCCGTTTCTGCTTTCTTTTGTCCTTTAAATGTGTGGCATACCTCAGTATAACCAGACAATACAATCTCACGTGACTCCTCATTCCGGTAATGGATTGGTAGAATCCCAATCGAACTTCACTTCGTTCGTTTAATTGGGGAATTATATGGCGTGACTTGAGCATCAATAACGCATGAACGCGCGTAAGCCAATCACCAGCGCGCATTGCCCAAAATCGGGGCGCTTATAAAGTGGTGCTTGACATCGCCTAGCCAGTTCGTTTCAAGATGGCGACGGTGATGTAAAACCGAGACATCATTGTGTATCATTTCAGCGAGAACTAGTGCTAAATTCCGAGGGTTATTCAGATTTAGGGACAACGTCCGATCGACATACACGGTGCGACCGGTGAGTTGGTGGAGTCTCACAGGTTTTGTTATTGACTCAAATTACTGTCTATTATCTTAGATAATTGGTGACCAAGATTTAGTTGGGAAATTAAGACTGACTATTTTGTCTGGATTAGTGCTAGAACAAAAAGGGCTAGGAGTTGTAGAACTTGGTTTGAGAGGCTAGTGGGACTGTGATTCGGTGGTAGATTGCTTGTCGTGGGTTGCACACCATTCGGTGGGGTTTTACGACTGAGGCGATCATTGCCGTGATCATTGAACTAGCTTGCCTAACGAGTTACTCTCTTATTAGCCGCGTTCTGAGCACTTGTGAGGGTTACCGGTTTTGTGTGTGGGTTATTGCACACAGGGCTTATATTGTATTAATCGTGTTGAGGGTTACCTTTCCTGTGTGAGGGTTATTGGAATTACACAGTACAGCCTGCTTTGACGCTGAATCAGGTTGAGGGTTACCTTTATTGTGTGAGGGTTATAGGAACAGTTCAAACTGTGTGAGGGTTATTAGAACTGTGCTATTTCATTATAATTGTATAAGTTACTACACACGGATCAGTTGACCACGTGAAGTTAATCTTTCTGTTTATATTATTAAGGGTGCAGTTGACCCTGGATATAACCAGGGAGGGTTATTGCCTCTTGTGTGAGATATTTACGTCCATAATATTAATCGCCTCGAATATTATTGTTATTGTAGATTATTGTAAACAATTGTAAGCTGTGATTATTGAACAAATCCATTGATGATTGAGATTCTTGAATAAATCATATCTATAATCGTCTTTGGAATCACTTGTCTCTGTGAGGGTTACTCGAGTTCATTGTGAGGGTTACCAGGATCACTGTGAAGGTTACCAGGTTCACTGAGGGTATACCTAGGTCTGCCGTGAGGGTTACCTGAATTCACTTTGAGGCCTATTGTCGCTACGTGTATTGCTCTAATTCCATTTAATTAATTACTCAATCACAAAACGGTGGTATATTTCCACCAAACGAATAGCCCCTAGGCTTAGTCCACCGTTCGTTAATTGTCCCCCTTTCGTTTGGGTAGCCGCTCACGCGTTCGTTAGGCTAATAAATATTTTTGTGGGATAATAGGTGTGGGTTGGAGTCCTGGGATAAACAAGACCAGTCCCCCTCAACCTCGTCCCCAGTACTTACTTTATTTCCAACCGCGTTTCCAATAGTAAACCCTGGATAGGAAACTTTCTTCCTGTATCCTAATTGGATACCGCAATTGGCTAGTAATGGATTTTTATCGTGTACTTGGTGCTATTATTCACAACGTGCAGTACGTGTTTTCGCGACCATTCGTCCACGCCTTCTCGAAAATACTAATTTCCTTTCCAATTTGCTCATATTAATATGAAATATGATACTGCATGTTGTCTCGATAAGATCGTAACAGTTTGATTTCAAAAATCGTGTTTTCGTAACTCACGCCGTGTTCGCGCTGCTACGAATTGACTCTGTTTTTACCCCAGACACCGCTTACCAAAACAAACGCTAATGTGTAACGCATATCCAGGCACCAGACTGGTCCTCATTTGCATACGTGTTCAAAAATCTTGCACATGCAAATGATCCAATACCAGGGTGAGAGAGCAGGTAGTGGTGGGAGCGTACTGCTCGACACACTGGGGACGAGGTTGCAGTCCCCCTGGGTTCCGCCAGCCCCCCGGTTCCGCCACAAGTATTAATTTCTCCAGTCGGATCGGGACTGACAGTGAAATAGATAGATTGTAACAGTTCATGTTACCGCGTAGTGACGATGCCTTTGAATTCAAAAGAATTCATGCCACCATGCAAAAGAATTCATGCCACCTGGGTAAGGGCAGGCACAAAGAAGTGATTATTTTGTCCAAGCCAGGTATTCGGAGTTTTTTCGGGTCGGTTCGGTTCGGGTCGGTTTTACCTTATTTTTTGTTGCGTCGGGTCGGGTCGGTTTGAGGGAGTTTAGATCGGTTTCGGTTCGGATTCGGTTTATATCTAATGTTTCGGGTCGGTAAATTTGGCTTGGTCAACCCGACCCGATGCACATCATTAGAAGGGAGCAGTGTGCTTCACAAAAACACCCTTGGCCAACACAATGACTTGATATCCTTCTCGCAGTGTCCATCCGGAGAGAGCCAGCTTCCGAGGTACTTGAATAATGGACCTGGTCAACTCCTTCTCCAAAGATAAAAACATTCAGTGCTGGTCCTTCCTGTCTGGCTATTCTCATATAGGGGCCGTATCATAAGTCCGACGCCTCATAGGTCCGACGCCTCATAAGTCCGAAATTTCGGACTTATGAGGCGTCGGACTTATGAGGCATACAATTTATTTATTACGCCTCATAGGTCCGACGCCTCATAAGTCCGACGCCTCATAAGTCCGACAACGGAAAAACGAGGCGTTTAATTTGTCGGACTTACGAAGCGTCGGAGCTATGAGGCGTCGGACCTATGAGGCGTCGGACTTATGAAGCGTCGGACCTTTGAGGCGTCGGACATATGGGCCTTTACTTGGTTAGGGGATGCGATTCTGTCGGACCGAATGAGGCGTCGGACCTATGAGGCGTCGGACTTATGAGCGGACCCCCTCATATAGTAGGCCTACTCTTGAAAGGCGCCAACATTTCAGTATATTCGCAAGCAAGTTTGCAAAGATTTTATAGTAGGTAAAACAGGATGCTCATGGTTATAGAGATGTCAGCAAAATTGGTTACGTCTCGATAGTCCGAAGTCCGATTGGGTCGACGTCCCATCATTGGCGCACTCAGGATTTGGTTGGGGGGGGGGGCCTCAGCAATTTTGTTTTTTACAAATTTGTTAAAGTAGATTTTTTTTTTTCAAAAGAATTTGCCCAAAATGTTTGGCCGCAGAAAAAAAATTGGTTTTTTTTTTTAAAGTGGGCCCTAACCATACTGACCCTAACCCTACTAACCTTGACCCTAACCCTAATCCTATGGGGCGTCGGACCAATGGGACTTCGGACCAATGGGACGTCCCCGGCAAAAGGGCCCGTGATCACGGCCCTGCGAAGAGAGGGAGGAAGATAACCGGAAGTGACAGAGGGAGGGCGGACAGATATTAGGCCTATGTGGTTTTAGAGAGACACTAAGAGGTTATGGCAGTTATTTCCTCGAACAATACCGTCAGGCGGAATAATTTCACAGGGTATTCAATTGGGGTACGCTCATAAGTCCGACGCCTCATAGGTCCGACGCAGTCCGAAATTTCGGACTTATGAGGCGTCGGACTTATGAGGCATAACATTTATTTATTGCGCCTCATAGGCTCGACGCCGCATGAGTCCGACGCCTCATAGCTCCGACGCCTCATAAGTCCGAAAGTGCGAAACAGCGTTTGTCCATTGTCGGACTTATGAGACGTCGGACTTATGAGGCGTCGGACCTACGAGGCGGAATTTAGCCTCATAAGTCCGACGCCTCATAAGTCCGATCCGACTTATGAGACGTCGGACCTATGAGGCGTCGGACTTATGATACGGCCCCATTTAATTGTACAAGTCCCTTTTCACTTTGAACAAGGTTTCCGGTAAATTACCAATGTCCCTACTGCCTTTAAAGGTCTCGGATCGTTTGTATTTTGTATCCATTATTTTCGTTTGAAGCATAGCAACGTGGCACGTGTGGTCTAGCGGTGGAGAACAGGATTCGTGATCAAGAGGTTGTGGGTTCGAGCCCCACCGTGGCCATGCGTGTTGTGCCCTTGAGTAAGGCACTTTACCTCAATTACTCCTCTCAACCCAGGTGTTAAATGGGTACTGGCATTGTTCAATGACGATAACATTATTATCACATACGGTCATTTTGTATTTACTGTTTGATGTTCACATTTCCCTTTAGTTTAATTAATTTTATCATTTCATTGATTATTTGGTAGTTAAGCAATTCATTTATTGTTTGGTATTTAAGCATAGCTCATTGAAAAACTGCCTTTTGCTGTATGGGCATCCTTGGAAAACTAAAACTTGTCGTAAAATAAAAAGTGAAGTACGATTTGAACACGTTTCAATTCAAAACTGATGCTACTTAATTTGTTAAGCCAACCTGCTTGAAAGACTTTCAAGTCAACTCATGCCTTGGACAACTCGTACCCAGGAGTTAAGACAACTTGTACTATAAAATAAGGTCTGTGTGCGTGCTCCTTCTTATGTACAAGGTGTGGTTCCTTGACTCCTGAATAACACGATGCTGTTAAAATTTATATCCATCCCACAGAACCACACTCATTTAATTAATGACATTTTTATATTGGCACCCAATCATTTTTAATGGGGACTTGTAGTTTTAAGAAAATTCGCTTGCAAAACTTGATTTCAGCATTGTCACTGCATTATATATATCTTTTTTACAATACATTTACACATAATTTAAAGTGCAATTTGACAAACTGCCATTAAAGTCCATTCAATTCAACTTTACATCACTCACATCAATTAGCACATTAAATATTTATTTTCATATAAAGTAAGCAACAATTTTTTTTTTAAATACTCAAATCAAATAGAATACATTTCTAACTGTAAAAGAAAAATCTTAATCAAGGATCTGAATCGAAATTCACGTGGCTCATCAGGAGCCAATTTTCTCGATGCCAATCTTAATTCTCCAAGTTGTTTTCTAATGATTCTGTTTTTTTGGTCTCTTCTGCCACGTTTTAAGAGTGTTTCAAGGCTGCTTGGTTTCATGCTGATGGGAAGTTTCACATATTTATGGGCAAATTGGTAAACTTATTTTAAGCAGAAGCTCCAGTGTTACAGCTATGCCAAAAGTTGCCAGAATGCAGTTGGGGGTTAATGCTAGTGGTCAATTCTCTTCCAGTGTTTCTTTGTCGATTAACTACAGGTGTGTTTAATCAATGAGAAAACTTTATGCAGCAACATTCTAATGAGCTATATTGTGGATTCATAATTTACACAGAAAATTGCTTTACTGTGGAATGTGTGCATGTTAAAAGCAACAGTGTGTGAGTTGTCACGGAACAGCATATGGACATTGATCAGTTCTGAAAACAAAAAAAATCTTTAAAATAGTTAAATCAAAATTATTTTCATACAGTTCACAGGAATGACTACATGTATTTGCACAAAATAGATTTCAGTAAAATTTACGTCATTGAGCCTTTAAAGTGTACTTGAAGTGACATCAAGGGTAATCCAAAAAGTGGATTAGAAGGGGCTACGTGAGAAGTACCAAGTTCAGTTAGAAGCATATAATCACCGAATCAAACTGTGCTTCAATGTCTCATTGCAGCTAATGTTTCAAAGAATACCTTTCCTGGTAATGTACAGATAACATGTATATGTCATCGATCACAATTTATGGGGCATGATTCATTCTCTCTGACCAAGCTGGTGCAAGGACTGGCAAACAGCAACGTGAACATGGTTTAAAAGAGTTCTGTTGGAAGATCTTGCCTGGTCGGATAGCTGGTCTGTGTGCCTGGTGACTGCACACTAATAGATGCAACATAAGAAGCTTTTTGACTCATCTCTTTTAGGCTCAAGTCTGGTTTCACAGCCAGGTAGTATGCCAGGGCACCCACGTAACAATCTCCAGCACCCTAGTACAAGGAGAATGACATTCATTAGCACATGTCACTGTATATCCTCTTGACACTTGGACATAATCAGTTAATTCAGTTTGGATGTATCTAAAGACTCTTAATTAGGGGCATGAGTGGGGGGAGGGGTCATTTGAAATTTCAAAATTTGTGGGGGGGGGGGGGGGGGAGGGCCATCCGCATCCCCCTTTGGGTCATTCCATGTCAGACCAATGCACTTTTTTACCTCTTCCGATTTTGATAAAAATTGCTGTGCTTGTAGGTCCTGATGAGCAATGAATGCACACCAGTTTTAAGCTCGATCCGACCTACCATGTGGTCAGGGCAGAAACCACAAAAAAAGGACATTTTTAGAGTAAAATACTACCCTTTTGGTAGAAATATGTCAAAACCATGTCAATTTGCAGCAAATATATGCGAATTTGGTATTAAAATAATAAGAATTGCATGCTCAAATCAACTGTTTTGTCAAAATTAAATTTTGTGAAAAGGAGGTCACATGACCTTTAATATGTTATTGTGACCTTTGACCCAATTTATGTAATAATGTATCATTCCGAAAATCAACGAAATGAAAATGACTTTTGTACAGTTGGTGGATTACAACTGAGTAAATTTATAGACTTTACATTAGAAATCCACCCACACAACTTACTATTCTGTTTCTAAAGCTTCTGAAATTAATCTTGGTTTGGGAATTTCACATATTTAGGGCTGATGAGGTCTAACCAGACTCATAAATTCTCAGCAGAGGCGCACCCAGGATTTGGCTTTTTTTTTGGGGGGGGGGGGCGCGCTCATGGTTTTTTGTTGTCAAATTTCTGTAGAAGAGTGAAAAAAAATCTAACAAACAAATTGACAACCTTGGAGGGGGTGGGTTCAAGCCCCTCGAGCCCCCCCCCCCCCCCCCCCCCCCCCCCGGTGCCACTGATAATTAGTTATCCCACGAGCGCGCTTGGAATATTGGAATATGAAACAATGCAATGCTGCTGTGACCCATATGCCACCCGACGCACTACATTGTTACGTGTTCCACGAGCCACAATGAATTTATCTTCAAGCAAACTTGACGTCGAATGCGTACATTGTACGTGGTGATCGAGGGATATAGGTGCATAGTGTATCGGACCGTTCAGCAGCAAATAAAAAGAACACAATACATACATGTACATGTACATTCGATATCTGGGGTGCAATATAGCTGTGCAATATTATATTAAATCACACTGTTGTTGCTATAGATGGACTAATCAGAGTCTAGGATTCAAGGTTGCTTGAAGATAATACTCAATATCGCAATCAGAGTTACCTTACTCATTCATCACTGCACACTTCTTGAAATTTAATGAGTCTCACAGACTTGGCAATTTTTTCCTTCGAGATAAATTTCACCTGGATGTGTGTCCGCTGTACTTGGTCTGGGTAGAAAGCATAGAGCTGTTGCGTACCCTAAACAGTGACTGCTGATGACAATCGACTCTCAAGCATTCAACATCAAGTTAGCCCACTTGCGCTCGTGGAACACGGAATAATGTAGTGCGTCGGGTGGCATATGGTGGGTGGAAGGGGAAGGGCCTCAATTCAAAGCGCACTCGTGGGATAACTAATTAATTTTGACAAAAGAGTTGATTTGAGCATGCAATTCTTATTATTTTAATACCAAATTCGCACATATTCGATGAAAATTGACATGGTTTTGACATATTTCTACCAAAAGGGTGGTATTTTACTCTAAAAATGTCCGTTTTTTGTGGTTTCTGCCCTGACCACATGGTAGGTCAGATCGGGCTAAAAATTGGTGTGCATTCATTGCTCATAAGGACCTACAGGCACAACAATTTTTATCGAAATCGGAAGACATGAGGTAAAAAAGAGCCTTGGTCTGACATGGAATGACACCTTTACCATTGGAAATCACCACCCTTGGTGAAGGCTCCATGTACAGTGTGCATCTACCTCAGCAGTGGCACACCCAGGATTTGTCTGGGGGGGGGGGCTCAAAAAAAAATTGCCCAAAATTTGTGGCCGCAGAAAAAAATTGGTTTTTTTTCGGGGGGGCGGACTATTTTGACGTTGGTGGCGGCACTTACACCCCTTTTATACTACTCGAAATAGGCCACATACATATCACCTAGGTCAAATCATGAGACTCAACAAAAAATATTCCCCCCCCCAAAAAAAATTTACAACCTCTTGGGGGGGGGGGGCTCGACCCCCCGAGCCGCCGCCCCCCCCCCCCCCCCCCCTTCCCGGGTGCACCACTGTACTTCAGGTAACCACAGGCACTCCCCACTCCCTGGACTAGAATTCTTATCTGCCCCTTGAAGTTCTTACACTTTAAGCATGAACTATATATTCCATGGTGTTGGTTGATTGCAGAGTGTATCACTATTATAAAAAAAACTAGAGGTTTGCGTTTGTTGTTTCAAACGCAGAGTGGTCGGGCAGCAAGCCCGCGGGAACGGGGGGTGCTGTGGGTGCTGTAGCACCCCCAACTTTTTGGATTGGGGTGCTGCAGCATATAATGCTAAGTCTGATTGGGTTGAAACTCAGTATGTTGGTAGACCGGGATGTGCTGGAATATGCTTCAGCACCCCCTACTCCCGGGCAAAAATCTGTTCCAGCCAGCAGAGTTCAACGACGATGAAATTGCGCCGCTACGTTATACATTATGCTTGCAAAACAAATATCTCCTTCATTTTGTTCGTTTCTAGTTTTGCCGCGGCTAAGCGCGGCGCTTCAAAAGTCGTGCACGAACACTGTAAAATATCAAGAGGAGGTATTTTCTAAATCTTCAGGCAGTGCAGAATCGATATTTCTCTCAAGGTATCTAAAATCATGACATGTCTATGATATTTCTGCCATTATGGAAGTTTGACCCGAAAGCAATAACCTTGGCCATGACAATGGTGGCAAAGTTGATTATTCTTGCCAGGATTTTTTTCATTCCATCATTCAATAGGGGCAAAAGTTCATACCTTTCCCCTGAAGGTTTTTCATTTCATTTAAAAGTTTCATTGACGTTGCTAGCATTCTGTACTCAACATTAACAAAAAGCAAGGTTCACACACATCCCCAACCTAGGAGTGAAACTGGTCATGCATTACGCCAATTCCAGTGTACATGTAGTTTCGTTTTAATAAAAAAAGCTATTCATATTTTAACCTCTGCAAGTTTTTCGTCATAAAAACTCAGTAGACGGATAAATCCTTGCCTAGCCCCAAACTTGTCATCTACCGATCATAAACATAAAGATGCATTTGGTCTTTTAGTCTTTTATATTTGCCATTCCTTGTAACAAACAAATAACACTGCAAATATATCGAGAGCTACATCGTTTGGTGAGTTAGAACTATGTGAATATTTTTATGAACAGAATTTCATCCGCTTCCAATAGAACCATTTGTTTCAACTTGAACCAAAAAAAAAATCCCTTCGGGTTTTATAAGTTTCAGTATACTTCAGTTTATTCATCACAGTGCATCCAGAATCCAACATTTTCCGGGGCCTTAAAGCGGGCCCCTGGCCCTGTGGCCCCACGTCGTAAGGGCTCAGAAAATAAAACCAAAACATACACGAAGGTAATTACTAAATGTAAGAAAGCAGCCTTGCAACAATAATATTTACATGCGATGTCATGCATAATGATAAAATTCTTTTTCTAGAATTAAATGGAACCAAATATGTACATAAACATACAGGGTTCTCCACTTTTCAGTACGGTTAAACGCTTGAAGAACAACAGTATATTCTAAACAAAATAATGAAGTAAATTGTCTTTTTTTTTATCTCAAAACACTTTTGCTAAAAAAGTCAAATGAAAGTGGCCAGGAAGCGCCTCAGATTGCACCACAGAGCAGGCGCGGTTCTACGGGGGAGGGGGGGGGGGGGGCTAGGGGGGCTGTAGCCCCCCAAAAATTTTGTCTAGCCCCCCCAAAATAAATTCCGTAAAAAACAAAATTGCATTAGCAAAAAGAAGGATTGTGATGTACATGCGAACGGTCTCCCCCTAAAGAAGAAATAGTCGTGACAATGGTGCATTAGTTAATATAGTATGAATGATTTTAGGATTTTATTGGCGCTCCCAATTGGCGCAATTTGTGTAAAAGTCGTCGTTGGGGGCAGCAAACAAAACATGGTAAATCATGACGTAATAAACAGGACTCCCTATGCAGCGTAGTATAAACGAGTCCTGTTTATTACGTCACGATTTTTCTGATTTTACGAAGAACCCGACGACTATTTATTTCAATTATGCGCTCGCCGACCAACAAATTACTCGATGAATTTCAGTTTTATAAACATATAAACGCACATTACAAAAGAATGGGAGTTTGTCATTATGATATATATGGGTCTACTCTACAATAAAAAAATATAAAAAATAAAATGACTTTCAGCATTCCACAACCTCTTTAAGCCACGACGTAAGGGCTTTGCGCTCCGCTTTTGCATTAATTTTGTCCATCCTTTAGAAATTCCAGCACCCCCTGGCAAAAGTTTGTTCCAGCGGCAGTGTCGGGCAGGCACTTTTTTCATGAAACACTGCCGAGTTCAGTTATGAATATTTTTATGTAAGAACAAAGGATCACGAAATTAAATCCTTTCCAGTACAATCAATTATTTTGTGATAAAATTCTGTAAGCATTATAATTATGTACACATACAAGTTATTTCTGGCTCGTACAAGCTAATTCTGGAAGGAATTAAAGAAAGCAAACTCTATTTTATGTGCCGCTAGGGGGCGCCCTTTCGGACGATGACGTCATCACACTTTTTTTGTTTCGGGGCCCGCTTAAGGCCCTGGACAATTTTTGATTTTAGATGCTCTGTGGTGCAATCTGAGGCGATTACTGGGCACTTTCCTTTGAAATTTTGGAGCAGAATTTGTTTTAATTTTAAGAAGAATTTTCCTTCATTTGTTAAAATGTACTCTTGTTCTTATAAAGTTTCTTTTGTACTCCTGTCTCCAAGTTGAGAACCATGCATTTTCATGTTACCTCGCCGTATTTGCCATGCTTTGGGTGTTTCACATGTGATACGACTCAAGCAATTTCTATCCACTCGACGCGTAGTTGATAATGTCGTTGCAAACATTGCAAAAAACCTTGCCAGCGCCGGGTTGCTATTTTATCGAAACACTCTTGAAATTCATGCCGATGCCCGTCAATAATAACGGAGTCCCGAAACCATTCCCACCGGAACTTATTTTGCACTTCTTTATCAAGCTCTCGCAGTCGCACTGATAAATCTCCTTGCAACAGTATCGACTTGTTGGGCGCAGCCATGTTGGAAGCATACGTACACAAACACTCCGATTCACGTTGGTGGACTTTTGAGGCCCAAAAAACCCCGGAGAAATCACATCCCTGTACTTTTGAATAACAACCCCTAAAACTAAACCTGCACAATAGAAATCAAAATTTCACCCACGTAATATCAACATTCATCAGGACGTCAACTGAGTATGTTATACATCAAAAAGAAAGGTGCCTTTTCCAATTCATATAAAAACCTAATAAGTGATTAAAAAAAAGGTATCGTTAAGACGCACATTGTACGATCAGGTTTAATATTTTAACTTACTGTGGTATCAACTGCCTTCACAGCTCTTGCTGGCACATGTACTGGCTCACTATCTGATGTGGCTAAGAGTGACCCTTGACCTCCCAGGGTTATAATGACCTTTTTACAGCCCTTCTCAAGGAGTTTCTTTGCAGCAATCTTGGCTTCTTCAACATTTGTTACTTGGAGACCAGTCAGCAGTTCTGCCTGTGTAAACATGGAGAGAAAGTAGCAGAATTATAAACCATCACCCGCCAGCATAACCCAGTGGGCACACGACGTCTTAAAGACGTCATTTTACGGTTGTTATCTAGTCGTGTGTACTACAGCGGTCGTGACCAAAAAACGATGTCTTAAAGATGTCTTTCAGTCGTCAGAAAAAGACATCCTTTAGTTGTCAGAAAAAGACGTCGTTTGGTTTGCATATCAGCCAAAATAAGACCAAAATAAGATGTCAATATTTTACTTCTAAAAGACATTTTAAAGGTGTCGTGTGCCCACTGGGATGGCCCAACACCTGGGCACAATTGCATGGAGCAAATTCGATCAAGGACCACTGGTCAACTTCTGGTTGATTCTTGACTTTTTACGCCTGCGCACTCATTGATAACTGTCTCGTCAAACGATGGTCAAAACGTCACCATGAAACTACTTGGTCCTGGCTCCTTGCTATACATTGCGATGTGTGCGGCTATTGTAACCAGCGATGCAACCAACCTCCTCGCCGTCCTGACTCAGTATTTAAGTACAGCTACCTGGTTGTATATTTCAACCGAACGAATCTCGGGATTCAAATAAATTTATTGTCGCAGCCCTTGCAGAAGAGCGCCCTCTACCTAGACCAAGAGACACTATCGGCCGCACGCGCGACACTAGCAAAGAACTTCGCTGCTAATTACCTTCTAAAGGAAAGAATCCTTGTGCCACATTCAAAGCTATATGGACATGATATGAACGACAGAGAAGTTATCATTTATCATACCTCTGTTTCATTTGGGCAAATGATGTCACAGAACTTGAAGAAGTCCGGGTGCAAGTCAGCAATGGCTGGCGCAGGGTTGAGTACCGTTGTAACTGGAAAAAATAGTAAATAATTCATCTCAAACTTTGCTTGATCTTGCAATTCTACACTAGTAGGGCAATTCCAGGGTAATGAAAGGAAGTGAAATGTCCGATTCAGAGAAATGATCCAAAACTCATAGTCTGTAATCTCCTTGACCATATTGCTAGATGATGGATATAATTAGATTTGAAAAAAAACACCCATTTGTAAGTCCATTCACTGTGCTCTTAAAAGCTCTGTCATTGACATTACAATGCTGGAATTGCCTAGCATACAGGGTGACCCAAATGTCGGGACCATTGTTTTAGTGAAGTTCTGCATGTAGCACCTTCAAAAATCTAGGATATGAAAGCCCAATTCATAAGCTTTCTTTTACAAGAATAATTCATATCACTCATGTACTTTTCAAGTTACGGAATTTTAAACACAACCGCCACTTTAAGGTTCTGTCATTGGATCACAAAAAATTCAGTGTTCTTTCAGCAAAACAAAAAGAAACCACATATGGATGTGTGTGAATTGTTTTCGTTTTGCTGAAAGAACACACATCTTTTTTGTGATCTGTGGACAGAACTTTAAAACGGCGGTTGTGTTTAAAACTCTTTGTGGCACCGTCAGTATATTTTTGGTACAACAAATTACCAAACTGGGTTCAGCTATAACTCACCATTTTTATCTAATTTAACCCTAACCTTGCCAGATCCTGCAAAATCCATGTGGAGGTTTTGAAGGGTTTTGCAGGATTGAGGAAGGTAGAGCCCTGCCACCGTTTCTTCACCTTTGACTTGATCACTCTTGTAAACCAAAGAGCAAACAATGTACCATTGGGCGCCTGCAAAGTTAGGGTGTGCATCGACTGCTGCTGTCAGTAACCGGTTCCAGATTGCGGGATCAGGTACCCCTACCCAATCTTACAGCTTACTTAGTAACTTCCCATTTGTGGGGAATTTTCAGAATGAAAACCAGGCTACATGGAAAACCAAAACAGATTTCACATTTGTGTGCATTTTAATGCACGACAGATGATGCTCGTGAAAGTTGCAGTTTAAACCGCAAAGGTACAAAGCCCTTTAGACAACTTCCGGGATTTGAATTTTGGGGTTGGGTTTCCGTTAGGGGTACCCTGGTACCCATGTTTTACTTCAACAGGGTACCCGGTTCCCATACTACCTGTAAAGGCACACCACTATACTGCACATTTGTGTGCATTTTAATGCACGACAGATGATGCTCGTTAAAGTTGCAGTTTAAACCGCAAAGGTACAAAGCCCTTTAGACAACTTCCGGGATTTGAATTTTGGGGTTGGGTTTCCGTTAGGGGATACCCTGGTACCCATGTTTCACTTCAACAGGGTACCTGGTTCCCATACTACCTGTAAAGGCACACCACTATACTGCAAAGTGGAGGATTGAGGGAGGATTCACGAAAGCTCCTAGCAAAACAATTGCCAAGGCAGTCATCAGTTTATGTTGTGTGGGTTTATACTCACTTCCTCTATCCCGAGCTATTTTCATGGCTGCTAGAGAAGTCTCTGGGTTAACCTCAAGCTGACATAAGAGAACTTTGGCTGTTTTGATGCCACCAATGGCCTTTTCAGCATCAGAGGCAGTCAGTAATAGGTTAGCTCCACTGACGATGATAATAGAATTCTGACCTAAACAAAAGAAGAAAATAAAAGAAGAATATATTATTTAAACCTTCCTGTTTTGAGTCAAGTACCATATTTATGTAATAATTCATAATTAGTTAAGTTTTATGACTATTTATTTAAATCATTTTTTTTGTTAAATTTAATTTAATTGTACATTCACAGGGGCGTGGCCAAGAACAAGCTTCGGCTTTCTGCCTGCCTCCATCATTCATCACCTGATTGCTATATATTGCAATAATTTTTATTGTTCATTATTATAAGAATACTTCAAAATAAATCAAATCAAATAAAATCACTCAAGTAAACTTTTTTCCATTAAAGCTCTACGACAGCAATCTGTATGCATAGCATTACATATGTGTAACATTAAATCGGCAATACCTTCTTCATCAACAGCTATTGGTGCAGCCCCTGTTGCAGCTTCCTGAGTGATGCTGATGAAATCTGCAAATGAAAACCATTCAAATGCGACCTTGATGAAACAATTTAGCTCATAATCAAGGGAGGGAGATATGTTACACTTGACCGGAATCCAGACTTCATTATCATATATATGTATAAAAAAGGCAACGCCCACAGTGATTCTGAAACCTTATTGGTTGTTATATAAACACCTTGGCTGTGCGGCCTCCCCAGACTGAGATCTTGAGAGCTAAAAAAACATGCAAAACAAAATCAGGCCATCTTTACTCACTCTTTAGCTGACAAAATTCTCCAAAGTTTTCATGAGGCAAAGACAAGGTCCACAGAATATTTCACCAGCCAAGTTTGAGGTCTCAAATGCAATTTTTAAGGGAGACTTTTATTCAAGATTTTGCACCTGAGATTGAAGCCAAGTGATTTCAATTTTGAAGCATAAGGCTAGACTGGTACATGTCCAACTTTTTTAAAAGACTGACCCTTTTTGGTGGCATAACTATGTGTAGAAATAAAGAATGTGTAGAAGTAGAGACTGGGTACCAGATATTTCTTTTGACACAGTTGATTGCTGCGGAACCAACGGGGTGTTGGACTGGTTGTTTCAAAAGCCAGTCTATTTTCTTGTATTGCACGTTTTTACTATCTTAAATTTTGGGACTCTCATACACAGTCTTGAGACTCCCAACTTTTCGGACTACCGCCTCCCCTGTAGTCTGATTGGCCTAAGTCTCCAGCACATCGAGCATCACATGGAACGCAGAACTCTATTCGTACGCGTATCGATATTTCAAGTACATGTAAGTTGACTCCTGCCTCATAGGTCAGTAGGACAAAAACATGCTGGCCTGTCTCAGACTGTAAGTCCATCATCCACCATGATCCAGAGGCTGTGCTCAGCCTAATGTTAATGCATAAAGGCATGGTTTCTGCACTTTTTTTGACAGATAAATCAGCCCTTAGCAAACTTTCAAACTTCACATTACAAAACGTTTAGTTTGACGTACTCTAGCTGTGCCCATGATAAAGTAGCAAAGGAAGAACTTCAGAACTTGCGTAAGGCCAAAAAAAATTAAATAGTTTGTCTCTGGTCAGACCAAAGTTCCGGAATTGATGTGGCGACGCGTTGTTTTTTTGTTTTTGGTGGTTTTTTTTTCAAGTTTTGATTGTACAGACAAGGTGGGTTCTATTTTGCTTTTTTGTGTCCTCATATACGTTGGTGTCCTCCTATGCCCTCCATCACTTGCCTTGGTGCAATTTCCCCATTCCTTGGTGCTCCTTGGTACAAACATTTGAGGTGCGGCAATAGAGGGCGCCATTGTAGCTACCGCGGAAACTTTAAACAAACAAAAAGATTGACGCGCATGATTAAAATTGACGCGCGCGCTGACCAGAGACCGACTATTTTTTGGGGGGCCTAATGATATTAGGATGAACAGATTTTTAACAACATCATCATTCCTTTCTTAATGAATTGGCATGACAGATGCTTGCTTGATGCTTGATGTGTAGACTCCTAAAAAGCACATTGCTTGTCCAAGGAGAAGTCGAGGTGACTCAAGTTGTGCAGTTGTGCAGGTGCGGTATAGATACAAGTGCAAGTAAAAACATCCTCACTTCTTAGAGTTGCTGGTGGGTGGTGGTGGGACGCATGTCTCTCACCGCCGGAAGGGCCACTGCCTGAAAAGCTGTAACTGATGGTGCTATTACTGCTTCCAGCGGGAGCCTGTTCCATATTGGTATGGTGCGGACGAAGAATGAGAATCTGAATGACTTTCTTAATGCCTGGACTGGTTGATAGTAAAGATGATAACTACACTGAATTTCTCACCTGTTATAACATTGCAGTTCTTGAAATTCTTGATGGTCTCGTGTCCAAATGTATCATCTCCAACCTAAAGTACAAACAAAAAATGTACATTTGAATTTCATTTCAAGGGAATACACATTTTTTTCAGCAAAAAAAATCACCGAACATCTCTTATAAGATCAGAAGTTACATCTTAACCACACTCAGATAATATTTCATGACATCAACTGAACACAAATGGCACACCCTGACACCCTGATATAATAAAGTTGTCAGTTTCGCATAAAATAGCTTTTAATGATGCATCAATCTGAAGAAATTGTAACAAACAGTGGAAATGATTAGGTGCTTGAGATGTACATGTATTTGTCATATTTCTTTATGAACAGTATCGGTTAACCCACTTAAATAGGACATATAAAATTTATGACCCAAACCAACAAAATGCGTCTGAAGTAACCAGACCTAATTTCTGATTAGTTTGTAAGCAATGCTAGTAGTAGTTACTTTACTGGACACAGATTCCGGGAACGTTGTCCGGAATCTTGCTACTAAAATCTGATGAAATAGGCGTATTGCAGATAAATTTTGTCAGCACTTTATCTGAGATTATTTAATGAGATGATTTCTTACTTCTTTACCTTTGCAATCATAACAGTCTTGGCTCCCATTTTTGCTGCCATGACACACTGATTTGCCCCTTTACCTCCGAACCCGACTGAGAATTTGGACCCATGTATGGTCTCTCCTGGCCTGGGTAAACGGTTGACATAACTGCAAAAACATCCACCAAAACTGAAAATGTTTAGTCTCAATTATCTGCTGTCAGTCATCTCACTCCTGCTGGTATTTTGTTAATCGTCCAGCTATAGACCTGGTAACTGGGGCGCTAGAACTCCTTTTTTTTATTTTGTCTTTGGTCGGTCGTACTGCTAGTACGACAAACCAAAGACAAAATTAAAGAACGCCCCCGTTACTGGGTCTAGTCCAGCCAGTAGGATTTTTCTTCGATGAAATCTTATAATATAAGTGAGAAGGAATCTGATAAGACTGTTGAAAGAACATTAATTTGTGAAGTAAATATACTTGGTCCAAGATATTTCTATTAGACTGCATTTTAAGAACTTTACAAAATTTTACATGAAATGAGTAAGTCAGAATTTCAACTCACGATATTCCACTTCATTTTTTCAATATTTATTTGTATAAGAATTAATATTGAAATTACACAGAATATATCGTGAAATTACAAAAGGAACATTTCCAGGACTGTACGTCAGTACGTGGGTAGCTTAGCCCAGTATGTTGTGTGACTCAGTGTTTCCCCTGCCCATTTAAACGTGAGGTGGCCCACCTCGCTACTTTCAGTGACCACCTCACTCAATTTTTGCCAATATCACCACCTCGCTGTGAAGATTGGCAAAAAAGGAAATATCAATTGAAAAATTTGTATTTTGTGTAATATATGAGCATTTTCCTTTACCTCCATGTATCAAGAACTCACAATTTCGATGTGTTTTTGGATTCATCGCGCATTTTTGTGAGCGCTGCATTCTTTTCAGTTTGCAGACTGCGTAAATTTCGTTTCAATCATCAACTTGAATTGTTACCACCTTGCTCAGTTCATTAGCCAGGGGAAACACTGGTGTGACTATTCTCAAATGAGCTTCAAAACTCTAATATCAATGGACAATGTAAACTAATTATAGTCTATACTTTTAAAAGTAACTTGAAATCAAAACCAATTATTCCCATGTATCTGACTCCTACTCCGAGAACTATGAGCCTCATAGTCATAGTTCTAGGAGTATCTGCCTCCTACTTGTATGATGGCGACAGGGTGAGCTCGAAGGGGGGCACTAAGGCAAATGGTATTGCATAACTATAGCCGCTAGCACGGAGCCTGGAGTGGAAGCACCCGTAAAACCATGGAGCTATAAAACATAAAGCCTCTTTTGATTTTGGTGTACTCCTAGAACTAATTTTGGTGTACATGTATTTTACACAACATCACTGCAGTAGCACGGGATCTATGGGACTTTACGGGTGTGCATTCTGTTAAATAAACCAAACCTGATTAAGTCTGTATTGCATGACCCGACAACAACAACGTCTATAACGGATTCCTCGTTAGCCGCCATTGTGCTCACACTAGTAGTACTGTCGCGCTTTTATGATCAAATTATCAGCTGATGTTTTATGTTGAGATATCAAGCAGCGCGCGAAGCGCCACCTCCGATGATTGACACGTGTGTGGAAGTTGAACCCGGAAGTCGAACCGGTATTTTGTGCCTCTCTGACCTCATGTCAAGTCGGTAATGGTTTAAGGTAGTACCGATATTGAGGGCCTGAGGAAAGGATTGTAAAAGAAAAAAAAACATTTATCATACAGTGGTTGAATACTGACAGCCTAGATTTCAATGCCTCTGGGAAATTTGTCTCAGTCTTTTTCAGGTTTAGTTCAATAATCGGCATGTTTCGTAGCGTCACCGACTAACCTATAATATCCGTCTTGTAATAAGACTAACTACAGCTGTTTATCTCCACGCAACAACACGCGCGACGTGCAAGCTCATCAAGCCATGGTCCGCTTCGATCCCACATGACAATGTTCGTTAATGATTATTGTGTAAATACCGGATGTAACTGTGGCATGCGCATGCATCTGTTCCTTGTTCTATGGTATGTGCACTAAGCTGCTAAGCTGGCTTAGACACGTAATCAGATTTAAGTTGTTCACGATGGACTTAATAAAATGTACTTCAAAAAAGGCTAGCTAAAATTCACGAAGTAGCTCTACCACCCCGACCACAGAACGTTCAAATGTACCGTCCACAACGGGCACTGTGCTGCGTGTTTTTCCGATCACTGCCCCTACCGTAGTCTACATGAGAACTTCAAAATGCCCGATGACAGTGTAAAAGTTGCAGTGAGGGTGCGGCCATTTAATCAGGTAAATATGGCATTACACTTTTCCTGGCATGGCAGTATGGTTTGGCCCCATTAGGCCAAAAAAAAATAGTTCTGCTTTCGATTACATGGCATTCGAAAATAGGGTAGGTAGGTAGTACTGTAGCTTGAGTAACTCCAGCTCTAATGCCTATCGCATTAGATGCGATAGGCATTAGAGCTGGAGTTACTGGCCAATTTTTTTGTGTACGACCATATGGAGGTATCTACGTGACTCAAGGGTAAAAGGTATAAAGTGATGGTTTTTGGTGTTTTTCTCATTTTTTCAATAAAAAACTTAGGGTAGGGGCTGTCAGAATAGGATAGGTAGGGAAACCAGAAGCAGAACTATTATTTTTTTTGGCCTATTAATATGTAGGCTAACTTTTTGCTCTAAAGTTAAGGAGAATAGAGCCCAGGTGTAGTCCTACATGGTTGAACTCGGTATTATACCAAGTCACTTGTCGCCAGAATAGATGTCAACAGAAGTTTAATACAGAACCAATTTTTGCCAGTTGTCATCAGTATGAGTTGAGTATACTGACCAAAAGTTTTGGCAAAACATTGAGTGAGCCCCTCTGGTTCTCTCTCGAATTAAATTTAAAGACTGCAGAGTCCACTAGGTATGCAACTTTTCACCTGATCAGCTGACTTCCTCCCTTTTAGTTTTTTCACTTCTCTCAAATCAAATGCCATTATAAATTTTAAAATCATTGACCAAGTAAGTCTCGTGAAAATTTGAATTTCCTCTTTTTTTTGTGACTTCCCATTTGCATGTCTGACTAAACGTAAAAAACAAGAATCTGTAACTTTCTGCGAAGTGGACCTCTCACTTTCAAAATGGTTTGAAGTTGTTTACCCCATAAATACTTATTGTGTAGCATTAAATGTAACATTTACTTCAATGATGCCTTTCTTTACAGTACAAACACGAATAAATACCATAAATAACATAAGGAGTACATTGATATGATATTTGATGTACACAGTGATCAATAATAAAGTAGCAAATTAAATGACAACATTTAGGTAAAAGTTTTTAAAGTATCATCTGGACATGTATATTGCTCTACATGACGTTTGTGCTGGTACTGAGCAATTGAATCTCTCTGATTTAGTATTTGAATTAAAAACCTAACCGAAAACTTTACACCATATAAAGACCCATAATTTAAAACAGAGCAGCTCATTTCAAATTTTGAATAAGGAGCATGATATCTCTTGAATCTTTTAATTATAATGTTGTGTTGCAGTGTTAATATGTAAATTCTCATTAACCCTAACCTCACCTAAAGCTACAAAATACTACTGAGTAGTGACCTGTAGTATGCATAAATTTCTTTCCATGTATGTATTTGGTACTTGACTCCCAAAGAGCCCTTAGGGGGTTAGGGTAAAGGATGCACTGCTAAAAATGGTATTCTTGAAATTAGAAAAAAATAATATTGATTTTATTATTAACGATGGCACTCTGTATAATTTGGTAAACGTTTAGTAAAAGTATCATGCACTGTTCAAATGTTCAGCCAACGCGTTACAACTGATTTAGAGGAATTCTAGAATTCTGAGTGAGTCCTTATTGGGCGGGCCATCACGGCGATATGGGGAATTTTTTTTTTATTGTTATAGGCAAATTAGGAGGGGTGGATCCAGGAATTTTTGCAGGTTATTTTTTCATCAGCAAATCAATGCTGAAATGTTGACAGTTTCTTTTTCCTCCGGACACTTGGCCTCTGTAAAAGCCTCTGACTAAATATTTTAGTCAGAGCTGGAGGTGGGGGGGGGGGGGGGTCCGACCCCCAAAACCCCACCTCTGGATCCGCGCCTGCATAGTACCATGGGACAACTCTGTGTTTAGTCCCCACAACATACAGAAGTATGGATGCATACGTGTACATAGTATGTATGCCGTTTTTCATATCATTATGTACAGCTTCGCATACATAGTGGTGAAAGACTTCAGACTTCAGTCTGTAGATTGCATTTTAATAATGTTTGCACAACAGATTGTCTGACCCCAAAATTGTCAGTAAATCATGATTCACATGTTCCTCCAAGTGGCTATGATAATTAATGTACATTATGCAAGGAGATTAACAATCAGACTTTAATCCCATTTAGGTGCAATCCTTTTAACCTGTGGTTTAAATTATCTCAATGGGCAAACATAACAGGATCCAGTTGTATGCAAATGACATGCAACATTGCTAGAAAAAGAGACACTGGGAATTGATGGGATGTACAGTTTGGGCACGTTAATGTGTTTTTTGTGTTTTTTTATTATTATTTTTTGAAATGTTATAATTGTAAACAAGCTGTAGTAATCAAATGTTACAGAAATGACTGTTGTGGAGTCACCTTACATTGAAAGACATGTAGTATGTACTGTAAAAGAGAAATCACAATGGTTTTTTTTTTTGGATTTCCAGGATATTTAAATATTGTAACTATTCCTTTTGTCTCGGTCTTCAGTGTTCAGTCTCATTTTTGGTTGGGGGGGGGGGGTGTGTTTCTATTTTCCTGTTTTCTTTGTCCGTTTGATTTCGTGTCTACTCCTATTGTCTTTGTAAAGGACTATATTGTCTGTGTTTATGTTAGGCTGTTCTCTACAAGCCTCGGTTTTTTGGACCAGCCCCATACTTTCCACCCTCATTAATTTCTTTAGTTGTTTACAATTTCAGATTTATACTATTATTATTTATATAATTTATATACTTACCTTTCTTTATTTGCAAACTTTATTTGACTTGCTGGTGGAAGTATGGAAATTTATAAATATTGATATTGAACTGAATTGAATGTCACCTGCTTTTGTACAGTCAGTGCGGCAGTTTCGGATCACTTTTTTGTACAAACCGCTGTACACCCGTCCATGGTCGGAAATAATATCATTTCATAGTAAAATTCCTCCTCTTCATGTTAAAACCAAATATGTTAACACAGATTTAACTTAAAGGGAAATAATTCATGGCTTTTTGTAATTAAGTGATCCAGAACTGTGGATGATCCGGAACTGTCACACTGACTGTATGGCAGTTCCATTGTGTAGATTTAAGTTCAATAAGTTTTCAAACACACCTATGACTAGTGGGAAGGTTGTCTTTGGTGTTGCCATGGAGATCCAAAGTACTTATTGTCACTTAGTTGTTGTTCAGTGAATTGGATACTGAATGTGTTCACTGCCTCCATGGTTACTGTTTGTTTATCACGTATTTAAGTAAATAAAGTATTGAGCAGTGGAAATTAATCACAACTACCGGCATCGGGGAACTAGAGTGCTAAAGAAAGTTGAGATTAAAAATATATGACCTAGAATATCTAAAAGGGAATGGTAAATTAGCTTAGATCAGGAGAATGTAATACTTTATTGGTACATTGTATATGCCCAATGAAAGTGTGAACAAATTAAACTGTACTTACTGTAGTTATCTTTTCAAGGTTAAGTGGTTTTACTAAAGGCTTTTTTTTTTAATTAAATAAAAGGAAAATAACTTGGTTCACTTTTGAAGGTTTTTTTTTTTTGGCAAGAAATAATGCAAAATTCTTTCCCCCGGTTGCGATGTCTGTAGTAGAGTATTCTTTGATGTTATGTTCTACTGGGGTGCTGTGGTCTAATGGTTACGATGTTTGAATCCTGACGGGGTTCGAATCCTGACGGGGAACATGGTGCTTGTGCGCTTGGGCAAGGCACTTGACTATGATTGCCTCTTTCCACCCAGGTGTAGTAAATGGGTACCTGGTAGGAAGAAATTCCTTCAATGCTTAAGCGCCGTAATGGCAGCCGTGCTAAAACCAGGGTAATAATAGAGCGCCAGGAGCGTCACTTCGTGACGGACATGAGCACTATACAAGAAGCCAATTATATGTGTAATGGTACTGTTACGGAGACACGCTGTCGTAATTTCTTCGCACGATGGGAGACATCGGTTATAAGGGAGACATTTTCATGTCTCCCTTATGTCACAGCCCCCCTTTAGAGGCAAAATTTTGCTGTTGCAATTAGATTATATTTGTTGCTCGTGAGTAAACATACCAAAATTTGTGGAAAAAGGACAAGGGAATATTGGGTTAGGGCACATTTAAGTTTGAAAAATTTTGTGCACAAGTTTATGGGGATGTCTCCCAAATGTCCAATCCAGGGTAATTATTGTTAATAGGGAGGTTTCGCAAGCGAACGGATACGCTTACACTTACGTTTAGCTATCCGTATCCGTTTTTTACTTACGTGTAGCGAGCGAGATATGCGTGTCGTCTGCACGTATGACGTCATACGCCACTCACTATCCGCTAAACGTGCAGACGACACGCATATCTCGCTCGCTACACGTAAGTAAAAAACGGATACGGTTAGCTAAGCGTAAGTGTAAGCGTATCCGTTCGCTTGCGAAACCTCCCTATTATTATTATTATAACTCTGCAGAATGATAATTTGTATGTTTTGTTGTTACAGAGAGAATTAGCTGCCAATTCAAAATGTGTGGTTTCAATGGAAGGCAATGTAACCAGTCTAACCAACCCAGACAATGGCAAAGTGCATACCTTTGCGTACGACTACTCTTATTGGTCACATGATGGCTTTCAAGAAAACGAAGAAGGATTGAATACTCCAACCAACGACCGTTATGCAGATCAGGTACATTGTAAACTGTCTCTGTTGTTATATTACATGTACATGCAGGTCAATTAGGTACGGTACATCATGTGTATGTTCAGACATCATTTCAATCCAATGCAACCTACAACGACCTGGGGATGGATGGAATCCATTCCATTGTTTATTTTCTCCAACATTACTGCAACACATTGGTTGGTCTTGCTGAGCCTTTAGGGTTGCAGACTAGTAAATCGGTCTGAAATTGCCTACGCCGGCCAAATCACGATTTGCATGCCCTCAAAATCTTCAGTATTTGAGCATACTGTGGGCCATGAACTGGAGGGTTTGTAAAAAATATGGGTGGAAGCTGTGCACAGGACTGTGAGCTTGTAGTTCCGTTCAATTTGGATGAAATTGGGGCCCTAAAAGCGCTCTATTTTGCAATGGAGTGTAGGCATCATTTTTCAAAATGGCGATGGGCTTCAGGACTATTTTAAGGGGTGATCATCTTCGGATGGAAATTTCTCCTAAAAGTCATCAGTTGACCCCCCGTAAATTGAAAAGAAAAGAAAAGATGATGAAATAAGCTTTAATTTGATTTGCGTCTCGAACACATTGGAGAGTTGTGAGTATTTTTCCCGAATTTCTGAAGTGGGAGCATTTACCATTGGGGTCAATGGAAGTTTATTTACTGGTCTAGAACCTTAGGGGCATCCAGAAACCGTTTTACAATTGCTTAAAACAAAGTTTGAACTTGATTTGGTGTCGGGCTGTCCAGTTTGAAATTATTTAGTATTACTTGAAACTGCATTCGACCAAATATTCAGATATTCGAATCTACCAGCTGCAACTAACTGCATACTGCGCTGGTAAAAATGTGCACGAAGAGTACGCCAGTTAAAATATATGCGTGTGACGATCAATATGGAGTGCTGGAGTGTTTTATTTTATAACTGTAAAGGACTTTAAAGGGAATATACAACATTTGCAAACATCGAAAAACAAACCTACCAATTTTTTACGAAATACCTTACTAGGATGTTGGTAAATTACAGTCTAAATCATCCTGTAAAATTATGGCACCATGTGTGAAGTCATTTTCAAGAAAAGTGGTATTTTGTATAAATTTGCAAGGCCGACCACCGTTGGAAAAACCTAACTATTTTTCAACTACTGCTCCAAATTTACCATTTTTTTCAGTCCAAATTTTGTTTGCTATTGGTTACATGTTCATGAACGGGTGCAGGCCAGTTAGACTGGTTCCATTACCTTACAATTGTCTGGCATCTATAAATTGATTCATTTCATATTTAGTGAAGTCAGGGAACCAGACTACTTGAACGTTTTTGTTTTTCTTGGTTTTTCCAGTTTTTTGAACACAAAACTTCAAACATGTCAGTGTAACAATATTTGATCTATTATACTAACCCCTCAAAATAGTTCATTTCTGAAAATTACAGCAAAAGCCAATGATGTACATTCCCTTTAACCTGCCAAAAGGATGTGAACATTGAACCGCCATCGACAAAAAAGTGAAACCCGATAAAAACAACATCACAGTCATGTGTGTATGTGCGTAGTTTTGTTGTTTTCAAATATTCAAACCGGCAGAAAGCTATTCGAATATTTGGTTGATGATCGAATATTCCAATATTTGGTATATTCGGGACAGCCCTAATGTGGTGTAAGTTGTTTGCTAAAATGGTGTTCGAATGGTTTTAAAATAACACCGAATTGAGTTTAACTCGCAGCTAAAATGGAAAGTTACACACCTGGGAGGAAGGGTTTAACACTAAGCCAGAAATGTTTCCTGTATCAAGGCCGGTTCATACTTCAAGCGATTGCGACGCGACTTTGACGTCACAAAGCAGTTGCTGTGAAATATGCCGGAGTTGAAATATGTTCAACTTTTGCGAATTCGCAGCGTGAAAACTTGCCCTTACGTCACAAATTTACGTTCACGCTCGCGCCGAGTATGAACCAGCCTTTAGTTGCTGTGTTAGTCACAATTCTATGCTTCCATTTCTCCTATCTCCTGTCTTCAAACTGTGGTCACACAAAGCCTGGCTAGCTGTATATCCGTGAAGCAAATGTTAATTATCCAAATGCCCATGCTCCTTCCATTACAGACGGTTGTTTTCAATGATCTTGGAAGAGGAGTGCTGGACAACGCTTGGCAGGGTTACAATGCTGCCTTATTTGCATACGGTCAGACCGGTTCCGGCAAAAGCTACTCGATGATTGGCTACGGAGCAAACAAGGGTATCGTACCCATCACATGTAATGAACTGTTCAAAGCAATCAACAGTAACACAGACACCACTAAACAACTACAGGTGTCATTCAGTATGCTGGAGATTTACAATGAGCAGGTATGTCTCCATTTTTTACTGTTTTGTTTATTAATGATGTGTTGTCATTGTTCACAATAATATTTAGGTTTTGCCCTTACCAGAAGTAATTTTGTTAAAGGGTTTGCGAACATCAAAAAACAAAACTGCCAAATTATTATCATACCTCACTTGACTGTAAGTGAATAAAATTCTCAAGCATCCTGTGAAAACATGGCACCTGGTGTGCTGTCATTTTCAAGAAAAGTAGAATTTTTGTATCAATTTCTGACGATGGTCGGCCGACCATCATTGAGAAAAACTGACTATTTTTCAAATACTGCCCCCAAGTTACCAAATTTAGTTAGTCCACATTTTGTTTGCACTCAGTTACATCAGTGAACGGGTGCAAGCCAGCTAGTCTGATTCCCTGACTTGGCAATTCCCCGATGTCTAAAAATTGCTCCGTTTTGTCTAAAGTGGGGTCAGGAAACCCGACAACAAGAACAGCATTTTTTCTTGGTTTTTCCAGCATCTATGAAAACAAAACTTTAAACAGGTCCGTGTAACAATATTTGAAATCAAATCCATCCATTTCTGAAAATTACAGCAAAAGCAAATGTTGCATATTTACCTTCAACACTGTGTGCCGAAGAGCATGCAAGTAAAAAAATTCACTTGTTTCTTTGGGGTGGACTTGAATCTTTGACCCTATGCTTAATTATAGTGCAGTTGTCTTAACCACTTGGCCACCTTGTTAGGGTCAGTGTAAATCTTATATTGCAGTGGGTGCATTTATTTTTGTTTCTGTAATCAAACTCATGTCTGTTTAGTTTTTGTATTTCTTTATTTATTTTTTGGTAAAGGTTCGAGACTTATTAGTGAAGCCAACCAAAGGTGCCTTCCATGCCCTGAAAGTACGACAGAACCCCCAGACAGGCTTCTATGTGGATGGACTCAAGGTAAAAAACAAGATGTACTGCCCCTGCTATTTTTGAATTTCAGTCTGATGAATACTTCTATTTTTAACTACCAAATTATTATGAAATACGAGTGGTGATTGATTAGTTCATGGCCAAAGGTAGAAGGAGATGAGCTACACAGTTTTGACTGATATTGTGTCTAGTTCAACTTTTTGAAAGATTACACAGAAAGTTTGAAGTTATTATTTTTTCTGTTACAGGTAACTACATGTAAACCTCGACAGTCACCGGTTCCTGAGAATTAAACCTTGAAAATGGAGAAAATGGAAAAAAATCAATCATTGTGTCCACATGTCCAAGGTGTCAGCTCATTGGGTCCCAAAGTTGTTTGGACAGATTAGAAATGGACTCGGCACAACTTTTCAAGGGACAATGTTGCCATTTTTGAGTTTGTTTGCTTGTTGTTATTTTTTTTTCGATCGAATTTTTCAATTTTTTCCATTTTCAAGGTTTAATTCTCAGGAACCGGTGACTGTCAAGGTAAAACGAGAAAACAAACTTCCTGTGTAATCATTCAACAAGTTGAACTGCACAACATATCAGTCAAAACTGTAAAGCTCGTCTCCTTCTACCTTAGGCCACGAACTTATTAATCACCACTCGTACCTCACTGGACTGGAAGTGAATTAAAAGTCTCAAGCATCCCGTGATATCATGGCACCTGCTGTGCTGTCATTTTCAATAGAGGTGGAACTTTTGTATCAATTTCCAACGATGGTCGGCCGACCATCGTTGGAAAAGAACTTTTTTCCAAATACTTTCTTTTCATATTGGAATTTGTGTGTTTTGTTTTACACATTTAGACTGTACCTGTCCGGGATTACAAACAAATTGAGCATCTGACGGATCAAGGAACGCTCAACAGAACGACGGCCTCCACCAATATGAATGCAACCAGTAGTAGATCCCACATGGTTATCACGTTAAAATTTAAGCAGGTAGGTCTAGAAGAAAGTGAAACTGCTGTTTTGAAAGGCACATAGGACAGTTGCATTTATCCCAAAAGTTTCCTGCCGAATTATTATCAAAAGCTTACTTGGATTAAAGATCGAACTGGTACTAAACTCGTGAAATTATCCGTCTGGATTGCTGACATTTAGAAGAAATCAAGAAATGTAGGTGATTTCCAGTGATCAGTCAATTGACTGATTTTTTTTGGAAATAAAGCGTTATATAGACAAAATCATGTTTCGTGATCAAAAGGTTGTGCATAGTTTTCACTGTTTTCTCAGAAAGTGTATAATATCCACTGAGCTGAAACTTAACAGCTTGAGTATTGATCATTCTTCTTTGTATTTTGAGTGGTGTTATAATTGGAAACGAACAAATGCATGAAAAGCAAAGGAGTTATTTCTGACTTCGAGCGCAGTTCAATGTGATACATGTACATTGAGAAACCTCGTAGGAACCCGTTCGCCCAGGAATCGCCAATATTTAGTGCTTTTAATTGTTTATTAACTCGAGTCCCAAAATTAAAAGTGAAACTTTGCGAAAAATATTTGCAATTTATGTTCACGTCACTTTGCGAATACAGTACGGTACAGCAGAACCGGACACATTTTCCAAATCGAGGTTTCATCATTGGCTTTGGTGGATTTCTTTTTAAGCTCTTGGATGCGAATGCCGGCCAAGTATATGCCCTCCTCTTAAAAATTAAATAGATACATGCAAACTGTTAAATAATCAGAAACAGTTTTTTGATGTTGTCAGCGATCAGCGAAAAGAATTCTAGACCCGAAGCCAAACCGAAGGTTCATTTCTTGTATAACTGTTAGTTAACCGACTTTCTCTCTTGTCTTTATTTGTTGTATAATGTTCAGATATCGTCACCGTTTTGACGAAGTGACACATCCGTCCAAAACCAAGATTTTCTGAAATCTGAGATTTTTGAATATTCTAACATTTTATGATGTCCTCTACATGATTACCAAATTTAGAGACACAACATTCCATCGTTAATTACGCTAATTGCACAAAGTGTTGAAGGTGCTAAACACTTAGTTTTTCGTTTTGGCACAGTGACGGATCTCCATGTGTCACTTAGTCTCATTGATTTTACACGTGTGCTATATTTAGAAATATGAAGCCTCCACGATTTGCGTTTTGACGAAGTGACGCATCTGCGTTCTAAAATGTATCAATTTTATATCTGCTCACGCGCTGTGTACAAACACATGCCTCATTTTTGTGAAGAAGTAGATTTTCCGTTTTGGCAAAGTGACGGATATCTTTAGTAATTAATATCTTCTAATTAAACACGATTTTATGAACAGAGAGAATTGTTTTTGGCTATTTAACTCCTGGACTATTGCCTCAGTTATATATTTTTCAATTCTGGGGGAGAAATGTACACAAAAATGCAAATTGAAAAATCCACCAACTTCAAACGCAATTTTCTCAACACTCGGTTTTGCATCTGTGTACACAGATGCATCACTTCGTCAAAATGGTGACGATATATTCGTGGCTCGAATTGACTCGAGCTAAATATTTGACTCGACTTGACTGGACTCGACTACGCACTGTGACTCGACTTGACTCGACTCTACCTTCTCGACCTAATGAGGCATCACTGCAGTTAATACACAAAATCTTGTCTTGCAGGTGTATAATAACGAGAATGGAGAGAACACCACCATGAGTAGTGAGATCAACCTGGTTGATCTAGCTGGCAGTGAGAGAGCTAAAGCAACGGGTGCTACGGGGGACCGACTCAAAGAAGGCTCAGCAATCAACCAAAGTCTGTCTATGCTTGGCAATGTCATTAGGTATGTACACTCACATGTACATGTCCAACCAAAATATCTGGTATTCAGTGTACGGAAGTACGTATTCAGCTAAGGAGAAGCTTCGCAGATACACAAATGACAAGTTTATTTCCAAAACGCAATATATCCATTTGAAAAAAACAGTGAAACAGTTGCACAGTTATGAAACTTTAAAGAATAAAAACAATACAAAAGCTCTTTCTAAACATATTTTTTAGCTTTATTGTCTTCTTAAATTGTGTTTATTTATATAACAGCTGTCGAAACTGACTTTAGGCAGCCAGGAGAGGGCAGTATTCTAAAGGGTAACAAAATGGCGTTTAGCGCATTTTTGGGAATAAACTCTTCATATAGTGACTGTCTCTTATTAGGAGAAGTGGTACTTAGATGTGCCAGGCTTTTTAACTCTATGTTTCAGTCAGTGTGTTCTGACCATCGCCAGAAGAATCTGTCATCAGCTATAACACAGTCAGAATTTTTTTTTAGTGGATTTTTATAATTTTGATAAAAATCTGGCATAGATAATGGGCAGGATACCACAATTAGCATCTCCCATCCCAACATGTCCCCCTCCACCTCACCCCCCCCCCCCCCCCCCCCGGAATAATCATCCATGAATTGTTTAATCTTATTTAAGATGAATAAGAATTGCATTCAAAATGTGCCCTTTTCCTTCAGTCACACAATATGGTTTTTGGTTTTGTTTTGAATTCTTGTTCCTGTACAGTGCCCTAGCAGATCAGTCAATGGGAAAAAACGTGAGAGTACCATACAGGGATTCTGTGCTGACTAAACTGTTGCAGAATGCTCTTGGGGGGAACAGCAAAACCATCATGGTAAGTACTTGTGTAGTGTTGATGGTGGTCATGGGAATGACTGAATATACCATGCAGCCTATTTCACGAAACAGTGCGTAACTTACGCCATGCATAGGACTTATGCAACAAATTTATTGCGCAGCTGCGCTATAAACTTCTGATCAATTTCACGAAACTTGGCATAAATGCGGAAAGTTTTAAATAACCTAAACATCTTGGATGCTGATAATAATGTTTGTGCAAGATTTTGTTAGTTCATGAAACAGTCAATGAATCACCTCTGCCCGCCGTTTTGAAGGGTAAAAATGTGTCCAACTTTCTTCAGAATCATACGGCAACTCTAAAAACTCTGTCACAAGCAATATATAGCAATTCATTTGCTTCAAGCACAAAGCAGTGAGTGTCTTGTATCAACCTTGATAAGTTGTGCAGTAACAGGCAATGACAGGCTTTAACAGGGATCACGATTTGCTGGTAAAATAAGTAATGTTCAGTCACTACGCCACAACTTACACCACCTAAAATGATTGCGCAAGTTACCCCATAATTTGTAGCGCAAGTTGCGGACTTGCGCATTATGAAACTTTCGTGAAATAATCATATAGTGTGAAATTTGCTCAACTTTAGCAGTAAATTGTGGCCCAAGTAGACTCACGTAGTTGCTTAAAGTGTTGTGAAATTAGCTGCTGGCAACACTTTCATTTCCTGTTTCAGTTGTACGTGTTTTGCTGCATTGTAGTAAGAGAAATGAATGCAGTGACTTAAAACCCAGCCCTATACTCCCGCATTTTCCAAAATTCACAAAGAAGTTTAAGGATTTTGTAGGATTGAGGAAAGTACAGCCAAACCACTGTTACTTTAAATAAGGCCTGATGACCCGCGAAAGTTTCATTTACAACAAAAATGTGCCAAAGGGGTTTGTGCACGGTGGAGGATTATTCATCAGGACTGTTCCCATCAAAATACCCGTTGCCATTTCCAGCCTAAGTGTAATAATATGTAATTAATGATTCAGAGAAATGATCCAAAACTCCAAGTCTGTAATCTCCTTGATCTTTACTAGATAATAGATGCATGTAGGGTATTTGAAAAAATAGATATTTTCAGGTTAATTCACTGAGCTCTAAAGCTGTCTTGGACGCGTTGGTATAGATCGTTATCATGTTGCGACCATCTTGATTTTTGCCCATTCAAATCAACGTAACCAAAGCGAGGCTGGATGGCAAAATAGTCTGGTTCCTTTTTGCACAAAAAGCATTATCATTCAGTACTGTTATTGGATACAGGGAACATGACTGAAATGGTGGCAGCATGATAAAGGTCTATTGCCCCTAGAGAGTTAGGGTTGAGCAAGCATATGTATTTTACAGAGGAATGTTATACTGAGAAGGACCATGCAGGCTTGTTTTAAATCAACATTTGGAGCCGCTTGAGCATTCCCAGATATCACAGGTTCAAAACCCACTGAGGTCACTTTGATTTATTCAAGCAATAAGAAACAAAAGCTTCACCAGCTCATTTTTATAATACTGTTCTCTTTCGCCTTCAAGATTGCAGCTCTGAGTCCAGCAGGCATTAACTTTGAGGAAACACTGTCTACCCTCCGCTATGCTGACCGAGCCAAGAAGATCAAGAACAAGGCAGTGGTGAACGAGAGCCCTACAGAAAGGCTCATCCGAGAGCTACGAGAGGAGAATGCTAAGCTCCTGAACATGATGAAATCTGGTAGAAATGTTGGCTCCTCCGATGCCGGTAAAGCCAAGTCTAAAAGTTCACTCTATCTATTTTTTTATGGCTATGCATTTTTTAATAATCTGGTATTCGATTAGTCAAACTTCACGTATGTTCATAGCCTACATATTCTGGCGCTATGGTGGCATAAAATGTCCAAAATTTCCATTATGTGAGTTTTCCCAAAGTTATACCCCGAAAAGATATACTCAAAATAAGATTCCAATCAAACTCACCATATAATCAACTGGGCTACATTTTTTTTAAAGGAATATTCATTGCTTTCTTTTTGCCATAAAAATTGAACTTGAATTATACTGATAAAGAGCAAATCAATAATTGTGAATAAAAAAAAATGTAGCTCCCTATTTATCACCTGGACGGGTACATTGATATTGCTGGCTGCAGTTCTATAGGTCTCCCTTATTCCTAAAAACTCAGACTTTTAAGGAAAACAAAATAAACATTTTAATCAACGAAAATCACTGCTTGCAAAAAGACCACTACATCATTTGAATACTGAGCATCAATAGACCTATTGAAACAACAATTAGAGTAAGAAAAGACTGATTATGTCATGCCGTATTGAAGCCTTATTAAGGGACAAAGGCTGATGGCGTCGAGTGGGATACCTGGGCACAATAGACAAACTAAGTGGAAGGCACAAACATACGTGACTTGGATTCGATCGACTATTCAAATATTTGGTATATTTGACACAGCATCTAATTACAAAAAATTGATCTAATTAATCAAAAGGGGAAACTTTTATTTTATTCAAGAATTGTTTGGAGCTTGATTTGAACCTTCGGCTCGGGCCATTATCCACGTCCAGGCCCTGAGCAGGTTTTAAACCTACTTGTTTAAAACTGGCCAAGCACATATGTGATGCGATCAAGCTAAATGAGTTGTTTGTCGACCCCGGTCAAAAAAAATTTTATTACACATTTGAAAAGAGCACAATCTCTGAATTACTGCTGGGAAAACTGCATGCTATTTAACACGATCTTTAGTTTAAAAATTATGGAAGTCGGAACTCCAAGAGATGTGATGAAGTGATGTGATGAAGTGGCCCTATTTTGGCCTGTATCTCCAAATGAAAATAAACGACTCATGTAGCTTGATCACATCATTATATTCCCTTATGAAACAGATATGATGAATTTTTTTTTTCCAGATGTTGAAAGTCTTTACAAGGAGAATGAGAGACAGATGCAGGAGATGGACCAAACCTGGGAGCATAGACTCCTGGAGGCTAGGTGAGTATGGACAGCTTATAATGCAGGGTGAGTCCAACCCAAATGTGGGGACTATTGTTTTATTGGAGTTCTGCATGTAGCACTTTCAGAATCTAGGATATGAAAGCCCATTTGATAAGCTTTCTTTTAGTACAAGAATCATTCAAATCACTCACATACTTTTCAAGTTACGGAATTTTAAACACAACCACCATTTGAAAGTTCTGCCCACGGATCACAAAAAAGGTGTGCGTTCTTTCAGCAAAACGAAAACAATTCACACACATCCCTATGTGATTTGTTTTACTTTTGCTGAAAGAACACTGAACTTTTTGTGATCCGTGGACAGAACCTTAAAACGGTGGTTGTGTTTAAAATTCTGTAACTTGAAAAGTACATGAGTGATTTGAATGATTCTTGCACTAAAAGAAAGCTTATGAACTGGGCTTTCATATCCTAGATTTGGAAAGCGCTACATGCAGAACTTCACTAAAACAATGGTCCCAACATTGGGTTGTTTTTTTTTACTCACCCTGTACAGTGGTGCCGCTATACCGAACTGGCGACTTAAAATTGTGAGACCGAATGATCGCTATTACAAAAAAAAATCTATAGATCCCGTGATGTTCATTATAGTTCACAACCAACCGGTTCTTTTCTGAACCACACACTTTTTCAGCAGAGATTCTTCTACATGATGTTACTGCAAACCCTCACTGGTTTACACTGCCACCATGCAAACTTTCAAATCTTATGTAAAAAAAGGGCATTTGTTTTCCGCTTTTATTAATTACAGTGACATTTAGTGGTGCAAGTCTAGTGCGAGAATTCGCAGTGAAAATGAGGGTCAATGAGGGCAGCAAGCAGAAATATCCTGTTTGCTTTATGTCATGCAACGGCTCTCGATCCACCAAAGTCAAATCTGCTTGACCTTTATTCGCTTTCTACATATTTACACAATTGCATGGATGCACGTTTGTTGTTGAATTCTCAAGCTTGCCAACATTTCATTCTATCTGCCAGGGAGAACATCTTTGTAAAATCAGTGCCTCTCGCATCCTTTGTTGAATCTTCGAAACCAAACGCGTTGTCAGACAGTACACCTAAATTGTTTCAATTCACGAGTGAAAAGTATACTGAAATGTGTGCAGTGCGTGCACTATGCACATTTAAGAGTGTGGCACAGAAGTCATTTGATTGTAGAACCGTAGCTTGATGACGTCATCAAAATGGCTCGCAGCAGATGCTCCAGATGGGTTTTGTTTTGCTTGTGGCTTTTAGCAGAGGGGGCGGAGCAGCATTTCAACTTATATTATTTGTTGCAGCTAAAACTCCCCTGATTAAATTCTTGATGTCGTAAATGGTTGCAAATATATATATAATTTTCAAAAGTAGTCAACATTAGCCACATTATAAAAGTGACTGATCTTTAAGAAATGCCCACCTATGTAGAACTAGAATGTTATTGGAGTTATTAGCTTCACTTTAGTGGCAAATATATAACAAACTTTGTGTCTGGATTTGAATGTTGACAAGTCATTTTTGTTTCTGCATACTTTCCACAGGGAAGAATGGGAGAAATCTCAACGGTTGGATCGACAGGTAGGATTGTTTCCCGTCTTTGGTTCTTTGTTTCTTATAATAGGGAGTTACATGTATGTTATTTACAATTTTTAGCTATCACACCACACATTTTTGCCGACTGCATTCAGCAATGCTTACTAAAGGTTTCTGGAGTTACACCTACCCATTTATGTACACAGAAACAAAAAGTAGGTATGTGATGTGTGCATATGTTAACGTTGCTCTACCCATGCTCTTTAATATTTGGGTGGGTTTTTTTTTCTCCCAGCAAATATTCAAACTTCTTCTTTTTTTCTATTTCTGACGCTTTCAACCAACTGAAAATTGGTCAAGGGGGGATCCTGAACACAATTTTTTTTGGGGGGTGGGCGAAAAAAATTGTTGGTCCCCCCAAAAGTGGGTCCAGAAAATTACGGCGTGGGGTTCGGGGCCCACTTAAGGGTCCCGAACAAATTTTGGATTCTAGATCTGAGGCCATTTCTGACCACTTTGACCAATATTTTTTGGAGAAAAAGATGGTGGTGTATGCAGTGCCTGCCTTTATTGCAACGTAACTTTAAAAAAAAGGGGGGTTGTTTTGGGGGGGATGGCCCCCGTTGCCCCACCCCGGATCTGCCCTTGAAATTGGTTTGCTCTTTCGTCTGAATTGTTGTCAAATTAAATCTCATTTTAATTTGAATGCCTGTGTGTAATCTGTGGTTCTCACTTAGCTGAATAGCTTCAAGCATTAAAGCATTCTATGAACAGCTGTAAAACTGGGTTCTTTTAGTAAAACCTGCATAACTTCTGATAGCAAGGATCAATCTCAGTAATTCTTTTTTTTTTTCAGATGGGTGGAAGAACATGCTCGTAAATAATACGTGCTTCATTTGGTGAATTAAGTTTAATAGCTTTTCAAGGGGGAAAAAATTGATTCATCCTGGTCACTATCTTTTTGACTGACCCTGTATCGGCACGACATTTCCCATTGTTGCCTTTTCATAGTTTCCTTCTCCTGGGTATCTTCATCTTTGTCTTATCTTGGTTCTTCTCCCAGGAGAGCAGTGATTATGAACACCATCCGTACATCCAGAACGTGAATGAAGACCCTCATCTATCTGGAATCATTAAACACGTCCTGTTGGAAGGAACAACAGTTGTCGGGAAAGGACTCGTTGATGGGAACGACAAACACAGAATCGATTTAGCGGGACTGGGGTAAGTTGTTCATATGAATGAATGTGGAAAGTGACAAGATATAAGCTGTCTACAAGTACCCCCTTCATCAGTGAATGCTGTGTTCACCGAGATCGACGGTTAATCCCAATTGATAAAATCTTACCAGTGTCCATACTCGGACTTTTGATTTGGAAAAATTGTTACCAAGACTGTGGCAAAAGTAATCGAGCTGGGAACATCAAAAATAAAACTACCAAATTAGTTTTCAGGACCGTTAGTGAATGACAGTCAAAAGCATCCTGTAAATTCATGGCACCTGGTATATTGTCATTTTCAGGAAAAGTGGTATTTTCGTATCAATTTCCAATGCTGGTAGGCCGACCAGCGTTGGAAACAACTGACTTTTTTTCAAATACTTGCCCCAATTGACCATACTTAGTTAGTCCCATTTGTTTGCAATTGATTACACACCTATGAACGGGTACAAGCCAGCTAGACTGGTCCCCTGGCCTTACAATATCCCAACGTCTATAAATTGCTCTGTTTCATCTTAAATGGAGTCAGGGAACCAGACTACTGGAAAATGATTGCTTTTCTTGGTTTTTATGGCATCTACGAACCCAAACGTAAAAAAAAGTCACTGTAACAATATTTGCTATATATTACCAACTCCCCAAATCCATCCATTTCTGAAAATTACAACAAAAGCAAATGATGTATTCCCTTTAATGCCCTGGTTTGTAATAAGTTAGTACATTATGGAACATAGTTCCCTTGTTTTGCTTGTTGACCTGGTCACTCAAATTATACATCGTGCCAAGCATCTTCTTCTGTAGTTGTACAACCGTTGCAAATTGATTCGTGCCTTGTGGCCACTATGTGACACTCTTTGTGTACTTACCGGTAAGTCCCAAGAAAACAAAGTGCCTCTTCTAGAAATCGAATTCAAAGCATGTACTGATGAGGGTTTTTTGGTCTCTTTTTCTTGAATTTTTTTCATGACTCAGACTTGGACTCAATGCACATGACTCAGGACTCGGACTCAGACTCAACACTGAGGACTTGAACTCAAACATCTATAAAATCTGGGTTTTTAATCCATTTCGGTTATTAAAGCCCCTGTCACACATCAAAGACCAAGACCCCGCCAAGACCATGAGATTTAAAAATATCTTGAAAATCGTGCCAAAAATGTAAGAAATGTGGCGCCAAATTCAAATTTCGTCTTCTGAGCTCCAGTCTGTAGACCATGAGCAAAATGTGCTGCATTGTCGTCCCGAATACTATGACTCCGAAACGACCTCAAACCGAATATAACGACTTCGCTACGACTTGGATCCGTTCAATTTTTTTTTTCACGACTGAGTCTCGATCTCTTTACGACATAACCGACAGAGTACCGACATAACCGATTGATTACCGACACAAAAGACCGAGAACCGATGCCGAAACAACTCCGAAACGACGGAGTGACATCATCTTTGGAATTTCACGTCCTAATGGTTGTTTCATAGTCGGCTAAAAAAAATTGGCCGACCATGTACGACCACTGCCGATCTCGCAGTTACTATTGCGATGTTGTTACGACTTCGTTACGACACAACCGTTTGAGTACAGACAGAGTACAAAATCTGATCCGTTTTGTATTTTTTTGCCGACCATCACGATATGTTTCAACAATTAAAACTAATCGTGGCTCCATTGCCGACCATGCACGACCTGTAGGATGCCGAAACGACGCTTAAGAAGTCGTTCCGATAAAGTGATCCGAAGGCTTTATCGTGACAGTGTGACAGGGGCTTTACAACAATCTTTGGGGAAAAAGATGTGAAGTTTCTAGATTTACTACACAATTGCTCAACTTCAGTTCTGTTTGTTCAGTACTTCCAAATGTTACATACATTGGAATGCTCTTATTCTACTGAATACGGAAATCTAAACATCTCATTTCTTAGAGTCTGAGTTGAAGCTCATTCTGTGGTGACATGTCATACATCTCCTTGAGAAAAAAAACAAAATGATTTCATCATTTTCAAAGGATTCACCCGGAGCATGCCTATGTATCCAACTCCAAGCATAAGATGACATTGACTGCTGTTGGAGACAGTAGGATTTTGGTCAACGGCAAGCTGATCACCAAGGCAACCAAGTTACATCACCAGGTGAGTTCTTTTCTCATATTATAGAGTTTATAAATTTGTTTTCGGACTTCCAATTCTGAATAAGTTTGAAAGATACAATTTTTACTCATTGTGAACCAAAATCCATTTAAACTAATTTTCCCACTAAGCAGTGTTTGTTCAGAAACAAGTGTTACTGGTGTCTTTGTACCAGTTTTCCTAAACCGTCTCAGTTAATTTTGACCGAAGTGAGCCACAAAACCTATTGGCTGCTGTTCAACTACTTTGTTAACATATTGACACTAACAGTCCTCAATTTTCCAATTTTCAAATGATTTTTCACACATCCCAGGGGGTTAGGGTTAAATAATTGAACAAAAGGTCAAATATTTGACAGAATACAGAAACAAAGCCTCCAATCCTGCCATAATCATAATAATGTAAAGCGCTTTTAACTAAGATCAAAGCGCTTTACATTATTATTACCCATAATCACTGGGCCAATGAAACATTCCAAATACAGTCTCAGCTCCCTGGGGTATATACAGCTCGATGCAGCCATTTCAGCGCAAGGCAGCTAGAATCAATCACAATAACCATCTCTGCCCTTACAGATACCCATTTACTCCTGGGTGGGGATCGAGAAGCAATGAGTGACAAAAGTGCCTTGCTGAAGAGAACACGCACCACAACCCCAGGCTTGAATCAAACTCACAACCTTCAGAATTACCCGCAGACCACAAGTTCAATGCCCCAGACCACGGGGCCGCAGCACTCCATACCATAATATTTGACAAGCTGTCAGTTTGCATATTTATCTTCTTTTTTTAGGATCGAGTCATTTTCGGTACAAACAGCCTTTTTCTCTACATCGGCTTTACCAACCAACGCTCAGCAGCTGAAGACAGCAAGGGCAAGTACAACTACCACTACTTCCAGGCTGAGTTGGCGGAGAGCCAAGGTTTTGGAGACAGAGGCATGCTGGGATTGACCATGACAGGTGACAACTCCGCCCACGATGCCCTGATGAGGCTGGTGTATCACGACTTCACTAGTCTTCTCCCATCAGTCGCAGAGGTCAATGAAATCAGTCAAGAAATGAATAGGGTAAGATTGAAGTAAAGGTTTACAATGTCTGTTGTAGCCTTAGTCAAGGCGCTAAATGTTATTCATCCCGGCCGTGGCGCGTAAACGACATCCTCGCTAGGGCCGTGCATTATTCAGTGCATTAAAAATACAGCACGAACAGCGACCTCATGCGGCCACCATTTCTATGCAAATTAGTTGGACCCAATATCGATCGCGCCTTGGTTCAATCGTGGCAAAAGCTTATGTTTTTTTTTTATTTTGCGCTGGATTTCTAGCGCACGACCTCGTATGCGAATACAGATAAGTGTAGGCGGGGCTAATATGTGGAGTGTCCAATCACACCTTGGTAAATCCGGACATCATCAAATTGTTTGCAGCTAGCTATTCGCCTTTTGCGGACGTGACAGGAACCACAGTTTTTGTGCATTGGTGCCGTGTGCAGAGAGACACATAATGTGTACGTGTACATGTATGGATTAAGTACGGTGCCACGTTTTAACTTTTACTGAGCAAGTTTCCCCGCAACGATCGACCAATAAGAAAACGACATTTAAGGTCAGCTAAGGCTATTAACATAATGAGCACCACCCCCAAAACCTCACATGGACGATTGAACCAAGGCGCTATATTGGGTCCAACTGATTTGCATAAAAATAGTGGCCGCGTGAGGTCGCTGTTCGCGCTGTATTTTTAATGCACTGTACTGCATGCATAGCGAATAGACATTATGACTGCATGCATTACCGCGCTACAGCCGGATAAAAAAAACAACTAGCGCCTTGACCAAGGCTATGTCTGTTGTTGCTATAAAAATGGGCCTTAGACAAGGATTTGCACGTTGGCCTTGAGGTACCAAATACTCTGTGAAGTTGTTTGTCCAGAAAGAGTTTCAATCAAAAGAAAACAGTCGTCAAAGATTGTTTGAGCACACTTTTTTTACATACGTTAACAAAGGAATCCAGTTACAAGGCCCAAACAAGTGTGCATTTATGTTTTCTGAAAATGTGTAGTATCCACTGAGCTGAAAGTTGAACAGGTTGGTTTGTTTATGCACCGTACTTTTGAGTAATTTTGTTGCTTCAAATGAAAAAAAAAATTGACAAAGAGCAAGTGATCCTATGTATCTTTTAGCAGTAAGGAAAAGTAAAAGCATACTGACCTCAGAAAAAAAATGCTAAAATTGTTGATGCAACATCATAGTAGTAAAGTAGTTGCGCTGAGTGCTCAAGTTTTTCAAAGAAATATCAGTATTCTATTGAATTATAAATGGTGATTATATAACATGTGCAAAGTTTTTATTTATTTTATTTTATTTTTTTAATTCAGGGGATAAGATTTGAACCTCTGATAAAGAATTTAACGTCCCACGATGCTCGGGGCCGAGACATGACAAAAGAGGTTGCAGTCAGAGTGACAGACACCGAAACAAACCAAGTGTGGATCTGGTCAGCGGACACGTTTGTCAATCGACGCTTTCTTATCAAAGACCTGTACCAGAAGTTCCTGGACTCAGATGGAGATTTGACCGTGCAACAGGTACTGTGGGGTAGGGCTGTGCCGATTAATGTACCAGATATTTGAGTATTCGGTTGTCCATCTAATATCCGAGTAGCATTTTCCTGATTTGTGTATTTGAAACTGTTTACGTTGAAGAAAAACATCCGTGATGTTATTTTAACCATATGAGTTGTTGACAGTCGCCTGACACACATCATTCAGTGAGGAATATTAGCTCTAAGGTACATTTGTCATAGATAAGCTTTCATTAACAATTCCCATGTTGTTGGCACATCAATTTCCAGCCGGCACATGCCTAAAACGTGCTGTGGGCCTGGTTGCAGATTATGTCCCTCGGCTTGGGCCATTATGCCCGTCCAGGCCCGTAGCCTGTTTTAAACGAACTTGTTTAAAACCGGCCAAGCACATATTAATTCCCTTATTAGTGCCAGCAGTGTCAACACCCACTCAACTAGTATAAGCCATTTCGGAGTTAAAAAATTTACTACTGTGCATGTGCACATCCCATGACAACGATTAGGGTCGGGGGATAAACAGTTCGCCACACGCGTGCAAAATCATAGCGGGGTATCAACGAAATTAAAGAAAAGTTCTTATTTTGAAGTAGATGCAAAATGTTGATTGTTTTCAACGGCACCATGGTTTACGTTGTTTCGTGTGATCCAACTTTTGTGCGAACAAAAATTTCCATCTTCTGTTACTAGAAGAAAATTGCAAAATGTGGATTTGATTACCACGTCCCCCATAGACTTGAGTGCATTTATCTGCTTTGTTTATCTTCCGACACTAAATCAGTGAATCTGATGTGCGCACGTGCAGTAGTACATTTTTGTAACTCCGAAATGGCTTATTGGTCTAATTCAGCATAGAAAGCACTTAACTTTTGAGATACTTTAATCACTCTAATTGGTGCAGAGTATATAGCTTCAACTTATCCTTTTTCCACAAACTTCGGTATGTTTACTAATTAGACCACGAGCAACAAATATAACCTACTTGTGACAGGAAAATTGTGCCTCTAAAGGGGGCTGTGTCATTAGGGAGACATGAAAATGTCTCCCTAATGACCGATGTCTCCCGTCGTGCGAAGAAATACGATAACGTGTCTCCTTAGTGGTACCTTTACACGTATCATAATAATAATAATAATGGATATTTATCAAGCGCAGCATATCCACCAAAAGGTGCTCTAGTCACTAATACAAAAAATAACAATAGCAAGAAGGAAAAATACAGAGTAAATAAAATAAATAACAATCAAAACAAATGATAAATGCCTAAATGACTAAAACAAATATCAAGAAACAATGTATTGAAATGACAAGCTCACTCACAGATAATAATATCTCTCTTTTTTGCATGCAGGCTGCGGACCCATTCTGGGACCCCGTTGAAGATGTGTTGCTCGGAACGTGAGTAGAAAATCTGTTGCAATGCATGTATCTTTTCTGCTAACAGAGCCTTGGTGTATTTCACGGAGACAGTAAGCAGTAAGCACAGCAAAAGCTTAAGTTTAACCCCCGAGGAAAAAGTTGCTTAAATCAGTGATGTAACAATAGAAATCTTCAAGCGCTTGCAACTGTTAGCACATATCCCACATCACAGCAGTCAACAATTGTTTTGATATATTGTGGCAATAAGTCAAAATGATAAACGGTTGTGAATCAGTGCGGTTTTACCCTTGATAACTGCAGGCTTTCCTACTATGCATGAGACTGAGCGATTGCACATTGCAGTTCTTGCAAGCGCATGTGCAGGTTCTATGTTAAGGAGAATACACGAGAAAGTGTGGATTTGTAATTTAAGAATTCACGAGGTGCAAAGCGCCGAGTGAATTCGTAAATTAAGAATCCACACTTGTGAGTGTATTCTTCGACTTAAACCATTGCGTCAAAAGAAGTATTGTCATTAACAGTCCAGTGAGTGGAGATGAAAAGACTTGCATATCTCTTGTCAATTCGTGACCATTAGGGTATTTACAAGGGAGTTTTTTCGAGGCTGTTATATGTAATCAAGCATTGTGTCATGTTTAGCATGTGTATCGCCACACCCGTACAACCAAATCATTTTGTGTGTAGGCTCCTTCCGTCAACATGGATAGTTCAGACGACGATTTCTTTCTGACTCAAAGTAGTTTTTACAGTGACGGCAGAGAATCTGACTGTGAAGATGCATTGGTATTTTTCGGAAGGAAACTTTTCACGCAGACGGTCCTATTAATGCTCATTATGGAGAACAATTGTCCGACATGTTCAAAGTGAGGATTCGTAATTTTGAATCCACATTTTACTAAAGATTCGTCGTTCCGAATCCACACTTTTTGACCAGTGTAACAGATTTGTAGTTCCGAATCCACACTTTTAAGAATAGTGTGACGTCATAGCAATGGTTTAAGCATTTTTACAGACTGGACACGTAGCCGCTCTCGACAAATGAAATTACAAGTATCCAAGCACACGATATAGCAACACAATTTATTTCAGTTCTCCGATAATCATCAACTCAGAACTCTATGCTTTTTAAAACTTACATAGTCACTGACCCATGCCTATATAGACTTCTTGAATTGGTACAGGTCTCTTATGTTAATAGAGCTTGTTAACATGTAATATGAACACAGGATTTTTTCGTTTGTTTTAATTTAGTAACATTGAATGCACAAATAGTTTACTCATGCTTATCCAAGCAAAACAAACCACTGCCCTCTAACTCCGCCTTAACGTATGAGGTCTATATATATATGTCATGTGTGTAACCATAGAATCATGTAGTTTTCTGATAATGTGAAACTTTTAATTTTGTTTTCCAGCTGCCATGTTTGGTTGATGAGTCTTGCTTACCTGATGGGAATAAATGATGAGTTTGAAGTCCAGAATGACCAGGGTAAAGAAGAAGGATCCATGTCGGTCAAAATACTGCCTTGCGATAAGAAAGGAAAGTAAGTCTTTGTTTGAGCAGACCATACTTTGTTTCAGCAAACCACAACATTCTTGTTATAGTCTAGCCCATAAAGGTGTCTTTACTCTTGAGCGTAGTAAGTGTCCTTTGTCAACATCCAGTTATAAAGATCCCTCTATAATAGGAAAAAAACAGTTGCACAGAAATTTTTTAAAACTTAATTGTGTAAACTGCTGATATGTGGTATCTATATGGTTTGACCTTTGTGGATTTGTGCAACGTTTGCCTTTTAGTTATTTGATTTTTGGCAACATTATTCATATCGTATCCAAGGATGGCAATAAATGAGGATAGCAAATCATCATGTTTACACGGAAGGACATGTGAGAAGTTTTGTTTCGCGTATTGCATTTGAAGTTCGTGCATCGTATGGCGACCGCACACAGTGAACTTTCATGTCCATAAAAGAGGCTAGTCTTTGCAATTTACGTTGTTTCTAATGAAAAACAAATATCTCGCAGATGTATGGTTGTTATTTTATGATCTGTCAATGCAAAGACAGATGTTAATACTAAGGGAATATATTTGTGCTTGGGTGGTGTCAAACATGTTTCAGACTGGTTTGAATCTGGATGCTGATAATTACCTTTAATAGCCGAAGGCAAGGGTAATTATCAGCATCCAGACTCCAAATACCTTTTTGGTCAAAAAATCTAAACTTTTCGGTCCAAAGTCAAAACAAGTCCAAAATTAATAATTCCAACGATTTTGTTCAACAATTTCACTTCATGTTTTTCAAAACACCCCTCTAGCTATATAATGGAGTGTCCAGCTCGCGAGTAAGTCATAAACAACTCCTTTTATGGAGATTTGCGCACGTACTGTGGATGTTGCACAGAATGCAGCTGTGGTGGTGCGGTGTGAATTTAGGACTATGAAATACTGACGCACTGGTAGTATTGCGCATGCCTACGTGAGGATTGTGAACGTTCTGTCAATAAATCAGTAAAAGGCACCGGATTTCATAGGAGTCCTAATTTCATGTGACACTGGAAAAGTGTTTTAAGACCAGCCAGCCGGTCTTTATCATCTGTTTAAGACCGGCCATGTGACGGGCCCTCGACCAATGGGAATGGGTAAACTCTCTTAGGTATTTATGAATGATGACGCATTGTAATTGAGTCGATCACAAGTCAAATCACAAATTAAATCACACAACAGGGGATGGGAAAAATAGACTGTGACTTGGCTTGAGACTAGATGATTTGTGAATAACTTGTGGTAGCCTGTGACTGACATCTTACGTCCATTGATATTTAGAGTCTTGGGAGATGACAGCATGACATTGGATCCATCAGAGCTGCTTGGCAAGAGACTTGATCTATTGGTCATCATCAAGCAGTGTCGTGGAGTACAGTGGATTCGAGAAGAGAGCAGACGAGGTGTCTACTGCATGTAAGGCTTCATCCGCAATAGGGCTTATTCCTGAGCGGGCGAGGGCGCTATAACTAAGCCGTTTGGGGCTTAAAACATATGTGAATGCAACGTCATTGATGAAAGTTTTTTACAATCTTGATTATTGAGTTACAATTAATGGGTGTGTTACAGGTAATGTGTGCTTACCCATATCGTCTCAGGTTAGCCCTGTGCTATTGGGTTAGCTCTGACATCATTCTCGGGCTCACCCTGGTCAGCTACCACAGACCCTGCTCGTGGAGCAGAGTCACTGGTGGAAATACCTCACATGCATGCGTTGTTCATTCCTAGAATACACAAGTATGGTGGCCGGACAGCGGAAATCTTGGATGGACCCAAAAATCAAATTTATTTGAAGTCTAATTCAAGTACTCATTTATTGAGTTTCTTGCAGCTTTAAAGGCTATAATTCTAGCCCAACTTTTTTTAGTTTTGCAATTGACAGAAGAGCAGTAAATCTCATACTAAGACCCAGTCTGAAATGGGTGTTTTGTCAGTGGCTACGGCCATGGCTAAGGGCGTCAGGTGAGGATCGTGATGGCCCGCGGTTGAGTGTTCGATTAGCCTGGCTGTCGTGGCTAACAGGACTGCCTTTACCTGAGTCGATCCAGGGAGCGACTCAAATGCACCCACAGTGACTTACATGTTTCAAAAATGAGATTTGTCTTGTGTTTGTACAAATTGCGTAACTGCAGTGGCCTTATTTGCTAAAAAAACATATGGCGTATTATTGTAATCTCCAGTAAAACAGTGCTTATAATGCAGCTGGGTCTTTGTGAGGGTGCTGGCCATAAGTTGTGTCCTTGGGCAAGCCACTTCACCCCACTTGCCTCCTTCCACCCAGGAGTATAATTGGGTACCGGCATTAAGCTGGGGAGTAACCTGCGATGGACTAGCATCCCATCCAGGGGGAAGAGAAATATTTTTAGTTGTTTTGTGCCGTGGAATTTTGATTTTGGGCCATAATTATTGATTGGCTCCTATGACAGACTTGACAGTATACCAAAAACCAACATATTTAGCAATCTTATGCATCCACATGCAAGATGAAAACGGAACCATACATGTATGTACTTCTCGCCTGAAAAGTAGTCATGTTACTAGTGATTTGGAAATTGTGCGACAATGAGTCATCAGCTTTGCGTCTGTCCAAGCAATGATAATAATGTTTCATTGCCATGGACATAATTTGGTCAGATACGGAACAGGTTGAATGAGAAACTAAAGGTTAATTTGATTTGTCTTTGATCTGATGATGAAAATGGGTTCTTATTGTCTTTTATAGGTTTGATTTCTTTGACTGCCCTACATCATTTCAAACGAAGACTGTTTGGCATAACATCAACACCAAATTCAGTTTCCAGAAACAGTTTTCCATCAAGACCGTCACCGAGGAATTTCTGGCATATCTTCAGACCAATGCACTTCTCTTACAAGTGTGGGGAACACAAGGTACCTATTCCTTCTGTTATATCACCTTCTAATATTCCATCATTGACAAAATGGGTGTTTTAGTGTTAACAGTACACAGTACAAAACGAACCTCTATCCTGATTAGCCAAAGCATGGGGTAGTCACACAGTAAAACTCAGGTTCAATGTGTTATGCTTGTATGCTCAAGTTAAAAAAATAGTGTGTGATTTTACAATTGTGTTTTCTCTTAATGCACAACCACAGCATATTGCTTTATAATGCAGTCATCAATACAACCACAATTTAAGTTGAGAATAATACTGATTTTGCCTTCATGGGTTTATAATAATACCTCGCCAAAAAAGTAAGACATTGTCCACAACCTTACTTTATCAACTAGGGGTGCGTTCAGCATTAAGGTTATCAAGGCCCCTGCGAATCTGCAAACCAAAAGTGGAATAAAATGCCTTCGAGAGAATTGTTCAAATGGCAGGGTCCAGTGCTACCTAAGTGTCATTGTGTGGATAGCAGCTTTTCAAATCTTACAAAATAAATTGTGACAAGTTGTGAAATGTAACCAGTAAAATATGTGACGTTATTAGATGTTAATCAAAACTAAAAATAATTCAAAAAAAAAATATCCATCTTATGAATAGTTATTAGATGTTTTGATGTAAAAAATGGCAAGTTTTAGCTGTAACAATATCACTCTGTGTGTGTCAGCTATCTTGGAAAACACAGCGGTCTTTGTTGCTAACTTTGACCTAAGTGTTGGTGGCACATGGACACTCCCGCTTGTGCAAACAATGCCAATGTTTTCAAATGTTAGCGTTGTTCATGTATATGTATGGTTTTCTCCGTAGCTAGTGGCGACGCTGAGGTACGTGTAGACAGCCTGAATGACCAGCCTGTTGGTATCCGTCCCAATCTCAGCTCATCCTCATTAAACAGCCTCAGTGATGCTTCCGTCTCGTCTTCGAATGATGAAGAACCTCTGGTATGTCCTTGTGTTCAAAATGTTAAACTCTTGGAATCAGTGCTCTTGATCATACTGCTCTTTCGTAATTTGAATTTTAATCAAAGGTTTATATTTGACATAGCAGTATGTCAAGGGTTCAATTTCTTGAGCAGCGCTATCTACCACCCATTTTATTGCCCAGCAGGCCGGCATTTATCTCCGGTTTCAGTAGCATGAAACGACTGAGAAGATTTCTATCCCCCTTGGATGGGATGCCAGTCCATCGCAGGTTACTCCCCAGCTAATGCCGGTAGTCATTTATACTCTGGGTGGAGAGAGGCAAGTGGGGGTAAAGTGGCTTGCCCAAAGCTTGGTAAAGTGGCCTCTCAACCCTGGTCCTGACCGGGGTTGAATCTTACCAATGTAGAGTGCTGGACCCGTGTAGAAGCTGTGATGGATTTTTGCTAGTGTGATAAAAACGGCCTTATGAGAGAGCTTGCTTTTGAAACTTGCTTGTAAAAGGAAAATCAAGAGGCTTCCAAACCTCTGGAGTTCAGAAAATAAAGAGGTGTTCTAGCTCCTGCTGTGTCTCAATGGTGTAAAAAGGATCAACTTGAAAAGAAAGGCATAATGCTTTGACATATAACTTGAATGAATCAGAGTGTGTGTGATTTGTTGGCTGGATGCAGATGGGTAGAGAGTTCTCTGATGATCTCAGGAAGCAAGCAATATTCAACCAGAGACAACTGAAGGAGAATGAGAGAGTCAAGAAGACCGGCAAGCGACTTCATCATCATCATCTTCAGTCAGTGGATCTACCAGGGAGACTCAGAGCTGGATCAGGTCTGTTGTTACCATAGGTCGAGGTATATTAAATTTACTAGAGTGCTACTACTCTTCGTTCCTATGCATAGAATACTTTCAGTAGTGTCCTGGGACTTGTCTTGAATTGTGTGTATGATCTAATAGAACATGTTGATCTGATACACCGTACCCTCTGGAGACATGCACACAATAGGGAACAAAAGATTGTATACATCTCCACAGGGCAATTTCTATAGATGAATGCATCACCACAAGGTTTTCACGAAATAGATATATGGATATTACTCAAAAACTAGGAATTTCCAAGGTATGTTGATTTGTCCCAAATGGTAGAGTTTTAGAAAAGGGATATTAAATCCGAATTTCAGCCAAGGAAATGAATTCTGGTTAAAATAAGAGCATTTTGAAACTGTACTTTCAAACTCAAAAACTTTACAACACGAGAAGAAAGAAATGTCTCCACAAGGATACAAATTTCAGTATCTGTGAATGAGATGGAGCAGATTTTTACCGGGGAGCTCTACATATGTGCAACTCGAGAATAGAATGAACATGGCTGCATAGGCGCAGTTTCATATGTTTTTTCTAAACAAACATTTGGGAAATGCATACATGCATGTAAACGTTGTTTGCATGGGGTGAAATGAACCGCTCATTTACTAACTGAATATTTCGGTTTTGGGTGTATCAGTTTTGAATTTAAACACAGATATGTACATAGCCATGGAAAAGTTGAAACAAATTTTGGAGCTTTCCGCAGTTTTGTGTCCGAGTCTCCAAGGGCGGATCCAGGGGGGGGGGGGGGCCAAAGGGGGCCATGGCCCCCCCCCCCCCCCCCCCCCCCAAAACGAAACCAATTTTTTTGTTTTGTATGTGACATCGCAATAAAGGCAGGCAGTGAGTACACCACCATCTTTTCCTCTAAAAACATTGGTTAAGGTGGTCAGAAATTGCCTCAGATCGCACCACAGAGCATCTAGAATCAAAACAAATTTCGGGGCCCTTAAGCAGGCCCCGAACCCCACGCCGTAATTTTTTTACCCACTTTTTTGGGGGACCAAAATTTTTTGGCCCCCCAAAAAATTGTGTTCTGGATCCGCCCTTGCGAGTCTCCAGTACTATAGCTCTTCAGTTGCCCCCTACATGTATCTGATGGTGCATGTGGCATCAAGACTAACTTTGATCTGTGAATTTTTAAATGTTTGGATCAGTGAATGTTCATAAAAATTCACCTGTAATGTAAGTAATGAGAGTGTGTCAAATACATTGTATCCATTGAGCAAATGAATTAATAACGGGGTTTATTAAGGGAATAAATGTGTGCTCCGGAGGTTTTTATCACTCTGTTTAGCACCCAGACTCTAAGTGGTCTTTAACAGAGTGATAAATACCGACGGAGCACATATTTATTCCCATTCATAAATACCTTTTCGGTAAAAGACACTTATTGCAAAAAAAGTATCAAATTGTTTAGAACTATTACATAAATGGGGAAAATAATTGAAATCTGACGTTTCTGATATGCTACAAATTTGAGATGGAAATATGTTATCTGAAATCAGAAAAACCCTTAAATTTGCCGGAACACGTAGATCCCTGCTAGAAATGCACACATTATTATTATTTACTTGCCATCACAACAGAAAATCACAATACAAAACATGATGACTGGAACTTAAAAAATGAACCTGGTCACTATTGCCTACATGCATTCAGTCCCAAGACAATAAAAAGCAAACATATTTGTGAGTACGGAAAATGTTTAGGTATATCTCTGCTTCTGCTTGTGCTTCTGCTTCGGTTCTGCATAAACACTCCCTGGAGGGTTATAAATACGAACCAAATACAGCAAATTCATTCTATTTTTCAACAGTTCCAGCTTATGGAGCTCCACAAAACAGTCAGGCCAGAGAGCGCTCTGCATCACATATTGTAGATACATCAAATGGTCCAGAGAATTCAGGCACAAGTGTTGATGGGCAAATTGGCAAGTTGCTGAAGACGTTCTTCCACGACATCAAACCAGTACAGGTCACGATGAAAGCAATGCAGGAATCTTATGAACAGGTAGGCTCCAAAATATCTTTGAGTATTGCTGTATAAGGACGTCCTCAGGTCGACCTTGCGATGACACAGAACAGTCGGCGACTGACATTTACGGATCAAGCTGCGCCTGCATGAGCTACGACTGTCCGGAACATATCAGCCGCCAATTTTCTGCGACCTGAGCGTAACTGCGACAAAATTAAGACGATCGGCATCAGTCACCGCTAATATCAGTCGGCGCTAATATCATATCCTTTGTCTCCCCCCACGTTTTCCGTCCTCGAATAAGAATAGTAGCCTACATTTGATTCTATAGCTCAGAATGACTCCAAACTCGAAAATGATGTTTAAATGACGATCAGCTGCTAAAAAATAATTGGTTAAAGTGGTCAGAAATTGCCTCAGATCGCACCACAGAGCATCTAGAATCCTGAACCCCATGTCGTTAGGGCTTCGTGCTTCGCACTCACATTAGTTCTGACCACGGTATGTCAAAAAAAACCACCCCCCCCCCCCCCCCACTTTTGAGAAGTGATTGACGCCCTTGATCATGCACGAGTCTGGATCATGTTATTTCATTGTGTAGACATTCAGTGTGCGGTGAAAATGTTTGAATAAAAAGACGTGGCCTTGGAACAACATTTGATTGATATCAACACACGCACCGCCATTTTGAAAATGTCACATGATCACGCCTTTGCTGAGGAATCATCGTTTCATGGTTTCGTTTATTTTATGTCGAGATGCCGCTTATTCCACGAAAATCACACCATTTCTCAGTTTTGTGACCCGAGCATAATTTTTCTGCTTGATGTCGATGGTTCCGTCGCGGCGCAAGCAAATCGCAAGTTGACCTGAGGGCGCTCTACCTAAAGTGATTTGAACTTTCTTACATTCTATCTCCGAAACAGATTTAGAAAGGATAGTACACCATTGTGTTTACACTTCCTGTTGCTGTAAAAGTTGTAACTGATTTAAGCGCCTATACAGGGTGTTTCAAAAGGAAAGTTACTGAATATAACAGGTTAGAATGTGAAACTTGAAAACTGTCAGAGTGGTTCCATCTTTTTAAGGGAAATTTGGCAGCTTTCCAATAAAATCTTATTTGCATCTCTGTAGTCACGGGTGACTGAGTACCGTCAGTTTCAAAAAGGCTAAAAATCCCCTTTTTCCAAGTTTGTTTGATCCAGTGGCGAATTGAGCTGTGTAAAAATGCACTGTCGCAGTGGAATTATGTGTTGAATGGGGAGGTAGACATGTTGAAGGTGTTGGTGCATAAAATGAAATCATGTTTCATGACTAATTAAAAATCATTTTGAAGATTTGTTTTTCATTAAAATAACTACCTCATGCCTAAATGCACTCAAAAGAAAGCTTGCCCATACGTCCCAACTTGGCAATGTTTGGGCTATGTCTATTGCAGGCTATGGTTTGAAAGCATTTTGACATGGGATTGCTGATTTTAAATGATAAACATGTAAAATCAACAATGCCAGTTGATGAAGACACTGGGATGGTGTGGCAAGCTCCTGAAACAAGCTCTGTAACTCTAGTCCCAAAAAGTTACCTTCTAGTTACTTGATACAATAATGGGACTGGAAACGAACTTTCATGTTCGATAATAAACAAATACGTTACTGAAACACCTCCCTTTTCAACGCACAGTCCACAGCAACAGCACGTTTTTTGGAACAGCTGAACTCACCCCTAATTGCTAGATCATAAATCATTACTGAATTGCCCCTTAGGTTGACCTTAATGACCTAGAGGCCATGAGGACACATATCCTACAACAACAGGAGCAAGTGACCGGCTTAAACAAACAGCTGACTACCAGTCTGACATCTCTGCGCAGTCATCTGAGTCTGATCATACGATCCAAGAGGCAATCCAGATTGACGACTGACTCACAGGATCAGAACGGAATGGGAGATCAAATGCAGACACAGATAGCATGGGGACAGTAGTCCAAAGGCAAAGATTAAATTAAAGGTACACTAACCATGCTCTTCAACAAATTTGGTGTCATTTTGGCATCAGCAACCCTCTGAAAGAAGGCTTTTATATCATTATTTTATTATCAGAGATGAAACTGGCGTATGGCGAAAAAATCGGAAAATAGGCCGAACAAAATACGTGTCCCGAAAATCTGGGCCGCGCTGCAGTAACACACGTACATGCATGTACAATACAATTCATGCCCAACTTCCGGACACCAACTCCTGCTTTATTTTGATTCAAACAAAATTTTACCATGAAAAAAAAAATGGTCGGAGTTTTCATTGCATAAAACGCCTGAATTACGGTTAGAGTAATGGAGTCATCAATAAAGAAGTTCACTTCTTACTTGAGAAAGTCGAGGGAAAAGTCCGAAAGACAAGGGCACATTCAACCACACAACTGCACTACTCCACTTGCATTCATACGTGGGGAAAAATCAGGCATTATCGTCTTTCTCTTCCAACAAATGCCAGTGAAATGTTTCGCTAATGCCCTCTTCGCTATCCTCGAGATACTCATCACGATTTTTAAAACATTGCATTTTGTACAACTAAATCTGAAACCTCCGAAAATTGCACAACATAATGATTTTATCCACTGGATCGTTCACAAGGCTACCCGTGGCCGACCGGCCATGTGCTAGCGGACGGTACGGTGCGGTATGCGGTACGTACGCTGGTACCATTGCATATTCGCACGCACGTGCGACACAGTGATTTTTCCATGTCGCCTGTCAATGTTTAAACTTTTGTCCAGCAGGAGAAGGCTCCGCGATCAGTGTTATGCCCTGTGTTTCTACCGTTGAAACACTCCAATAACGACTGGTGAAAGAGATTAAAACTAAGTTCGCGATGATTTTAACGTGCAATTTCCATCGACTTTTCATCGACTTTTCTTCGAAATTACGATGAAATAAAATGACATTTTCTTGAAAAAAATCTTTACAAAATCAAAATTTTGTTGGACACACTGTAAAAAAATCGGAAATTTTGTTGGAAAATTCAAAAAGTCGGATTTCCGATTAAAATCGGAAAAGTTTCATGTCTGTATTATTTATATCTGGTAAAGAAAAACGCCCTAGGCACTGTAGTTCGCAAGCCTTTAGAAACCTGTAGAGAGGAGACAATGAGAAAAAATGACAGTTTTAGAGGTGGGAGGAATACCCCAGAAAACCCACGGAATCGGGCAGGGACTAAAAACCCAATCCACATATATTGGCCCAGGCGGGATTCGAACCCGGGTCACAGCGGTGGATGGCGAGGAAAGTACCGCTACGCCAACCTGACTTAGGTTGCTTTTGCACACAAACACATCCGTCCTACCTGTAGACTGATTGCCAATCCATGTTTTATCGGTCCTGATTAGGAGGCAGGAACCTGATCTACCCTGCTCAAACTGAATAATTGTCGGGTGGCAAAGAAATTATTCCATAACTAAACAAGGGCCAACTTTGTGTTTGATGTCTATTCACAATTCAATAACTATTGAAAAATTAGAAAGAAATCTATTTTTCAGGGTGAAAATCGGAAATAGCACCAACAGTGCATCTATAAGAGATATGAAATATTTCAAACGTCCCTGTACCTTTTTCAATTAAAAAGTATTTGTAGCTTTAAGTTTATTTTATTAAATGTGTTTTTAACCAACTTTAAGTTGTCACACATACCACAGTGCAACTTGCGCTTCATCATGAGAGCCATTACACAGAAATCAGTAAACATGTCATAAGATATAGTGTGTCTTTGCTTCATTGTTGCATTACAAATTTTAGAGCCAGTTAACACTATGTAACAAAATCGTGATGCAGCTGAATTTAAATTTATAAACTAATGATACATTAAGAAGTAGATGAATCTGGCGAGCAACTGCTGTATAGGGCTCTTTCACCACCCTGCCTACATCCAGGCACCTGAAATTCAGCATAGCCAATTGTACAGGGTGAGTTAAAAAAAAAACGAAACCCAAAGGTCGGGACCATTTTGACCAAGTGAAGTTCTGCATGTAGCACTTTCAAAATGTAGGATATGAAAGCCCAATTTGTGAGCTTTCTTGTAGTACAAGAATCATTCAAATCACTCATGTACTTTTTTTCAAGTTACAGAAGTTTAAACACAACCACCGTTTTAAAGTTCTGTCCATGGATCACAAAAAAGGTAAGTTGTCTTTCAGCAAAACGAAAACAATTCTCATAGGGATGAATATGAATTGTTTTTGTTTTACTGAAAGAAGACTTCCTTTTTTTGTTATCAGTGGACAGAACTTTTAAACTATTTTTTGTTTAAAATTCCGTAACTTGAAAGGTACATGAGTGATTTGAATGATTCTTGTACTAAAAGAAAGCTTATGAATTGGGCTTTCATATCCTAGATTTTGAAAGTGCTACATGCAGAACTTCAATAAAAAAAATGGTCCCGACCTTTGGGTTTCGCTTTTTTACTCGCCCTGTAATTGACAAAGATCGTATAGCACACCCCGCAGTAGGTAGTAGACAAGCCTTCAAAGCTGTGATGGATGGCAAAAACTGTGAGGAAAACGTGGAGCCAACACCCAGTGCTGGGTTGGCACGATTATGACAACCGTACACAGCACAGGTACTGACCATTGAGCTATTTGATAAAGAATTTGCGGTTATGTACTTGAAAATAAGCCCCACTGTCTAGTTGACATGTGGGAGCTAACCAAACATTTGCCTACTGCAATGGTGGTCGATCACAGGAAATCCGGATGGTCACATGGTACTTTGAGTTTAACGTCATACGGTCAGAACCTGTTTGGCCACAGAACCCATCATGCTTCAAACAAAAATGCGTGTGGATTTTGCACTCCTTTGGGGCCAAAAGTGTTTCAGTAATGTTGTCGGAATCGTCTCTGTTGATCAGAACATCTATCAGATAGCAACCGCTGATAGTGTTTTCTTTCCGTTGTTATTTTGTGCAAATTTGTCTATTTAGTACCTGTAAACAGCAGGGACGAAATTAACACTGTAATATATTATGAGATGTTCCTTGATACGTGTAAATGTTATGTGACAAATAATAAATACTTCTTTTTAAGAAGAGCAGTGTGGATTATCTCGAGGGTCACAAATATGAATTTCAAAACAAAACTTTCTTGATTTGTATCTATATAAAGAATTCTGTATATACTCAGTCATCAGTTCATCCATCCATAACTTTTGCGTCCATTGAGGTATCCTTATTGTATTCTGCATACTATAGGCATGTATATTTGTATATATTTGATTATGCCAAAGTAATTATGTAAGAAGAGATAATTTATACACAATATGTATGTAACGGGAAAAAATATATATTAACGAGTACTCGTGTATTTTTTAAGTAAATCAATTGTCATGAAATTGAAAATATGCAAATTATGAAGTTTCAACATCTTGTCATCTTGTGTAAGTCTGCGGTGTCTTGTACTGTAGATTATGAGTTCCATGTTCCATATTCAATACATCAGGGGGGGCTAGTAACTATGGTTTGTTTGTCTAATTCCAGGTGTGTTATGCGTGGAAAGATGAGTTCCCATTGCTAGATCTTGTCAACGGGTTTGCATTAAGGCAGTGGCGCCCCAGGGGGGGGGGGGGGGGGGAGGGACATCCCCCCCTTAAGTTTTTCTTGCCCCCCCCCCTCCCCCAGTTGTCTACATATAGATTAATTTTGTTTATTTCCTTTGCTGTTCAAAATCAGAACTATAGTTAAAAACAGAGTGTCATTTTGGTTCTGTGCACACAGTTGGCCCCGGCATTATAACAAACTGTCATTGGGTGATGATTGATAGTGGTTGTTTTATTTACACCTGGTATTGCATTACTGACACTTTAGCTTTTGGAAATCAGATATTACTTTGACTGCCCCCCCCCCCCCCCCCCAAAAGAAATATCCGAGTCCTGCCCAGATACGCACGAAATATTACGCTCGCGAAAGTTGCATCTTACACCGTAAAAACTATGAAGCTCTGTAGACAAATTCCAGGATTTGAATTTTTGGGGTTGGGTTTCTTTAACAGGTACCCGTGTTTTAGTTAAATAGGGTACCCAGTTCCAGTACGACCCGAAAATGCACACCACTATATGTGACTGGTTCCACAAAAAAGGGTATTATGTCGCAAAAAGTGAAACTGAGTTATATCTATGGTTGGAAAGCCCACAATTTAAGCTTTCATTTGGTATATAATAGAATTCAATAGCCCCTCCCGTTCTGGAGATATGACGTATTTGCATATTAATTATTTCCTTGGAGTTGAAATTACACAACCGAGAAAACAGGCGTTGAAATAGCTGGCTTTCTTGTAGAACATCAGAACGATGCACACAAAATGGTTGTTTTTTTCCAGTTTGTTTATCAAAATCAACATTTCTGTGGAATGAAACCTGAAACTGTAAGTATCAAAGATGTCATTCATGACAAAAAATGAAAATCAAATTTTGATGAAATGTGCACCCTCTCAATGTTGAGCGGGCCAGTACACAATAATGCTCAGCGCGACTTAATACCCTTTTTTGTGGAGCCCGTCACATATGGTACGCATGTGGCACGGAGTGCAGCGTGGTGCGACCGGTTTTAAACCTTGTTGACTAGTGTTTAAATGGGAGCTTAAAACCACCCACGTGACGGGCTCTCGACCAATAGGAATGGGTAAACTGTCCGAGGTATTCATGAATTATGAATAAATAACTAAGTATAATTCAATATTGCACCACATGACAAAGTAAGAGAAAATCCACACAGGAAACTGAATTTATTTTTTTTACTTTTTTCATTTTTTTTTTTAATATGAAACACTGCTATACAAACAACATTTGTTACAATGTACACTAAATACACACAGACAACTTGTTACACAGAGGTTGAACGCAATGATTTAGGTCTACTCACGAACCGTTTGGTCATGTTGGACTATATCACATCTAGCATTAATTAAATGTACTTCTGTAACTAAACATCTAAAACAAATAATGTCGAGTATAAAGACAGACTTTCAGAATGTTCCCATTCAAATATAAAAGAATGACTGCAATAGTCCTGTGTGCACATTCACACACAAAAGTTACATGAAGTAGGGATTGCTTTCTCACTTCTTCAGGGCTGTGTCGCAAACTAACAGACAACAAACCACAATTTTTGCCAACCAAGGTAGTATGAAATTAAATGTTGCTGTACAATTTGCAAGGCGAAAAGAAAGAAAAACACGAAAAAAAAGATATCTGAATAGATTTTTGTAAACAGTACTCGGATTTGTTCTAAGATTAAAACCTTACAAGCATCTTGATGGCAAATTAGTTAGACTTCAATACTTTTGATGATCTTACATGTTTGATCAGAAGATAGCATAGCAAATATTGGTGTCTTATAATGAAAATAATAACCTAAATACCCAATGAAAGCTACTGACACCAAAAGTGAAGTTGGGCCCATTTTTTCTTAAATGTTCTTTGAAAGTTGTGGACTCATTTTACAAATGAAGCATTTACTCTCTGTCCAGTTCCTGCAAAGGCATAATCACGCTGGTTCCTCCCTTTCAACATTTTCAAAACTAACTCCATCACCAAACGAAGAAAGGTTCAATTGTTGTCATTTCAAAATCATTCTTCAAGAGTTCCTTAGGAATAGTCCAACTGCTCCTTGACTTCTTTCTGATTTATTTCAGGAAAACGATTGTGCCGTCATTTTGCCCTTCGTTGAAAAGCTTGCTTCAAGATCATAAAGAAATTTGCCTTCTTGTACAAAAATAATTGCAGAAATGATACCCTTTCTGCTAAATGTCATATTTGTGCGAAGTTCTCTCACCATACTGGAGCAAAATTTCATGACCTAACCAGTTCAGTTAAAAGAAACCAACGCACTAGCCTCCTGGAGGTGTTTCTCTCTGAACTTGGAATGTTCCATTCCATTTGAAATGTTCCATTCCATTTGGAATGTTCCATTCCATTTGGAATGTTCCATTCCATTTGGAATGTCCCATTCCATTTGGAATGTCCCATTCAATTTGGAATGTCCCATTCCATTTGGAATGTTCCATTCCATTTGGAATGTTCCATTCCATTTGGAATGTTCCATTTGACAATACATAAGCATTCCCACTGTGACATCTGGCATCTAACTGAGGAACACTAGAACGTTTTAAGACATGTAGCACAACAAGAACCCTATATCTTAATCTTGCTACCCACCTACAAACTAATCAAGCACAGATTGTTGCCCGAAAAAATAATATGAATAGAACAGAGAGGGAGACAAAAAAGAAGAAAGCAAAAACATATTTACGTTCACTTGAGGTTAAGCTTTATGGAATTCTTGACCAGAGTGACTTGTTTAGGCATAGGTGATGACATGTCAGGCAACTCACCGCTGGGTAGACGCTGGGGATAGAAAAGCAAGAAATACCACAGGCAGGTACTTGGCTTCATTTATATATACTCGTACATGTATTCCCTTAACAAGGGCAAGTGTATATTCTATTTGCAAGTCTCACGAGAAAGAAATCAAAATTGTTAGTATCCTCATGATTGTTGAAATTGTCAACAACAAAAATGTTATTAAAAACTTTTCAAAGAAAACAATGTCCTTGAAAAAAAAATTTGTTGGTCTGCATATGTACAGGCAATGATTCCTTATTCAAAAAAAAAAGAGCTTGGTATATTGCGATTATATTGCGATTATATTGCGATTGAATTTCACACTTGGCCCAAGTCCGGTGTTGAGCTTGGTCGGTGAAGTATGCTTATTTGGCACTTGTTGCACTTTGGGGGAAGATGTCGATGGAATTGAGGGCTGGGCAGGCTGGGTTGACTGGGATGGCAGTGTGTGTTGTGGATATCGATTTAAGTCCCACTTGAGTCAAGTCCAAGCTGGGACCCTGCTAATTCAAAACCTGAATCGCAACAGGTGATAACTTAGCGTAGACCATTTTTTTTGGTTCCAATGCTCCATTGTAAAGTTCATAACTTCTAACAAACAATTAATTCAATTTTGAAATTTATTTTTCTGAGTCAAGTGAAAGTAAAGTCTGTCACGAGCCAATGTGGCCCATCAGGCCGGCGTTTATCTCCGGTTTCCTTGGCATGAAACGACTGAGAATATTTCTATTCCCCCTGGATGGGACGCCAGTCCATCGCAGGTTACTCCCCAGCTAATGCAGGTAGAAGTGGCTTGCCCAAGGATACAACCAGGCATGAGAATGAATTTCAATTTAAAAAAAAACAGGAAACTTGTGCAAAACAGGAAAAAAGATGTGAAATCAGGCAAAAAGCCCCAAAACGGGCTCAAAATAAATATAAACTCGGAAATTTGGGCAACAACAAAAACAGGAATTCCTATTTAAATAACACCAGTACATCAATGACGCACAAGTGCTGTGAAAACATTGGTGACTTGAAAATCCTCCAACCTAGCATGCTCTGTTGTTGAACTTCAGGCTCTATTTTCGTATTTAAACTTGAAAATGTCTCAAATATGATAGATCCATGGCAACATCAGTTGCCCTGCCAAAAGTTCTTTTTGTAGCACCTTTGAAAATTCTCCCAATGTTAGGCTGGACATTCTAATTATGGAGAAAAGACCTTCTACATGCAACACAGAATTCAGTTTTATCGTTTGCAGGGCCATCTTGTACACTGCGCGTGTTTCATTTGGAAGACTTTGCCAACAGCAATACAGGCAGAGCTACCGGTTCCGTGCACAAGCACCCCCTCAACAGTTATAAAGGGAAGAGTTGGGGGAGACCACTAGGAGGGATATTCTAATGTATTGCTGACAGCGCCCGACACTCACGCAAATATGTCGTACGTACTCTGCAACATAGACCTTTCCAAAAGTGGTCTCAATTGACAAAGCGTCTTTTACTTTTCGTGCACAGTATCAAGCCATAGTGTTTTCTTTCCATTAACTTAAGTGACACCATATTATGAAAATCATTTTATGTAGAACAATCTCATCAGTGCCGGAGCAAAGGCTCTGTCATCCGAGGCCAAGGCCAAGGCTTTGACCCTCAAGGCCAAGTCCAAGGCGAATTTCAAATTGGAATTGAAACCGAGTCTCTCGATGCTAAGCCATTGTATGACATTGAAGACCTTTTCGTTTTTAATCCTCTCAACAAAAGACAGCACTGAGGTATTGTCTCATGTATCAACACTGCATGTTGAAATGCATTTCTAGTAATGTGACTATGTAGTTATTGACAATACTGGGTAGAACTGGATTCTCTTACCTGTCGTATATCAATGGTCATTGGTTCCAAAGTGGCCGTCTTGACACTAGCTTGGCCATTTCGCTGGGGAAAAAAGCATAAGATGTTTCAAATGTAGGTTGAAGATTGTTACTTGATTGACATTGGTCAAAGGTCAACACGAATGCGCGCAGCTATAGTAACCAGCGATGCGACCGACCTCGGTATGCTGGTCCTGCATAGTGGATTAGGAAAAAACAACAACTAGAGACCACACTGGCTGTACGCGCACTTGCCGACATGGACGTGCAGCCACCATACTTCAGGTGGCACAACTTTTCAATTCTTTCTACATATAGCACTGTTTGCGTGCGTGCATACGTACATTCACAAATTCTTGTTCTGTAACTGTGAGGACTACAAACGTGTTTCCCCATGGTATTATGGGGACCGAAGATAAAATAAGTCCCCACAACTCGGTCCTAATTTCCCTAATAAAAAACTTCCCCATAACACAGTGACAGCCCGCCCATATGTAAGTACGTACGTACATGTACAACTTGCACACGGAAACTGAGTGCACTTGATAATTCTACAATTGTGTTGTGTTCTAATTATAATTCTGTGGAGGTAATTGTTCCACCTAAAGTATGGCGGCCGTGCGTCCACGTTGGTACATCCGTGTGTGCGCGTGGTATAGCGAGTGCGCTCTCTAGTTTATGAAATATAACTCTATGATTCGAAAAGTTCAACTATGGTCCACTAGCCCAGGTTCTTGCTCCAAGCTGCATTGCACTGGGATCACATCGCTCAAACGGTTTATGTTGTTATTAGGTAGTCACAAAATGGCCGCCTCAATAGCGGATGGTAATAAGGAGTATACTCATGTTGACGCGAGTGACTCGCTCGAACACAGCCCTAGACCGAGACCGAGAAATGATTACTTGATGATTCTGACTCAGAGCAACTGATCTTACTTGTACGGACTGGTCCTCTGTGGTGGTCAGCGTGCTATCGTCTTGCTCAGTATCAGCCTTGGCCCTCTTAGGCGGTGACTGGAGCGGTGAAGGCTCAGGAGACGAGGGTCTCTTAACACTGCTGCTTCCTTCATCTGGAGTACCTCTCCCTGAGTCTATGGTACTATCTATAGAATCTAGCGATACCTCCTGTGGAATGGCATCAATAAAAGCATTTTCATCTTATTGATTCTAATCTTGGATCTGTTTTTAGTATAAACGTGATTTTACTCAAGCTAAACGATTGAATTTTAACAGAGGAGCATAATGTTGATATTATTTTGGAGTATTCTGCGGATAAAGCTGCAGGTTGTGGGTTCGAGTCCTGGCGGGGTCATGGTGCGTGTGCCCTTGGGCAAGGCACTTTGTCACTCATTGCTTCTCTCCACCCAGGAGTAAATGGGTACCTGTGAGGGCAGAGATGGTTATTGTGATTGAATTAGCTTCCTTGCGCCTAACAGGCTGCATCGAGCTGTATACTCCCCAGGGAGCTGAGATGGTAATTGGAATGTTTCATGTGCCCAATGAGCAGGGGTAATAATGATGTAGCGCCTTGAGCACCAGTCCTGGTGGATACGTGCACTTTATAAATATCCACTATTATTATTACATCTCATCTTTTTTTTCCATTTTGTAAATGTTTCATGTCGTCACAATCCAGTTCAAATGTGCCAATTCAATCCGACTTCAATGACGAATTTCAAACTAATTCTAGGAGATCACCAACAAGCTAGATAGCTTAGTTAGTCATATAAAAGTACAATGGTCTGTACTGCTCCCAAACCTCTTGCCTACTATTCCCTTTACTGCCAAAACCACCTGAGCACTCAATGATTTTATGGCTTCTTCAGGGAATAAATACATGTTAACACAACTTAGTATGGGTGATCATGGCTTAAATCCTATATCAGTCACAGTTTCTGTGTAACTGAAAAGTTCTCAAATTTTCCATGGATTTTTCACAATATAATGAAAATGTGGTGCTTATATAGCGCTTTATATCAAAGATCTCAAAGCGCTTCATCAGGCCATGAGACCACTTTTTGCAGCAGCTCGAGATCAGCGCATTCACAGGTACCCATTTATACTCCTGGGTCGAGAGAGGCAATTGTGGTAAAGTGTCTTGCCCAAGAACACAAGCACCATGTTCCTTATCAGGGTTCGAACCCACGTACCACAGCACATGAGTCAAACATCGTAACCATTGGACCACAGCACTCCACAAACAAACACAATTTCCAGAGAAGAATTAATGGAATGAAGACACGTACGAGGCTTTTGTTGGGATGCGCGGTCTGCAATGACTCTGGTGACAAGGGTTCCTTGAAGACAGAAACACCTTCTGTTGATGGACTTATTCTTCCGCCTTGGCTGCTCTCTTTTGTAGATTCAACTAAGTTTTCCTGAAAAGAAGGAGTTGAGCAGATTTACAAGGAGGTTATCTTGTCCTACAACACCTGATTTGTGAGGCATAAATATCTGTATGTACAGGGTGTTTCAATAAAAAGGAAACCCAACTTTGAAGAACCAGTATGGACAGACTAAATGTTTACTGGCTATAAAACTGGTATCATCTGAAAGCGTAATCTCTATGCTTTTCAATGACGCCTTGTTTACATTTCCAGGGTCATGCATCACTGAGCCCCACTGTCATGAGATTTTGATGCAAAATTGCAGTTGGTTCACTTTCATGTCAAACGCAATAGGCATGGTGTGTATGATAATAAGTACTCAAGAAGAAGACACGAATGCATAAAAAGAAACCAAAAAAACAAGTCGGGTTGGTTTCAAACTTGGATTTTATTGTTTGTCATGAATTTCTCGTTTTGACCAAGCCACGTTCAAAACAATGTGCCATTTTCCCGAGGATTAACATTCAAGCCATTTCACAGACATTTCCGTAACAATAGGCACACCGTGCCCAGTGTTTTTTTTTATGACAGTGAACCAACTGCATTTTTGCATCCAGTTTTCAAGACAATGATGCTCAGAGATGCATGACTCAGAACATAAACATGGTATCATTGAAAAGCATGGAGATTACCCTTTCAGATGATACAAGTTTTATAGCCAGTAAACATATCGTCTGTCCATACTCATTCTTTAAAGTTGGGTTTTCCTTTTTTTTGAAACACCCTGTACAATGTGTGCAACTTCCATTCCTTTCACATGGCTACAATTGTACAAAACCCTATAACATACTACTACAATGTCACGAACACTGTACTTAGAATTCTACTCTACAGACACCAGTAGGTGGTGCTATGATCATTCACAATAGCTTTGTAGAAATATAGTGTGGAACACTTGTTGCATGCGATGCTCTCAACATATTTTCATCTGAACATGTAGAAACCTGTAGTATCTTCACAAATATAGTCGGCAGGTGCAAGAAGGGCAACGGTGTTTAAGCGTTTGTCAATTCTCTCCCTTTGTCAAATCAGACCTATCTATTAAGTACCGACTCATGATGTGTTTGACCAATCACAGCCAAGCAGAGTCTGAGCACTTATGCGTGCAGTGTGACAAAATGTGATGAAGCGCACATGCTGCGCACATGTTGACACCAAAATGCACGGTGCGCAGGGCTTAACGGACTGATCTACAGGAACCATCAGCAGAGACGAAACTGGCCTTGGCAAAAAAAATCTGAAATTGGACCTTCGATTGGAGATGCCACAGCGTCGCGCAGTGCAGTGCAGCGCATCAACGTGGGACCCAGTGCATTTTTCCATGTCATAGGTCAGAATTCAACCTTTTCTCAAGCCGGAAAAGGATCTGATCAGTGTTAGTCTAGTGTTTTACACTTGTGTAAATTTGTACATGCCACTTTCATCGACTTTTCATGGACTTTTTTTGGAAATTATAATGAAAAAAAAAAAAATTGTGGAAAAATTGTTAAATAATCATTTTTGTGGGATTGTTAAAAAATCTGAAATTTCATTGGAAAAGTAAAAAAAATCTGATTTCAGATTAAAATCTGAAAAGTTTCATCTCTACATCAGGGTGTGATTGTGATAACTACAAATCAGTTTAAAGCTCAAACATTGAGAGTTACCTGAGACGCTTCACTAGACTCCGTGGATGCACCTGAAGGTTGTGTATCTGTTGGCTGCCCATTACCGTTGCTACTTCTCACACACGTGTCGCTACTACTCCCAGTGACTTCTACCCTGTCCTGTCCAGTCTGTCCACTCCCAAGGGCTGGACTACTAGCAGACTTGGTTAGTTGTATTCCTGAATGGTTCTCGTCGGCTGCACCATACAGGAACTCCTCTTCGGTCATCTGTACCGGTTGGATGACGGCACCGGCTGCTCCTGTCTTGCGGGTCGGCGTGGTGGGCTCCTTTCTGTCCTTCTGCTGAAGCTCCGTTGAGACCGTGCTACTAGGAGAGTCTTGGTTCTGCAAGGATTTCTTCTTGAATTTCAGGATGGTGTTGGGCAGGAACTGAATCAACTGTTTCCTGCGCAATGAAGCAAAATGTTTCACACATCAATATTTATGTGTACGTGTGAAACTTCCAACTGTTTCTGGAGTAATCAACATCTTTTGGGAAAAGTGGAACATGCCCCTATGTGTCATAAAAAAGCATGGAAAAAAGAAACCTGACCACATCAAACATCATCTGCTTGGCAAAATTCCTGTGCTCTTCTGCTCCATGACATCAGTTCCTGATAACTGTGATCAAGAATAATACGACCGGACGACATATGAACGCGTCGCAATTTTTTCCCGTGATGCTCACGTCAGACGCTCACACAAAGACGTTTTGTGCACATTCCAAATGAAATACGTCCTGCGTACTTCCCGCCATACTAGCGGGAACCCATCCATGGGGCTAACAACGTTCCCTCTCTTGTTGGCGCACGGAGCCCATAGCTACTTAGCAGAAAATAACGCCTGGGAACCACTCACACGCAATTTGCAATGCATGGAAAATTAGCTGGTGACCCGTTTTCGCTAAGCAAAATAATTTCTCTGTTAAGCAAGTTTCCAGACAGCACGGCCTAGGGATTATTGAACACGTACCTCTTGACATGCTTGGCTTCAATCTTCATGCCGTCCTTCAGCATGCCGATACCGACGGCCTGCCGGTGCACAGTGTCCACAAAGCTCTGGATGTCAAAGGTCAAGTCCACATTGGTGGAGGGATCCATCTGCTGGAAATCCAGACCAATAAACCACAGCGAGGCAAAAATGTCCGTCCTGAAAATGATTCCACAATTTTTTGAAATCAGTTAGAGAGAATTCAAAATCGGCCATTCAGATGTAATAATATTTAACCTTAACACTCTGGGCATTTTAGATAGGAATCTGCCTGAAAGCCGGTACATACTCGGTGCAAAAGTGAATTATGACATCATGGCAAGTTTCCGTGCTACATATTCACAAAAGCTGAACACATTTCAACTCCAGCGAATTTCGCAGCGAACGTTTCATGACATTAATTTTTGCTTCGCACACGCATTCACCTGAAGTATGAGCCTGTCTTGAATCTTCCAAACTCTCCACTGTGCAGGAAACCAATGGTAAATTACTTGCACTTGAAATTTCATTGGGCATCAAGCCCCCATGTAAAAAGTAGCAGTGGCTTTGCTCAACATTCCTCAATCCTACATAATCCTCCAAACTTGATGGATTTTAAAGGATCTTGGAAGGGTTCTTTAGACATTATTAACCCACTGTCCCTGTACCGCCCCAAAGTGCCCCGCCTGTAATACTCCTTACACCGCCCAAAACCACAACAGCATTTTGAAAACAGCACTGCCTGTGTCCATAAAATGTACTTACTTTTCCTCAGTCTGTTGGGGATTGAATGATTTGGGGTTTGCGTGAGCCAACTTGATGTGGCTGTTTCTCTCCAGGTTCCCAACCAGAATCCTGATCTTAGATTCAACCAGACCAACCCTAGTTAGAAGGGAAAAAAAGCACAAATACAAAAAATTAAGTAAATTGTATACATTTAACCACGTCCAGTTCACTGATCTCTAAATAAAGACTGGATAGCGTATGCCCGTATGCTGTACATTTACTTATTTTCACTTTTTGACCAGTTCATCCCTGTCTTCGAAAAATGGCCGCCTATATACGAAAGTTCTACACGTACATACAGTGCAGGCTGTATCAATGATGTTACAAAAGTGAATCACAACTGCCTAAGACGGCCACTTGTCCTTTAGAGAACACCAACCTGTCTCCCCAATATAGCTTCAAATGGTTTTCTTTTGCGTTTCTATGTATGCTTTCCAGCAGTTATATAGAGATCAGTGGTCCAGTCTGATAGACCGATGCCCACCACATGGAGTGCATTGGAGAATGCAAACTCCAACCTCGTTCCCATGGGTACGAGATCTTGCTGCGCCATGTTGTTTCCCATCATGCCTTGCGCGATCTCAACCCCTGGAATTGTGTGATTTAAATGTGTCAAAATATGGCACATTATAATTAGGCTGCAGTTTATCCGTTTGACGTGCCGACGCCATCTTTAAAATGTTTAAAGTTGTAATTTTGAAGAATCAATCCTTTCAAACATAAGGTTTGGACAATGCCTTATTTAGCAAAGATTTGTATTAAATGTACGTACCCCTTTCATCCCTTTACAACCGAAGATACAGGGTTTTTTTTAGCGAAAAACGAGGCTGCCATAATCCATATCGAACAGGCATTGCGAGTTTTGAATAGCAAATCATTTTCGTACGTGACGTGACATGCAAAGCACGCAAGCGCATTATGGGCGCGCCCGGTGTGCACTCTTCGAAATGCGCGCGCAGTACGCTCTGAATAGCCAGTCAGCATCGTTTACGTGTTCATCACGGCCAGGGGTTAGTGAAGGAACGCGCACGCGCCCATGGAGTCGAGGCTGTGCAAACTCCAATCAGTAGATGAAGTCTTTACTAATTTTATTTTGAATCTGCATAAACTGAAAGGTTCCTCCTGGTGATCTTCCTGGTCTCATTCTCCCCCTCTGGAACTGCTGAGGGGTACTTGTGCATTGAGTCCATAACAATAGTCAGAGTATGGTGATCTTGCCTTCTCCTTAGCAGCACCCCAACTTTGGAACAGCCTCCCCATAGAAGTCTGTGATGCTCCATCACTAAACTCATTTAAGTGTAGATTTACCCTAACGTACCCGATTCCAAACCCCTGTTTTCAAGGATTTTGGCAGATTCAGGATACTTCCATATTGAAAGAGTTGGGAGATTTTCATGGATTTAGGACAGTAAGCCTAGTGGTACTGCAGGATTTTGTTGGATTCAGGATACCTCCATATTAAGCAGTTGGGGGACTTTGATGGATTCAGGATCTCAACAGTTTAACTCCTTGGCTATATGTTTGGTGTGTACGAGGTATTTAGGGTCAAAAACCTACCTGTTCACATCAAATAGTACTTAAGTTGTGTTGCCTTGTGTAATGAAATTGTAATGTAATGTAATAGAAATGTAATGTAATAGAAATGTAACTTTTCATATGTTATATATTATAGTAATGCTATTTAGTGTAACTTTTCATTATAACATAAATAACAGTAATGCAACAGTAACATAACTCTGTCTTAGTCGTAAAGCGCATGGAGATGTTAATGTAATGTGCTCTATAAGTGTAAATTATTATTATTATTATTATTATTATTAAAGGGAATGTACAACATTTGCTTTTGCTGTAATTTTCAGAAAAAAATAGATTTGGAGGATTAGTATGTTATAGCAAATATTGTTACACTGACTTGTTTCACGTTTTGGGTTCATAGATGCTGAAAAAACCAAGAAAACCAATCATATTCTTGTAGTCTGGTTCCCTGACGCCACCTAAGATTAAACGGAGCAATTTGTAGACTTTGGGGAATTATAAGATCAGAGAATCAGTCTAGTAGCCTTGTACCTCTTCACAGGTGTGTAATCAATTGCAAAGAAAATGCAGACGAGCTAAATATGAAAAAATGAGAAGCAATTTTTGAAAAAAGCCAGTTTTCTCCAACGCTGGTCGGCCGACCAGTGTTGTAAAAATACAGGTTTTCTTGAAAATGTCAGCACACCAGGAGCCACGATTTTACAGGATGCTTTAGACTGTCAATCCCTAACAATCCAGTAAGGTTTTTCGTGATAATTCGATCATTTCGTTTTTGATGTTTGCAAATGTTGTATCTTCCCTTTAATACTGTACTCACCATTCCAGATGATGCTCTACTGACCCAGCACTCGCTGTCAGAACAATGAAATGCCTGTAGGAGAAATCAAGCCACTGATCACACAATCGTTCACAGATCCTTTGAACACAACAACATGCAACTGAATAACTCAACACTTTTTATTCTATGTCTAAGAGCTGACAGGCACGAGACACAATCTTGGGGAGTCAGGTTGGCGTAGCGGTACTTTCCTCGCCTTCCACCGCTGTGACCCGGGTTCGAATCCTGCCTGGGCCAATATGTGGATTGGGTTTTCAGTCCCTACCTGATTCCGTGGGTTTTCCCCAGAATACTCTTCTGGGCTTTTCCTCCCGCCTCTAAAACTGTAACTTCTTCTCATTGTCTTCTCTCCACAGGTTTCTTCAGGCTTGCGAGCTACAGTGCCAAGGGAATCCTTGGTTTCATTACCAGAAATGATTAATAATAATAATGTCTCCATGACGTCTCATTCAGTTCCCTACAGGAGTAGGATAGCACGGATGGTGATGGGAAAAACTCAAAACATTGTCTGCAGAGAGCTTTTATTTTAAAATAGCTGTTGAGAAAAATGACGGAAAACTTGATCATCCATTGATGAATTTTTTGCAAAAACAAGTTTCCATTTAATTCTTCTGAAAGGCATATAAGACAGCCCATAGTATTATTTAACTGACATACAGATTCTTGTCATTTGATTGGTGGAACTCACATCACATGACATTCATTATTGCTCCCATTCACGCCGGGGCTCAAAAAGTCCCATTCACCCATGGGATTTACAATTCAACAGATAGGACCATCTTTGTTCCATGGCGCGGTATTTGTGTGCAAATGCATGCTGGTGTGCGCGTTGAGCATTGCGCATGGTGCGTATTGTTCCCAAGAGCCGGGAGGGTTCAAACATTTCGTGAAGGGGTGGTTTGGAAGAGAGAAATACATTTCGTGAAGGGATGGTTTAGAAGTGAGAAATACATTTCCCAACAATTTTGTATTGAAATAGAAGTTCATTTTAACTGTAAATCAAATGACAAGGATCTATATGTCAGTTATATAAAACAAACATTGAGTGGCTTTAAATTGTGAAATGAGAGGAATATTATCGCTCAGTCAAATCTGGACTTTTGCATTTCACTCGGCTTCGCCTTGTGAAACAAAAAAAGTGCACATTTTACCTTGCGATAATATTCCTCCCATTCTACTCTGAGCCACTCAATACTTGTATACTATTGTTGAAGAGGCAGTCTCTTTGTAGCTTTGAAAAATTTCCTTTGACACAACGTAGACTTCTTCACAGTTTTGTTTGTAAACAAGATGCCTCGTTATTTTAATGATCGGCAACAGTGAAATATTGAAATAAATATCACAAATGATCTCACCTGTACTTCTGGAAGAAACTGATTGGTTCAAAGAGCTTGTCCCAGTCTGCCGTGCCTTGAACAACCTCTTGCGTGATAGCAAGGCCTGCATTCAAGAAAGTCAATTTTCAAAGTCAATCAAAATCCATCCCCCCATTTTGGTGGGTTTTGGGGGACTTGGTCCAGAAGGCCTGGCATGACTAAATATTGATGGAGTATGATGGACTTAGGCCTAATGGCCTGAAGCATTGCTAGGGGTATCCGATTGATTTTGCCTAGCTTCCTGTACTGCTATTGTGATAAAAGCCATGTGTAGCAAGTCAGTGAATGTCAACCAATGCGTCAGTGGTGGATTCCATTATGTCATGTACAGTTTTGTATTGGACGCACAGTGATTGATGGATTTTGATGGACTTGGTCCAGTTCCTAGTAAAAGACGCTAGGGAGTTAGGGTTACAAAATAGATCTTTGCAGTGTTTCCACACAACATACAGGTAGGGTGTAGTGAAACTTGGAAAAGTCAGAATTGGTTTTCATACCTCCTTTGATCTCCTGTTCCATGATGAACTTGGTGGACAGTGTGACATTGTAGGTTGAGTTCTGTTGAGGGTAGGCCGGGGTGATAATAGGCATCAGATGAAATCTGTCTGAAACATTTACCTGTGTGAAATATAATGTATTAAACATCTGTTGAATTCTTGGTAAAAAACAAATTTCATATTTTTTTGTGAGTTACAAAATATAAACCTCTGATCAGAGTTGTAATTGAGTCAATCACAAGTCATTCACAAGTCAGAATCAGAAGTAAATCACTAGTCTTGAGCCGCAATAGGGCGTTATCACGATGAACTGCCATCACCCACGAACCGCCAGCAGCAACATCTTGGGAATATTGTAAAACCTCCCCCCTGAAAAAAGGGGCAACTAGCGTGAATGCACTACTTCTTCATGCAATTACGGTCCATTTTCAGTTCCACGCATACTACATTCCACAAAAGAGCTGCCCAGTGAAGTTGCACAAATGTCTTGCTGCATCTTGTAAGATAATGTAAGAAGTTGAAGAATTTGGTTCGAAACTAACATGAAAGGTTTTGAATGCACACTGCATGTATTAGCAGGCATGCAACTGGGAATTTAGAAAAAACGATGAAATTCCAAACCACACAAGACTTTGTACAGTGTTTTTCAATTTGTAATGGCATTCATGAGAAGTAAAAAATGAGGAAATCAGCGGATCCGAGGAAAAGTTGCATGCCTGTGAAAATAGGTATGATAGTGGTTCGTGGGTGACAGCAGTTCGAGAGTGATAACGCACGTCTTCTCGCAGCGGTGGGTTATCAGGTATCCAATATACAACAACGTCTTTACCAAAGACTAGTCAATCACAAGTAAGGTCACAATTAACAGGGGTTCAGAGTCTCAGTGGAAGGGACACGCCGCAGACTGTCCACTCCATACTGGTTTGTGGGCATATGGCACGAAGTATGCACAACTAATCTATTCTAAATGTGCACAGACCAATAGCGACTCCAAGTGAGTGTCTGGTTTCACCAGCAATGCGTTAGAATTCCCTCTTGGTTCAGGGACGTTAGGTGGAGGAAATATGCTTATCTGAAGATCCTATTCAGTACAATAATCCCATGATCATGATTAGATGATGTTACTTAGGCGGTATTCACTCACGCACATGTTGCACAAAATTGGAGGTGTGTGCGCATTTTGCAAGTTGTTAATATTGCTATAGGATGAAGGAGCAGCAAGTATGTGTGTACAACCCTGTGCATGACAAACGCAAAAATGATCTCAAACTGTGGTTACCTGGTGTATGAGCACAAAGATACAACAGGAGGAGAGTTAACAATATCTACAATTGAAATATAGGAGGGAGTATCAGCCAAGTGGTTAGGGTTTGTGACTCATGATCAGAGGGTCAAGGGTTCGAATCCTGCTTCTGGCTTTGTGTTGTGACCTTGGGCAAGCCACTTTACCCACACTTGCCTCTCTCCACCCATGAGTATAAATGGGTACCAGAATTAGCTAGGATGTTACCTATGCTGGACTAGCACCCCATCCAGGGGGTATAGAAAGGATTCAGGGCACATGTCCCCCCCCCCCTTCTATTGGTACAAAGGGAGACCTGGGGGAGACCACGGAAAGAATGTAGTATCCAGACACCATCCTTTGGCTGTGTACAAAGTCTATGGGGTGTCCAGTGCATTTTTCAAAGTATTTTCTAACGAAATTGGAAAAGTTTCTCAGTCGCAGATTCATGTCTTTCCAACTCTTTGCATTGACTGACCTTCACTGAGGTTATATAAAATGAAACAAAAGTGGCATCACGATGCAACATTCTTTCCAAGACCACTAGGAAGGACATTCGAACACACAGTCCACGGCACCCGACGCTCAACCAAGAGACGCTCACGCCAAGACGCACATTGACGTACTTTGCGCAAGAACCAGTAAGCGAACGTGGTGTGTCCCTCCCACTGGGTCTCTCGAAAGTGGTCACAAAACGCAATATTGTATTCAAGTCCATCACAAGTCCTTTCACAAGTCCTTTCATAAGGCCAGTCACAAGTAACTGGATGAACAATGACAAAGGAATGCTTTGTCACAGTTCATTTGAATAGCTAGTGACTTGACTTGAGACTGAAGGACTTGTGATTGACTTGTGATGGACTTGTGATGGACTTGTGATGGACTTGCGATGGACTTGCGATGGACTTGCGATGGACTTGTGATGGACTTGTGATGGACTTGCGATGGACTTGCGATGGACTTGCGATGGACTTGTGATGGACTTGCAGGGACTCGAATACAACACTGACAAAATGCCATCTACTGTTCGAGCACATAGTCCATACAAATATTCTCGGTCTTCTCACACCAAGAAAATTTGGAAATAATTGCCAGCCTATATTCGATAATGATATTTCATTGCTTGATTCTAACCCTGCTGTCCCTTACACTTGACAACACTCTAACTCACCCTGGGATCCCAAACAGGAAAGGTTAGGTCCGTCATTGGCTTGGGTTGCTTCAGTAATACTGGTTGGGGCCACACCCTGTAAGAGGAAATAAACAATGATACATGTAAGTTTGGTCTCTGAAAGGTTGATTCTGCAAAACGACTGAAAAGAAAAGGCAAAATGTCTTGGGTTTTATTATTTATTCATCAAAACCTAAGAGAGTTTGCCTATTTTATTGGTTGAGAGCCTGTCACATGGTTTGTTTTAAACGGTTAATAAAACATCGACTGATTTAAACACTTTTTCCCGGCACTACTGCATTCTGCGCCACATCACGCAGTATGCGACACGTGCTGATCTCCATATAATGAGACCTTTAATACTGCTCACGCGAAGCATATACCATAAATATAGCTAGAGAGGTGTTGCATAAAACATGAAGTAAAATTGTTAAACAAAATCATTGGAAATTTGTAATTTTTTACTTGTTTTGACTTTTTAACCGAAAGGTATATGAATATGAAAAAATATGTGCTTGACCGATATTTAACAAACGTGTACGTTTAAAACCAGCTCTAGCCGGTTTTAAACGTACTTGTTTAAAACTGGCCATGCACATATTTATTCCCTTATAATATATCCACCAGGCATTGTCCAACTATTCATCACTTTTCTCTTAGCAGTAAAAAATGTACTAAGTCAAATTTTGTACCATATGTGCATTGCAAATTAGTCAATGTCTCCCTTACTGCTGGTTTATTTTTTTTTCATTTTTTTTCTACCTCTGCATATTATTTACAGCTTATTACAAATTTGTTCACATATCATCTTACCATTGTGTGAAAACGAGAAAGAATTTGTGTACAATAGTTGAGGGTGCTGCGTTGGGGTAGAGCTGGCATGTCCTGGCGACGAGCATTGCCCACGAAACACCGCCTAGGAATCCAAGAGCATTGGAGTATATACCTCGCTCTGTGATAACAAACAACAAAAGATGTTAATAACGATCATATTTTATATGTGACCTGTCAGCACGAAATGAGCTTAAAGTTGCAGATTGCCATTCTGCTGTACAGTGGGGCAAATTGAAGGGGTGGTCGATTTATTGTTTTCAGGTGAACCTTAAACTGTAAATCCTGTTTTACATTGGTCCAAGTTTTTGTTTTGTCAAACATCTTTAAAACCTATTTCATCCTGTCAATTATAAGTTGACTGTTCATTCACTGTAACACAACTGTAGGATTTTTTAAATGCCATTTTCTCAAGCATCAGTTTTTACAACTTCCAGTAAGTTGGTGGTCTATATTTCCCTTACTAACTCAGTACCCCTTAATGTTGTATACCATTGGAAAGCTCTTGGTCTGCAGAATCCAGATATATAAATATCTCAATTCCTAAAAAGTCTGACTTAAAGCTCATTCTGTGATGAGAGGTATCATATCAATATTTCAATTTTGCAAATCAATGGACTACATGTACAAGTACCAGTACCTGCTCATAGTTTTAAACTACAAAGTGAGAGTTGGGGAGACCAGCAGGCATGCAACTGGAATTTAGAGAGGAAAAAAAACGAGGCAATTCCAAACTACACAAGACTTTGTACAGTGTTTTTCCATTTGTAATGGCATTCATGAGAAGTAAAAAACGAGGAAATCAGCGGATCCGAGGAAAAGTTGCATGCCTGGACCATTGGGAGGGACATTGGAACGTATTGCTGTAGGGGCCTGACGATCACACCCTACAAAGATGCTACGTGTCTGTGCACATTCTTGTGAATTTTATGCAAGCTCTCAGGCAGTACTCAAGATATAGTTTTTAAAACCCACTATGAATGTTTACATGTAAACTTTATAATGTAATATTAAACTTTCTTTCCAGGTAATAATTAAGTTCATTTTTCAGGATTTATCCATGCATTTTCAGAATATAAATATAAAATTATTTGAAACGCAGATGCTAAGGATTGTTATGAATTATACTTACTTTTGGCCCAGAGTTTGATTGCTCTCAGAGCTAACCTGAAGTTTTCTTTGTTTGGTACTAAATTCAGAATCTCGTCAGTGACTCTACAACCTGTAAATCGATCAAGATCAAGGACAAATGTACAATGAATCTGCAGGAATAAGGACAATACTTATGTACTACATTTATGATAATGCTCATATATAAAAGCCAAAGTGCACTATGTTATATTTTTTTATCCCTGCTACGTTACACAGTGCGTTCCACCGTCGCGTTGAACTAAAATATTCCGAAGATTGAAACAGGAGTGACTACACGTGCAAGATGCTAAAAGATCCACACTTGCAGTTATTCAGAGCAAATTATTCCAAAGCGTAGAATGTTCTACATGTAGGGTGGTGGTTCCCATTTTAAACCCAACCCAACAAGTATTTTGCTCACAAACTTCTTGAATTCTCCAATGTCCAGCGAACACAATGGCATATTTTTGTAGTTTAACTTAAAGGTCTTATTAGCTCAGGAGTACCTTCCTATAAAAATCCTGCAAAGTCCTCCGACACCTCTTGGTTGAGATTGAAGGATCTGGCGGGATGAAGGTTAATCAATCTACTTACCATTCAGACTTCGGACACATTTCTGATCCAGGTTTTTCAGCAAGCTGTCGTCGGTAAGATCCTGGTCCTCGGGGATTATCTGCAGCGCTAATCTTGCAAACAGCACATCCATCTATCCACATGAGACAACGGAGGGAGATAAACAAACGTTTCAAAACTATGCCAGTGAAAAAAAAAAACTCAAACTGTTGTCCTCTTCAGAACGATAACATTTCAGGCAGAATCATTTGACAGGGTATTTGGTACAAGTCCTTTCTGCACTATGAGCAAGGTTTTTCTTACTTGGTTCTTTTCTGGGAAAACTACAAAGAATTTTCAATGACAATTTGGGGGGGGGGGGGGTTGGGGGGAGAGGGGTGTAGGGGTAGGGGTGGAGACTAAAGGGCTACACATCTACTGAACAGAACTGTTGTGGACCTAAATATTTTGCAGTAAAATTTATGTAACAAACCCAACAACATTTGTTGAACTTCCAATTTAAACAGAATGTTTTCACTTGAGCAACTGTAGGATGGAAGATGAATGGTAAGCTAGGAGTGCATCAATGTTAAAGGGGAACTAGGTCCTGAAATCCCCGAAAATGTTATGTTTTGGATTGTTTACTTAACCTATTTCAAACATCTGGTTGAAAGGAAACCAACCTAATGTCTTACCGTTCCCGAGAAAAGACGAAAAAAAACCACTTGTTTACATCGGACATGACGGAGTATGAATACGTTTCTTGTGTCGTTCTCATGTACGCTATACACGTTGTGTGTCTCGGGAACAGCGCGCGGTGACCAATCACCAATGCAAAAAATTGTGGTTTCTTCAACGTCCGCAAAAGGCGAACACTTTACGCGTACGAATGAAATCACAACTAGCATCCAAACAGCTCGAATTTATGGGGTCGCAAAAGTGGACCCCGAAATTCGTTCTTGCACGCATAATACAGGACTAACACAAAAACGCCCATTTTGAAAGGATAGTTGTGTGGATGTTTATATCCTACTTTTAAAAGTTATTTCCGATTATCATCATCTCGTTCAAAGCGCGTTTTGTAGCCCAATTGGGCTGTTCCAGGACCTGGTGTCCCTTTATTTAATGCCCTCGCTGTGGTGCAGATTTCTCATTTGGAGGAAATTAATGATATGGACCTAGGTTCGATGGTGACTCCACACACTTCCAACCTCTACAGATCTGGCATAGAGTTGGTTTAACAAAAAGAATTGAAACATGAGATTTTCAGATCGGTTTGTTCATTGCCAATACAGATACAAACCCATTGCACACACGCCTCTGCTTGGTTCACATGCTTACTTCACAAAGAGCAAAGCTAATCTGATTTCTTTTTATCCCCTCAAAACCGACAGCCAAAATTTGCTCAAGACAGTGCATGTTTATTATAAGGCTTGCTCATTCATAACAGAATATTCATGCTAAGCAGTGTGTGCACAAAACTGACCCCGAGCCATAAATTCATTTTATCTGTATGCCGTGGATGTTTGTACTTACCTCTATGCCATCAAATATCATCTTAATGACAGGTACAAAAGCTCCTTCCACCGCCTGTGACAAATTTGAGAAAAAAAGAGAGATTATGTGGTGTACATACATGCAGGGGTGTGAGTGACCACTGAAATAAACAGCTGAAAACAGCTGAAAAAAGATGTAAAAAAGCTGAACTTTGGAAATCTCATATACTTTTGTACACAGCAAGTGAGGGAAAAAAGCTGAAATCTAAAACAAAAAAAAAGCTGAAATCAGCTTTAAAGCTGAGATTTCACACCCCTGTACATGGGTGATTCTGCCTTGAAAAATGATTTAGGTGTACTAAAGCTAATCCAGTCATCTGTTTGTGCTAAACAGATAATTTTGGCGAATACCAAATTTCTGTTTAAAGAAGAGAAATTGGCCCACAGTTATTTTTACCGAAGTAGCAATTACAAATTCCAGGTGTAGCACCTTAAGCATCATTACCGATAAAACATTTCATTGTAATTGAGTCTTGTCTGAAGAATGATCAAACCTACAGAAGATGCGTTCTTCATGTCATATCGTGTGACTGATTTATAGAAACAAACTAACCCGCAGATCCTTGACTTCTGGCATGGCTCGTAATATTTCCTGGAAGGAGCCAAAGAAGTCTGAGCGATCCACATGCCGAGGTGCTACACACAATGTATCAATATCAGCACCTGGATATCAACAAAAATTCAACATTAACAACAATTAATATATACTTGCAATTGTCCCCCATGCCATAACAATAAGAACAATTCGCAACGGACTACATGCAGGTACAGTATTTTGCATTTCATGACCACTTGGGAAAGCTCCTTGGTTATTCTGAATGTTGCACAAGCCCATATCGTCTTTGTGAGTGCCTGATCTACAGCGGCAATGTGTTTGAGTTCCTCCTTCCTCTCTAACTGTAGCCGGGTGAGGGGGAACCCGGTACTGTTGTACGTAGTCTAAACAGTGCACTACTGTGTGGACCACGTACACAAGGAAAATGTACTTCATTCTATACATTTGGGGTCCATTTTTTGCCTCTCCTTATTTCATCTGGCATCTATGAGTTAGTAATTCTGATGCACTCCTTAACCCTAACGTACATGTACCTGAAACCATCAAACTCCACCCCCCTGTTTTGGAGGATTTCGGCGGATTCAGGACACCTCCATATTGAAAAAGTTGGGGGAATTTTGATGGATTCAGGACAGTAAGCCTAGCGGTACTGCATGATTTTGATGGATTCAGGATACCTCCATATCAGGCAGTTGGGAGACTTTGATGGATTCAGGCTCTTAACAGTTTAACTCATTGGCTATATGTTTGGTGTGTACGAGGTATATGTACTACACTGGTGGATTCTGATGGCCTCACTGGTGGGTTCTGATGGACTCAGGACACCGATATTTTTTTTTGCATGACAAAATTGGTGGATTTAGGCGGATTCAGGATACTTTCTAGTAAAAGTTTTCAAGGGGTTAGGGTTAACGCAGTCATCCTCCGAGAGCGATTATGAATAGCAAAACCCAACAAACAAAAATAGAGCTTGAAGTCATTCTTCACGCTAGGACTGAGTGGTGGCAATTGGAGGATTTTGCAGGACTGAGGATGGTCCCTAGATAGAAGGGACAGGAACAATGTCACACTCTGGACCCTAAATTTATGGAACAACCCAAATACATGTACATACCTTTTGTGTGCACTCCAAGTCTGTAGGATCCAAATGTGTAGATTTTACCTCCCACAGTTTCAGCTATGTTCGGTGGAATATTCCTCTTCAGAGACATCTCTCGCACCCAGTCCTTGACGATACCGTCCAACTTGGACAATACAACCATTCTGAAAACAAGAAAAGAAACAGCGATCGATTTCTGATGCATGAGAGTCTAGACTATAACACAAAACTAAACAATCCACTTATTACATGTACATTTGCTTTGTGGGGTTTTGATGTTGGTGTGTGAAATTTAACACTTCTACTAAACTGTGGAGTTCAAATAATAATATAATAATAATAGTGGATATTTATAAAGCGCACGTATCCACCAGGACTGGTGCTCAAGGCGCTACATCATTATTACCCCTGCTCATTGGGCACATGAAACATTCCAAATACCATCTCAGCTCCCTGGGGAGTATACAGCTCGATGCAGCCTGTTAGGCGCAAGGTAGCTAATTCAATCACAATAACCATCTCTGCCCTCACAGGTACCCATTTACTCCTGGGTGGAGAGAAGCAATGAGTGACAAAGTGCCTTGCCCAAGGGCACACGCACCATGACCCCGCCAGGACTCGAACCCACAACCTGCAGCTTTACCCGCAGACCACAAATCAGTGCCCTTAACCATGAGGCCACAGTACTCCAGTTCAAAGTGGCTGGGCTCTACCTTTGTCAATCCTGCAAAACCCTACGTTAGATTTTGAAGGAACTGGAAGGGTTAGGGGTTATACTTGAAGTGTCTCACCTATGGTTGAGTTCCTCCTCATTTTCAAAGACACCGTGTGGCTTGAGGGCTTCCACTAGCTGCTCAGTGTAGACTAGGTCTTCTGGTTTAGGGCCCTGCAGACTTATTGGCGATGTTATGCCATATATCTTTTGAGACGATTCAGACCTACCATAAAAAGAAGAACCATTTTCAATGAGGGATTTTTGTATCCCATCCTTGAAGAAACATTTATTTTGAAGTCAGTTGCCTTGACTAACATGAACTCAACTCAAACCTACCCAAGCAGCCAATGAAGAGTTTTAATTAGAAACAAGTCAGGTGTGTTTACAAACACAAATGCCCCGCAACCGTGACTGTTTCCATGACATACATGTAACACCACTCTTTTAACATCAACTTACATTGTACATGTACCTTGGTCACATGAAACGTTCATTGACAGCATTAGTGTCTTCTGTAGGTTTTATATGAATTAATCCCTAATCCCTATGATCTCAGAATAAATACAAGATTTCTATTGTTTTAGCCACTGTGACCTTGACCCTTAACCTTTCGACCCCCAATGCGATAGGCCTATTTGGATTACCAAGAACGATCCACAAAAACCAAATTTGAAGTTCACATGTAAAGTATTTCTCAAGTTATCGCGCTGACAAAATTTCTTTTGTTTTAGCCACTGTGACCTTGACCCTTGACCTTTTGGCCCCAAATGCAATAGGCTTCTTAGGATTGCCAAGGACAATCCACAAACCAAATTTGAAGTTCATATGTAAAGTATATCTCAAGTTATCACGCTGACAAAATTTCTTTTGTTTTTGCCACTGTGACCTTGACCCCTGACCTTTTGGCCCCAAATGCAAAAGGCTTCTTAGGATTGCCAAGGACAATCCACAAACCAAATTTGAAGTTCATATGTAAAGTATTTCTCAAGTTATCGCGCTGACAAAATTTCTTTTGTTTTAGTCACTGTGACCTTGACCTTTGACCTTTTGGCCCCAAAAGCAAAAGGCTTCTTAGGTTTGCCAAGGACAATCCACAAACCGAATTTGAAGTTCATATGTAAAGTATTTCTCAAGTTATCGCGCTGACAAAATTTCTATATTTTTAACCACTGTGACCTTGACCCTTGACCTTTCGGCCCCAATTGCAAAAGGCTTCTTAGGATTACCAAGGACAATCCACAAACCAAATTTGAAGTTAATATGTTAAGTATTTCTCAAGTTATCGCACTGACAAGATTTGTCCGGACACACACACCCACCCACATACACACCCACCCACCCACCCACCTACAACGTAGTTTTGTCTCCGGCATTGAATTCCTGATGAGCATGTCAGCTGGAGTTACTCAAGCTACATTTCGTGACAGGAGAGTTTGGTGGTCCAGAAAAAACAGAGAATTTTCTGCCACAGCAAATTCAATTGGTCTATTTGTAAGGCTTGTAAAAACCTTACAGTTCTGGAAGTATTTGATTTGTGTATCAAGATGCTTTCATTTTACTTTTCAAAACGCACTTCGTCAGAAAAAAATGGTATTGGAGACCAATCTAAAAGAGGTAGGTTTTCATAAGAAGCAATCCGGAACTAGGAAAAACCTGGAAAAATCTAGGAAAACGACTGTAGTGGGTTACTGTAAATCGTAATGGAATGGACTGGGCCCACACTAGGGAGTCCAGCTCTTTTTTGAAGTTTTTCCCAACCCCAAAAAATTTGGTATCACTGGAAAGAGAATCACACGCGAACAATAATTATATTTTAATTATTTTTATATGAGCTTGCGTTTTGGAGATATAACAATTTAAAAATGGCAAAATTCAATGAAAACATTCTGTCATTTTTAGTGTCAAAATATTATTATTTTAACACCTCTAAATTTTCCAAACCTATCAACGAATCCTCATTAAAGTTTGAATCAGCTTTTTATCTTTCATTACAAAAAAGTTATGATTTTTTTTCCCGGAACACCGCACGTGCCTGGGCCGCACCACGATGCGACCACACAATGTTTGACAGCGGGTTAAATGCACTTCCATTCACGCTTCACAAAATGCGGCAAAACGGAACATGCCCACGTACACGTAATCGCCATGTCCGTGGGCCAGACTAAAATAGGCATGCCGATAAAAACGGGCCTTTGAGGAACCAGTGTTACCTCGTTTTTTGATCAAAAAAACAACTTCCCTGTCCTTCTGAAAGTCCAAACTTCCAAATAAACCCCATTTCATATATTTTTCATCGACTCCGGTCACTCCTTATGCATGTATTTTGAGGATTTTTAATTGGAAAACCGTTAAAAAAACGTACCGTTTTGTAGCCTTTGGAAAACAAAAAAATTGCACCACTCATCCCTTAGCCAAATTCACCGAACCACACATCAAAATGACGATTATGTTTTGCCCTGCAACTTACAAGATGATGACATCATCTTTCCTAACCCCGTGAAATCTCGTGAGATATCGGCAAAAAACAAGACTAAGTCATATGACGTCAAACCAAGATGGTATGATTACAAATTTGGATCTTTCAACCACACAATTGTTCTTTAAAATTTTGAATTTGATGCACAAAAGGGGCAGAGGAAAAAATGTTGCAACCTGACGCCACTTTTTTTTTCATATGTCCCAGATTCATGTCTTATCATCATTTTTGCAATGACTGACCTTCATTGAGATGATAAGTGGGACCGAGAGAAACATTTCCAATTTGTTTTTTACGGAAATAGGCCTACTTACTAACCATTGCTAACTTAGAAAATTTTCTTAACTCTCCATAGACTTTGTACACAACCGCTTTGTACACAAATGTTGCAACATTTTGCCAGGGGCAGAAACAGTTGATTGAAAATAGGCATTTTACACGCTTCCAGATACATTCCAAAGTGAGACTGCGAGTTCGTAACTGGCATGACTGGTAACGCGATCTTCTCAACATCATTTGAATAAAATATATACATATTGTTTTCTTCATCATTTACCTGTCCATTTCGTCTCATTAATTAGATTGCAAGTTCTTCATAAAGTCACACAAGTGGTCTTCAAACAGTGACAAAGAAGCGCCGACTGTCAATCTGGAAACATGGCGGTTCAACTGTCCCGGAAGGACAAGAGAGGGCGCTCTTCACCTCAGAACCAAAGACATTATTATAACACGTGCAGACTAGTTGTGCCAAAAACTGAATGAGATGAATTCTGGAATGTAGAAAGTGATTGACATTAAATGTAATTAAATAACTGAGGAAGAATGCATCATTTGTTTTCGAGACCTTAAACTTAAATTGGCCCCCATGCATCACAAATTGGTGCCGATCGGCGCCAGTCTCGATTAGCGGTAAGAAATTAGCATTCTATTGGAACGGGAAACGATGCCGGTGAAGATAGGTGCCTGTTTTCCTCACAAAAAGAACTTGAACGCGAGGGGGGGGGGGGGGCAAGGGGGGGCACTTGCCCCCCCCCCCCCCCCCCCCCCCCGAAAAGCAAAACAAAAAACAAAAACAAAAAAAGGAAGAAAAAAAAGAAAGAAAAAAAAAGAAAAAGAGGGGCGAAGACAAAGTGGTGTAAATTTAATGAGTTGGGGGGGGGGGCAAAATGTCCCTGCCCCCCTCTAAAACTGATAAATCGAGAATGTGTTGAGAAATACCAGCATTTTTTGGCCAATTTTTTTTTGCCCCCCTCTAGAAAAAATCCTGGCGACGCCCATGCTTGAACGATAAAAGCTATATCGTGTGTGTGTTTTTAACCTTATCCTGGTGTCTTACTGAATCCTTTTCGATGCAATGTATATAGTTCACTTTTCACGGCGATTCAGGGCTTTGGTCGAAAGAGAAGCCAGCATTTCAATTAGCTTGGCAAAGATGCGAAGTCCAGGTGTTGGTTTACCAATTCACGTCACAGATCTATTCGTTCTTCTAATGTGATCCACTTTAACCTTTCTTTCTTAGAGAATGATTTGATGTATTTTAGCAGTTTTTATAATTATAGGCCTAAGGATAACAAATTGCGATCACCTCGAAGATTTGTCTTCGAAAAACCCGTCCGGCCTTCGTGAAAATGCTGATGGGGAGCATGCCGCAGTATCGGGCCGATCGGCATGATAAATCTGGAACTTTAAGCGTATGTGATCCAGATTGTTTTCTCCCGAGTCCCTGCCCTCTGACGAGTGACATTTCTGTCGAGTACTCAATGGCTTTTGTCATAATATAATGTGGTCTCAATTTTTGTTTTATCTCTTCAAATTCTATAGGCCGGGGAATTGGAATGGCCTGGGACGCACTCTCCCTTACGCACCGATATTAAGTGCTTTTTAATTAATTACGATTGGCTTTTTTCTTATTATTGTTAAGTGTTACAATTCATCCTATACCTGGCCAGAGAAGAAACCCGGAGGGGTATATACACTTGCATAGAACCTATAATACGTCGTGTATCGTTGCCCGACCAGAGTCCACAAACGCTGGAACAATGCAGCCTTTATGCAGTGCCATTGCCTTGCCAGTAAATGGGGCAAAGTAAATAATGTTTAGAAATTTAATTCATCTTTTAACTACAAAAACTACAAAAGGCATGACCCTAAGAGGTCATGCTCTAGCATGGTTCTTTTGAGCTCCGTAGCCTTGTGTAACTCTTTGTGCTGCATGTTGGGTTGCTGAGTAGAACCAGGGAAGACGGAATCTATATCAATTGGGGTGATACGATATGTATACCTCGCAACAGCCAACTGGATATAGTGGCAAATTTTGTGTTGGAGAGGCTATGAGAAACTGTTGCAGCGTGCTGTAAATTATTATATGTCTCCTAGCAAACCAAATAACGCGATTGTGAGTATTTTGAAAACGTATTTAAAATGTTTTCCCGGCGAATTGTCAACATCAAATTCATTTTTCCTTCGCGTTTTAAAGTAGTGTTGCTTATCACTATTCAGTTGTGGAACTTGTGCCTGCAGTTCGGTTTTCAGAGTAAACACTCAACTCGTTTCGGACACTCAAAATGTTTATTACACTTACAGTAACATTATTAATTTTAGAAACGCAGATCCGTCATCCGACTTAAAAAAAAAAAAAAAAAAACATCAAATCCGTTAATGTTCTGCATCTTTTGCTTTTATTTGACTAATGATTATGTATATTACGTTGCCGTTATTGTTTCCGTGTATGGTTATGCACACATCTGTTGTAATTTTCCATAGTCAGTTTAGAGAATGTCCGATTATTTTATAATGTTCCATCATGACAATGGATGCAGAGTTTTCTGCAAGCTCAAACAAAGAACGTTACAGAGTACATATTCAACTATACTTATAGGCGATTGCACGCCTTTGGAAAGATTAGATAAAGTAATACGAGTGCTACAGATTTGCCGTTGCGGACTTGTTTGTGGTCAGTTTGTGTGGTTCTCAGTGGAAACTTGACTAATTTTGACAGTAACTTGAACTCCCCTCTGCCCGTCGTCAGGAGGGGGAGGGGTTCCAAATGGTGGTGGGTGCGATAGGAAAAGTGAGAGCAGCCCGTGAGCGAGGAGGTGGGGAAGCTGAAACCTTAATTGGGTGTAAGCTGTGGGAAGGGGATGCTCAGATGGAGCGTACGTGGCAGAAGAGAGTAAAGGAGGAGGTTGTCAATGGTACCGGTATAAAGAAACATATACATGTACATGTATATGCTAGCGGGGACACCGAGTTGGATGGGTGCGGGTCTCCGGGTCTAGACCAACAATCCAGGCACGCTATCAGTTCTATCACGAAGGCCCCCTTCAATGGCGAAAGCATTGTGCTAGCTATTGTTCTTACGTCACGGGGCCGTTGCCTTGTACAAAAATCGTGCACAATGGTTTTCCATCGAAGGGGGCCTCGTGAGTGTACAGTGGTCACGATGCCCGGGTTCGTCTATACAGACGAATCTAGGAGGCGGCCTCCTAGACGACGACTATAGGGGAAACGTTGAGCTGAGAAGACATTGGTTGGGAACAGTATAGGATATATTATTGGAGATTATTGTCTAATACCATTACATTCTCGAAGAATGTGACACATTTTCTGAACTTACCGTAGGTAACCATGGTGTCAATCCAAGCTGTATATTCTTCCTGATGGGTCAATGCCATACATGCTGCACCCTTTGTATCAGACGACGACAGGATTCCGAGAGGAAAGAGCAGTTAAGTGAGTGGTATACTTCCTATTTATTGTATAAGTTTTTCCCAACCAACTTCGTTGAAATGAATTTTGAAGCCAACGTTAAAGCAGGTTAATCAGTTTTGAACAAAATCGAATGCAATTCGCTGAAACGATTTTTCAATTCATTTAGGACATGGAAACATAGTTTCAGAAAACGTGTATCCATTATTAATTTACAAATCAAAAAAAATAGACATGACAACATTATTTTGTGTGAATAAGAATTAGAGTGCCCCAACTCTATTAAAGCAAACATTTTAAATTGTTATCACTTGTCAGGTAACAGCATTTTCGCACACCGCCAAAGGGACACTAAAAGGACAGCGAACGATCAGGGTATAAGATGCACACCACACGACATCCGTCAAGCAACGGTAGTATTCTTAAACAGTCACGTTGGAACGATGAAAATGTGTAGCATTATATAGGTCCAATAAATCGGGGAGGGGGGATATTCATTGTCTGCGTTTATTTTTTCTCCGAATTCTGAGCGGTAGCACACGATGGGGTGGGAGGGGACGCAATCCTCGAAGGGGGTGTGCGGGGAGTGCTCCGGCGTCCCGAGTGTTACGCGCAACTAATTACGCCCCACCTGTAGTGGCCCCACTTGTAGTTGGGACAATCCCCAACCATAGTTGATGCAGTCTCAACTCTAGTTTGGGTTGGGCAGTCCCAACATTTGTTGCGGCATTCCTAAAGTTGGGGTGATGCTATCAATGCGAGACTCGGGGGGGGGGGGGGGGGGATTCAGGGAAACCGCTCGAGACCTATAGATCTTTCGCGCAGCCTACAACATTTTGACATTTTTTTCTTGCAAATTAACTCTCGGGGTTTTTTTTACATTTTTTTTTTACAGTTTGCAAGAGTGAAACCAAAAGCACAACACTACAAGAGATGGGAAGTTACAGAAAATTCAACACCTTTACAATCCGCTCATTCACCTTGTCCCAGAATAAATTTAGAGTCGTTGGTTTTGCAACGTGATCCATCGTCATGTAGTCCTAGTAACTCGTATCGCAACAACATGAGGACAGAGATTGGCCTTCTACAAACGTACCAGTTGGCCCAACGTGATGTATTGAAACATACACACAAAGTTGCATCATATTACGTCCCACCAACGGGGATCAATCCCGGCCTTCTCGAAAGACTATATCCATCAGATTGAAATAAGTAATTTATTTTTAAACGTTCTGCATTCCATTTTAGATACAGATTTCCACACGGCTAGAATGAGAGTTCCTTTACATTATCGTGTAAATTTTCATCGAATGCGGATGTTTTATTTTTCAGACATTGTAAATAGCACTTTATTTTTGTGTATTTTATACCGTTTCTGCAACATTTAACCATTGCTCTTCAGCCAATTCGATTTCCCCATTTTTGCATGTTGTTTGCTTCATTTAAACTGAAAAAATTCTTGTCACTATTTTGGGCGTCTGAAACCTTATAGGTTTTGGCTTGCTTTTGTGCGTCAAACACAGAAAAAGATCGGCCTGAATTATTATAGTGATTCGAAATACAATTGTATATAGTAAGTAATCATTCTCTAACTGAGAGTGGACGGATTTTTTTCCTTAGGCGTCTCATTCACGTGACAACCTATGGTATTGGTAGCAGGTGCGTATCCAGCACGGGAGGGGAGGGGGCAACTTGCCCCGGCGACATTCTGACATTATTTTCTCTTTAAGGAAATGAATGCACCAGCACTTCTTAACCAAACCCCCTCCCGAAGTTGGTCCATTTTGGCGGAACGAAAACAAGTTTGGTCCACTTTTTCAGGAAAACTGTACATTTCGCCCCTCCAACGGGACCCAAAACCTGGGTACGCTACTGATTGCTAGGAAAATGGCAAACAAAATCTATTTTCGAGGTTAAACCTGAAAAAGGACTTTGAGGAGCTATCACATTCTCGTTGTCGAGTATGTGTGTTACGCCCCCACCGATAGTTGGGAATTCCTAACTGCAGCTGGGATGATTTTAATAGTTGAGACGACCCCATAGTCGGGGCGATTAAAAAGTGTTCCTTGATGCGACAACGGATTTAATGAACATCTGTAACAAATTTGTAAAAAAAAAAAAATTGAATCAAAAACACAAACAAAATGTCAACTTTGACGGTTTCAATTCACCGGCAGCCCAAGATGAACCCAACATGGGTCGAATTTTGAATTTAATTTCAATTTATTCATCTATTTCACTTAACCATCTATGTGTACTTGTAAGGGTGGTCTTACTTGGGTCATTTCTTATTTCTTGAACTCTCGATAGTTTTAAATTTTTACCAAAGACAGAAATTATGACTAAGTTGTCAATTTTGGAACACAATTTTTAAATATCTGATAAAACTCTGTACACACATTGATGAACTTCAACTTGAAAGCAAAATATTACAAATTCCAAACCATGCTCAGTATTAAAAGTTTGTGACGTAAAATGCGCTCCATCCAGGAATATTAAATGTGAAGTTTTAATTTGTTTAATCATGTTGTGACCAAGCCCAACAAAATGAAGAAGACGTCGCCAGAGGTACTTTCGAGTAATAGCTTTTTTATAAGATTTGCCAAATGAAAATCAAGGAGTCAACATGTTTGCCCACAAAAACAGCATAAAGATGTCAAAAATTAGTGAACAAAAAAAATGAACTGCAAAGTCTGCTCTTTCTACTGCGTATGAAAAAGTGATACCCATCAGTGAAAACAATTTATAAGATCCAGTCACATTTTACCAGACAGTCTTGATAGTCAAATGTGAGGTACGGTCAACTCTCGTTAATACAAACACTGTTAATACAAATTGCGGTTACAACAAACATAAAGCCTTGGTCCCAACTGTGCATTTATGTGCACAATGAATGGGACTGGCACTCCACTTAATACAAAATTCTGATATAACAAACATTTTGACACAGTCCCGCTGAGATTGTATAAACAGGAGTCGGCTGTATACTCATTAACTACCAAACTCACATTAAATTTGATATCAATCTAATTACGGTAATTTCCACTGTGATCAGGGTCGTGCATAAAACCTTACTTCATACTAGCTGCTGGTACAGTTAAACATTGTGCATTTAGAAAACACACAATCAAAGCAAATACTACAATGCCTCTTGGACTCTGCTATAAATGACAAAGTGTGTGCTTCCAAATGTGTCAGGAATCCAGTTGGAGTTGCATCATTTATCACATCATTTCTCACAGAAGGTCCTCACCAACAAGTCAGGCAGAAGCATATTCCACGCCATCAGCCTTGGACATTTGTCATTGTCCTTGCTTCAGTTTCACGAATGTAGTTACCAAAATGCCTCTGTTAAGTCTCTGTTAAGTCTCTGTTAAGTCTCTATCGCCTCTGAAGGTCACAAGGACCTGATTTTCTTGTGTTCGATGAACAAAACATGGCTCTTCACTGTGGGAAAAATAGAAGAAGCAAAAGTCTCAATTCAACAATGGATAGGCCTAAACAAAAAGAATTGTCAGCTTGTAACCGTTTATAAATGTCACACACATTGTATAAGGTTTACTCTGTTACACAATCCTTGCACCAAACTACTACAATATAAGCCAATTAATATTCCACTTGTGCTGTCAAGGTGAATGTTGAAAGCCCACAATTGACGTCCATTTGTCAGGTGGAAATATGGCTAGATGTTACACTCAGTGGCGTAACTTGGGTTAAACTTCTAGGTGCATCTTGGGGGCATCTGGGGGCTGGGGGTGCACCAATTTGTGAAGGGGGGCACTAGCTGAAGGCAACTGATATATTGTTTTTGTGCAATTCAAGATTTTTAAATGGTGGGGGGCACCCAGGGGGGCACGGACCTTCGCTGGGGGGGGGGGGGGTGCCCTTTGTGCCCCCGTAGTTGCGCCACTGGTTACACTTGGTGCTTTGGTGTTAATATCACACCTTCCAGACATGAATTTTTATTGACATTTGTAAACAGAATGTTAAATTTCTACACTGCTGGTCCAGATTCTTTCAACAAAGCACACAAAGGAATTTAGGACCGACAGATTTAGGCTCAGGGCCTGAGTGTGCAAAGCAACACTGAAATCCAATCGATATTTTCAGCCTAATTGCTGAATTGCTTACCAATGTGGTCATATCTGCGGAGAACCAACTTATCCTTGAGACGGTTTCGCTTTGCTACCATTTCGACCCCCGTTCCTGCTGCACTCCTCAACATAACGAGTATGTTCCTGGCCATAGTTGATAAACAAAAACATTACGATTGGCAGAGCAACTTGCACATAGGTCAAACATTGCAATGAAAAATTATATGAGGGGAGTAACAGTGTGGGAGCCGCAGTTGTGATATCTGTTTATTATTCATTTACAGTTGTGACCTCATGTTGGGATTCGAATTGAACAACAGCAAAAGTATAACCATTCAGATTTTGGACATTCTTTTTCTTAAATAATTCTTAGCTCCAACAAGAAAACATGATCTGCAAAGGTTCGAAGAAATTTCCCCAAACTTTCAAAACATGCATGTTATAGAAATGGTGAATCTTAATACAATGGTAACTTTATATAATTAAACTTTGGAGAGTGAACATCAGAAACCTCATCAAATGCATTTAATGACTTCTCTATTGAGGATTTTGAAGCGAAACTCATTAAAATAACTACGTGACTGTTTATAGGATACAAGATCTCCTGAAAATCAGTAATGCAAATATCTTGAGATATACTTACTTGCTCTTTGCCACTGATAAAAACAAGAGAAAAGAAAGAAATAAAATGTTAGCAGTTATGTCTGGACATGAGAAATTATGTTCATTCTGCAGGCTTGAAAATCTAGCACATGAACCATAGTTTGCCATATATAAATCCACACTCTTGACAAGTCTTGTAAATTCTCGCTAAAATGTAATTTATGAAACTATGATTGCAAAGCTCAAATAAGGTTCATAAATTTGGGACCCATGCAGTGAATGTGTTTTTTCCAGTGGGGGTTGATTTTAATTTGCTAATTGGGGGGGGGGGGGGGGGGGGGGGGGAGAGGGCGAAAATCATTCTACACCAGATGGCGTTGTTTATAAAGTTGTTTATAGATCTGCAACATAAGTTTTATGAGGGCTTATCAACTGCCCCCCCCCCTCCCTTCCATCCCCCCCCCCCCCCCCCCCCCCCAATTTTGCAATGTCTGGGAAAGTTTCAATACATGCAAGATCTGCAAGATGAATTGCATATCGGGGAACTCATTCCTTCAAATTAATACCCATACTTCTACCAAATGCGTGATCGAGTCAATTGAATCTGAGTATGCATTGCATGGTATAGTTGGCAAAGCATCGGGAAACATCACATTAACTGACTGACTGGTGTCAGTTCATCATGTAAAACATTGTCTGCGCTGCAGTATCCACACTGCACTGTACGCCATTGCGCGGTGAGCTACGAACGTGGCGCGATCTTGTACTTTCTCGTTGCTCCACGTGGTCCATGAGGCCAACGTTATGTAGTATTTTGTAAATAAACTAGGCCATTAACTGACGTTTTAGTAACGTTACAAAAGCCCGACTTACATCTGCAAAGTGACACAAACATTTTGACGAGCGTGTTGGATACCGAATGCAACTTGATTCTGTTGAACTCGTGAAAATTAGATGAACTGCTTTAAAAATGTTTTAGTGATTTTAGTTGATTTAGGAACCAGACTAGACTGATTCCACTATTTTGAAACCGAGGTTGAAAGCAGAATCTGGGAACGTTCCAGCCTCGTCCCCAGTGCTTACTTTATTTCCAACGTTGTTTCAGGTAGTGGTGGGCGCGTACTGCTCAACACCCTGGAGACGAGGTTGGGGAACGATCAGCCTCTAGTTCAGTCTAGCATCCAAACTGATGGTGACAATTTGCCACATATAAACAATTTAATAGGGTGGGTACCAGACGATACATCTCGCTGTCGCGTTAACGCACTGAATGCCACGTATCCTTTATTGCAAGTCTGCAATGCATGCGTTTGCATAGCGCATTGTCAATGCACATTGCAGTACATGCAGAACCGGGCACTGCCACTGCCATTAGTTCGGCTACAACATCTGGACCGTCGTTCTTTTAATTTTTATGGACATTTCCGAATCAAAGAACCAACCAACGACACCGAAATACAGTTAATGCTGATTCTAAAAATGAATGCAACTTGGTTATTAGCAGCGCTTTTGGCCGTGCTGAGTTGCACGGTAACGCAAGTTCTCTGTTTGTCGTTCATGCTGCCACCAAACGTAAAGAAGTGCCTTCAGGAAGAGATACATAAAGACGTTCTAGTGACTGGAGACTATAAACTGAGTGGAGCACCTGGTCACAAAACCTTGCTTCTCGTAAGTATTGTTAAATACTTCTACTACTATGTGATATAGTCCCATAAAGTGGGCCCACCACTGGACTTCTACCTCCGTCAAAACAGTGAACCTGGCTTTTTCAAGTTCTTGAGAGTTGAGTTTGAAATAAGTGTAGGCTACAGTGTCATGATGAGTATCATGTGTAGACTGTTTTTAACTTGGAACTACATCATGTATCACTTTGGAGGTCGGCATCTTACCTAGTTACTGAGCTGGAACCATGGTAATCGTGTAGTTTAGGACACCTCATCATGTTCATAAATCAAAACCCTGCCCTTTTTCCAGTGTCCACAAAATTAAGCTAGCTGATTTTCAACGTGTTATCTTAGCGAACTATGTATTTAGATGATTCCAAACACATTAAGTGACTTTTCCTGCTTGTATCATTGCCAAATGTTTAGGTCTTTACTAGTATTACGTCCCAAACATAAATGATAATGTCTTTTCGTTCTCAAATATGGGAACGGGGGTACTACACGATTAGCAGAACCAATTATCATCTACACATGTAACATGTCTAGTTATTCTGTATTTTTGTACACATTTGAATGGAATATTGGATTTTCTTGAGGTCATGGAGCAATTGACCTATCGCCGTTTGCGAGTTAGCCACGCTCCTTAGACAACCCTATGGAGTTTTTGTTTTGTACACTTAGTTTTGTTTGTCTCAGATTTTGCGCATTCCGCGTCCATTTGTATATCATGTAATTGGACAATATTTCACAAGCTGTGTTGACGCAATTCTAACGCGATTCTACCATGATAGGTCAATTGGCAAATTGTGGAATGCAGTCGACATTAAGTTAGGTGGCAAAGGTTTGACTGAAAACACAGGTCACATAAGCGATTCGGTACAATTTCCAATAGGAGATGAAAATGTATCATTTGTAAGCACTTAGTTGTGTGCAGAGTGTCAAACACTAAACAGGGCCTATATTTGTTTCAGAATCACTCAAATGTAATTTATCAAATCAAAAATGAAATTATATGTGTGATTTATGCATCTATAGTTTATAAAATATAGGCTTATGATAATTTTTTTTCTTTCAAATTAAGTGACCTGTTCTGTCAAAAGCAGACGCTTCTGGGCAGGGGTTGAAGTTGAGATAGGGCCAAAAAAATGCTGTGGGGGTGATTTTTATCGATTTTCAAATTTTTGCATATTTGGAATCCTGAACATGTCTAAAATATATTATAAAAGTTTGAAACCCTAATTTGAACTCAACATATACTATTTTTGATGATTTTGATAAGGTACATGTATATGTATTTGAACACGTGTGGTCTAGTGGTGGAGCACAGGATTCGTGATCGAGAGGTTGTGGGTTCGAACCCCACCGTGGCCATGGGTGTTGTGCCCTTGAGTAAGGCACTTCACCTCAATTACTCCTCTCAACCCAGGTGTTAAATGGGTACCGGCATTGTTCAATGCTGGGAAGGTAACAGACTCGCTGTGGAGGAGGTGTGGCAATCCCCCCACAGCAGCATATGAGTCTGGCCCAATCGCTAATTAAAGAGAGATGGGCACTCCGTTCCTGTGAATACAGGTTCGTCCCCTTTACTTTTTTACTTACATGTATATCAGTTAAAGAAATAACTGTTTTGTGACGTTCGTGGCCATTTTCTCCGTTTTCTACTTTTCGACACAATGAACTTCAAAATAGAATAATTCTGCCCAGGAATGACCGGTTTCAAAAATTAAACTACCTATTAAAAGGAAAAAGAACATATGTTAACAATATGTAAAAAATATCATTTTCGACTTTATGCCCAGAAAAGTCTGATTTTGACAGAACAGGTTTTGACAGATACTATCTGTCGTGCATAGTGCCATTTAGGCTGAGTCCCTATGCATGTGCAGTATATGGTTTCACTTGATTGAGGTTGTGATGTACCATATCATTGTGACACAAACAGGTCAAAGACGATAAAGGTCATATCCTGTACCAGAAAGATGATGCCCAGTTTGGGAAATTTGCCTTTACAACAGATGTATACGCGGTGTGTGACATCTGCTTTATAACCAATCTGCCACGAGGTTAGTGGTCGCAGATTCGCATGGTTACCGTACCTCGGAGCAGTCGAGGCATCATCGGGGTCCATCATCGTCTGTTCAATATCAAATCAAACCAAATGGTTGCACATCCGCATGGCATTTATAAAACCTGGAACAGTTATTTTGTATGTTAGAAATGTTAGAATCATTCATGAAATAACAACCAGACATGAATCTCAAGAATATTTTGCTTCCGGTGTGCCATGTGACCATTGAGCTCATTTGGTTTGATTTTGATTATGTGCTAATCATCTGTTTTGCGTTTAATAGAATTAGCTTATTCATCGCAGTTTTGCTCCTTTTTTTCTCATTTCACTCTTCCTTTTTTTTGTCTTCACACTTGCCTGCATGAAATATAGGTCAGTGATAGTAAAGGTCACATTCTGTATACAAAGGATGATGCAGTAGAGGGCAAGTTTGCATTCACCTCAGATGACTATGATACATTTGAGATATGTTTCACAACACACCTGCCTGCTGGTGAGTCTTAAGAATGCACGTTGAGCATTCTGTCTTTTTATGGGACACTTCAAGAAAAAACGGCTAATGTCACCTTTATTATTTCTGCCATGTGGCATGTGTTCATGTACATGTATAAGTGGTCTAGCTCGTAATTGTACTGATTGTCATTTAATATAGCTCCATCCAGGCATGCTATCGATTTTAGCGAGTGTTCGGATAATCCATCACGGGGTAGTTGCTTTGTACATTAGCTTGCACAGTGGGTTCTCCATTGAAGGGGGCCACGCGAGTTTTCACGTTCCCGGATTCGTCTATATAGGCACTTCTTTTATCATCACTTTTTTTACCAATTGTCAGCAAACCTATGTAGTGCATGAACATAAATTTACGTAATACTTACGCAGGATTTTATTTATTGGAAGAAAATGTCCAGTTTTCCATTTCAGGAAATCCTGAAAATGTTCCGTTTTTACCATGATAGCAATGAGAGAAAAAAGTATGCTTCCTGTTTTATCATGTGCATCATAAACGTACGTGAAGTAGATGTTAATTGAAAATAATTTGCAGTTGACATCCACTTACGTACATAAATTGGGTAAAAAAAAAAATCCCTTCAAATAATTTGGCTTCAAAATTTCAATGAGCAAAACCACCAGAAGCTGTTCATAATGCTTTGACTCAACAATAGTGTACACTGTTTATAAAAAATAATAATACCGTTTCAAAAAAGGAATTCAGTGAAATCTGAATCTGGTCCGTATCCCAGTAAAGCAGAAAATTGTAGCACAAGTTCAGGATCTCATGATGGATTTTTTTTCTTCACCATTTCGTTGCACAATTGCATGAATGTAATGGCATGTTTACTATCATAGAACAAATGATATGCTTGCATTTGCTGCATGCAACATTACTAGCAATTTACTTAAGGTGCTACATGTATAGCCATATCAACATACATTGTACATAAGAATCATCTGCATGTGCGAGCATGACAATTACTTACAGTACAGGCACATGCATGGAAGAAGCCACAGAAGCTACAGAAATTGTTTTAAAGTGCAAAATGTGTACGTATGTATGTATACATAAATGTATCATGTATTACACAGGTGTACTTAGGCAAAAGTCCATCAATTTCAAAGAGAGTGAAGTCAAAGATCAACCTACATCTGAAATATATATGAAAATTGAGTTTACACTGTCATGGTGCCTTTCCATTGAATAAGCCATTTATTGATTTAAAAAAAAAAGCTTTCTCAAAAGTTTTGTTAGGATAATTTATTGTGTAGATTCTGCCATTAAAAGCTTAAAAAGCAGTTATATAAGTGATTGTTTTACTTTTATTTTTTACTAAACAATTTACTAAACTCCATTTCCGCCCTTTTTTGTTTGTTTTTGCGTCAATTAAATATTCAGGAATGAGAGGAGCAGACCGTGAGGTATATCTCAATGTCAAACGTGGTGTGGAAGCCAAGAGCTATGAAGACGTAAGTTTTTTCTTAACTGTACATCCTGGAAAAAAAAAAGAAAACTATGTTTTATTTTTTTTTCACAACCTCATTTTCAAGAACTCAGTTGCCAACTATCAGGTGACTATTTCAGAATATATGTTAAATCACAATGTTGATTTCAAAAAAATCAACTGGTATCTATATAGCATTTGTTCATTTGCCATATTGTTTTGTTCTCAGTTGAACATTTGTTTTATGTGCCTGCGTTTTAGTCTGACACACCCTGTTAAAATAGACATTAGACATAATGACATCACACTTTGTTTACATGTGCGCTTTCATATGGGAAGTTGTTGGTTCTCTTCCCCACCTTGCTCCCAAAAGAAAGTGCACATCATGTAAACAAAGCATCACATAAATATGTTTCAGGCCTATCCAGTTCATTAGTTAAAACGTCATACACGCGTGCACCACTGATTACTAGCACCCATTGGATAAATGCTCGAGTTGCGTTAACTTCCAGTTCCATTCGTACTATGCTACACCGTGTGAAGTACGCATGGTTGAGTTGATATGATGTCACACTAACGAACCGGATTGCAATCTTATAGCATCTATTTTTTACAATATTGGATCGTGTGTACATTGATGTTTCCATTTCTTCAAATCAAATTGGTGCTTACCTATGCAAATTTATCTATGCAGATTGCTAAATCAGAAGCACTGAAACCGATGGAGGTTGAGCTGCGGCGTTTGGAGGATCTGTCAGAAGCCATAGTCAATGACTTTGCATACATGAAGGCCAGGGAAGAAGAGATGAGAGATACAAATGGTAAGATATATGAGTTTTTACTCTGACAGCCCCTTTCACACTACAAAATCTCTGGCTAATCTTGGGGGTACTTACAATTTGTCCTGGGTTTATGGGAGCATTCACATGCCCTGCCCCGGGGTAAGAGTGGAGTGTCATGGCCTAGCGGTTAAGAGCACCGCACCGGACTCTTGCTCTGGTGTTTGAGAGGCAGCAGAATGTGGGTTTGAGCTCGGGTCTGGACACTTGTGCCCTTAAGCAAGGCACTTAACCTTGCTTCGTCCTTCAGATGGGACGTAAAGCCGTAGGTCTGTGTGTTGTGTAATGCAATGCACGTAAAAGAACCCAGTAACACTTATCGCTAAGAGAAGGGGTTTGCCCTGGTGTTTCTGGCATCCTGTTAAAACTCCCCTGCTGAGTATTTAGGAGAAGAACCAACAAAGTACCAAGACAAAAAGTTACCCCGTTACCCCAGGGTTTGGCAACCCTGCTCAGCAGCAGTACGGACACATGCAGTGCACCTAGGGCATGCTTAACATGGGTTTTGGAAACTTGGGGAGAACGAAACATGTGGGGAAAAGAAGGCGGGGATAGGGAACGCCGGTTACAAAAAGCTAAACACAGGACAAAAAATCTATGGGTTAAGCAGTTAAAGTGCAAAAAAAGGGTAGAATATAAATGAAGCGACAAATATCCGTTTCCTTTATCTAATAACATGTACTTTTAGTTGACGGCCCACCTATTTGTAGCATATAGGTCTGGGCTGTGTTTATTTTAAAAGAGATTTCCACGAACTTCCGAAATCACAATCCATTGCTACAGTAACTTCATGAATAAAGAATGAGTTTTTTACTCATATATTGATTTGCTTGTATCCACTACTCCATATGAGTGTTCTGGTGCTTGCTTTTCCTTCTCACAAAAATCTTGTGAAAGAAATTGAAACTTTCCATAAAAGTGTAACATTATATGTTTTTGCTTTTATTTGACAGAATCCACCAATACAAGAGTTCTGTATTTCAGCATCTTTTCCATGGTTTGTCTGCTTAGTCTGGCGACATGGCAAGTCTTCTATCTCAGACGCTATTTCAAATCAAAGAAGCTCATCGAGTAATCAATTTCCTTTGCTTTATCCTTCAGAATTTTGTGGATTAACTGGTTTTTTGAGTTTTTTGAGTTTTGACAGGTAAATTTTTTCTTCTCGGCAATGTACAGTTTATTCTGTCCTTTTCTTCAATTTTAACAATATAAGTTATCCCGGGAGCGCGAGTGGAACACGGAATAATGTAGTGCGTCTGTGTTCCACATACCACAAAGCCGAAGGCTGAGTGGTATTTGGGACACAGACGTACTACATTTTCCGTGTTCCACGAGCCCGAGCGCGATAACGAATTTATCTTCAAGCAAACTTGACGCACAGTAAAGATGGAACTAGCACGCTTTACGTGAACCTTTTAGCGGTTTAACGCATGCAGCTGAAATGTCGCTTGCATCTTGGAACAACGCAATACGCAGGGTGCGATATGGACCTTGTTGTTGCCATGGATTGACCAATCAGGATCGAGGATACAAGTTTGCTTGAAGATAAATACCATTATACCAACTGAACAGATATTATTTCATCAAGCACAAGTTGCGGAACTCATATTCTCATTTCTTATCCATCAGTGTGAAAGTCATTCAACTTGTTTACATCATCATAAGTGTAGGAAAATTTAAAAAATCAGTTGGCTGTTTAAAAAAAAAAAAAAAAAAAGTTTAGTTCTACATGTACACGTACATGTATATAAAGTCTGTTCATGTAATTTATGATTACGTACTGTTGCTTCTTTATTTGATTTGAACGTCAATGTTTTACATTTATGTTATTATGGATGTGCATGTACAACATGTACATGTTTGTAACAATTTGTTGAATGTCATGTCCGTTGGTTACTTTTCAAGTCTCAATTACATTGTTATTTAAGGTCCTTATTAAGGATGTGACTTTGCGGTTAATTTTGTAAACATTTATAGCATAAATTTTAAGAAATGTTTAAATGTTTAACCATTCACAATAGCCGATGCTAGTCCATTATATATCAGACTGGCATGATTGACATGATAAATCAACAATGATTGACATCATAAATAGCGGGCAGTCATTGAAAAAGTAAAAACCTCTCTGTGTGTACCCTGAATGTAATCAAGTGCTTTGGTGCTTCTAAGGTTTTGCGAATTAAATAGGTTTGAAAACATGGATATGTTGAACTCTAAGGAAGATCGCATGAATGTGGTTTCGTTTAAACGTTTTAGAAAATTTGTAAATGGATTTAGAATTTTGTTTGTTTAAACATTATGGTAGCATTGTCTTTCTTTGGTGGGTTAAAAACAACCTGTGCAGAGATTGTGGTGCCTTGTTTTTCAATGTCAAGCTTCTGCTGTACTTGTTGTAAACAGTTGTTTAACAATCAAACAAATAAGTGAAAATGGTTGCATGCCAGTTGTATCCAACACAAAATGAGCCTGAATTCACCAGAGGGACATTGCACTTTCGAGTAAAAGAAATCTTGCACAATGGAAGTCATTACAAGCTGTCAATGTTTTCAGCCACACTTGGTGAAACTAAAATGGGAATCTAAGTATGCTCTTTCTAACTCACATGAGACACTAAGCTGAAGTAAAATGTCACGGGTTCTCTTCACATAAATATACATGTACACAAATACCAACCGCGTGATTTTTACTTGTCCTGTTCAGTGACATTTACATGGCTGAACAAGTTCCTTTCATTTTTTGCCTTCGTTTTTTTTAAAGTCACATTTACATTTAAATTGAATGTTAACTTTGTTGCAGTGGTGATCAAGTAAATTTTAAAAAGCATCTGGTTTCAGGAAAATGCAGTTTTGTATGTGTCAAATAGAATTAAAAGTTAAAAAACCAAATTTATGAACATACACTGTGTACATGTAGATGTATCAAAGTCAGAGTTGGGACCTTTTACCTTTTCCAGATGAGAAAAAGACCAATGAAATTGTTCTTTACTGATAATGTTTCTTTTCTTAAAAGGATTTAATGCTTTGCGTGATTTTTGAGGGTACAATTAGGTAGAGTTTTTGCTTGTGAAGTAGTATTTGTTCTCGGAACCAACAACTCTTTTTAGAGATACATTTAGTCACTTCACAGGGGTTTTCCTTTTCTTTACTCTATTTTGGGTGTTGGATAATGCTAGGGGATTTTGGGGTGTTTTTTTCTAAACATTTAGTACGTATTTCAGTAAATCAACTGGACAAAAGTGATTCAGATATTTGAATATAGCCATGTGATGTGCTGTACCTTTACACAGTAGTAAAAGAAGAAAACACTGTGATTGATGGAATTTAAAAAAAAAACTTACATGTTCATGTATATATTACACAATTGTTTAGTAGCTTTTACAAGTAGCAGTACCATACAGGTAGTTTTATGGCAATAACCAATTGCAAACACTGTTTAAGTGTTGGTATTCTCTGTAATAGATTTTTTTGTTAGAATGTTCTTGATGAATGTACCCCACAACAGAACCTTTTTTCCCGCCAACATCGTTTTTAGCAGTCAAAAACTGATCGTATGCTTCATTGAATTAGGCCCCCCAAAAAAGTCTCCGGTTTCTGGTATGCGCGCGCGTCGCCGTAGCCATGCGCGTCGGCAAAATGAAATTTTTTTTTTCAATGAAAGATGATGTCTCAAAACCGCCAAACTCACTGGTTTGACTGGAATCCTGCTGCTGCACAATTTTAACGTGTTTTTAGATGGCGTTATGGTCAAGAATAAGCTTTATGTGGCCTCTCTGGACTCCCATATATTTGCACTAAGTTTAGTCGGGCACCATTTGCAGTCATCAGCCGACATTTGAAGCAACAAAATCAGGTAAAAAAAAAAAAAAAGCCGCGTCGCCGCACCACTTTTTGGGCATGCTCCATACCAGAAACCGGAGACTTTTTTTGGCCTTGGGGACTGGATGCTCGGTTCATGTTAACTTTGGCCGACAAATTGGCAGAATTTATAGTGACACTTTGCAACTGCATGTTCAAGTACAACATTGGTCAAGCAACCGAAGTACAGTGTTGCTGCAGTGACCATTGGTTCTGCTGTCAAGTTGAATTCTCGCTCAATGCATTTGCATCACAGACTCGTGGCTCATCTGTAACAAGAATCCCTGGATTTATGACGAAATGTTTGAATAGGAGTTTGTATAAATTGACTTTGACAAATTTTTGAATAAACATTTCTTTTCAGATGACTTTTGTTGTAAGGTGTATTTTTAATGTGTGGTACGTCTTACAGTCAGTCGGATTTGTGAAACATAAAAAAAACCGAGAGAGAGAAGAAGAAAAAGGGCAAAATGAGCTCCCTGGCCCTGGGCGTCAAATGAGGTCCAGCCCCATCCTTATTTTGCAACTACCAGCTCTGGCCAGTTGACCCCCTCCGATCCCCGAAATTTGGTTCTTGTTTATTGCAACCTTGAATTTCCCGTAAAAAAAAAAAAGTGGAGTAGAAGAACCGCGGAACACACAAAAATTGCGGGCGGCTGATGACGCAGCTCGTGTAAGATAAGAAGTGCTATATGCCCAATGGGAACGGCACTTTGTTGCTGAGTACAGCAACTTTTGCTTTTTAGGTTTTGCCTCTTCTTCTTGACTTGATTTTTTTATCTGTATTTTTTTAAATATCTTTTGTGAATTACCACGAAGAGGAAATAATTGTTACCTGATACAAAAATGGAGGTCGATCATGTTCCCAGGGAAGTACTGGGTCGGGGGGGGGGGGTCCCAGACCCGACTTTCATCACTTATGGTGTCGCTGCGAAATCCATTGACAATTTGTACTGTTATACTTTGATAAACTTGCTATAAGAAACCTCAACAACTTTAATGGCCTGACTTAAAAGTAATTAGTATCCATAGAAATTGTCCAAAGCATGTATCAGGCATGCGACTGTTAGAATTTTAAAAAGAAATTGAGGAATACCAAGCTGTACAAAACTTGATGCCGGCAGTGTTTTTATCTTTATTTGTTTTGTGGTGGCACAGTTTGAAGAGATTAATGACGAATTCCGTGATCCGGGAGAAAAGCTAGTTGCATGCCTGTTGATGCAGCGCACTTGACGGAGCAAATCTCAGATAGATGTTAACGTCTATGATAGCACCTCCAGCATTCGCTCCAATTATCGGCGACGGGCACGTGTGTTAAAGTTGCTTTTCCCATGCTCTTCAACAAATCTTCAACTTTTATGATTTATTCCATCTTTTACTACATTTTGAGCGTTTTTTAAAAGGAGATTACATGTATTTTATAGGCACAAATACTTGTTTTGGAGCGGGAACCAGCCTTGTCATGGGCTGCAATTAATTTCGAAATTAGCCCTTTTGGGCGTCGCCATGATTTTTTTTCTAGAGGGGGGCAAAGAACATCTTCCCCCCCAAATCACTATATTTTCCCGATCGAGGGTGGGAGGCACATTTTTATGTCTCCCCAACCCATTAAATTAAATATAATTTCGCGCATGTCCCCCCCCCCTTTTTCTTTTTTTTTCTTTTGACGGAAGCGCCCCCCCCCCCTTGAGACGCCCATGCCCTTATAGTAAACACGGTTGGCTCATTTTATTTTTATAATTTTAATACATGTCCCATTCAAACGTAAATACAGCTGTATCGCTAGAAAAATAGCAATTTTAGAAAGAATCTATTCTAGGCCTCTACTTTTTTCGGGATGAAGCGTACGTACGTCGGTCAGTCTTTGTCGCCGTTGAGGGCGTAATACTTGTGCACGGGAGTACGACGACATGGACGAGAGTGCAGTGCACAGTGCAGTGAAACGCGAACACTACCGATGTCGGGGAAAGATGGGGGACTTGTCTACAAAATCTAACGCAAGTTCAGTGTCTGAATCTGCCCAAGAAGAGCGCTACAATCATGTCAAGGTCCTGGGAAAAGGCGCATTTGGTGAAGCGGTTCTTTACAATAAAACGGAGGTACGAAATCAGTCATATTACATGAGTCCGGTCCGATGGATTGACACATCGAGCATTGTCGAGTGCCTTATACTACTAGGCCGATTTTGGGTCAACTCTAGCCCGACTGCGTCTGGCCGTACAGTACTATCGCAAGCTCTGTAGTACGGCCAGACGCCCGATGCTTCCAAAAAGACTGAATTTTTTTGGCCGCCGATGTAGCGATTTTGCTACATCTTTCGATCGCGATTATCTTTTCATCCAGGACACAAATTTCCAAAGTTAAGGTTCGTAGTCGTAGAGCAACTCATACCTTTTCGAAAAAAACGTTCTTTGGTCTCAATATTTTCATCCATCTGGCCACAAGACGAATTTCAGTCATCAGATTCCACAAATATCGTCCCCCATGCGATCCCCCATGCGATTTCAAAATGGCGGCCGCGCTGTAATGTATGCATTAGGCGAGCGCGCTTGGGCAAGATAATGAATATGCATCATAGTTTATGACGTATGTCGGACACTCAGCGCGGCTGGCCATACAAACACGAGGTCATGAATAGCCTTGACCAAGGCTATCAGCTTGTTCCCATATGAGCTTGTTCCCGCTACCGCACACCGCGCGCGCAGCAACACAATGTTGTACTATACCGTTAGCCCCAACGACCCTTGCGTGTGCTTTATGTGCATGTACATACGCCCCACACTCACTTCCGCAAACAGCCGTACAGTAAGTCGAGGCAGAAGATAGCCTTGACGCAACCGTGTATGCTGAATATGATAATTATACGCGGACTACGCGCTATGGTAAATAGTCTTCTCTCATTGGATAACGACTGACAAAAATATGAATATTTATTAAATTGCATAATACGACTAAAGGTTTATAAACCAGACGGCCTGTGGTAACAATAATTATTGTAAAACACCCCCTTAAAATCTTAAATAATAGTAGAATAATATTTATAAAGTTACACATAGTTTGGGTCGAAAATGAAATGAAAAGGATGAAAAATTAGATGGCAAACGGTACAAATCCGCACGCCGGCAAAAACGATGTCACCATGCACAGAGGCCACGTTGGGGCCGTCCACTGTAGGCACCGGCCCGGCTGGCGCCATGCAGTGAGACACGCTGCGCTTTCACGTTCAGCGGCCAAAAAAGCGCTCACACTATTGAGTATATATCTACCGCTGACTTTTGGGGGGGGGGGGGGGGGGGGGTATCTCTCCTTCAGCAAACTTATTCTGTAAGACTGATTTTAACTTGTATGAACAACTTGTAAGTTATATGTCGTATGTACGACAAATATATCGACAGGGTACGACATATTTCGACAGGGTACGACTAATATCATCGACGGGGTACGACATATATGTCGACAGGGTATGACATATCAAACATATGACATAATGTCGACAGGTGCCGGTACGACATATATGTCGTGCATAAGTCGAGTCGACAGGGTATGATATATGTCGCATACGACAAAGTCGTATATATAAGTACAACTTAATATCTCGTGTGTACAAAATATGAATTGTAACTCGTATGTTCGACTTGTTTGTCGATTATGTCGTACATACGTATCTACGACTTACATGTTGTACGTATGTCGTAGGTACGACATACGATTCATATGTACGCGTTAAAATACATGTGTCGTACGTATGAGATGTACATGTATGTTGCACATGGTACGAATTCAGGGAGAGTTTTTTTTTCACCATGTACCTGACAGTTTCGTATATTTCCATCCCGAAGTCAATAGCTCGTTTCTTGCACCTAATTCATACGGGTGCTTATAGATACGAGTTAACCTGCATTCGATTAAATGGGTACGATTTGACCTGGGTCCGAGTTGACCTGTTCCCTACATTCGCTGTCAGAACAGCACGCGGGCAGGTAGCGGCGTGATAATGTACGCTGTTGCACCGACAAAACGTCGGCGGACTGTCTTGAACTGTCCAATTCGCAATACATTGGAAATAATATCATTTTGAACAATTGTTCACTCATATAGCGGCATATTTCATTTGTTTGTAATAAAACTGGAGAAATGGTTTAAAATGGGACCATGGTTTGAGTGAACATACATGTACGTGGTGTATACAGTAATTTGCGGGTCATGAATATGTATATCGCGGGTCAAAGTTTACGGGCTTTGATTGGATATCGTGTTATATAAGCGCATCAGAAATTTTCGGCCGATTTCGGTCGAAACTATAAAGAAACACATAAGAATTCGCCACGGTTGCGTCAAGGCTATCTTCCGCCTCGACTTGCTGTACGTACGGCTGTTTGCGGAAGTGTGTGTGGGGCGTACGTACATGCACACAAAGCACACGCAAGGGTCGTTGAGGCTATAAAAACGGTATAGTACAACTAGTGATTGTGTCGCGGCGCGCGCGGTGTGCAGTAGCGGGAACAAGTTCGTATGTGAACAAGCTGATAGGCTTGGTCAAGGCTAGGTCATGAACTAAATAATGCATATTCATTATCTTGCCCAAGCGCGCTCGCATAATGCATACATTACAGCGCGGCCGCCATTTTGAAATCGCATGGGGGATCGCATGGGGGACGATATTTGTGGAATCTGATGACTGAAATTCGTCTTGTGGCCAGATGGATGAAAATATTGAGACCAAAGAACGTTTTTTCGAAAAGGTATGAGTTGCTCTACGACTACGAACCTTAACTTTGGAAATTTGTGTCCTGGATGAAAAGATAATCGCGATCGAAAGATGTAGCAAAATCGCTACATCGGCGGCCAAAAAAATTCAGTCTTTTTGGAAGCATCGGGCGTCTGGCCGTACTACAGAGCTTGCGATAGTACTGTACGGCCAGACGCAGTCGGGCTAGGTCAACTCGTACCCGAGTTAGCTCGTACCCGAGTCAACTCGTACTCGAGTCAACTCGTACCCGAGTCAACTCGTACCCAAGTTAACTCGTAACCGAGTTAACTCGCACCCATGTTAACTCGTACCCGAGTCAACTCGTACCCGGGTCAACTCGCACCCAGGTCAACTCGTACTCACCTCCTTTTTTAGTTTGGAAGTACGGATGGATGGTTAACAAAACTTCCGATTTTACCCTCAAAAACGGCGACTGAGAAATAGTAGTTACGCCGCCAGAAATACAAATAAAGTTCAAGGATTAGTTGAAGGCGGTGGTATCAAATGTTGCTCACAATCTGGATGAAAAGGGAAAATGTACCGTTCATCGGCAAAGGCTTCATCGCGAACGGACGGGTACCGCGCGAAGAACATTTTCAAAACGGCATCAGTGTGGTACTCGCGAGTCGACGGAGCCCTCGCTGATGAACGGTAAATTTCACTTTTTATCCAGATCATCAGATGTGTTATTTTAAAATTTGTGTAGTATTTTCTCTTAGTCATGATGTTTTTCTTTCTTTTTTCAGAGACCCTGGATCACTGAGATTGCGGAGTGACTGTGCGAACTGCTACGTCTTTTCTTTTTGTTCGGTCGAACGTGTTTTAAGGGCATAGTTTTCATTTTTACGAATTTAGTATTTAAGACCTTTTTTTTTTTTTTTAAAGAAAGCTGCTATTAAAAAATGAATTTTGTAATGTAAAAGTAATAGGGGCCTATTTTTCAACGTTCACTCACTCCATTTTTGGCATCATTTATTGAATAATAACTGCACATGGCACAAATCTCTTTGGGAAGATTGGGGGCCCTGAAAGTACAAATCTGAAGAGAAAATTATATTACAGGAAACTTAAAAGAGTCACACGGACATCGTTATTTAATTTATAATGATTCTTAAATATGTTGGTCATTTTTTGTACAATTAGTTCGGTAAATGTAGTAAAAAAAATCTTGTGCAGCTCAAATAAAGTTTCTGCGATAAGTTCAACTAGAATATTATTTTGGTAACGGATATGTAGGATTTTTAATTATTTGTTTACATTTGAGGCATCAAGGAAGTAAAAACGATAAAGGAAAATGGTGGCTCATTTCATTCAGAGATGCTCTTTCTATAAATTTTAGGGGACCAATATGTTAGTTGATCCTTGGGTGTGAAAGATTGTTTGACATTAGCAAATTGTAATTCAAGTGCAAGAGAAAGTTTTATCTTAAACAAAACTGAGCTAATCGGGTTTCGTCCTCAAAACTTGACATCCGATTCGATTCATCATGAACTACGCGACGGCAAAAACACCGTGCACGCACAACCACTTTGACCGGCGAGTGTGCGCACATGCTCGGCAAAAACGATATCACCGTGCACGGTACGACCACGCGCAGTTGGCCGATGAGTGCGCGCACAGGCCCGGCAAAAACGATGTCACCCTGCACGGACGACCACGTGGACCGGCGAGTGCGCGCACAGGCTCGGCACAACCGATGTCACCGTGCGCTGCACGGACAACCGGCCTATCCCTCCGATCTTCCGTTCGTTTCACTGATTTTCTCTTCGAAACTATGCAACTATTTTGAGCTGCGGGTACGAGTTGACTCGGGTACGAGTCAACTCGGGTACGACTTGACTCGGGTACGAGTTGACTGGGGTACGACTTGACTCGGGTACGACCTAACTCGGGTACGACTTGACTTGGGTGTCAATTTTGGGGTACGAGTTGACTCGAGTACGAGTTAACTCGGGTACGAGTTGACCCATTTCCACTAGGCCCACCCTATGCCCTATAGCTAGGAAAGGGGTCCTAAAAGTAAGGATTACCCAATTTCTACGCACTCGCATTCAATTTGTTTGTGACAACGCGCGCGCATTGCAAGCGTTACCTGCGCAGATAAGGAGGATCGAGGATATTATAAATATCCTCGACCCTTCATATTTATCTACCATGTCTACGCAGCAACGATTGAAACGTGCGCGCATGCCATTGTCAACTTGTCACACACAACTTGAAGTAGACCTTTGAGTTTGAACGTGGCATTGCCATTGTTTACAACGCCACGCATCAGGAGGAGGTTGCAGGACGTCGAGATCTTGCCAGATTTTACGTCGAATTTTGTTTAAATGCCAGATTTGGCGTAAAAGCAGTAAAAACATGTTCAAGAAAGCTTGATATGTGAGTACTTATCACACGGTAAAGCAATGACAATGTTAAGTTTTTGTCACGGGAGGATGATTTCGCTTGATTCGAAATGGTACAAGAGCGTGGCGTAGTTTACAAGCCACGTTCACGGGTCTAAACTTGAAGGTGAGTGTGTAGAAAAAGGACCGCGTTATTTTAGGGGGTCCGATGAGTAACTTGAAGTTGGACCCAACTTATCGCCTTTTTAATATTCGGACATGGTCTGGCGATATTACTATCGTCAGACCTCTTAAAGCTATGCGCTCCTATTTCTGCGCATTCGCCTTTAAGTTATACTTTGAAAGGCGTGCATCCTAAAAAATGACATACTTTCACTCGGATTGTATCCTTTGATGCACGAACTTTAACCAGCAGCAGAAAAACATGTGGAAATTGAAGGCTTTACCTGGAATTCAGGCAAAAAATGAAAAACATCGGCATTTTACAGCTAATTACTAAGTACAGATGCAGGCAGATGCTTCCGGGCCTGCAGTAAGTCGAAAATGTGACGGAAAAGTGACCTTTCTTGGTCTCCCAATATCGTCAGTATTATAGTGAAGATGTCATAGATAAGAATTTGCAGTTTCTACATTGGTGTAAAACTTATGGTGCAACTAAAAAGACACATTTCTGAAGTTATTTTGGAAGTTTTTGGTCATAAGTTTTAAAATCCGACATCTTAAAAACTGTCTCTGTTGATTGGGATGATCAGAATAACAATATCATTGGGATCTACATTTAATAGGTAAATATGTATAAAATCTATTTATGTAAATATGTAAATCTAGGCCTTTGTATAAATCTCCAAAATGGGATATTGAAAATAATCGTGAAATTACGAAAAGTGTATTAGCGTTGAAAAAGGAAAGGAAAAAGAAAGAAAATATGTTTGAAAAGCTCAGGAAATATATTTTTCTAAAGCCAACAAGTCTAACTTATTAAAAAACAAATTTATATTGAGTTACATGGCCCGGACAGCACATATTTTTCATGAAGCGTCCCCTGCGCAGAATTAGGCAGGATTCTTTTCTCCAATGCCAAAACTGCACGCTTTGGAATTCCCCGCTTGCTGCCACAAATAAAGAGATTTCGCTTTGTTAATCGGTACAGTGGATGATCGTAAGCCAACAATATAAGTTTTGTTGAGGAAAAGAGTGGTTGCTTTGCTGCTATTTTTAAGCTACTGGGTTGCAAAGCCTTATCTGTACAGAAATAGGGGGATCGATGATACTACTAGGGCCTAAGTGTTCTTTCAGTGAGCAATGCAAAAAAGACAAAAACAAAGTTAAACACATTAGGCAAAGTAAAAAAAAAACATGTTTAGCGTCCCCGCCCGCTTCCTTTTTAGAGGCCGCCTCCTTTTTTTTTTTTTTTTTTTTTTTTTTTTTTTTAAAAGACAAAAATTGATAAATTGTAACGATCTCTGACGAAAGAAATCGTATTTTTAGACTTATATACCGTGTATAAAGCTGTGGAAATAGTCAATGAGTCCAAGTGGCGGCCATTTTGAAAAAAGCTGGTAACCATCTTGAAAAATAGCCCGGCCGCGTTGTCTTGAAAAATGTGTCGGGCGGCCATTTTGAAAAAAAAAAAAAAAAAAAAAGGGCCTCCTCCTTCCTTTTTGTCAAAGAGGCAGGACGCTAAACATGTTTTTTTTTTATTTTGCCTTAGGATGTGTTTAAACTGTTTTCGTTTTGCTGAAAGAACGAACACCTTTTTTTGTGATCCGTTGACAGAACTTTAAAACGGTGGTTGTGTTTAAAATTCTGTAACTTGAAAAGTACGTGAGTGATTTGAATAGTTCTTGTACTAAAAGAAAGATTATGAATTGGGCTTGCATATCCTAGATTTTGAAAGTGCTACATTCAGAACTTCACTAAAACAATAGTTGGAAAGAATGTTGCAACCTGACGCTGCTTTTTTCTTCATATATCATCTAAATGAAGGTCGGTTGTTGCAAAAGTGATGATAAGACATGAATCTGGGAATGAGAAGCATTTCCAATTTTGTAAGGACATACTTAGAAAATTGTCTTGACTCTCCATAGACCCTGACTGTACACATACACAACCGCTGAAGTAGCGTCAGGTTGCAACATTCTTTCCCAATAGTCCCAACATTTGGGTTTCGGTTTTTTTTACTCGCCCTGTATACTGAACACCGACTGATAAAATCACTGAATAACTGCAGAACTTGGTGGAAAACATTAACCATGCGTGTACAGAGGTCTGTTAATATGTACAAATTGTCTGCTACGTTACAGGATAACTCCTTGGTCGTCTGGAAGGAGATCAATTTGTCCCGCGCAACAGATAAGGACAAACGAGATGCACAGAATGAGATCGAGATTCTGTCCATGCTGAACCATGCTAACATCATCACTTACTACAATCACTTTGTGGATGAAAGCTCCTTGTTCATCGAAATGGAATATGCAAACGGTATGTATAGCAATCCTTGCTCAGATGTAAATATCAGAAGTCTATGATTTTACTTGACATGTACATTTGATTTAATTTTTTTTTGTGGTTGCATGGCGAAAGTAGTCTGTCTTGTTGTTCAACTCCAGACATGAACATTTATAAGAATAATATTGTTGATGTTCTTGTTCTACTTAGATGGAACGCTGTATCAGAAGATTGTTGATCAAAAAACGTTGTTCAAGGAAGAGGTTAGTCTTCTTTTCTTATGATAGCCACATATGTTGGGTAGGCTACATGTACATGCTCAAGTAGTCAAACAGGACAAGGGTGTGGGTAATTTAGCTCTCCCCCTCCCCATCACTCTCCCCATCCACATCATCGTTTTTGTTGGTAAATGTATTGTTCATTTAAACAAATCCTATAGCGCTGTATTGACATTTTGAAAGTGAGTATTTTTTCATTTGGCGTTTAAATCATGCCCTCTTGCACAAAGCTGAAGAAAATCACTCCATAAAATCTGTTATGCCTTGTTTACATGCTCTGAAATTTTGGTTTAATTCCATTGAAAAAAAAGAGTAATTCAGGATCAAAAGGAGGACATTTTTTTTTACATGTTGTATGAAAAGACTTCTAGTGCATAGCCACTCCGAATCAATGGAATAGAACTTTGTGTGATTTGGTACTAAGCTTGCCTTGTCTTGTTTGCTTGTTTCATTAGGACGTTGTGTGGTACTTGTTCCAAATTGTGTCTGCAATTGATCACATACACGGTAATGGGATACTGCATAGGTAAGTTTTCTGTGGGTGATGAGGATCCACAGAAATTGTTCGTAATAGTGATCACTCGGTAACGCGATTTTAAGCTGCCGGTGCTCCGGTACTCACTTTTCAATAAATAGCGCCCTTCAGAACTTCACCCTGCAGGCCCTGGTAGTTACTGAAAGACGACATTGAACAGGTGCGGACGATTGAATCATGTAATTACACAGTTCTTGAGCTTCCTACCTACAGCAACGAGTGGCGTTTCCCTTCTATTCCTTGGGGAAATAATAGCAACTTTTTGCTCTTCTGTTAACATTTTTCAACTACAATGAAATTAGGTTTTTTGCCCTTCACCGACGTATAAACACTGTATACTCGGTGTGTTACCTCCCGAGTGAAAGTTGGAAAAAATCACTCGGGTGGGACTCGAACCCACGACCTCCTGCTTTCTAGTGCAGATGTCTTACCACTCGACCACCGAGCTAACGGGATCGGTTGGCTGGTGCGAATCTGATGTACATAACAGCGTGTACCGCATTATATACATGTAACTATTCATAAGATGGAATTTTGCGTCAGGGTGATGCAAATGAAATTGGGTTTTTGCCCTTCACCATGTTCACCGACGTATAAACACTGTATACTCAGTGTGTTACCTCCCGAGTGAAAGTTGGAAAAAATCACTCGGGTGGGACTCGAACCCACAACCTCCTGCTTTCTAGTGCAGATGTCTTACCACTCGACCACCGAGCTAACCGGATCGGTTGGCTGGTTCAAATCTGATGTACATAGCAGGGGGTACCGCATTATATACATGTAACTATTCATAAGATGGAATTTTGCGTCAGGGTGATGCAAATGAAATTGGGTTTTTGCCCTTCACCGACGTATAAACACTGTATGCTCCGTGTGTTACCTCCCGAGTGAAAGTTGGAAAATCGCTTGGGTGGAACTCAAACCCACAACCTCCTGCTTTCTAGTGCAGATGTCTTACCACTCGACCACCGAGCTAACGGGATCGGTTGGCTGAGTTCGAATCTGATGTACATAGCAGCGGGTACCATGTAAATGAAATTAGGTTTTTGCCCTTCACCGACGTATAAACACTGTACACTCAGTGTGTTACCTATGTTCAGTTGTATATTACACAAATTTTGGGAGCAAAGGACGATGTTCGGTATAGCCAAAAGTTTGGTATAGTGGTGTTCGGTATAGCGACGTTCCACTGTATACTGATGAACGCACATTGATGCTGGTCTTTTAACATTCTTATCCTCAACAGAGATATCAAGACATTGAATATCTTCCTGACCAAGCAGAATCTGATCAAGTTGGGTGACTTTGGCATCTCCAAGGTCTTGAAAAATACAGACGTGGCGGATACAGTTGAGTAAACAATCTTGTTTCTTGGTCTTGACTTCCTGTGTTATTTTGATTTCAAACAAGCTGTTTGGCGTCTGATTTTTGTATCGCAATATTAATTTAAAGGGAATATAAAACATTTGCAAACATCGAAAAATAAAACTACCAAGTTTTTACGAAATACCTTACTAGGATGTTGGTAAATGACAGTCTCAAGCATCTTGTAAAATTATGGCACCTGGTGTGAAGTCATTTTCAAGAAAATGGTGTTTTTGTAAACATTTCCAATGGTGGTTGGCCGACCAGCGTTGGAAAAACCTAACTATTTTTCAACTACTGCTCCAAATTTACCATTTTTTTCAGTCCAAATTTTGTTTGCTATTGGTTACATGTTCATGAACGGGTGCAGGCCAGCTAGACTGGTTCCCTTGCCTTACAATTTTCCATCATCTACAAATTGATCCATTTTATCTTTTGTGGAGTCAGGGAACCAGACTACTTGAACATTTTTGGTTTTTTTGGTTTTTCCAACCTTTTAGAACACAGAACTTCAAAAATGTCAGTGTAACAATATTTGATCTATTATACTAACCTCTCAAATAGTTCATTTCTGAAAATTACAGCAAAAGCCAATGATGTATATTCCCTTTAAGCTGTATGTAAATTCAATATTGGGTTTTGTCCTTCACCGACATATTTTGTTTTTATTAACACTGTATACTCAGTGTTGCCCCCGAGTGATTGTGAGAAAAAAATCAATCGGATGGGATTCGAACCCACGACCTGCTGCTTACTAGTGCAGACGTCTTACCACTCGACCACCGAGCTTGCCGGGGTCAGCTGGCTGTTTCGAATCTGGTATATAGCAGCAGGCACTGCAGCCAAACTTTGAAATTTTCGTTAGGGTGATGTGAACTCAAAATTGGGTTTTGCCCCGCCGAAGTATTTTGTTTCGTAAATTGAGAAATCAGAGGTAATTACACGCCTTGATGAACTTTACAATTGTGTTTGAGTTATTTCAAAAGAGGATTGAAATGAAGGAACTAAGAATTTATAACAGAAAATCAGAATATCAATAACAATGATCGTATCTGTAGCTTTTCAAAACGTGGATGATACAAATTAGCTTGTAGAGACTGTTAAATCTCGAGTGTGAAATTAAATGTGTTGTGATCTGTTAAAACCCTCTACATCTAGGGAATGTTAAGATTGGGAGAAAATGACCCTTAAAAATCTGGTGTTTCCGTCACAAGCTATCTCATTGTTTCATTACGAGCCATTTGGAAATGGTTAAATCATCATGTCCATTGTAGGGAAATGTTATGCATTTTTACAGAATTGCTTTTTGTGTGTGTTTGCAGGTGGTAGGCACTCCATACTACATGTCCCCTGAGATCATGCGTGGTCAACAGTAAGTTTGATTTATCAAGTTAATTAGTATTCATAGAATTAATTACAATGTACCTCACCACATGGATATCACCGAAACATGTATCAACTGGAAACATTCCTGTACATACATGTACACAACAAAATCACTGGGGTCTGCATCATTTGTTGCAAAGTTCCTTTAGTGATTTTTGTTTGTTTGTGTGTGCGTGTTTATGGTGTAAATCATTAACCCTAACCGATCACAGCCCATCAAAGTTCAACAGCAGGTTTTGTTTAAATCTGTTGGGATAGGTACAGTACCCCTAAACTGATGGTCTTTTACACTGGGGTTGGCATACCTCCAGAAACTAAGTCCAACAGTGTGTGTGTACAATTTCCCATGTGGGTGTTGGAATTTGCCAGAATGGGCATGGTTCCTAGTAAATTAGGCTGGGGAGTTAGGGTTAATACCGGAGTCTTATATAGCGCACGTATCTACCATCAATTAGGTACTCAAGGTGCTGGAAATTATGTCTATTATTTAAGACTCGATTCTATGAGAAATATGAGACCCATTATGTAGCACCTTATCAGGGTTTACAAGGTGCTGCGGTGCATATTGCAGCCACTGCCAGAAACACCGGGGCAAACCCCTTCTCTTAGCGATAAGTGTTACTGGGTTCTTTGACGTGCATTACACAACACACGGGACCTACGACTTTACGTCCCATCCGAAGGACGAAGCAATAATGGTAAAGCGCCTTGCTCAAGAGCACAAGCACCATGTTCCCAAAGTCAGGATACGAATCCATGTACCATGGCACACGAGTCGACACCGTAACCATTGGACCCTAGCATCCCAATTCACTGAAAAAATTGAGGACAGGAGTCAAATCGAGGACGACCTCGATTATAGAAAACGTGTACAAAACCAATGGGAGCTGTTGCATAAAAGTTAAGAGTATAAACGAAAGATTGATGATGAGGAATAATAGAAAATCCTCGAATTACACCTTAAACAAACCTGTGTGTGTGTGAACATGTACATGGTTTCTTATGGGGTAAAAAATAGAATAATAGACCCCATAATGAAGTCTTTAGAAATCTATCTACCCCATAAGGGGAAATGTTGTTCGCTCTTTTCACACTTCCGCCATGGGCATGCAGAGCCTCGATCTGGCAACTTTACACAATAAATATAACCGGTTCAGTGATTCTCGTGTCTAGGTTCAGATCATTGAACCGGCTATTTTTATTGTGTAAAAATGCCAGATCGAGGCTCTTCTTGCCCAATGGCGGAGTGTGAAAAGAGCGACTGGAGTTTGACATTTCAATAGAAACAAAGGAAAACAAAAGAAGGTAAACAGAGGTCTTCCCCATAAGTATGTGTGTTTATTGCTGGGCGGGCCATCACCTCGTTATGGTGAAGTTTCTTATTGTCAGGCAAATTAGGACGGAGTTATGGGGACTTTCTGCTGTCCCAACAGCGTCTGCGGAAAAATGTAAACACAACAATTATGTGGAGACCAGATCCCAATGTTATCAAACTTTGCATTTCTGAAGGTACGACACTAAAAGCGACATGTGGGCAACTGGCTGTGTGTTGTATGAATTGCTGACACTCAAACGCAGCTTCGATGCATCGGTAAGAAATTGAACATGTATTTAATTTGTCACCGTTTTACACAAAAATAACGGTCAGGTTAATTCTAAAAGAAAAAACACACTTTGAGGAAATCGCAAGAATAGTTTCTCTTATTTTAAAAATGCAAAAAATACACCAGAAAAAAATGATGTTGTAATAAAAACCCATCACATGATTTGTGTGACTCCGTTATATGTTATTAAAGGGAAGATACAACATTAGCAAACATCGAAAAACGAAGTGATCAAATAATCACGAAATACCTTACTGAATTGTTAGGAATTGACAGTCTAAAGCATCTTGTAAAATTGTGGCTCCTGGTGTGCTGACATTTTCAAGAAAAACTGTATTTTTTCCAATGCTGGTCGGCCGACCAGCGTTGGGAGAAACTGGCTTTTTTCCAAAACTGCTCCTAACTTTTCACTTAGTTATTCCGCACTTTCTTTGCAATTGATTACACACCTGTGAAGGGCGTACAAGCCTGCTAGAGTGATTCTTTGACCTTACAATTCCCCAAAGTCTTTACATTTCTCTGTTTAATCTTAAGTGGGGTCAGGGAACCAGACTACAAGAACATGATTAGTTTATTGGTTTTTCCAGCATATACAAGCCCAAAACGTGAAAAAAAAATCAGTTTCACAATATTTGCTATAACATACTAATCCTCCAAATCCATTTATTTCTGAAAATTGCAGCAAAAGCAAATGTTGTACATTCCCTTTAATACCGTGATGATTAGCAAAAATTAATGAGTAAAATTAATTAGTAAATTAATAAGAAAACAAAAAACCAGGTTATTCTACTTGATTGACCTCCTGTACTCTGTGTTTTGCCAATCAAATATTTCACAGTGTCTTAATGTGTTGTATGATATATATACTTAATTTATAGAATCACAAATTCATAGAATCCCAACATTTTATGGGCAAGTTTGTGTTGTGAATAACTGAATGGTATGTGAAGATTTACCATGGTGTGACGAGCAAGCGGTTGATATTATTTTCTTTGAAGGCATTGTTCATGTGAAAATTACAATATGTATCTTCTTTTAAAAAAAAAATATTTTAAAGAACCGTCTTAAGCTGGTGTGGGGAATCGTTCAGAATGACATTGAAACTGACTCACTGGACGCAAGGTATTCATCCGATATAAAGACCCTGGTCGGCCAACTTTTGTCAAAGGTGAGTCTAGTTCCCTGTATTATCTCTGCTTTTTTCTGTCATAGTGGATAGACAAACGCCTGCATTCGGTGGGCACAATGAAAAGGGACAGGAACCAGACTTTTTACAAAATGGCATGAATGGAGGGATGCGCCAAATGTTGCTGATGGGGATACCAATGTCCTGGGTATCATCTTGGTTTGTTGAATTCAACTTCTTGTGATCAGTTCTGTCTGCTGCCTGTTGATCTTGTGGTCGTCTTCATCAGCATTGACCATTGTCTTCCTCAGTGGGTTTGGGTCTAATGGGGCCTCTATACCCAAGGATCATAACCCATGTAGCATAGTTTACCTAACCTAAAGTAGCTACATCGATTTTATGATTTTCGATAAGGCTATGTCACGACCCAATCTAGATTCGGGTACCAAAAAGTCGGCATCAAAGTAGGCAAAGATTGTAAAGCGTACCTTGCAGTAGATAGTTAGGCAAGCCTTCAAAGCTGTGATGGATGCAAAAACTGTGAGAAAAACGCAGAGCCAACACCCAGTGCTGGGTTGGCACGATTATGACAACCGTTCATGGCACAGCTAGAGACCGTTATGCCATTTGATAAGAATTTGCATTTTACGTGAAAATAAGCCCTACTGTTTAGTGTACAATGCACAACGTGGTTGCTAACAAAACGCTTGCCTACTACAATGTTGGCTGAACATGGGGACACTGGATGGTCACGTGGTACTTGGAGGTCGTACGATCGAAACCTATAAAGTTCAGATTGAAATTTGTTGCATTAGAGGTTAACCAGTTAACGCCGGGATTATTTTGACAAGAACGGAACGAGGCCCGGAATTTATTTTCACTCGACCTCAAGCCAGGCGGGTTGAAACCATCACCCTCGGGCAGCACACTCGTATTTCCGGCCTCACTCGCTGCAAGCAGGTCGCTGACAGATATTTCCAGCCTCGCTTCCTGCGTGTTTATCTGTCATCCGTTCTGAATACCGCAAGACTTTTGCGTGTATACACAGCCTCCGGCGCGAACTGGTTAACACATAACTGTCCTTGTGAAATGTGGAAATGGTTAGGCAAGGTATAATTTTTATTTTTTGTATCTGCTAGGACCCAGAGAAAAGACCTTCAGCAGCTGAAGTATTGAGGCATCCAGTGATACAAGCTGCTAAAGAGTAAGTTAATAGATATTTCCTTCTTGGCTGTAATCATTTGTTGTCTGTGGTGATGTGGTACGTGGCATTTGGATCACACACCCGAAGCGTGTACAAAACCAATGTGCCATTAGTAATGAGACATTCATTGTTTTGTTATGCCATTATATTGTGCTTCGTAACTGGTTTGGATCAAAATGTAGTTATCGTAATGGAAATTAAATGGACATACACATTTATTGGAAAGGCAGCTTTTCCTTTTAGTGAGTTCACGCCGAGATTATTTTGACAAGAACGAAATGAGGCGCGGGGTTACTTTTTCACTCGACCTCAAGCCAAGCGGGTTGAAACCATCACCCTCGGCAGCACGCTCATATTTCCAGCCTCGCTCGCTGCGAGCGGATCACTGACAGATATTTCCGAAGGCGTGTTTATCTGTCATCCATTCCGAATACCGCAAAACTTTTGCATGTATGCACGGCCTCCGGCGCGAACTGGTTAAATACACCCCCACACATTTTAATGCTGAAGTCCACTTCTTCAGTCACTGATGCACGTCTTTGTGTGCAGTCACTTGGATATCCATGCAGTGTTGAGGGGGTGTAAGCCCTCTCAGTCTTCCCCCCCCCCCCCCTCCCCCACGCCCTAGGGTTAATTAAAAACATCCCAATATTTATTTAGTTATTTTTATTTCTTTGTGGTAATGAAACCAAGTATTCCTCAAAAGTACCCTAGGCACTGCAGCTCAAAAGCCTGAAGAATTATAGTTTTGGAGGTGGGAGGAAAAACCCACAAGAATGTTCTGGGGAAAACTCACGGAATCAGGCAGGGACTGAAAACCCAATCCACATGTGGTCCGGTCAAGAATCGAACCCGGCCCATAGCGTTGGAATGGAGAAAAAAAGTAACCACTTTACCAACCTTAAAAATGGGAATGCCGAATCAAATTGATTCAATTTTTTCCCCCAGAAATATGGAGAAGAGAGTCTGGACGTTGAATGCATCAGCAAGGAAGGCACGGATAGCTAGCAGTACAGCAGCAGAGACGATACCAATAGTCACATCCAAGACAAGCGAGGTACGTGCCAGGATGTCATTAAGAACAAAGCTCTTACAATCATTTGAAAAAAATCAGGTAAACCTGTTTTTACAAGGAACTTGCGTGGTCTAGAGGCTAGACATTGTTATGGTTTGATACGCGATAACCTGCCGCCACGATAATCCACTGCCGCGAGAGGGCGCTATCACGACCAACCATTATCACCCACGAACCCGTCAGAACAACGTCTAGGCCACTTCCTAAAATCTCCCCCCGAAAAATGGGGGAAACTAGTGCGCATGCGCTACTTCTGCAGGCAAAAACGGTCCATTTTCAGTTCCATGCATTCTACACACAACAAAAGAGCTGACCAGTAAAGTTGCACAAAAGTCTTGCAGCATCTTTTATACTACTGGAAGAAATTTGAGAGTTTGCTTCGGAACTACTTTGAATTTTTTTGAACTGCGTGCTGCATATATTAGGCCAAACAGGTGCGCGCATTACACAACCAATAGGAATTGGCCTAGATGTTGTTCTGACCGGTTCGTGGGTGATAATGGTATGGTTCCCAAGAGAAAGTGTAGGAGATCATTGTGAGAGACGTTCGAATGCATTGCCAACAGCACCTGACACTCACAGGAAGACGCCACGGTTTTGTATACATTCAGTGTAAAATTATCTGTGCGTACTTTGCGACACACGTGCGCCAACTAGTGCGCGCGCATGCAGTATGTCTCTCCCATGGAGCTGTCGTGATTGTTGATGAAGGGCCATCTACTGTTCATTCACAGACAGTCGTGTTTATAAAACTGCAATAAAATTTAAGCCTCCTGACATTTGCATCTTTAGATCTTCTTCACAGGCAAAATGACAGTGGTACAAGAAACAAAAATGTCCCCACATTTTATCCATCCTTTGTTTGTCCGTTTACTCCATTCCCTGTGATCTTCACCCACATTGGTTTTTTCCCCTATTTAATCCCTCTTTTGTGTTTCTCCTTCCTATCTCTGCGTGCTTGTGTGTCCCCCACATGGTTGTTTCTTGTACCACTGTCATTTTGCCTCTTAGGAAGATCTTGTAGAGATTCAATCGTCAGGCCGCTTAATTTTTCTTTATTTGTATATTTCCGGTCCATCCAGTCAGAAAGCAGTTTGCACCAGTTTTATTCACTTTCATGTTAAAACGCATGACTGTTTTAGACCAATGAAAATACTTTATTCTCTAAGACACAGCGTAACGGTTGTTTAAAATGAATGGAGCTTTAATAGATCAGTTACGTTGGTATTAACACACAGGTATACTGTTGGGGAGGTGGTCGATTAACGCCTAAAAAGCTGGAAGAGTTTACGACGGGGAACGCTGCATTGCAAGTTTCAGCAGGCAACGTACATTTTGCAGCAGTCACAGTTGAGAAGGAACTCTTTACTTGGGCTGTAAGTAGTGGAATTCATGTGGCGTTACAATGGAGCAAACTAAAGTAGTTTTAACCCATTAGCACCTGTACTACATTGTATTACATTGTATTACTCTGTGTTTATTCCCTGCTGGATCCATAAAACCATACAGTGCTGGGGCAGATGCGGGCTGTACAGGGAGTAATAGGCAGGGGAGTCGTGGCTTTACAGGGATTACTGATTTCTCTTGATATCATTGTATTTATTTTCCGGCCAACTCATACCATTTTGTGACGGAATAGACCACAGACTAATTTGCCTTTAGTTTTAGTTAAAGGTATAGTCCATCATTTGTAATTTGTGCATTTTGTTCGTTTGAAGCAACAAAAGTGTTCAAAATCTAATGAAGGATACTGAACAACTAACCTGATGAAGTTTCAGCTCAGCTTCAGCTGTATATTCCGAGAAAAACAGCATTCTAGGATCCCAATTTCAAATCAAAAGTTGCTGAATCATGTTTTGAATTTTTTTGAATTGCAGCTATACGCGATGTCGCGCACTGATGCGACGAATGATAGCAACCGCGCGCGCCTGTGACTCGTGCCAATGCTTGCGCGCGCTGCGCCGAATAACAAAACGAACTACTAATTTAAATTTTCCTACGGTGCGTCTTAGGGCGCACCGTTGGAAAGGCCTTCTTTCGTTGATTACTTCAAAATGATAGCTTGCCAGAAAGATTAATTTCACAGGGAGTTTAGTCCACTTACTATCTTTCAACCAAGTATGTTTTTCAACAATAATACGCCAGTTACTTTTTCGGATGGCTGCAAATGATGGACTATAGCTTTAATGGCCTGTCTTTGGTAATTTTTAAAGGCCCAATAAACAGCTTTGTAACTGAATCCTTGAAATGCACTTTGTCTTCACATTTACCTGTATTTTTGCATTAACCCTCACCATCCCAACTCCATCAAAATTCCATCCCCCTCATTTTGGTGGATTTTGGGGGACTTGGTCCAGAAGTCGTGGCGTGACTAAATATTGATGGAGTATTGACTTGGGCCTGAAGGCCTGAAGCAGTGCTAGGGGTATCCAATTGATTTTGCCTAGCTTCCTGCACTGCTATTGTGATCAGAGATGCCACTTTTCCAGTTTTAACCGTAATTCCGGTTTTTAAAAAAAATCTCACAAAATTCCAAGATTTTTACCTCGATTTAGTACATTTAGGCGCACGCATGGCACAACGTTGTTCGTTGAAGAAGTCTTAAAAACAGTCTTTGTGTATGTTGTTGCCGAGCCTGCATGCGATACAAGCAACCAACGTACTTGCACGCAGTATACAACGGCGCCTCGCGCGTGCTTCACCGCGTGCGGGCGTGTTGTGTGCTAAGCACACATAGCATTCAGCCTGGAAATCAAGTCTATCATTTCAGCTATCGGTGGTTTCCGATCGCAGTGATATATGTGAATACAAAAAATGCGGGTACCAACCATGTTTTCGTTGAGCCCATCGCGTAGTGCAAGGATCATGTACACCGACAGCAGTGCTGTGGAATCGTGCATGTTTCGTGTCGAATATTACGTTGGAAATTCGGGTAGGCAGAATAAATATTAGGAATATGGAAAAAGTCAAAGTGATTGAACAAACCGACAGCTTTAAAGGCCATAGAAGCAAAATTAAAAAATAAACAGAACTTGGCTTGGCTACAAGATAAAGATGACAACGGGGACTTTGTGTCGGACACGGAGTGGCTTTTTCACACACAAAAAAGTTCCGTTTTTTTCAAGCAGCCTTTCCGGTTTTTTTCAAGCAGACCCAGTTCCGTTTTTTTCAAGCAGACCCTGTGGCATCTCTGTGTGATAAAAGCCTTGTGTAGCAAGTCCTTGAATGTCAACCAGTGCGTCAGTGGTGGATTCCATTATGTCATGTACAGTTTCGTTTTGGATGCACACTGAGTGATGGATTTTGATGGACTCGGTCCATTTCCTAGTAAAAGACACCAGGGAGTTAGTGTTAACCATAAGTGTTTTGAGTGTTTTTCTCCGAGGGTAGTTTAGGACCATATTAGGGTATTAAAGCTAATGCATATTTGTCCATATTCATGAGCAACACAGTATATCAGCTTCAGTCATTACAAAAAGTTGCCAATTTTTAATTCTTCATAGCAAGTCAAGCGAATGTTTTGCTCAATAGATAGATTAATGTTGGCCATTGAGAATTGTGTGTTTATTATGATCAGAATGTACAGGGTGGACAGCCGTTGGTTGGTCAGTTAGGACACGGAGACAAATGTTTTGGGAATCCCAAAAGAGTGGACTCTCTACAGAACGTCAAGGCAGTCTCATGTGGAGAAGAATTTACCGCATGCATCACAGGTAAATGACACAAGATATATCTGGTTCTAAGCCATTGAAATTTGTACCAGTTGTACTTTTACTATTGTGTTTCTCCACAGTACACCAGTAGAGGGCTCTCTCACTGACCCATGTGACTCGCTTACATAGGGGTAATGGCAAGTCGGGGCCACCATTGTAGTAGGCAAAATATTGTATAGTTCTGCATGCAATAGGTAGTAGGCAAGCCTGTAGGGCTGTGATGGATGGCAAAAACTGAGAAAAACGCGGAGCCAATGACAACCGTACCCAGCACAGGTAGTGACCATTATGACATTTGATAAAAAAATTGCTGTTATTTTACATGAAAATAAGCCCCACTCTCATGACTGTCTAGTTTAAAACACATGAGGTGGTTGCTACTGCAGTGGTGGCCGATTGCGGGGAAATGTAAGTGGAGAATAATGGTTTATCAGAATTTGTCAACTTTTATAGAACTTCTTAAATGTTCACTTGGGAATTTGAGATATGTATTCAAGTGCACCACGTTAGGGAACACTCCGCTGATTTTTTTGCCAAATTTCCGGACGCCACTATTTTTTTTATTTCGGACAAAAGTTCAAGACACTAAGATCATTCACAAGGTTTCAACAGCCAGCATTAGTATCAGTATTGAACTGAGTGAATTTGAAGCTTTTTCGACCAAGAGGTTTGGCAACACTGCATGAGGAAAGTTGGCAAAACGTCACGGTGCACCACGTTAGGGGACTCCACTATACCGTCCAAAAATGTTGAGTTAATGCAACTGCAAACCTACTCTTATTTTTAAGTATGATCCGGCGCCTATGAGTCGTTATAATGAATCAGAATTAATGTGAATTTCTAACAAGATGTTGTACATGTGTACTTAGATGACGGCGAGCTGTACACCTTTGGATCAGACTACTACGGCTGCCTTGGCTGTGATAACGCTGAAGGTGATGAAGTCAATCAACCTATCCCGGTCGACTTCTTCAGCGGTAAACCTGTCGAGCAGGTATCCTGTGGAGAGTGCCATATCGTCGCACTGACTAAAGACAGAGAGGTGTACTCCTGGGGCTGTGGAGAGTTCGGTAAGTTCAACCTTGCGCAAGGCTTGGCTTAGTCTGAGTATCACCCGTTATCCATGGAGTAAGACTCCTGTAAAACGTCTAATATGTCTAGACATGCAGATATATGCAAGCCGCGCGCCAGCCAATCGGAGTCGACTTTACTAAATTGTGACGTCATTTCATTCCTAAATCAGGACTAAATGGTTTGATTGGTCAATTCGAATGCAGTGTTTTGTAATGCAACAACAGCCGGGCGCGTGACGCAGGGCTTTTTAATCCATTGTCTATGACGCGCAACGGGTGAATGACCGAAGACCCGATACAGAAAGCGCCCGCTGATTGGTAAAACTGTAGGAGGTCAAGAGGCGGGGTCTTGCCTAATTAATCAGCGAATCTGCTCACATGTCATAGACCAATGGCGAATAGACTAGGCTTGGCTTGCCCAAGGACACAACATATGACTAGCAGCTGGATTGGAACCCCTAACCCTCTGATCATGAGTCACGAACCCTAACCACTAGGCCACACTCCCCTGCTAAGAATAAACAATGAAAGAAATAAAATAGAATCGGAGAAGAATGTATTCACTCATCATTGCATTTGATACCAAATTTGTATGTTATCTCCACAGGTCGCCTTGGGCTCGGCAGTGAAGATGATCACAGTTTACCTCAGAAAGTAAGGGCATTGTATTATCCTTCAACTGTATTATCTTGTATTATACTTCAACCGTGTTAGAGTCAGGTTTGGTCTTACGGTCTTACAACAGGGGAAGGTGCTGGATATGGCCCCCTTAAAAATTGGTTCAAAATGTGAGCAAAACATCAGTATTGATGACATGACACTGTACACAACAAATTTGTTAAGAGTGTTGTTAGAGAAAAGTATCAATTAGCCCTTTTAGGGTTTGGGGTTTTTTTTGGCACTCGCATTGCATTTTTCTTTTATCGGTGCAAATAATTCACACTAAGGTTGCATGTTTCAGTTTCTCTGTCTGTACAAATCTATTCAAATTCGTAGTTTCATTATACTGTTCACCATCACCTTAACCCTAGCCCCCTAGGCCCTTGTTGCTTACAACCATCCTCAATCCTCCAAAATCCTCCAAAATTTTGCAACTCCGCCTAACTTTTTTAAAATTGTCAGACAGTCCTGCCTCAAAATGCATTCATCCTCAATCCTCCAAAATCCTCCTCATCCCAAAACTTTGCACTCGTGTTTAAATGAAGGATAACCAACGCCAAATCCTTCAAAATCATCAGACAGTCCTGCCTCAAAATGCATTCATCCTCAATCCTCCAAAATCCTCTTGTGCTTCATTCACCATTCATCCTCAATCCTCCAAAATCGTCATGTGCTTCAATCACCATTCATCCTCAATCCTCCAGAATCCTCATTTGATTCAATCACCATTCATCCTCAATCCTCTAGAATCCTCCAAAACCGCCAGGAGGATTTTGGAGGAGTGAGGTGGGTTAGGGTTAAACGAAATAACTGAAACTCTCATGCAGTATGACTTGATATTTGGGCTTCAAATTAACAAGTAAAAATATGAAAAAAAGTAAAACTGCTGCAAACTGCTTACTGACTGGATGGACCTGGAATATATAAATCTTAAAATTAATGTGGCCTGACGTTGCGAACTTAGCAAGTTCTTCTTCAGAGGCTAAAACAGAAATGACAGAGGTACATACATTAACATGGGGGTGCACACAAACATGCAGGGCTGAAAGAAGAAACACAAAAGGAGGATTAGGTGTGAAAGGTGTGGAAAGATGCAGGGGAGGGTGGATGAGAGAACAAAGAAACAAAGGGAGAGGGCAAACCACAAGGGGTCTTGTGTAAACAAGTAAAAAAGCAGGAACGTAGCTGACAAATTGATTTCTCCTCTCTAATATCACCATGTCTATCTTTGTATCAGGTATACATCTGCGGCAATAAAACCATCCGTTCAGTCTGCGCAGGCTTTGAAGGCACGTTCTTCGTAACCACTGATGGTAAAGTCTTGGCTTGCGGAAGTAACGAAAACAACAAGCTTGGTTTCAACACATTCACCAAAGGCCTCCGGAAACGCCAAGTCAAGGTACACTTTCATCATGGACATGATTATTAGATAACATTTACACGAGGGCACGTGTGGTCTAGCGGTAGGGCACAGGATTCATGATCGTGAGGTTGTGGGTTCGAGCCCCGCCGTGGCCATACGTATTGTGCCCTTGAGTAAGGCGCTTTGCCTCAATTACTCCTCTCAACCCAGGTGTTAAATGGGTACCAGCATTATTCAATGCTGGGAAGGTAACAGACTCACTGTGGAGGAGGTGTGGCTATCCCTCCACCAGCAGCATTTCATGGACTCGAGTCTGGCCCAATCGCTTCAAAAGAGAGATGGGCACTCCATTCCTGTGAACACAGGTTCATCCCCCTTTCGTCCCCCGTTAGATTACAACTTTCAAGGGTATTTTTATATATTATTTTCCTTGCGTTTTAAGTGTAAGTGGATTGTATTGTGTGTTTTATATTATCCTACATTAAAAGATCCTACAGTGTCTTTCTGTCTATCACGGAAGTGGCGGTCACACAACCGAAAGTGTGAGGTCACATATGATGTCTGATATCAAATTCATCGAGACTACCGGTATGCTAGGCGCATATTGTATGATGTAAGATGCATCCAGTATGTGCAGTGCTGAAGTGGTATATATATATATGACCCCCATCGGACCACCTTTGAAATCACAGTTTGGGACGTGAAAAAAACGATTCATTCCTTTTTCTTTGCTTTTTAGGCAAATTTCTTTCTTTCCGACTTTCAATACTTAAATATTACAACATTATCTCTATGAAAACACGCCAAAAACGTATTGCTATTACGCAAAACATAACTTTCATGCTAAAAAAAAAAGGTTGCAAAACTGAACATCGATCATACGATATGAATAATGCATTTTGAAACATGACTGCGTTACTTCAATTGAGGACGCATTGTCAGCAGCGTTATATTACGATGAATCATGGGGATAGAATTAGTTTCGTTGATAAATCTGTCAAGTTTTCTCTCAAAATATTTGATTTTCCCACTTCGGGTTTTCAATAGCAGGTGCTCATTGTAAAGGTAGGCGCGCTGTAGCTGATTGCTTCACGGGGTTATGACTAATTTCGATATTTCGGGGGATTTATCAGACAAAGACAAGAAAATGTCTGTCTGGTCAGATATGTCAGATGATAGTATCCGGTCGCCCTGGCCCCCTGGCCAATGTGCCCTAGATTTTTGTTATTTACTAATTACCTGTTATTTTTTTTCCACTGCCAACTTTTTTAACCTGCAAACAACACAAACTTTACGATTGCACCGGCATCCCACTTGTTAAACATGTGTAAATATTGTAAACATTTGTTACAAAAAACATTTTTACCATTAATTGCTTTATTTTCAGGAGAATTATGATATTCCCTGGAAGGATATTCCTGCCATAGTCAAACCACTCAACAGATACCACATAACGTCAGTATCCACTGGAAAGGACCACTCTGCTGTGATAGATGGTAGGTTGTCATAATGCTCTGCATTTATTTATTTATTAATATACAGGGTGTGTAAAAAAACGCATCCCAAATGGCAGGACCACTTTTTGAATGAAGTTTTGCCTGTACCACTTTAAAAATCTAGGATATGAAAGCCCAATCAATGAGCTTTCTTTTAGTAACTTTATATGTGAGTGATCTGAATGATTCTTGTACTAAAAGAAGCTTAATAACTGGGCTTTCATATCCTTGAGTTTGAAAGTGCTACAGGCAAAACTTCATTCAGAAATTGGTTCTGCAATTTGGGATGCGTTTTCTTTTTACTCGCCCTGAATATTATATAATAACTGGAAGTGTCAATAACTCCATTGCAGAGTCCTCTAGGTACAACACCATAGTTTCAGCAAACTGGTCATAACTTAATGCCAATAGTCTGATCATTTTGGAAGCCGTCTATTCTTTACCATTCTATACAATTAATGCTTTTATAAAAGCTTAGGGGAAAAAAATATGATACATGTAGTTGTTAAGGAATTATTATGTACAACAAAACTGTAAAACCATTTTTTTTTTTGAAGTTATTGTTAACGTTGAGTCTTATTAATTCCGGTATAGTCTTACTAATAAAGTGACATAATAGCTATGATATAAGTTATCCCGTGAGTCCGAGTGGAACACGGAATAATATAGTGCGGCTGTGTCCCACTTCAGCCTCGTGGTATGTGGGACCCAGCTGCACTACATTATTCCGTGTTTCAGAGCACGAGCGTGATAACGAATTTATCTTCAAGCAAACTTGACGCACAGTAAAGATGGAACACGCATGCTGTACACAATCTTTTCAGCGGTTATGCGGTTATCCTATTACACCTACATGTGGTTGTACGGAATGGCACACGCATATTAGAAAAGCGGAGTGCGGTGTGGAAGGAGGCCGTGCTGCCATGGATCGACCAATCAGGATCGAGGATTCAAGTTTACTTGAAGATAATTATTTATATCAGGCTTCCAGCGGTAAAAATTAAATTAGCGTATTGTATGCTTTCGTAAAAAGTACGTGAATGACTGCAGTATGTCAATAAAGTGCCCGGATGACTGCAATATTATTGATATTGCAGTCATCCGGGCAGTCATTCGCTGGTTCCCGCACAATCTAGAGCATAGAAAGTCACAGACAACCAGTCAACAGAGCATAGCACGCGGACGCAGCAGCACGCAGCACTAGCAGAGGCAGCTTGGAGCGGCGCGATAATTCGACGAAATTTGAGAAATAAAGGCAGTGTCCTGAAATGTATTTCTTGCGGATCAAGCTAGTCAGTCTAATATAAATAATAACAATAATGTTAGATGGCTTTTTTTTCAGGGGATACTTAACAGTTGTTGACTGATGTGATGTGGGATATGACGTTTTGAACACCCGAGGGACGCATAGCGCCCGAGGCGCAGCCGAGGGTGCTATGCGTCCCCGAGGGTGGCAAACTGAAGGTTTGAAAACGGAATCTTTGAAAAATTTTCTTTCAACATATATAGATGTAGGGGCATTAAAACAAGCTTAAGTTCAGGGAAATTTGGGGTAAAGGTTTTACATCATCATCATCATCATGTTTCCCTTGACTGTTGCCGTCGTTGGGGGGACCCGAGGTCAGAAGAAACCAAAATCCTCCTCCATGCTGTTCTGTCAGCGGCCTGCACTAGGAGTTCTGACATGTTCATGTTTGTCCATTCCTTGACATTGTCTACCCAGCTCTTCCGTTGTCGTCCTCGCCTTCATCCTCCCTCGACAGTGCCCTGCATGATAGTCTTGCAAAGACTGTTGTGCCGCGTGACGTGGCCAAACCACTTAAGCTTCCGTCGCTTCATGGTGGCAAGAAGAGGTTCCTGGGGACCCACAAGACTCTCGGCCTTGTTCCTCACAAACTCATTGGTCTTGTGCTCCAAGTATGAAATGCGGAGCAACTTCCTCAGGCATTTCGTTTCGAATGCCTGAATTCGTCTTTCTGACTCAGCCAGCAGTGTCCATGCCTCGCACCCATACAGTAGGGTGGAGAGTACCAGAGATTTGAAGAGCCTGTACTTGGTGGGGAAGCTGATGTTGCTCTTCCATACCCTCTCGAGTCTGGCCATTGCTGCAGTGGCTATTGCAATTCTGGTACGAATTTCTGCTTTGCAGGTGCCATCCTTTGACAGGGTCGCTCCCAAGTATTTGAAGCTGGACACTTCCTTTAACGGTTCACCGTTGATGGTGATGTTAGCACTGGTGTTGTCCAAGCTGTGCACCATAACCTTGGATTTCTCTGTGCTGACTTCCATGCCGTACGCGTTGGCGCTTGCAACCAGTCTATTCGTCAGGTCTTGCAGTTCGTTGTTGCTGCCCCCCATCAGGTCTATGTCGTCTGCAAAACGAAGATTGCAGACGGGCCTGCCACCGATGGAGATGGTGGTGCGATGGTCATGTAGGGTCATCTGCATGATTCTTTCCAGAAAAACATTGAAGAGAACTGGGGAGAGTGAACACCCCTGTCTGACACCAATGGTTGTCTGGAAGAATTCTCCCATTTGGTTGTTTAGAAGAACTGCACAGCTGGAGTGTTTATAGAGGGCCTGGATGACTTGTACAAGAGCTTCTTCGACATTGAAGCTTCTGAGTACATTCCAGAGGCCATCATGCCAAACTCTGTCAAAGGCCTTCTTGAAGTCGATAAAGTTGTGGAAGTTTAATAAAAAAAATCTTATCCCCTGGCATATTTTATAGTGGTAGGGACAATGAATAAAAACCTGGTTTGTAGTGACAACGATGCAGACCCTTAAAAGAAAGAAATTTATATCAAACGGCGATGGCCATTTTTTTTATGACAACTTGACAACCATTTAATAACAATAAATACTTGTTTGTTGTTTGGAGCGGCTCAAAAACATTTTTTGGGCGGAGAATCTGTGCCTCCGGGCTCAGCTGACATGTTGAGGCTGATGAGGATCGTATACGAAAAAACTAACTGTGTCAGCTCTGCATTTCCGAAGTTCTGAAGGCCTAGGCACAGTTACTAGAGTCAGTCAAAACGTAAACATAATCTTAATGCCGCTCGTCGCTGGCTGCCAAATTAAAGTAAATATCGTCTGCAAATGCACTGCTCCCTCACTGCTATACATTATATTGTGGAACGTGAAAGTACTGCGGGGTACCAGTGAGTACAAGTATAGTCTGGTTTAAACGCGGTCCGCGTATAATGGTTTGAACTGTGGGGCGGGGACTAGTCTACATGCATGTGATATCACAATGTGATATACAACGGGAGTGTGCCATGCATATTTATCGCCCGGTCAGGTGATCGTCCTGGGCCAATGAAAATACAGTATAAAGACAGAGGTATGACAAAAGAATATATTGCACTCACTGTAACAATATTGCACTCGTCTTCGACTTGTACAATATTGTTATAGTTGTGCAATATATTCTTGTACCCCCCTCAAAGCCATGCAACATTATATGAATATAACACCAATATTATATAACTGATTTAAAGTTAATTCTTTATGAACTTGCATTTAAATTTCAGCTCAATCAGCAAAATTTGTTCATCGAAACGTGGCCAATGTTCAATATTTGACATTCATTTTAAAAATTGGAATGTACATGTACTAGTGGAAACAAATTTATCACAATATCGTTGGAGTTGACAGAAACAACTCAATTTGATTTTTGATTTTTTTTTTTCCCCCTTCTTTTTCTGTGTGCATTGTTTAAAGATACTGGTCGGTTAATCACTTTTGGTCTGAACAAGCATGGCCAGCTGGGCGTTGGGGATTGCAAGGAGAGGTCAGGGGTCAGTGTAATCTCCGGCTTACTCAGCAGTAAGCAGGTACTACGTGCAGCCTGTGGGGATGGCTTCACAGTTGTTGCAACCAAGGGTAAGCACTGCACTAAATTCTATACACTGCTGGATTGTGCATCAGTAACACAGGATGAAGCTCCGAAAGCACCATCTTGAGAGGTCTAAACGGTACAGAGATCTACGGGTCAAATCTTCACACAGCATTATTTATGTGCTAAACGTACCTCATGTGAAAATCTGTGTTGGACAGAAATGGACGCATTTATTGAGGATATTCAAATTAATGTGGACATGGACTTGCATCACAACGGAAGTCAGTGGACACAGGCAATATTTTTACCATCATCAGATCTGCATATATCTAGTGTCAAAATTAGTGATACATCAAATTGAGAACATTTTCTTTTAATTATTAATTCATATGAAAACCAACAATTGAAAAAAATCATGAAATTTGATTTTCAAAAGGTAACAATTTCACTTTTGCTTTGTGGGAAGCAGGTAATTTTAGCACATGGAATGATGCATTTGCTGCAACACCATCCTGCAGATCCTGCATATTTATTATTGGGTTTTTTTTTTTTTGCTTTGTAACAGATAACCAAATCTACTCCTTCGGGAACGTGGACAGCGGCCGACTAGGCATACCTGTGGACCCGAGCCTCACCCATCGCAAGAAGATGGCTGTGCCTACACCCAAACCCATATTTGGAGCGCTGCACTTTGTGTCCGATATATCGTGCAGACATTGGCACTGTATTGTCATCGTGGGTAAGTTCTTGAAAGTTCATTGACTCCCTAACACCATTAGGCCGAAAATCCATGTGTCCAACTTCCATGTGCATATTGTGTTGTGCGTTTTGCCAGTTGTGTATCTGTGATGCGTATTCTGACAGTCCATTTGGAGTGCCGTGGCCTCATAGTCTGGGGCATTGAATTCGTGGTCTGCGGGTAATTCTGCGGGTTGTGGGTTCGAGTCCAGCCTGGGGTTATGGTGCGTGTGCCCTTGGGCAAGGCACTTTGTCACTCATTGCTTCTCTTCACCCAGGAGTACATGGTACCTGTGAGGGTAGAGATGGTTGTGGTTGATTTAGCTGCTTTGCGCCGAAATGACAGCATCGTGCTATATTCTCCCCAGGGAGCTGAGATGGTATTTGAAATGTTTCATGTGCCCAATGAGCAGGGTAGTAATGATGTAGCACCTTGAGCACCAATACTGGTGGATACGTAAACTTTATAAATACCCATTATTATTATTTGTACGTATTTCTCTGCACACTTGACAGACATCAAAGTTAAAATAGAGAGCATGCAGCAGTCTCAATGAAATTTGGATTAGATTTGGCAAAGTACCTGTTTTTACAAAATAAATATTGACTAGACTTATTTTCTCAAATATGAAAAAAAAATACACAGGGTATGAACATTTGATGTTTTTGTTACTGGAGAATTAGAAAATGAAAATCAAGGCCGACCCTAGTTGTTTCAATAAGATTCACATATAAATTGCTTCATTTTAAGGCTATAGTCCATCATTTGTCATTAGTGCATTTTGTTCGTTTGAAGCAACAAAAGTGTTCAAAATCTAATGAAGGATACTGAACAACTTACTTGATGAAGTTTCAGCTCAGCTTCAGCTTCATATTCCGAGAAAAACAGCATTCTAGGATCTCAATTTAAAATCATGTTTCGAATTGTTTTGAATTGCAGCTTTACGCGATGTCGCGCACTGATCCAACGAATTATAGCAACCGCGCGCGCCTGTGCGTCGTTCCAATGCTTGTGCGTGCTGCGCCGAATAACAAAACGAACAACTAATTTAATTTTTCCTACGGTGCTTCTTAAGAAGTACCGTTGGAAATGCCTTCTTTCGTTGATTTCTTCAAAATGAGAGCTTGCCAGAAAGGATAATTTCACAGGGAGTTTAGTCCCCTTACTATCTTTCAACCAGTATGTTTTTCAACAATAATTACGCCATTTACTTTTTTGGATAGCTGCAAATGATGGACTCGGGCTTTAAAGCCAACAGTTAATGTTTATCTCGACATTGTTTCACTTTCACACAAAAACCCTTATGCGTATTGTATTTGTCATACGTTTCAATCACTATACCTGAAACGTATAAGTTCAACAGATAACGCAGTACGGATGGCACAGTGGCCATGAGGGACCACACTGGCCATGTATGGAGTCTGTACCATTACTGTGAAAGATTTTTCAACTTTTCTATTTTGTCATGTAGAAAAAGTTCTGAAAATGAAAACTATTCGCTCCCCCTACCAAGACAGCTTCACTTCAAGTAGAGGTGAGTTTTCTCTTCAATAAATATCGACGTCAACCAACCGTATTTTTATGCCTTGTTTTCTGTCAATTATTGCCTCTTTTACTACCTGCTCTCAGGGGGGAGTGTGGCCAAGTGGTTAGGGTTCGTGACTCGTGATCAGAGGGTCAGGGGTTCGAATCCAACTGCTGGCCACATGTTGCGTCCTTGGGCAAGCCACTTCACCTCCACTTGCCTCTCTCCACCCAGGAGTATAAATAGGTACCGGCATTAGTTGGGGAGTAACCTGCGATGGACTAGCATCCCATCCAGGGGGTATAGAAATCTTCTCAGTCATTTCATGCTTTTGAAACCGGAGAGCCACATTGGCTCATGACAGACTTTACTTTTTACTACCTGCTCTCGTTTTATTCCAATTCTCTGGGTATACTTGGAGGCAATGTACGAGAATCTTCTAAAATCCACCACTGTGCTTGAACTGAGTGACACGTTCTTTGTAATTTTAAACCTTCAAGGGGTAAGAAGCCCCATGGCAGACGGACTTTGCCTTCCTCAATCTTGCAAAGTCTTCAAAGTCTCAAAAAGGCTGCTTGGTTGATCTGTGTAGTACGGCTAAGTCTCCAACGCCTCAATTTATTTTAGGACCAAAAATTTTCGACTCTGCGATTCATTTGTGGGATAATTACATGGAAACCGTACCTTTTCAAGGCTTAGTTGTGTGAATGTTTATATTCTATTTTTTTAATGATATTTCCAACTAGAATCATTTTGTGAGAAGCACATTTTAAAGCCTGATACCTGACCACATATGGCATATTGAACAATTGTTGACTGCTGTGATGTGGGATATGCCATTTTGCACACCCGACGGGCGCATAGCACCATAGGCATCCCAAGGGGGTTAATAATCGACATATCCCACATCACAGCAATATGCAATTGTTTTAATATATCATGCCAATAAGTCAAAAAGATAAAAGCTTGTAACTTACTATGCAAGAATTACAATCAATCACTGTGGTGTAACCTTTGATAACTGCGAGCTTTCCTGCCGGGTTCGACACTGAGTGGTTGCAGTTCTCAGTTGCGAGGCGCGTGAGTAGGCCTTGCGAGCAACGCGGAGGTAATTTATATGCAGTGCAGTGTATATGAAGTATTATCTTCATGTAAACTTAAATCCTCGATCCTGATTGGTCGATCCATGGCAACAAGCTATGCTACATATAACCATGTAGCACGGCCACGGTCCATACCGCACTCTGCGTTTTGCGTTATTCCAAGGTGCGCGTGCCATTCCGTACAAACACGCACGTGTAATAGGATAAGCGCTGAAGTTTGTGTACAGTGTGCGTTTCATCTTTATTGTGCGTCAAGTTTGCTTGAAGATAAATTCATTATCACACTCGCGCTCGTGGAACACGGAAAATGAAGTGCATCTGTGTCCCACATTCGGCCTCGTGGTATGTGGGACACAGACGCACTACATTATTCCGTGTTCCACGAGCGCGAGCAAGATAACTAATAATATATATGCACCCCGGTGTATATGAAGCAAACTGGACACGTGGCCGTTCTAGACCAATGAAATTACAGTTTCAAATACACGATCTAAAAATTTGATTTGTAGCACCCCAGAACAAAGATATTTGGTAGACAGCAAATGTAGGGCTGGATAGCTCAGCTGGTGGAGCATCAGTACATCTTGTTTACAGGTTGGGATCCCATTGATATTGATTCTTTATTGATCCTTTTTGAAGGGGTGGGGGTAGTCTCTCAGATATCATCAGAACCCAGTCAAGATGACAGCGTCTTCACCAGTGAAAGTTTCGATACGGATAATGCTGACATTGAGGGCGTTGTTACGCATGATGAAGAGGAGCCGGATGGGCTTGGTGTGACAGGCTCTAGCGTGCCCGACTCGGGAATGGGTGATGACAGTATGCCGCCCTGGTTAGCTGTGGTGAGTAATACTAATGAATTGTACCGGTATGTGAGGCATACTGGCAAAATGAGACAGAACTGGGCAGAGGTCGAAATGAGGATTTGCAGTTATTAAAAAGGAGAATAAGGCCCCCCAAAAAAAAGTCTCCGGTTTCTGGTATGGAGCTTGTCCAAAATGTGGTGCGGCGATGCGGCCTTTTTTTTTTTTTTTACCTGACTTTTTTGCTTCAAATGTCGACTGATGACTGCAAATGGTGCCCGACTAAACTTATGGCAAATATATGGGAGTCCAGAGGGGCCACATAAAACTTATTCTCGATCATAACCCCATCTAAAAACACGTTAAAATTGTGCAGCAGCAGGATTCCAGTCAAACCAGTGAGTTTGGCGGTTTTGAGACATCATCTTTCATTGAAAAAAATACTTTTTCATTTTGCCGACGCGCATGGCTACGGCGACGCGCGCGCATACCAGAAACCGGAGACTTTTTTTTTTTTGGCCTAAACTTCTCCTTTCAATACTCTTTGTTGTACTTCAATTGCACATTCCGTTGACAAGTTATGACTGTTTAAAGTTCGCATTTATCGACATGTCAAAAAAGAAAAAATAGTGAGAAAAGGGCCGTTAAAGATTCAAGTTTTGTAGTCGAGAAAATGAAAGATGCCAATTGTTTTTCCTTGGAAACACTTTTATTCCTCGATTTTATAAGTTTCTTCAAACTATGCACGGTTGACATATCAAAGATTACAAATATCAACAAATCTGAAAATAAAATAAAATCACCCCCATTTGTTTGTTTGCGTTTTTCTGCACTACGACCTGTGCCCAGTTCTGTCTCATTTTGCAAAAACGATTATGTCTGGCTGTGTGAATGGATTAAGTGATGGCGTCCTAAAATTGAACATGGTTTGCTTGATTCCCTTGAACCTCTCACTCTTAGATAAGATTTGACGACAGGCAGAGCATACTGTCCAAGACATTGAGTTTCCCCGGTTCTTTACAGAAACTCACAACAGAGATTTGTTGCATGGTGCAGTCATAAACTTTTACCTAACTGCTGTCTTCACTACGCAAACCTTCAAGTCTTAAAAATTAAATTTCATGACAAGATACGTTGCCCTCAATGAAATAAGACAGTGTTAAGTGCGAAAAAAATCTAATTCCTATTTCATTTTGTCCTTGTTTGTTTACATACACTTCATTTCAGGAGCTGCAAAACGCCGAATTTATACCCATGCAAAGCAAAAACGAGGCACAGGCTGAGCCTGCAAACCAGGCAGTTAGTGACCAGCATAATTCGGATGAGCATCCTACTCACAATCTCCCCGCAGGCCTGCCACCAGCAATGTTGTCTTCATCCAACAACCAGAAGTCTTTGAATGCCAGTTCCATATCGGTGGGGTTGGCTGCCAGCCAAGCAGGCCATGGTCTGCCCCCCTCTGTACCTCCTCTGTGCCTGGATGGCCTGTCGGGATCTGGAGACTCCCTCAGACTCCAGATGATTCGGGACAGGGAGAGAGATGGCGAGTTGGAGGCGCTCAATCAGCGTGTTGTTCATCTAGAAGCGGAAAACAAGACAGTAAGAAAAGTCCCAATATTGAAATATTTACTCTTAGCATTTGAGCTGCATGCACTGCACCTCAAACTGAATCATGTGCACAAAATGAACACAGTCATATGTGACCTGTTCTGTCAAAATCAGACTTTTCTGGGCATCAGGGCAAAAATGATATTTTTGCATGTTGTTAAAATATGTTCTTTTTCCTTTTAATAGGTGGTTTAATTTTTGAAACCGGTCATTCCTGGGCAGAGTTATGCTATTTTGATGTTCATTGTGTCCAAAAGTAGAAAACGGAGAAAATGGCCACGAACGTCACAAAACAGTAATTTCTTTAACTGATATACCTTAACAAATCATCAAAAATACTATATTTAGAGTTCAAATTAGGGTTTCAAACTTTTATAGTATATTTTAGACATGATCAGGATTACAAATATGCAAAAATTTGAAGAAAAAAAAAAATCACCCTCACTGCATTTTTTGGCCCTATCTCAATTTCAACCTCTGCCCAGAAGTGTCTGCTTTTGACAGAACAGGTCACATATTAGAGCAACCATGGTGCAACTATCAATATTGATCAACAATTTTGTATTGTCCATTAATTAAACTAACCCCCGCAATCTTCCCAAATCAACCAGGCGCTTTCGGAGGATTTTGGAGGATTGAGGCTGTTTACCTTGAAGGACCAGTTGATTTTGAAAAATACATTGTGTCAGTGTATAAGCTGTACCTTGCATTGTTTATGTTCAGCCATGCATACATAATGCACTGCTTCTGGGCATCATTAGGAAGTGGGATGGAGGAGTTTGAAGTATTCAGTCAGTGGTCACTCCTCCACTGAAGGATTGAAATTGTATCCTAGCCAAAATGGCCTAGGGGTTACGACAAATCTTGTTTATCCTTTTACCCATCTTCCTCTGCATACTGCCTTCAAAGATCCATAAGCTTGTGTTGATTTTCGCCCCACAGTTGCAGCAAAGAGTAGCAGAACAGGATGCCAAGATACAGGCTTTGGAGAGGCAGGTATGTCAGCTTAAGGGATCGGAGCAAGAAGGGCAGAGCACTAGGGGAGCTGCCGCAGTGTGAACTCAATCCTGCTTAAACTTAACATCATACATACGTTGTATGACCTGACCTGTTCACAAGAAATTCTGACACAGTACAGAGGAATCCAGCAAATGACTACTGTATTAGCCTGAGACCACGACTGTGGTGTATCCAAGCATACTCAATACATTTGTGACCGGCTCCACAAAAAAGGGTTTTAAGTCACCCTTAGCATTGTTATGTAATGGCCTGCTCAACATTGAGAGGGTGAAAATTTTGTCAAAATGTGATTTTCATTTTTTTTATCATGAATGACATCTTCGCAGAAATGTTGATTTTGATGAACAAAGTGGAAAAAACAACCATTTTGTGTGCATCGTTCTGTTCTACAACAAAGCCAGCTATTTCAAGCCCGTTTCCTCAGTTGTGTAATTTGAACTCCAAGGAAGTAATTAATATGCAAATACAACACATCTCCAGAACGAGAGGGACAATGGAGCTCTATTATATACCAAATGAAAGCTTACGTTGTGGGCTTTCCAACAATGTATATAACTCAATTTCATAATACCCTTTTTTGTGGAGCCGGTCACATTTAGCAAAAGCGTGTAGTCTTCCCACTCATTTTTCTTACAGATTTGGATCTTTTTACTGCTGTTAGAGCATTTATAGACAGCATTGCTTCTTTCTAAGCTTCCTTTTTTTACCCACCGTTTTGGTTTCGGTGAACAAAATAGACCAGACTCATTTTAAACTTTGGAACAAAAATCCTCATTTGGCTGGATACACCACAGTGACCTGAATAGTCAGGCGCCCTCGAGCATTCCAGTACTGTTGCCGGATTCGTCTATTTAGCAAACCCTATGCATTTTGCATCAGCTGCTTGCAGAGTTTCTTCATAATGCTGGCTATAGTTGAGGGCAGTGACCTTTCACATAATTGTGCAATATCGTTTTCAGTTTGGTGTGGTTTTGGTACATTAACTTAGTTGTTTTGAAACAATCCTACATTGAGATATCTTGGCTTTAGCTGGTGTTGGGTCTGCAAGATCACCTGCCTCGGTTTGTGTAAATCCATGCTTAATAGTCATACTTTTTTACATTAGAGCCTTTAACTACACTAATAGGCCATACTCTGTGCTTCATACTGACATATCAGTCGGTTGGACATTTTGAAATATGCAGATATTATGTCCAACAGACAAATAAAAAATACTTAAATTTTTTTAAATGTTTAAAATATTTAACATTTGTTTCCTTGGACTGGTTTTGCATTGATGTGATGATCCTTGTAAATCTGCATTTGTTAGTCAATTTGGTTTTTTCCCAGCCGAAAATGTTCCTGGAGTGATGCAAAGATCATATGATGCGTGTTGTTAGAAAGGAAATTTGGTTTTAAAGATGGGTAAAGGGAACTTGGCTTTAGACCTAGTTACATGTGTGGTACTTGGCCATGCAAAGACAAAAAGAAGGATTGGTCATTAACCCTTCCTGTGGAAAGGCAATATTCAGAGCAATATGTAAAACCCTGCAGGTCAGTTTCAGGTAAAGGGGTATGAAGTTTTATGCTACGTGTTCGATTTCTTCCTCGACGCTTACTCATACAAGCGCGACTGCGTTCAATTGAACTCTCATGTTTACTCAAGTCTGGCCCAAGTAACCGACCGTCTGAGCCGGTTACTTGGGTAAGTATCCCACAATACAATGCGTAAACATAGAGTCTAACACTGCGGCCGCGGGGCATTCAAAGTGTCTCAGCTTCACTTCATAATCTAGTACTACTAGTACTAGACGACGGGAGGAAAGTGAAGTTGATTTTAAACATACCCGGCATTTCTTGTTTACTTTGGAAGAGCACGACAGTAGCCACCATAGCTCGCTTTCTGTGACTCTAAATCCATTTGCAAAGGGGATTTAATCGCCACATGACCTCTTGACCCAGTCCGGTTGCTATGCCTTGACCTCGAGTAACACAAGAAATTTGGGTTATTGTTACAAATTACGCATGTGCATCTATACCCAACACGAAAGTACGGATAAGTGCGAGGGAAGTAATCAACCGCGCTGAAAGTAACTGTGTCACACAGAGAGTCGCTATGTAGAGTAATGAAACAAGACCGAATCTGCATGCTTGCCCTGAGCTTACCACCACAAAAGAATTGTGCATGGATTTGAAGTGTTATCCCTACTCCACAGAAGATAACCTCAAAGAAAATTCAAGTGTGGGTGCTAACTCTGCAAAACTTGAGAGTGCAAAAGACTGGGAGCGTTAAGTATCTTCAAAAAAGTGACTATTTAAGGAGGTAGTGCAGAAAAAGGTTCTACAGTGGAACGTCGCTATACCAAACACCGCTTTACTGAACATTAGGCTATACCGAACATCGTCCTTGGCTCCTGATTTTTGTGTACAAAACGTACCGAGCATTGTTGTTGAAAAAATGTCAACAGAAGAGCTACAAGTGGCTATTATTTCCCCAAGGAATAGAAGGGGAAAGCCACCTATTGCTGTAGGTAGTAAGCTGAAAAACTGTGTAATTACATAACTCAATGGTTGGCATGTGTTTAAAGTCGTCTTTCAGTAACTACCAGGGTGTGCAGGGTGAAGTATGAAGGGTCCCATTTATTGAAAAGTGAGTACCGGAGCACCTGCAGCTCAAATTCGCTATACCGAAAGATGCTATTACGAACAATTTCTGTGGATCCCGCGATGTTCGTTATAGCGGCGTTCCACTGTATTAGATTTTGTGCTAAACATAATATACACTTTGTATTGCTTTTTCTATGTAATATTTTCAATTTCATGCTTTCTCTTTTCTTTTTTAGCTTTGTTGTGCAATACTGACTTGTAAAGTTTATAAACTGAAACATATATTTTATTAGCTTTTTTCATCACCTGAAATATACTCGAAATGTGCAAACTTAGTCCCAGTAAAAAGCACATGGGCCAAAGGGCCCTTTCACACAGGAAAGGTGGCATATTTCACAGTTGTGAACGTTAACACAAAGAGCAGAAAACCCATGTCAATATTTTTATAATGTAATGACTGAATGGCATGGACCTGTTCACTGCAGTGTGCTGGCAAGCTCCATTACACCCAATGTGCCGAAGGGGCCAGAATGAAGGTTGTCAGGCAGAAGCATCACTCGGGTTTCTAAGCCCAATGGTGTGTTGCTACATGCTCATCGAAACCACCACTTTGTATGGAATCCCGTTACCACAATTCTGTATGAAAAGGCCCTAATAGTACCCAATCAGATGAAATTAAATATTATTTACTTGTTCTGATTCTAATTACTTGTTGACTGCCTCTGACGTAAAGAAAGTTTGATTTCAAGATGGAGAAAATTTTACCCAGTTTTCAGGTTGAAAAAGAGTGTGTATAAATCTATTGTAAATTATTACTCTGAAAATTGTTTGAGTCTTTGGTTTATAGATGTGTACAGTGGAATGTAAGAAAGTGCATTTTACAGAATTATTGTCTTTGGAAATCATTAATATGTGAGTTGGAGAAACTCATTTGCATTATATTATAAAGTAATGTCTATCTGACATGGATTACTGCCTGACTTGCAGGAAAATTAAGTACTATATGATCACATGGGGCCTTCAATGAACGATTTGTACATACATGTACAACATCCAATTATTGTAGCAAGTAATTTGTCGGGTGCACCACGAAATGACGCATCGTCTATGGACTTTGTGCACACGATACTTCACTTCGTGGTGCGACTGACGATTATTGTAAATTTCTTCAGATTAAGATTTTGTGGATTAATGATAAAATAAAACAGTTCTGTTTCCAGAGAGAGAATTTAATTGTGGAAAGGAAAAGCATGCATAACTTCAATCCTTGAATTTAGGTTTTAAAATGTGTTGAGGTTCAAATTCAATTCGCTTTTAAGCAGCTTTATTAAATCTAAACAAAATTACAATCCCTTCTGAAATTGGTTCGTCTTGTCAACTACTCATTATTTACCAGCTGGCTTTAATTGCTTTCTTTGGGGGGGGGGGGCATTTTAACACAAAAGGCAAGTAGAAATGTTAAAGAGCTAGCTGCAGTAGTGGACTTATTGTATAAACAGGCTTAAAATTCAAGCTTTTTTGGAATTATTTCCTAATAAGGTTTTGGTTAGATAATCAGTTATGGTGGTCAAGGTTTCTCTGAAGGTGTGAACATATGCCTCATAAGATTCTCTGATTAACTCTGAAAGCTTTGCCACATGTTTCAATGATGGTTTTCTGGTTATGATGAAAGAATGATCTTGTTACATTTGTTAATGTCACATTGAAATTTAAGCCTTGTAATTTTGCATTTTACTGCCTAAACAATCGCTATCTTGGTTTGTGCTTTAACCTTCTTTTCTCAGCATAACTTTGTAAAGTTTTGGCTGCAATTTTAAACAATTGGTTTCTTACTAACTGCTTACTCAACAAACAAGACATCAAACAATATGTCATGAAGTGATGGGACTTGCAGGCAGCATTTCAGTTAATATTGTTTGAACTTGAACCGTAAAGGAATAGGGGAATCTCCTCCTGTACATATTATATTTTAATATAACATCCACACTTTATTGTGCTCAGCCTTGAAATTCGTTTGGCCGTTATTGTGCACATGTTCTGACATTATTTTCTTTATAATTCGTACCTGCCTCTCTTCTATTTTTTTTTCGTTCATAAACCATAGCAAAATATGTTGCTGCATTGTTTTATCGCTTCATTGACAATGTGAGGAAAGAGTACTCGTTCATCTGCCACAGTATGAACCATGAGTGATGGACATTGCAAAACGCTATGCTGCATTGCATTAACACTTTACAGGTGTATGTACTTAGCATCGATGGCTTTACAAGCATACTAAATTGCAATCGAATCCATCATAACCTGGTCAAGAACACAACTGCCCCACACCCCACCCTACAACTCCCTCCCGACCCCACTACCCCCCCACCAACCACCCCCCCCCCCCAACTCCCCATCCCGTAACCCTTCCATGCTGAAGAACCCTTACACCCCAGCCCGCACCCCAACCCCATCCCCCACCCTGCATCCTGCGACTAGTTCTCAATTTATGCTGTAGCGGCTGCTGAACCCCCGCAGTCGCCCCACCCAACCCTGACCCACCCCATCACACCCCATCCCACCCCAACCCCACCCCAACCCCACCTCAACCCCACCCCACCCTCACCCCTGCTGGTTATGGATTTATGCGGTGGCGGCAGCCTAAAGCTGAACGAAGTGAGCAACAATAACATCCGCCCGCCCCTTAAGCTTTGGTGAGTAACTGACTGCATTTTCGTTTCTGCTCTCCTCAAGTTCCCTAACGAACGTTTTAGGACATTAAGTTCAAACTACCCGCTTTGATTTATACATTTTGGTATCTGTTCTCTCTCACATCCGCTTTTTGAAATTAATTCACTTCCGTCTTTCTTGTTTCGTTTACGTCTTGGTTTTTGAAAAGAAAATTCCTCTTGAATCACTTGTGTCACAATCCGTTCATTTCCAGGCATGACACGCCTTCCATTCTTTGTTGCGTTCGCCCCCCCCCCCCCAATCATAAGCAGTGTTCAGCTATACGGATATGTTTTTAATTTCACCACTTGTTTATGGCTAAGACATTGAAATACCACATTATTGACCCTCTATTCCTTCATCCCATTTGTGCAGATGGCGCCAATACTTCGTAGAGACCAGAAGTTCTGGCGAAGTTTCGGTACCTGGGAGAAAGAATGTCGAGCTGCCAACAGCATGAGTGCGACGCAACAACCACTTCCCTTATCACAGAAAGCACGACGAGTCGCCACACGCTCATCAAGTCTCGTAGTGTACCCAACCCACAAACATAAACCCACCTACGATTATGAGTCCATAGTCCATGAAATGATTGGCAGGAAAGGCAAAACCAAGAAACAAACATCAGGCACAACCAAGAAAGTGAACAGAAGTGCTCATCGCACTGAACAAATTAATAAAGGGCCAACGAAGAAGTACATGCACCAGTACGTACAGACAGAATTACAAGACACCGATGATCATACTCAGAGACACGGAGGCCACGACCGCACGGACAGACACCCTCATAGACCTGGTTATAAATTCTCCTCGCCCAAGAGAGTCCTCTATAGACCCATAAACATTGATAATCCCCAATGTAGAAGTAATTCAACGATAGATATCGACAGTGTGGAAATATAGCCTGGTTTAGGGTGTGGCGGGAGAACAGGGTGACCGTAAGTTCATGGCCAAATTCTGCTAAATGCACTTCAAAAATCTGTCAGATTTATCAAAAATCTGCCAAATTCCCATGAATTACTCGAAATACACTATAAACACTTAAAATCACAGGGAGATGTTGTAATACTGCCTTAATTAAGATTCAAATTACATTATAAACAATCTATAGTCGTATATAAAGGTGTTATAAAATTGCGTAAATTTAAGTTAAAACGAGGTTGCGTCACGACGAAATCTGATTCCCAGTGAACCTCAGCACAAAGACAAAGCAACCTGTCCTATTTTGCAAGGGTTTGTTTGAAAAGATTGAAGTTTTTTTTAAACAAATCTACTTTTTTTTCAATTTGCTATGTTTTTCTGTTAAATAACCATTTTTGCAGAATTCTGCCAGAAATCTGCCAAAAAATCCATTCTGTCAAATTTTCTGTCAAACTCATTTTTTTACAAAAAAATCTGTCAAAGTTAGCCGAAAATCGGCTAAAACGGTCACTATGCGGGAGAAGACGAAAAGTTGGAGATTACATGGCACAAAGGGTATAAACTTGACTTAATCTTGTACCATAAAATGCAAATTAATTTTCTAGTCTGTATTATGAGCAGCATTTTTTTTTTTAATATCGCCTTTCCTTATTTAATGTTAAACCATGTCCAATTCACACGAACCTGGTTGCTGTTACAAGAAATGATGTTTGAAGTTTAGTGGTCGTGAAATTAATTTAATACTGAAATATTTTTTATGCAATAGCCAAGGCAGGATCGAGTGGCATAAAAAGGTTTGTCCGACTAGGGCCTATATAAATTATATCTTATAATTCAACCTGTGGATCACAGTGGGAGCAAATTACATGGAAAAGTTAATGTAACGTTATTAAGAGGAACAATTCTTATAATCCACGCTTAAAAACGTATTTGGTATTATGCTGGATATAACTTCAACAATTATGTGCTGTAGGTTGGGTGGTTTGTTTTTTTATAACCAGGGCCCATAATGATGTTAACATAAAGCTGCTTTGTATGCGAGACAAATTTAAAATACTTACTTAATAACGAGAGGTTTCTAGCCAGTGAAGCTTCCAACTGATCACTTTATTATTTTGCTAAATACCGTTTTCTGCTATAACAGCTCTACAGCGCGTCCCATACCCGCAACATTTTTTTGCGAGGCTCTAGCGTCGCCGCGGAAACACGTTACCGCCATTATGTTTCATATCATTTTAAAGCTTGGAATCGGAACTTTATCCCTGGTAGGTATTGGTTTGAATTTTAAAAGGCTTTTGAAATTATTCGTGTTCAAATAAAGGCATGCCAAAAACAAACTCAACCGATTTCAAGGAAAATCAATCATGCGCATTTTTTTTTCTAATTTGGAAATGCTTCATCATGTTCATGATGTTGCCTTTTATTGTCTGTTTCCTTTTCCTTTCCATGCACGTAGACTACACACCTTAAATAAATTCAAAATATTGTTCTTCGTTTCAAGTTCATTGTGTTATTAATATTTATTTTGTTATTTCAACAGATGTACCGCATCATCGATTTCCCTTGAAATCAGTCGAGTTTGTTTTCGACATGCCTTTATTTGAGCACGAATAATTTCAAACTCTTTTAAAATATCAAACTAATACACGCCAGGGATAAAGTTAGGATTCCAAGCTTTAAAATGGTATAAAAATGATGGCGGTACGTTTTTTCCGCGGCGACGCTAGAGCCTCCGAGTTGCGGGTATTTTGCGACGCGCTGTACATGTATATGAAGCTGGGCCCTGGTTAGTTTGCTGCAGTGGGTTTGCTAAATTTTGAAACAGAAGTAAATGGGTGATTCCATAAATGTGGGGGCCAATGAATTTTGGTGTCCCTCTTTGCATTGTGATATTTGTTTCCCTAGTATTACCAATACTCGCGTTTGTGGTGTCAGTTGCTCCGCGATTTTCTCCCAGGTCCTTTACATGCACAGAAGTCAGAGTCTTGTCTGGAAATAGCACAACTGCATTCTCATTTGAGACTTTGTGTATTGTATTGATTAATTACCCATTTTGTACATTTTTGTGTTTCTCACGCGAACTGAAATAAATGTTATATCGTCAAGGACTGTGGGCAATTAGAAGTTATTTGTTTCAATGGCGTATATTTATGGAATCAACTATCATAATCTCTTTAGACAAAATTATCAAAAATGGCTATGCTCGTTGAATTTCGTAGGAAATAAGAAACTGGGAACCTCCAACACATAGGGCTGGATAGTACCAGAGGTCGGAGGTTCAAACTCCACTTCAGCCTATTTTTTTTTTTTTAATCTTACAATGTAATGCACTAGTTAGTTTCCCTTTTAATTTGTGGTTTCAAACAACACTCGTCTCCCCTTTTTCGCCGTTGAGGGGGTACTTGCACTACATTGGAGCCACTGCAAAAAGTGCAAGCATGCATCGAGAGTGCACTGTACACGTACGTATGCACCCGCACTTGCTCGATAGCGCGCTAGCGCATAGCACAGCAAGCTCCTATCGATCACACACACAGGCCATAAACAATACAAATCTCTATGGAAGGAAGCGTATCCCACTCACTTCGTTCCTAGTTCAAGTTTACACGAAAAGAGGGACTAAAAGACTCGTAGTTAACCTCATCGGGATTCCTAGTTTTCTAACATGTATTAGGCCTAACTGATGTCGATAATCTTGCCTGTTGGTGGGCCTACAGCCAAGGAAGGTCGGCAAAAGTACGACGTTCGTGCACAAACTTTCATGTCAAAGGGTAAAGTTAGTCGAGTACGCCTAAGCACCTACCTCCATGGCCTGAGCTAGCACAAAGCAACATAGCGCCACGCGTATTTGTATGCTGCATGAGCAAGACTGAGAAGGGTTGTATTTTTAGGCAGCACGCCGGAGGTCTAGCGTCAACTTCGACTGCAGATATGGCATGGTCTGTGAACTAAATCATACAAATTACAACAGATATGTTGAGGTATCTTACACAAAAGCTTCGAGCTCAGTCACTAAATGAAGTGCAGCCATATGAACCCAAGGTAAGCTAACTCCAGGAACATTGTCTTTCTCCTAAGTTTTAATCACATTTTAATTCTATATCACTTGTCATGCTTGTGTTGTTTTATTTAACATCGAGTGCATGATGCTGAACTCGTTTACAACATATGTGTTCCTATTATTAAGTGGCCTCTCCTTCATGCCCTTGTACATGTAGAGCTCCACTCCTCTGCTCCTCCAGCTCCATATTTTTTTTTTTTGGGGGGGGGGGAGAGATTGTACCTTATGCTAGTATTAAAGGAATGTTTTGCTGGTCTCGGATGGTTAGCATGGTGTTCTCTTTGTACATTTATGTACCTAGCTCGTGGACTGACAGTAACTTGTGTCTAATGTGACATTTAAAAAAAGACCACTTTTTTTTTGGTTCCCCCCCCCCCCCCCCCCGGCTTCCTTTTTCCTGTCGGCCTCATTTTATTTTCCCCTTTTTTGATAATCATACATTTGCATTATGAATGTCTTTTTATTATTTGTAGGTATGTATACCAGTGCAAAATCTGGTTGAAAGGGCGACGGCTCTTTTGGATGGACACAAAAGTATCAGCTATAGAGTCTAGAAAATAGAAGAATCCATTTTCCTAGATGGCCTAGGAAAATCTGCCATCTTGGGGGGGGGGGGGGGAGGGCCTCCTCCTTTTTTTCTTTTTTTTAAAGGCCTAGACGAGACATTATTTTTATTTATTGGCCTGATACCCTTAGACGAAATTGGTCTGGGGCCAGCGTTAAATACACAAGGCTTGCCTAGGCTAGTCTTTTTACCTTTTTTCAACCCTCTTTTTGTTTGATCAGTCACAGACAGTCAGTCCTGTTCCCATGCCATGCCTTTTACATAGGCTAGTCACCAACAGTCACTCAGTCAGATCAGATCATCACCATAACTAGTCGAATTCCATTAACAGACAAAAGTAGGCAACTGGTTGGTACCGGTACAGCTGGCTTATCAATCTCCAGTCAAAGCATACATACTGTATGTAGCTACCAGTTTATCAGGTTTCATAACAATCACTGCCTGTTAATCCTGCTTTATGAAGGCAGGGAGCACTCAACTGTTGAAAACAGTCATTTTATTTTAATTGCTGGGCTGGCCTTGTTGCAATTGCCAGCTGGGGGGGGGGGGATAATGGAAACTTAAGTCCAATTTTCCCCTACCCCAACTTGGGGTACCCTCTCAGGGTTTGACCTTAACTCTTTTTTTTCCACTAGCCAGCCGGGCTACTGAAACAGACTCTGAACTTGCCCGTGGGCATTTTGACTAGTCCGCATGTTTTTCTTTTATGGAATGTCTCATAAACAACAATTTGCATACATGTAGAATGTACATGTCCTGAGGCAATCTTGTCTGTGTTTTAATATGAAAATAGGTTTTAAAGAGTTTTGACAGAAAAACAATTGCAGAAAGGTAAAACAGGACAGATCAAGGTTCACTTGAAAACAAGAAAAAGACAACTCCTTCACATTTTGGCTTTGCCTCACTGTAGGCCTACTGCCAAATTGTAATTTCTGACTTTAAGTTCATTGTGTGGTGACAGGTCACAAATGTTTGACTAAGTTGAAAAACTGCTGGTGTGAAATGAGGCAATTATAAAAACCACAAAATGCCACAATTCCAAACTTGTACTTAAAATTCCTGTTTATCACTTTGGGGTATTATATAAGTTCAATTTATGTTCAGCTCATCTTTAAATTATCAAATTTGCTTCAGAAGGATGTTCAGTACTTGAAAGAGCATGGGGATCGATAACAATACTTGTGTATTCATTTCTTGTCTTGGAAGACTGACTTAGAAGATTCCGACAGCAGTACTGACTCGGAAGAAGAGAATAAAGAAGTAGAGAAGTTGTTCGAAGGTTAGTATTTGTCAATACATGTTCATTACATGTATACAATTGTCCGCTGTGATGTGATCCATGGTGTTTCATATATTTGAGGGGTAATAATTGGCACATAGGCAAAGCCAATTGCACCATTTTCTCGCAATGTTAAAACCATGGACCATAATCACCACAGTCTGTGATGTTTGTGTTACATTCGTAAATTACCTACTACATTGTACATTTAAAGTTTCAAGCTGCTTATTAGGCCAAATAAAAAAAAAATGTTTAGCGTCCCCGCCCACTTCCTTTTTGGAGGCCACTTTTTTTTTTTTTTTCCTTTTTTTTGTTTACCGAAAAAATTATAAATTTTAAACAGTGACATCATTTTAGCCTCTTTGTCTGTTGCATCTAGCCCTTATAAAGCTGGTATGTCATTCCTGAGTCCAAGTGGCGGCCATTTAAAAAAATAGCCCGGTTGGGTGGCCATTTTGGAGGGGGGGGGGGAAAGGGCCTCCTCCTTCCTTTTTTTCAAAAAGGCAGGACGCTAAACATATTTATTTTTTGTTTGGCCTTATCGACAGTGATAAGGTTGGGTTGGATACTAGTTATCTAATAGGCGTCGAAAAAATGGTGGGCATCTATTTCAAGTTGTTAAATCAGAGATTCCATACAAAAATATATTTTCAATACAAATGCCTGAAGTTGTGTGGAGTCATTTCACCATTTCCGTCAATCAGATGACTCTTTTGAATATGAACTCTGTTGGGACAATTGGGAGGGAATCTTCAATGCATTGCCGATGATACCTGCCACTCACGTGAAGACATTACCGGTTTGCGCAGATTCAGATTGAGATACGTCATGCCTACTTCGCACCATGCACCCAAACCTTATAGACATGTACGCAATGTGTCCCCCACACTGGGTTTCTCAAAAATGGTTGCAAAGCGCCATTTACTGTCCATGCATGGATTCCATAGAGGCAGTATGTGCTATTAACCAGTTAACGCCGGAGGACATGTAAACACGATCGCAGGGGCAGGTGACGGGTTAATTCATCAAGCTTTCCCTCAGTCTCTGGCGTTGGACGTGAATACACGTCAGTGGTTCCCATTGGTTTTGTATACATGTTTTGAACTTGAACTTGGCCGCTGTTTACAGCCTGCCATCGTAGCAAATATCGCTCCATGGTGGGTCCCCTGAGTATTGCAAAAAATGAAGTTCCTGTGAGAAGTTATTTACAAATATTGTACAAATGACTCTCAAGTATTAGCATTTGTTGTGTTGTAGACTTCAAAATTTTAAAATTTGGCCGATATATCTTCTTTTTTTTTTCAAAAATAATTTTGGCGGCCAGTGGCTAAAAATTTGCATTTCCACAGCTTGAAACATCTTACTTCAAATTTTTATAGTCACCATTTCTTCTTTGCATTTATGCCCAAAAAGAACCTTTATGAACAAAAAGAACCTTTATGAACAAAAAGAACCTTTGTGAAGGTACATGTTTAAATGCATTGACTGTTTTGACTGTAAAATTTATTTATGTGTAAATCTAACAGATCGAAGAGCAGGCAATGGGGCCTCCAACACCTCTGGGCCGGTCATCATGCCACCCCACTCAGTCAGACAGAGACCATTAGAGGACATTGTCAACTGGACAGAGAAGAGTCTGTCATCAGACAGAGATAGACACAGCTCAGAGGAGGAGCTAGCTGGATTAGTCAAACAGACGACACCGGAGAAACGCAAGTGGTCGCAGATTAGCAAAGGTGGCAACGGAGACGTTTCCGGTTCAAGTGACGAGGAAGTGAAAGAACTCTGTGTAAAACCGATGCCGCTGAAATTCAGTGCATCCCCGCCAAAACACTTAGAAAAACTGTCTAGAAAGCATTCCGAAGGAAAAGCCGCTGCCATTTTCGTGGCAAATGTTGGGCGGGTGGGAGACTTTGTGTCAGCAAGAAAACGCTGTAAGCATGCTTATCACCTGAGTGAGCATACCCAGATGCCAAACGGCCGCTGCGTCGACTTTGAAAAGATGCAGCAGGTAAGTGTTTGGAAGTTTCATGCATTTTCTTTCTTTCAGGTTCCTCCTCTTGCCCCCCCCCCCCCAGTCTATGGAATATCCCGTTGCACAGCACGTGTCTACGATATGCCAGTAGATTCGGCGAAATGCAAAACAAGACTACATCTTGACCTCCAGATTCTGACCATTCAGTGGGTGTCTTCAGTATCAGGTCTTTGGTAACCCTTTGTTGTATTACAAAAACATGGCATCCAAATGCAGCAATCAACAGCTTTAATAGTCCACATTGCTGATCTAAGTGACGTCACAGTTTCTTAAGTAGACTCCGATAAGCTTGCGCGCGGGGTCGCATAAAATGTGCATGCTAGGATATATCAGACGTTTGACCATGGCTCTGCACAAGTGGCTGATCCTCAAACTAACCCCCTCCCCCCAAATTCTCCCCTCCACAGTATGTTTTATGTGAATGATGACGGGTGTGTCACTACAGATGTAATGATTAATCAATTTATCATGACATTGAGATGAATAAACTTGGACAAGGCACAATAAGAGAGTGTCAGGCATCAGCAATCTTAACTGATTATAAACACATCTTGTAGTCGAAAACGTTTGATATTAGCCATTAAAAATATACAGGTCTCCAAAATGCAAATTGAGAACAAATACAGCCTATGGCAGTTCAGATCATTTCTGGATGACACTTTGTGTGATCGCCTGATTTGTTGTCTTCGTAGTGAGTACATTCAGAAACATCTTCTGACAAAGGACAGCCTCACTTTCCAGAAAGCCCTGGATGTTGCAAAAACTCTAGAGACAGCCACCAAAGATCTTCGCGAAATAAAAGGAACACACAAAATGGCAACCGTTCAAGCAGTGCAACCCAGACCACGACAGAAGACGCCAAAAAATCGCCCGACTAAGCCGAACACCCGACAGGACAGGTGTCCCAATTGCGGATATGACCCAATTAGTCATTCATCATTCCCTGCTAGTGGACAGAAGTGCAAGTCCTGTCACAAAAAGGACATTCTGGCAAGGTTTGCAGATCAAAGCCTAAATATATACGAGCTGTGAGTACACCAAATTATTCGTCGGCTCAGTATCCAGCCACAGTGAGGAATCATACACTTCATGGCGCCAGACCATCGTTGTTGAGGACAAGCCTATCAAGTTCATGCTTGACACCTGGTCAGAGGTACTGCCATTACATGTTTATCGCACCCTGAAGCTCCACAACCCGACCTTGCAGTTCACAATTACAACCCATTTGTGCGGTTTCTTCGGCGGGAAAGTCAAACCGAGAGGGCAGAAGCGTCTATCCTGTGAAGTCAAGGGCAAGTACCATGTACTGGTACTGACTTTCCTTATTATCGATGATGGTGAGCCAGTTTTGGGAAAGCATGCCTGTGTGTCCCTCAACCTGGTGCAAGGTGTGTATACATACATTTTTCCATGACAGCAGTGTTCTGAGGGAACCGGATGCCTGCAGGGCCACAATGCCACACCTCACTGCGTCCATGCACGTCGTCGCATCCCATTGCCCTTGCTCCCAAAGCTGAAGGGAAAACTGGACAAAATGGAGAAACATGGCATCATGCCACGCATCACAGAGCCTACTGATTGGTGTGCCCGATGGTGATGGCTCCCAAGAAAAATGAAAACATCAGGATCTGTGTCGACCTGCGAATGCTGAACAAAGTCGTGGCCAGAGAGCAGTTCACCATACATGTACCTACCTTGAAAGAATTCCTAGATAAAATTGCCGGTACCCAGCTACATGTACCTGGTAGATGTTACCCATCGTTGATGCCAAGCATGGGTTTTGCAAATTCCACTCAACCCTGACAGCCAGAAGCTACTTTTTTCACGCAGTTTGGCAGGTTCCGTTTCAATCGCTCAACATTTGGCATAACGTCAGCACCTGAGCTGTACCGGAGAACCACAAGTGATCTGCTGGTAAATCTCCCAGGAATAGATGTCTACATGGACGATGTTCTTGTCATGGGTGACACCGGAGGAACATGATGCACGTCTCTGTCATGTACTGAAGATACTCAAAGGAGCTGGGTTGAGGCTGGGCTGAACAAGGACAAGTGCAAAAATTGTACAAGAGCAGGTGCATTTCCTTGGCCATTGACTTGGTAAGGAAGGAATTCACCCTGACTCTGCCAAAGTCGACGCAATCCTGCAGATGTCACCACCTACCGGTACAACAAAGGAGGAAGTGAAATGACTGGGGATTGTCAATTAGCTTTCTTGCTTCCTACCCCATGGAGCCTCTGCGGCAGCACTGATCAACGACCTGATGAAAGACGACACAGAGCGGACTTGAGGCCCAGCACAATGCTCTGCGTTTTGACACCTCAAGACACTGCTAACAATAGCCCAAATGCTTGCATATTACAACCCAACAAAACCGACAATGGTCAGTGCTGATGCCAGCAGTTACAACATTCGTGGTTACATCCTTCAGAAGCAGTAAGCCGAGTCCTGGAGGCCAGCAGCCCATTGGTCCCGAAGCCTGACACGTGCAGAACAACGTTATGCACAGATCGTAAAGGAGCCACTGGCTGCTGTCTGGTCATATGGGCATTTCTACCTCTATCTTTGAGGTCTACGAGTGACATTCCAGACAGACTACAAACCGCTTGTGTCCTTAATTAGCAATAAGGTCATTTGTGATGCCCCCTGCAGTGCCAACGACTACCGATGGGGCTAATGAAGCACAGCTCTGACACAGAGTACATCCCTGGTAAGAACCTGGTTGTGGCCAATACACTCTCACGAGCCCCTCCTATAGCAAGACAAAACGGCAGAGTCCTGTGAAGATCTGGAAGGCGAAATTGAAGCCTATGTCCACCTGATTACATCCCTGTGGCCAGCATTTGATGCAAAGCTGGTCAAAAAAAGCTTGTACCCTGAGTGCAGTCAGCACTTGTGTCGAAGATGGATTGCAGAGGTACCAGAATAATGTTGAGTCAAAATTGAAACTGTTCTGGCTGACCAGGACAAGATCAGCCTAGTAGGTGGTATCCTCACATATGGTGACCACATTGTGATACCACATAGCCTGAGACAACAAAGGTTGCAGCGAATGCATGAGGGTCATCAAGACATCTCAAAAAGCCGTCTCCGAGCCAATCAAGCTGTGTGGTGGCCTGGTATGAATACCGAACCCAGTATGTCCAGTCTTGCCCACAATGCCAAGATATACAACCATTACAACGAGCCAAGCCATCATGTCTGTACAACTACCAAAGAGACCATGGCAGCAAATTGTGACCTGGCTGAGGTGAAGGGGAAGATTTACCCTGTGTTGGTAGACTAATATTTCCGATGGATAGCGCTGCATCACCTCCACATGACAACAGCCAAATAGGGCCTATGTGATTAACTTCATGAAGGCAACAGTCGCTATATACGACATTCCTGAAGTGGTAGTGACTGACAACAATCCACATTTTTTTTGTAAATTTGACCAATTTGCTCGCAAGTTCAACTTCCGACACATGCACCTCTAGTCGGCATTACCCACCCGCCAACGGGAGAAACAAATACTGAACTTTGGGCCAAGACTGAAGTTTTGGATAACGTTCCCCAAACACAGCCAGTCTGTCCTTGACCTGTGCAACCAAGCCTTCATGGTGGTACAGGGCGCACGTAATCAACCAGATACATGTACATGTAAACCAAATCCAGTCATGGGAATTTCAGCACTCAGACCCGAGATATTCTGAGCATACCTCACACACGCAGTATGAAGAACATAGCAAGAGTGAGGTACAGCATGCTAGAACATTTTCTGGGCCAAACACTTCCAACTGGACTGGATTTAAGACTTAAGGGTTTGCATGCTGGACATGATCAATGAATGGGAGGTTTGCGGTAACACCATGTGAATGAAATATATCTCTTAATGAGTTGTGTGGTTCTGAGGAGAACCAGTTGGTTTAACTCGACGTTTCGAACAGTATGCTCTGCTCGTCATTAGGAGACTGATGACGAGCAGAGCATACTGTATGGGCCAAGGGCCAAGACTACATAGCTAAATACACAAAGCTTCCACCTGCGTAGCGCATACATGTACATGAAGTTGGATTTTGTTAATCATACATGTACACACAATTAAAACATATTAGAAAATAAAGAAAATTTAATTACATGGTCTTAAATAAACATGTACGTAGAGGCTCAAGATCTATCTGATTTAAGATGTCAAATGCGAAGAAACGTTGGCATTTAAAAAAAAAAACATTTAATGACATCATCATGACATCTTGTTGTATTTTGTTTTATGACGACCAGGTGTTATAAAGGGTGGTCCAAAAAAAAAAACCGGAACCTCATACTTCCATTACCTTGAGACTCAAACCACATACCATGCATGGAGAATCGTTTTAGAAGAAAAATGAAACCAAGATCACCCGATTCGGTCCGGTAGTTCTTGTTCTAGAGCCTATTTTGTGAAGCAAGGTGGGGGCATTTTTGTCCCGATGAATTACTAAACCATGCCTGGGAATTTGACTTTCAATGTACATTGTAATTGATAGAGGGATTGTTATGTAATAATACCCACATGAAAGAAGTGTGCTTCACAAAATAGACTCTGCAGCAAAAAGTACTGGACCGAATCGGGATATTTTGGTATCATAATATTTCTAAAAGGATTCTCCATCAAGTAGTACAGGTGGTTTGAGTCGCGGGGTAGTGGAAGTATGAAGTTCCGTTTTTTGGGGAACCACCCTGTATAGGTGCGATATAGGAAAAAACCCTCAAATTTTTAATGTGTGATGTTCAGGGGGTACTTTATTTTAAATGACAGATTTGCAGTAGTGCAAGCCCCCATATATTTTATAGCATAATATTTCATATTATGCAGAGTTTGCATAAAAACGTCCCCCTTACCCCCCCCCCCCCCCCCCCCCCCCCCCCCCAAAAAAAATCACAAAATCTAAAGCTTTTCTGCAAAGTGAATTGAACAGCAAAAAGTAAGGATTGTCCACAGTTTTGCAATGAAGGGTTTTTCAGTTTTACCAAGGCTTACAATACAAACAATTGTCCATGAATTGTTTTAGAAACAGTTTTGGAAACTATTTTCATCTATTACTTTGCTTGGTAGTATACCTTTACATGTATAGGCCTATAGCAGAATATACATGTATTTTAAAAACAAAATGACAAATTTGTAGTACAGTGTATTGCATACTACAGTGTACAGGTACATGTAGCATACATGCAGTATACATGGCATATGGTACATGTACATCAAAATGTGTCAATCAAGGTCCTTTTGTGATGGAGTGCACTGACAATTGGAACTTTGCCAGCTCTTGGATCCGTGCCAGAAATATTTACCAAAATGCCAGGCTCAAAGGTTTCCGTGTCTTGTATGAAAAGTGTACAGGGTATAGTGCAGTATTGTATGATAATTGTGTCATGTCAATGAGTGCCAGCCATTGAGTAAATAGGAAATTCTGTGTGCCAGGAATTTGTGGTTCCAACACTGTGTATTTTTTTGCTAGGTAAATTTTAAAATTAGTTACAACAATAAAATTAAACTAAATTTTAAAATTGGTTGACAAAAATAGTTATAACAATTAAAGGGGCACTAGGACCTGAAATCCCTGAAAATCTTATGTTTTGGATAGTTTACTTCTAAGCCTATTTCAAACATCTGGTTGAAAGGAAACCAACCTTATGTCTTATACGTTCCCGAGAAAAGACCAATAAACCCCGCTTGTTTACATCGGACCATGATGGAGTACGAATACCTTTTTCGTGTCGTTCTCACTGTACAATATACACGTTGTGTGTCTCAGGAACAGCGGTGACCAATCACCAATGCAAAAAAAATGGTTTCTTCAACGTCCGCAAAAGGCGAACACTTTGCGAATGAAATCACAACTGACATCCAAACAGCTTGAAATTATGGGGTCGCAAAAGTTGACCCCGAAATTCGTTCTCGCACGTATAATACAGGAATAACACAAAAATGCCCAGTTTGGAAAGGATAGTTGTGTGGATGTTTATATCCAACTTTTAAATGTTATTTCCGATTAACATCATCTCGTTCAAAGTGCATTTTGTAGCCCGATTGGTCTGTTCCAGGAGCTAGTGTCCCTTTAATAACTGAACTTTGTGGTCAGATAAATAACCTAATTTTGGAAAATTGCAGACTTTACAAAAAAAATGCAGTTACATGTACACAGGATGTAATTGTCAGTGCAAAGACACAAGTACAATGTACATGTATTATCTGACAAGGTTAACAAAGTTCCTAGAATTTTTAAGAATTTCAACTTAAGGTATTGGCTTATAAAAGACAGGAAAAGTGTCACAAGTTTGCAGCCACCGGTAGGTCATGTTTATTCACAAAGACCAGCCCAAAATCTCAGGCTAACATGGAAAATTCTGCAAATGTTGCTCGAGAAATCAGACTTCAAATAACAATTCCTAAAGCAGTAGGCCTATCAGTCTAGAACAGTGTCAACTTGAGTTGCAATGCTGAGTACATGAAGAACCACTGGTCATTGTCAGCCACAGCATGGTCTGTACATTGTACATGTACATGTACATGTAGTGACACACAGTCAATTCCCTGTAGTTTGTGTTTGGTATAGACATGGATGAATATTCCTCCAAGGTATAGAGGATGCTTGTCCATTTTTCTAAATGTGATTTCTTTTGTTCAGGCTTAAAGGGAATGTACATCATTGGCTTTTGCTGTAATTTTCAGAAATGAACTATTTGAGGGATAGTATAATTAATAGATCAAATATTGTTACACTTACATGCTTGAAATTTTTTGTTCGAAAATGCTGGAAAAACCAAGAAAAACAAAACTGTTCAAGTAGTCTGGTTCCCTGACTCCACTAAAGATAAAATGGATCAATTTATAGATGCCAGAAAATTGTAAGGTAAGGGAACCAGTCTAGCTGGCCTGCACCCGTTCATGAACATGTAACCAATAGCAAACAAAATTTGGACTAAGAAAAGGGTAAATTTGGAGCAGTAGTTGAAAAATAGTTAGGTTTTTCCAACGGTGGTCGGCCGACCACCGTTGGAAAAGTATACAAAAATACAATTTTCTTGAAAATGACCTCACACCAGGTGACATAATTTTACAGAATGCTTTAGACTGTCATTTACCAACATCCTAGTAAGGTATTTCGTAAAAACTTGGTAGTTTTATTTTTCGATGTTTGCAAATGTTGTTTATTCCCTTTAAGCGTTTTTGCAAAGTTCTGGTCCCATGGGTCTATACATTGTACATGCAGTTCCTTATTGTGAATGTACACATACCTTTTTCTTTTCCCTAATGTATTCAAACCAAGGCCCCAGATGGAATATACCGATCCATAAATCTCTGCCCACTGTGAATGTAGGCAACAAAACATGGGCCTCTGCATGTTTCAGCAGCGCATGTCATACAAAATGTGCACACATGTTGGATATCAATCACGGCTGTGAATTGATGTTGTGCATCGGGTAGGGTTGACCAGGCCAAACGGACCCAAAACATTAAAGATATATATCAAATCTGAACTGAAATCGATCTGAACTCTCCAATCCAACCTGACCCCAACCCGACAAAAATTCAAGCAAAAACCGGTGTCGGGTCGGGTTTGCACAACATTACTGTGAATCAGTCTTCTCAGTGATGACATAAAAGAATAAAGATAAATGTTCATGACCTAATTTACATAGATAAAGTCTATTTTTTTTATTCGCACATTTCTTTCTTTTCATTTATATCACAGAAACAGTATTTCAGGAAATTTCCCTTTCATGGAAGTGGCCCCAGCCTTAGTCATGCACACGGTGTCAGAGCAGCAAAGCTTGTGCGCATTAAGGTGAGTTACTTACTGTGTTATTTACCGTGTATGGGATATGTCTAAAGGTTGGTTCATACAAGCGTGACTCATGCCAAGTTTTCGCGCTGCAAATCTGCAAAAGTTGAACACATTTAAACTCCGGCGAATTTCGCAGCAAGTGTTTCCCGACGTCATATTCGCTTTGCATTTGCGTGACGTATGAAGCAGCCATTATGCTGCACAGTTAGAGAATTTAAACTCCATTCAGGTAAATTTTTACACAAGGGGGTGCCCAAACAAGACTCAAGGTTTTTGCACACTTAGAGATATAGTCCATCATTTGTAATTTGTGCATTTTGTTCGTTTGAAGCAACAAAAGTGTTCCCAACGTCTTTAGCTCAGCATATTCAATGACTTCCAACCTCAAAAATGATGTTCACATTAGCATCTTTTGCCAAGAAAATATTGGTTAAAGTGGTCAGAAATTGCCTCAGATCGCACCACAGAGCATCTAGAATTTTTTTAAGCATTAAGCGGGCCCCGAACCCCACGCCTATAACTCAGAATAGCTGATTCAATGACTCCAACTTCGAAAATGATGCAGCAAAGCTTGTGCGCATTAAGGTGAGTTACTTACTGTGTTATTTACTGTGTATAGGATATGTCTAAAGGTTGCTTCATACAAGCGTGACTCATGCCAAGTTTTCGCGCTGCAAATCTGCAAAAGTTGAACACATTTAAACTCCGGCGAATTTTGCAGCAAGTGTTTCCCGACGTCATATTGGCTTTGCATTTGCGTGACGTATGAAGCAGCCATTATGCTGCACAGTTAGAGAATTTAAACTCCATTCAGGTAAATTTTTACAAAAGGGGGTGCCCAAGCAAGACTCCAGGTTTTGCACACTTAATGCACTTGGTCACTATACCCCTGGCTCTCGCCCTAGGCCAGGGGTCAACTTGATGGAGCTGTGAAGCACGAAAACTTGCTGTACACAGAAAAAACTTCCTGAATAAAAACAAAACAAAAACAGTTATCAGCCAAAATGTTATGCGTTTTGTATGTGTGTGACTCATTCCCAGCTGATTGTTGCTGAGTACATGAATGTGCCGAGCAATAGTGTCTGCATAGTAGCTCAGTGAATTGGGCCCAGTTTTCCCCTCAGTTGTGCTTGGTATTCTCAGTCAAACCCTTGGGTGACATTGGAGTGTAAATGCAAGGCCCATGGGCGTAGCGAGGAGGGGGGAGGGGCAAGGGGGGCACTTGCACCCCCCCCTCCCGGAAAAGCCCCCCCCCCCCAAAAAAAAGAGAAAACAGAAAAGAAGAGGCGCGAAGTCATAGTGGTGTAAATTTAATGGGTTGGGAAGGGGCAAAATGTCCCTGCCCCCCTCTAAAACTGATAAATCGAGAATGTGTTGAGAAATACAGGAATTTTTTTAGGCAAAAATATGTTTTGCCCCCCTCTAGATATGCTGTAGTGGTAACATGGTGGAAATAAAAAAAATCCAATGTTGCTGTTCGCATGGAGACTTTAGTTATGCATGTATCATTGAAAGTACATGTACATGAGGCGCCAGTCAAATTCAAACAAATAAGTGAGAGACTTAAACAAGTCTAATTCCCCAGTGACAGCCAGTGAATGAGATACATGTACCGGTAGGTAACCAGTGCAAATCACAAGTGACAATCAGTGTGTGAGAGCAAGTCTAATTCACAAGTGTCAGTCGAACCGTTGGTCGGTTGGTCGGTCGGTCCGTCAGTTACAAAGAGGACTCTATGCTGCCCCTCTGGGACCAGCACAAATATTCCGTTTTACTTTTGTGTTTTGCCTCTACAACTGATGGAAATCAGTGGCAGGAGGTTTGGACTAGCACTGAATGCATGTTCTAAACACATACACAATGTAGGATCGCAGAGTCACAATTAAAGGTAGAATGGGCCATTCGTCATTTGTGAATTTTTTTCGTTTGACGCAACAAAGGTGCTCGAAATCTAGAGATGGGTGTTAAACAACTAACCTGATTAACTTTTAGGTCTGTGAATGCTGTATATTTCAAGAACATACAATATTCTGGATCTGGATTTCAGTTAAAAAAAGTCACATTTGGCATTTGGCCCTCTCGTGACACGTGCCTGAAATCAGCATTCGGGAGATGATTCTCATTTAGCAGATTGTAGCTTCGTAATGTCACACACTGAAATGATGAATAATAGCCGGCGCACGCTTGCACCCATTCATGGATTCACCCAATTACAAAAAAACCTACAAATGGAAATTAATGTGTCACTTGACACATGTTTGGAAATGACCTTCTCTTATTGTTTTCTTAAAAATGACAGCATGCCAGAAGGAATCATTTCATAGGGTATTTTGTGTCATGCTGTCTTTAAACCAAGTAAGCTGTTCAACAATAGTTTGGTCGGTTAACATACTTTTTGGATAGCTGCAAATGGTCCACTCTTACTTGAAATGAGATGCAGCATAATCTGAATGGAGGTTCATTGATGCTTGTGACTATATTATGAGTAAGATTTGAGGCTTTGCATGGTGGAGATACACCATGTGCGAATAATTTCTCAACTAAGAGAATGGTACTGACAAGAACCAGAGGTATAGTATAAACTTGACGTTTCGGTCAGTATGCTCTGACCGTCTTCAGGTATGCTCTGACCGTCTCTCCTGAAGACGGTCAGAGCATACTGACCAGAACGTCGAGTTTGTACCTCTGGTTCTTTTCAGGACCATTCTCTTAGTTGAGAAATTATTCGCACATGGTGTTTCCGCAAACCTTTCATTATGGACTATATTATGATGATGATGGAAGAACAGCCTCTCCCCAAGGTACACTCTAACTGAACGTCTTCATTGCACCATTATCTCTGAGTGATATTTGTGTTCGTTTTTTTCCTATTCGTGTTTGTCCTCACAGGGTATCAACCTGCACAACAACAGGCTACCTCCTCGACTGCTGTGTGATCCTGCCGTCTTCTCCTTCAGATCCCTCAGCACAGTCAACCCTCTCACCCCAGTGGAAGACCCATCATCAGTAGCTACCTACTGATTCCTAGGTGGTCCAGATAGAAAGGCATGTGGCGTGCGTGCCATATTTCTGACATTCTGTAGTCATGTTCAAAATGCAAGGAGGCTTGGAGGATTTTGTGCCTTCTGCCATGCGGTTGTTTAGGCCTTTTCACACCATTGCTTTGCCTACCCGTGTTCAAATCATCATTGGTCCACAGTGAGCAGAACCGGGTCCAATTGAACACATAGTAGGGCAGATAGGTGATGTAGTTGGGAAAATTGTGCCCTTGGTGATACAAGCATGGCATTTGGCACACAGTCAGAGTATGTCTTAAGAAAATTATTTGGCTATGGCCGTCGCAGGTTTGTCATGTGACAAAATATAGGTAAAATAACAAGCAATGGCGGCCATTTTCAAAATGGGCTGCAATTGCTTGTTTTTCTACCTATATTTTGTCACATGACAAATCTGTAATAGCCCTATAGCCAAATAAATGTTCTTAAAATGTACACTGACTGTGTGCCAAATGCCACGCTTGTATCATCAAAAGGCACAATTCCTGCACCTATCCTCCGTACTAACAGGTTGGCAAGGCAATACCGTTCACACTTACAGTATTCTGTACACTGGTCAGGCGTAGGTTTTGGATTTTCTATCTGGGTAGAGCCTGTCAACCCTGGTCCCGACCAGGGTTCAGTATTACCTGTGCCGAGTGCTTGACCTGTGTAAAAGCCCTGTTTGATTCTTGATAGAGTTTAAGGGGTTCCTGAGTTCTTGGGGTCTGTCAGGGGTCCAACAAGAAGATTTTGGACAGTGTGAAAAGGCCTTTACAAAGTTTAGATGTGAGGCATAATTTCAGCTAAGCTATAAAGTTTGTCATCTTTATCAGATGTATTCAGCAATCTGAAGGATAGTAAACTTAAAAAAAATTTTTTTATTTTTGCTCAATATCTTTGGTTTATAAGTTGTCCCAAAAAAAATCCTACATCTGATTTTGATTTAATCAGGGCCCAATTTCATACAGCTGCCAAGTACAACAGTTGTTAAGCACAAAACATATTTCTAAGCAAAAACACGTACAATGTAACTGGCAACAAATCATGCAAGGTCTATGGCTTGTAAAGTAAAAACCAAAAGAGTAAAGCCTGTCATGAGCCAATGTGGCCTGCCCATCAGGCCGGTGTTTATCTCTGATGTTCAGTAGCATGAAACAACTGAGACTATTTCTACTCCCCCTGGATGGGATGCTAGTCCGTCGCAGGTTTCCCAGCTAACTGCTGATACCCATTTATACTCCTGGATGGAGGGGTAGAAGCAGCAGCTGGATTCGAACCCCTGACCTTCTGATCACGAGTCAAGAACCATAACCACTAGGCAGCGCCGTCGCCAGGATCAAGCATCAGGAGGGGCCATAGTATCAACTAGGGGGCCCACTACTATAAAAAAATACAGCATTAGGAGGGGCCATAGTATCAACAAGGGGGGCCCACTACATGAAAAATACAAAAATACATGTGTACGGTATGGCTTTTGCTGTGGGGGGGGGGGGGGCAATGGCTCGTAAAGGGGCCCAGCCCCTCTAGGCCCCCCCCCCCCCCCCCTTGGCAACGGGCCTGCCACTAGGCCACACTCCCCAATGTGGCTGGTTTACATGTAAAAATGCACCGTTTTCTGCTTATAGCAGCAGCTCTTTGAAATTGGGTCCTGGGCCCAATTTCATGGCTCTGCTTACTGTTAGCGAAAAATCCCTGCTTACTGTAGCAAAAACTTCCGTGCTTACAGTAAGTGTATTTCACGGGTTAACGAGAAATGGCTTATGCGCAGGCGTACATCCTGTAACTAAGAAATCTGTGCTTGGTGGGTAAGCGCAGAATTATTCTGCTAGCGCTGTAAGCAACAGAACGGTGATCGTAAGCGCAGAATTCTGTGGTTGGCAGTGCCATGAAATTGGGCCCAGGTCTGTACAGTCCATGCCACTATTGCTGGATGTTCCAATTTCGATATGACGAAGATATGTCACAGTTTTATTTACTTTACTGTTCATAGTGCGGGATTTGGGGAATGCAGGACGCTTCTGAGCAGAAATTTATGTTAAGGGAGCAAAAGTTAGACAAGATGCAACACCTCTGATATTTACAGGGCTGCATTTGTAAATTGTATGCATAGAGCAAATAATTTCATGGGAACTAATGAAAGAACTACCTCTGGAGTGTACTGTTAGTCTTTAAAGTGCTGATTTGTCTTCATAAAAGAAACCAAATTGATTTCTTTTCAGTATATAAGAACAAAGTAATTAAATATTGCTAGAAACTTTTCAGATTTGTTGAAATCTTTGAATAATATACTCAGGTATTGATGTCCCGGTGTAGGACATTGTTATTTCTCCAAATGTATTGGCTAATATAATGATCATTAGATCATTGGCTAATGATCATATTGAGGTTATTAGACGGATCAGTAAGGCCATGTCCAAATCTTTTGTCCAGAGCTATCGGCTAGGTTTTGGACCATTACAACTATGTTGGAACATGCTGACCGTAGCCGTAGCCATTGAGGCCCATTTTGGAGCCTTAAAACCAGTCTTTTCAGGACCACAATGTCTAATGAAGAGATTAAAGGTAATATACAACATTTGCAAACATCAAAAAACAAAACCACCAAATTATTATGAAATACCGTACTGGACTGTTAGTGAATGACAGTCTAAAGTATCCTGTAAAATCATGGCACCTGGTGTGCTAACATTTTCAAAAAAAGTGGATTTTTTAAAATTAATTTCCAATAAGTCGGCCGACCATCGTTGGAAAAAAATACTGACCCCAATTTACCAAGTCCACATTGTGTTTACAATTGATTACACACCTGTGAACAGGTGCAAGCCAGCTAGTCTGGTTCCCTGACCTGACAATTCCCCGACATCTGTAAATTGGTAGTTTTGTCTAAAGTAGGGTCAGGGGACCAGACTATAAGAACAGCATTTTGTTCTTGGTTTTCCCAGCACCTATGAACACAAAACCATCAATTCCTGAAAATTACAGCAAAGCAAATGTTGCATATTACCTTTAAATCAAAACACTTTTTTACAACCTGACTTTTCAGAAGTAATCAGATTTACACAGTGTACATAGAGATATGCATGACTTTTCGATTTCTGTGAATAATGTGTTGTTATACGCATTAGCCTTCAAGTGTAGGGGTGTACTTTTCCTTACAGGATATAGACAGATACAGAGAGCTTTTGTATTTTTTTTGCTGGAATTGTTATCTTATCGCTGGCCCTTAGCAGAATCATTTCTGGTATGATTCAGTGGTTCCTACACGGAACGAAAGGTCTTCTTGCCTTTACATTTCAACGAGTATGTTCTCAATGTTCCGAGTCAAGCGTGATCTGGCATGGTTATCCTCGAGAGGCATCATTTTAGAGCACAACTAGGTCCCACTATTGGAAACATTGAGATAACTAAATGGAGCAAACCAATACTGTTGTTCCACCATGCGTGGCCTCAAAATACACTTTAATTTGCCGTTTTCTAAAACCCTAACCCCTGAGCCCTTTTTGCTAGGAACCATCCTCAATCCTCCAAAATTTTGCACTTATGCTCAAATGAAGGATACCCACTGCCTCAATCCTTCAAAATCCTCCAACAGCCCCTGCCTGTCAAATTGCATTCATCCTTAATCCTCCAAAATCCTCCTCTTCTTCAAACACCATTCAGCCTCAATCCTCCCAAATCCTCCAAAACCGCCTGGAGGCCTTTGGAGGATTGACGAAGTTAGGGTTGCAGATATATCTTTTCAGAAGTATGGGGTGTATATAATCAGATGCGTTTTTTTAAGTGAAAAGTTTATAGTAGGGTGATAATTATGGAGATCTCCTGATGCCATGAAAGATCTAAGAGTATAGTTTGTTGAAAAGCCTATTCAAATATATTATTATCCATGATGTTATTTTGAAGTTATTTTAAATAACAAACAGTGTACCAAGAATTTTCCCCAATATTCAGCATATTTTGAAGGAATATATATAAATGCCCTTGAAACTGTTCTCTGTGGTTATTTTCCAAGAACCATCATGACAATTAGGTCAACAATATTTGTACCGGTATTTGAAAATATACAATTGAAATGAAACAGTCATGTTAAATATCAATTTATTTACCATCTTTTCTTTTCTTTTATCTCGGTCTAGTTGTGTGCTTGCATTTTATTTGCCGTAATTTTGCTTAGTAAATAAATAGAATCTCAATGTATAAAGTTTATATACCAGAATTGTTTGCATCATAACGAATGTGAACTTTTTGTATACTTCATAACTGTTTAGAAATATAATACAAGTCAATAGAATTTACACTTTTTAATGCAAAGAACACTGCAAAAAAATTAATTTTGCATTGTACGGACCAAGGTTTTTTGTTTTTATGTTTTTCTTCTGTCGACAATTTTTGTAAATTTTCCCAATTATATTTTATTTTATTGATTTTTTTTTTGAAGGGGAGTGATGTTTTGCATTGACTTAATTACATTAAATACTTTGGTTTGTACAAAGGAATGGTGTATTTCAATATTGGAAAAAGGTCAATGGAAATTAAATGACTGGAGAAAGTCATTATAGTTACCAGTATTTCTGAATGATGTTGTTCTGATGAGATCTTGACGCTAATCAGTGCTGTCCGCGAGCTTGCGAGAAGTTTTACAAATTTCCAGAGTGAACCTGTAAACGTTTCTTGACAAATTACGATAAACGGTATTATACGAGTACATGTACAATATTTTTTACTTTGCAATGGTCACACTTCACAAATGTTATCTGCTCACTTGAAAATAGTAGCGGAAAATTACTTTGAAATAGCATTTCTCTCACGAGTCTGTAAGGGATCGGTAAACTCAAGATATATGAACAACTTTCCGGAATTTCACTTTCCGTTACCTTTGGGTGAAAAGTAGGCCTATTAGTCGTGTAAGACGCTCGAAGAGAAAATCAAAATGCGCCACGCGTACATGCTTGGGTTTCCTGGGTTCTTGAAGAGGTAAGAGCGCAGAAGATGGTGCTCATTACCAGCATGCACTAACGCAGGCTCCGCATTGACAGTCACGTCCGTCTTCACGTTGGACTTATACCAGTGGCATATAGTTTTGCCCTTACTATATAGCGTCGTCCCAATAACTTGGGCATATCCCAATTATAGTTGGGCCCATCCAACCCCAACCATAACTTCTTTTGTTTTAAAAGTCAGTATTAAGTACAAGCCGATTTCAAGTTTAATCATAAAGAAAAAAGGTTTTGCTGCGCAGGTATATAGTCCATTCGTTGACGTGCGGCTGAGTGACGTCACGGCTTCGTAACTTGGAGCCTTCCCCTTGCTTTGAGTTGTTACTTTGTTCACACAGAATGTCTTAACACTGCATTCGTCCACACTTCCACCGTGTCTCGTCTACTTTTGGTCTGCACCTATTTTATTAAAGCAGACAAGCTGCCCTTAATCGCATTTTTGATTCTGTCGCTCTTGCTTGGGGATCCCAGCTGTGGCGCGGAAACTGAAGCGATGGAAGGAGGAACTCCATTGGTCAATGCCACCTGGCAACGGGCCGCACTGTCCATACAGGAAACCCAGTACAGCATTTCACGGTCATCCCTGGCTTGGAATAGGTACTGCTTACCGGTTTTCAATCTGAAGGAAAACCAAATAAATAATCAACCGAATAATGGGAGAGGTGATTGATGTAACAAGGAAACTCAAAATCTAGCGCCACATATTAAAAAATATACTCCCTGAGTCTTGTCGAATCCAGATTGGATTAATTTGTTTGAGAAATGTGGAAACCATAGAGCTATATTAAATAACTAGAGCGCTAACTCTTAATTTAATATAGCTTTATGGTGGAAACCCGTAAACCGTACAGTTTCTTGACCAAAACACTAAACACAAGATTCCCAATCTATCCCGACAGCCGCATGTTATTGTATCCCAATACGGCAGCTTCACTTTATCATCAATTAAAGTTATATCATCGCTGTCTGAAGCAATGATAGTTTACATTTTATAATTATGATCAAGCACGCGCACCGAAGCACACAGCTCGACCGTACCAGTGCATGACACCATATAGAGCATGCTCTATGATGACACGGTCTAAAAATACCTTAGTAGTTTTGCTGACGCTTTGACGGTTTGTGCAAGCATGGAGGCAGACCATGTGTATTAAGGCGGAGTTTGAGGGCAATGCTTTTGAATCACGGATAGGCATGAGTAAACCTTTTGTGCATTCACTGTGACTGGACTAAAACTACAAAGAACACTTCTGAGACTCCCGCTATGCATTAGGTCTATAATATTATTTTCAATAGAATCCTTCAAATACAATATACATGTACATGTGTATTTTGTGCCCGTTGCCTTTAATTTCAGTCATTTACCAGTGTGTTAAAGTCACTTTACTGTTTGTGTTGATGCTGGTAAAGTCGGTGACTTTCAGAAGCTCCAAATCATAATTGGTCAAAATGTTTCAGTGTGAGAATTCATTTCGTGGCCCCTCTAAATTTGATAACCATTTTTTTTTTATGACCATACATACTGCACTCTAAACACGTGCTTCCTGCGTGTGTACTCAACAGCTACCGTGACCAAGGCATCAATCAGATCAATTGGGGACTCGTCATGGAGGGTTTTACCTCGTCTCTTGTGCTCTCTCGTTTCATAAAACATCAACACAGTACTGTTCTGCACTACGTACACGTAATGCCAGCACCTGCATGTGTAGAACATGTCCGAACCATTTACAATAATATAACAAGAATGGTTTGCTGATGATACAATCTGACGGAGTTTTTTTTGTTCTCAAAGGAATGAAAAGAAAACAATCTCGCAACCAGTTCATTCAGAAGTTTAGAACCAGCACTTCAAAGATCGAGACGGCTTCGAGCCAGGTCGGGTCGTTCTGGCTCTAGGCGTAACAGGGGTCTAATTTGCAGGGGGTAATTATTGGCCTCATTTTCTGGAGATAAAAAAGGGGGCCACTTAAACGCGTTTTTAACAATAAAAAGCTCATTTTTGTCCACACCGGATTCGGAGCGAGAGGGGACTCACGTTGTTATTCAAAGATAAAAATCTTTAATGATATTACGAGGTTGGAGCCCGTGGTCTAACGTGTAATTATATGCACATTGCTGTAGGCAAGCCAGCTTATACCATACCTGACAGTTACTGATTCCAATCAATAACACAATGAGAAATGCATGTTAGATAAGGTCAATTCGATCTTATTGGCCTTGCTGTGTATATAATAATTTCAATTTGCCCTTCAATATATTCAAAAGTCGCCAATATTATCGAGTTACCTTACGCTCTCCGTCGATATAGCCTACAGGGTGCTCAGTGCCCTCCACTTTTTTCATGTATCAGACCTACCTATCTCTTGATCTCATTGCATAGTTCTCCTGTTCCTGTTTCCGTAGCAACAGACCTTCTGCATTAACTCCGTATTTGACACACTCGCCTTCTCCGAGAGAAAGCTCAGAATCAAGTAAACTTTCGTTGTCATCTTCCTCTTCATCGATAAAATCATTTCGTCTATCATGACTCGTTTCTTGCTCGCCCAGATCCTGATAACTGGTGCTGCTGGACGATGCAACTTGGTACGGACCGCTTGTGTCAGTCTCCCATGAGCCTGTATCTGATGTGTAAATCTCACTTTGTTGATCCGCCTGTACAGCATCCTTGTATTTGTAGGAGCTTTTACAAGAAACACGACGGCTATTATCTGCGAAACTTGGCTTGTTGCAAGTCTTAGATGGGCGTGCATTGTGTCCACCAACATCACAACCATTCCGTCTTGTCGTTGATTGTCTGCGATTGACTGCTTTCCCATTATCACAGTGTGTGCCGATATCGGTGCTTGTGTGTTGCTCTACCACGTCTTCTGCATCTTCCCATTCATTTGAAGACAGAACAGGTGATGGTGAGGTGTAGGCAATTGTTTTGATTGCCTCTAGGATTGTATTCTTGGTCTGCAATTTAGTCAAGTAATAATTCCACACTATTATCGATTATTAATCAATGCTTTGTGGGTTGTGCGTTGTACTTTTTGCAGTATAGAGCCTTTACATGGCAGCACGGTCTTAGAGGAACAAGTTCTTGTCAGTCTGCAGAATCATAAAACATAAGTGGTCTTTTTTAATCTAAATAAAACAAAAGGAAACAAACAAACAAACCCCCACCAGAAAAACTTTTAACAATATAAAACAAATAATATAGATACACGACAATGTGTTTAGAAAGAATATGTTTTCCGTTTTTTGTAAGTAGTTTGTATGATGGAGATAAAATATTCATTGCTGCACGAATAGGCCAATATTTACCTCAAGGGCACTGTCCTTCTGTGTAACCTCACCCTGCAAAAAAAAAACAAATATGCAAACATATTGACCAGAAGGTGAAATTGAAGCATGCAACAATAAAATCATTCGTATTTTATATTCATGCATCATTTTAAGAGCTTTTTGCTGACGCAGTGGCTCCCTCTGTTTGTATAGTTCAAGCATAATTTGTTCCTTTGTATTTATAAATTCAATTTAGAATTTCAAGCATGAAAGTTCGTTTCCAGTCCCATTATTGAATCAAATCAATGGAAAGGTACCTTTTTGGGGACTTGAGTGAAAGAGCTCGTATATATAGCTGGAGCTTGCCGTCACGGTGTCTCACCTGGCCTCGGTACCGCCAGTTGATAAGACACCGAGACAGTGTCACAAGCTCCTGCTATACGAGCTCTGTAACTCAAGTCCCCCAAAAGGTATCATTGATTTGATTTGGAATTTGTTCCAATCACAAAGTGTTGAACATCTGTCATGATCTATAAGGATGCCAATTCCAGTTTCATGTTCTATCTTAAAAGGAAATATCTTGAAGCAGTAGCGGGGTATAACATTGAATTTGAGATAAAACGTTCAATTGGTTAATGGGAAGCCAGCTAACGTTTGTATTTTGTAAGAACTATAAAGCATGCTAATGTGAAAGTCAGTTATGCAAAGTATTTCAATTTAAACTTGGTTTAATATCTGAACCAATCTGAATGATAAAATAACTGCAGAAGACGCACGTCACCCAAACTTGAATATTTGTACGAATACTTTGACGATGGATTCACATTTGCTTCTAATCGAATGATAGAAATTGCAATGACAATGCCCTTTCGCTGCAGTTTTGCACACGACAATGGGTGACACTCCAATGAAAAATGGCAAGTATTCTTGTATTTATCGGGAATATCGATAACATCGCTACGGGAATACAAAACGTATTCATGTAATAAAAAAATACCCAGCTTTATACTTTAAACAACTTCACTATACCTGCTTGTTGTGTAGCAACTCGTTAAGAATGTCAATCTTGCATTTGAATGCTCTACACTCCTGATTGCTGCAGCGTAATTTCTCCTTTAATATTGACACTTCGGCGACATGGCGTGCAGCCTGATCTTTCAAATTAGAGTTTTCCTTGGATAGGGATACCTTTTATCAAGACGAAAGGTGTCTGCAGTTAATATATGTACATCAGGCCTGTCATATACCTCGATAAAACAACATCATAATTATGAGCGATTCAGATCACCATGACTTCTCTACTGAGTTCTCTTAAAAAGACAGCAATGTTACATAAGAACAAAAAGGGCTTTCAACCTATTTTAATTACAGCCGGCGATGCATCAACGATACCGTACAGAATTTCTGATCCCAATCTCACTTTTGTTTTCAGACTTAAAATTTGAGTCAAGAAACTTCTCCAGGAATTTGTCGACTGCTGTATGGACTATTTAGCTCTCAACGTTATTGTACGTAACGTGACGTACAATAACTAAATCGCTTCGATTGAAAGGATGATAATATACGAGGTTCGAAATGAATGGTTCAAAAATGAAAACGAGAGGTTAACTTACCTTGACGTCTTGTAATCCCTGCATTTCCCACATCATCTCGTCGAGAAATGCTTTGGAATAAACCTGTTTCTGTTCCAGAGATCTGGCCTTTCTGTTTGCACGTTGTAAATTGCTTTCTAGCGATGCTGTAGTAAAACATTTGCAGATTGAACAAAATATACAAGTTGAAAATTTGGTATGGGGAGGGGGGAAATGAGGAACACCGACAGTACATTTTGAACATTCAGCAAAAAATAAGTTCTGATGTAAAATATCAGAATCACATAAAACAAAATAATGTTATTCTTTATTCATTCACCTCGCTTTGCCTCTAGTTTCACGTAGCTGTCGCGATGGACGTAACGAGACAATTGTTGTGCAAATGCTTGCACTCGGTAATCCTTCTCTCTGCATCTCTGTTGTAAAGCAGCAATCTTCCTCGAAAGTACAATAAGGGTACAAATATTTATAAAGCAACAAAACTGGGTAATATCTTTAGACCTATCGGCTTTTTCCAAATGCACCTGATTTTATTTACATGAGGGGGGGGGGGGAATTCGTTTCCCCCTGAAAAAAAAAATCGTCAAGGTTCTCAACAATTCGTGAGCATCAATATTTTGCCTTGCAACTCTATATGAATTTGGACTTTGAATGTGACTAACTCGACATGCATGGCTCTGAGGTTCACTTTTTAAAGATTTGAATGATTTTTATTCAGTATTCTCTTAGGCCTAATACTTTCGATAATGACCGTACCTCATTTTCAAGCGTCTCGATTTTGTCTTCGTGATCCCATGGCCGTCCATTAGTTCTATTTTCGAGACCTGTAACTGATAAACATGGACATACCCCACACAAATAAAAATACTGCAATTAAGTTGTTGCAACATGATATTGGCATGTAGCCTACTTTGAATTAATGAAACTCGCAAAATCACCAGTCCGAAGTCCCCGGCGATCCTGAGGAAGGGGGGGGGGGTTACTAGGGAAATCCCCCTCCCCCTGACATTGTCCCCACCCTAATTCATCCCGGTTTTAACGTAAGTGACTCACATTCATAATATTTTCAACTGTCGTGAAAGAGCTCCGAAATTCGTCCGTGCACCATAAGTTCACGTAAATTCCACCGTACACACTGCGGGAACACTTGCGTGAAATCGGATTTGTCTTTATGCATAACAGCAATCTCTTGTGTCAGAAGGCCACAACCCCCGGGCTTTTCGAATTTCTCAACCAGACCTGCTTTTCAAAAGGGCCCTCTTATGTGTAATATTGCCGAAGAATATTGCTATACCAATTCTGAGTTTTTTTACCATGGCTTTGATCAGGCAGTCTTGCCGGTTCAGTTTCTTGCTCGACCTGTTGGAGAGTTTGAACGGAGCGATGGACTGACGCAACGTCATTAACAAGATGCATTGAGCTAAGCTCGGAGCTTGGCATGTCACCACGGGAACAGGCCTCATGAAGCTCGCAGCACAGCTTCTTAGATGCTTCCAATCTGAGAACAAATCAGGCATAAGTGATGTAAGATTCAGCAATACAATATTCTATCCCAAAGGCTCCCTTCAATGGCAAAAGCATTGTGCTAGCTATATTGTTCAGATAATCCGTCAGGGGCCGTTGCGTTGTACAATAGCGTGCAAATGGTTTCTCCATTGATGAGGGGGCCTCATGCGTGTACAGTGATCACGTGCCCCGATTCGTCTATACGATTGCACAAATGAAAGTGAAAGAAAACTTTTACTGGATTATTTTCGAAATAACTCGTCTAACTTCAGAAACAAGTAATATAAGTATCTGAACCGTCCAGCGAAGTCAGTTATAAACGTAATCTAGTGTAATGGAAATTGTTTCCAATAAATAAGGATTTTCCTGAAATGTACTTATATTTTGGTTACCTACTCTTCTTTTAGTAGCTCGTTGTTCTGTGCCTCATCTTTGAGTTGTCTTTCAAGTGTATCTATATAGACCTAAAACGTAGCAAGATTAAAAAGATTACAGAAAAAAAAGAATTCTACTGTAGGCTAATCAACGTTTTCCTATATGGGGCTAAATTACTGTATAGGCCTAGATCTACATTATATATTGTTTCCAGCTGCTCCAATAATTCATTATTGGTCAGAAGTGTTTCTATAAGCTTAAATCCTAGAGCAACGGAATGTAAACATAAATATCCAGTCAGCTCAGACACGTGGCTTTGATAATTTGACAAGAAGCATTGTAAAGTATGTATATTGAAGAGAAGAATGAAATTTTGGGTTTAACGCTTTTGTTTTATTTTGTTTTGACTTTTACTTTTTTCACATACCTTCATGTGATGTATCGTCTTTTCTAGGGTAGAAACGGTCATTCTGGTATTTTGTATTTCTGCCTCCTGAAATACAAAAGCATGCATACAATCCTTTAATTAACTCTTTGTTTCCTTGAGTAACACCTATTCGTATAGTCATGTATCCATTTGGGGGTCCGCTCATAAGTCCGACGCCTCATAGGTCCGACGCCTGATAAGTCCGACAATATCGCATCCCCTAACCAAATTAAGGCCCAAAAGTCCGACGCCTCATAGCTCCGACGCCTCGTAAGTCCGACAAATTAAACGCCTCGTTTTTCCGACTTCGGACTATGAGGCGTCGGACCTATGAGGCGTCGGACTTATGTTACGGCCCCTCCATTTTGAGTAAATACAAAGGATTAAACCCATACCAAAATGCGCCTTCCGATTATTATTTCCACCAAATCTGGACTCGGCTAATTTCATTTAATTCATTTTGTTTTATGGGGGAGTTCATAATTATGCTGTGGACCTACCAACTGCGACACCCTGCTGTTTGATGCCACCGCAGTGGACTCTGCCCGTTCTGCTGTGTCCTCTCCTCCTTCATGCTCGCCAGGTAGAAGACCGTCTTCACAGCTCCCAACAAACGCCTCCTGCGTTGCATGGTGCGTCAGAGCACGAAGTCGCGAAGGCAAACTTTGGCTACGGTGCAGCGAGTCGTCGTTCCCGTCCCTAGTACTACTAGCAGTAGTAGTAGCCAGTTCGTACTGCCTAACTTCTTGTTGGAGTTCAGACAATGCTGAGGTACTGCGGCTTTTATGGATAGTCAGCACCACGGTGGTTGGTGAGATAATAGAAGCAGTGAACTTGCTGTTCTGTCTGCACGCTGATGATGTACTGAATACCTATCGATAGCGAGAGTGATTCAGCAAGCATAACTGGGTAAATTATCGGGTTCATAATGACCGAATTTTCCCCAGAATTCTCCGGTTTAATGTCAAAAGGACAACCTTACCCTTGTAAACAATGTTTGTGACAAAAAATTGAGTTCGAAATGTATGTGTCCAGTAAGCCTTACTGATGTCTTTTATCAATAAATAGTGAGTCAATATTTTCTTACCGTTTTAGTGTCTGCCATCTTTACGGACCACGCGATCGATCAGACATGCATCAGAATGAACACTGTAGGTTACTATGTGCTTGATACGAGTTTCAAGCTGATGTGCGTGAGTTCGGAAGTAAAACGCAGTTCTATAAATATTTACTAATCAGATTATTTTGCGCGTGGCGTAATCATAGATAAAACGCGCTGTTGTTGCGCGTGACGCAGTTGTTCCAATAATAATGCGCACCCAACATCTGTACGTTTCTAGTTTTGTGCCAAAGGGGCTACAAAATGCGTTTTAGTTGGAAAGATCAAAAGAGCATTGAAAAGTAGAGTATAAATGTCCACACAACCATCCTTGGCCGTCTTTGTGTTATAGAACACACTTTTTCGGGGGGGGGGGCAAAAAAAGTTCCCGAAAAAGTGGGTCCAAAAGTGTTCTGCCCCACAGTAAAAATTATGAAAACCGCGGGGAGGGGTGCAAGTGTATTGCGTTTGTTGAGGTTTATGGGTGGAGTACGCAATGGCTGCCTTTTTGCGACGTTATAAAACCAGCTCGGCTGCTCTCATCACGACTGGCGTCTTGGAAATCATGTAGTAGTAGCACTTTAACTAGGGAACCAACCAGCACGATAATTAAGGCCGGTTATCGTCAGATGCGTGATGATGATGAAAATTGATGGTGATGATTGGCAATTTGTGCAGTCTTCTCTGCTTGCCCGTTAGCCTGTGGGTAATGCAGTCTTGAGGTCAACTTCACCCAAATAATATATATTTGTACTATATGGCCCTTTGTCAGTCACCACCACGTGGAAAACCGTGAAGTTAATTACGGGTCTGACTTGTCGCGTGGATATGATGCAGTCGCACAAGTAGCCTTTCGCCAAGGCCATCGTGGCTTAGAACGGCGAAGTTGCGAAGACCGAACTGAGCGACTGGAGCAAAGATTAAGTCAGCACGCACGAGTGGCAAAGCCACGAGGCCTTTCCCAACTTCGCTCGTACCCCCGCCCTGCAAACAGGGCGCTGGTAAGGGCTGATGAGCTTCACATAATCTTGTGAAGGAAGTAGCGCGCGCTACTGGAAGCTAGTTTGTGTGACGCGTTCAACGTCACAGGTCACGCAAATCTATCCAATGAGAGCTCAAAATGACGTCAGCCCTTACCAGCGTCCTGTTTGCAGGGCGGGGGTACGAGCGAATTTCCCAACTTGATTTTGTTGAATTATTCATAGTTTTTATGCAAATAAGAAGAGTGCTGAAGGTTAACCAATCACAACGCGGATTTTGCCTAGTCGCTTCCATTTTTAAAAGAAGGGTGAGTAAAACGTAAGAGCAAATAACTGTAAGTTCAGATGAAAAATAAGTTCATACACTCAAATAATTTCTTGAAATGCTTTTATATGTAAAATTAAAATAAGATAATGCAAACACAATTACGCGGTCACGATCTCGTGGAAAACTGGACTCGCATTTTTTGTTTTTAAATTGTGTGCAAGCAACCGGGCGCGTCGACGCGTCGGGTAGTAGCCACGCACGCACTATTGGTTGGAATTTTGCTACCCTTTTGGGGTAGCAAAAATCGAGATTATAAAGAAAAACAAGAATTTCTCGACAAGTTAGAAACGGCCCTCGTGGCTTCGCCACTCGCGTGTGTGGTCTCCATCTCCAGTCGCTTCGCTTTTTCGCCGCTTCTAATGCGGGCAAGTTAAGCACGATGGCCTTGATGAAAGGCTACCGCACAAGGGACATCTTCTCTGGCACTGCACATCACAGAACAGCCAAGTCACACTGTCACAGCATGGCGCTATGTTTAATGCGCTATTAAACATAGCGCCATGCTGTCACAGCGATTTGTTGCCATGGTCTCTGTGGTATAGTATAGGGCTCCGGCTCGTTGTTATGGTTGCATATCCACTGGGCTATGTCGGTACTTACCCGGCCAACTTGATAGGCTCAAATGCTGCTTTTTGAGATACCTTAATTGATGATCCTCATTAATAATATCTGCAACGTTAACTTTTGTTGTGAGGTCACAACGGGGCAAAATGACACATCTCAATTACCGGGTCATTTGTACCCGGAAACCCCCTTGCAAAAATGTCGTTTTGATCCAGAAAATGTTATTTTAACCGTGAAAAGTATCGGGTCAAATAATCCAGATATTATGGGTCAAATGACCTGCGGCTTTTAAGAGTCCAAATATTACACTACACCGGAACGATTATAAATTGTAAACAGGTATACATGTAACTATAATACCTCCCATGACGTTTGAACACTACATCTTCAAAATCCAATTCAGAATTCAACACACTGTAAATCAAACACGTACACAATCTTAATACTTTCTGAATAAATATATTTCATGCGCTCAATTGTTTGCCAAACGTTTGCTGTCTACGTACAACGGTGTAACCTTACATAAGGCCAAAAAAAAAAGTCTCCGGTTTCTGGTATGGAGCTTGCCCAAAAAGTGGTGCGGCGACGCGGCTTTTTTTTTTTTTTATCTGTTTTTTTTTGCTTCAAATGTCGGCTCATGACTGCAAATGGTGCCCGACTAAACTTAGTGCAAATATATGGGAGTCCAGAGAGGCCACATAAAGCTTATTCTCGATCATAACCCCATCTAAAAACACGTTAAAATTGTGCAGTAGCAGGATTCCAGTCAAACCAGTGAGTTTGGCGGTTTTGAGACATCATCTTTTATTGAAAAAAAACTTTTTCATTTTGCTGACGCGCATGGCTACGGCGACGCGCGCGCATACCAGAAACCGGAGACTTTTTTTTTTTTGGCCTAACATAAACATATTTCAGTCGTCTGTGATGAGACCCTCGGCTATAGCATTTCTCCATGGCTATAGAGTACATTATCTGGCACTTTTTACTCCACTAATGAGTTCCTCTTAGTCTCAGTTCTTTCGTGTCCTTGTGTGCCCGATTGGTCGTGTGTGGAGCCGTCAGCACTATCGATTGGTGGCAATTTTAGCGCGACACGCAGATGATGGCATAGATCTCCAACCGACAGGAACTTGCGGCGTATTATGTACAGAGACGTATAAGTTCATTATATAGGCTCATCGCATCTATTCACAATGTAGTATCAGACGTGTACATGTATACATGTATATATGGCTATATAAAAAAAAGGCCTTACTCTGTATACATGTACCGGTCGGCTACATTTGCCTTAAAGGTAATGCACGGACACCGTGTTTTTTTGCTGACAATTAACAATACAAGTCCTAAGCAGATTTTAATTTTGTATTAATTTAAAAACTATCAGGATTAAGGTTCATCTCAGTACATGTATATATACTTTTTGAGAAACAGCAAAAATCATAACTTTTTTTCTCGACACCATTTTCGTTGTCAGCACGATGGTTTGGTCCTAACCATCGAGAGGAAATGATGGTAATTCCTCTTTTCTAAAAAAAAAAAAATACACCATACTAGGTGCAATGATTTACAGGTACTTACATGAATAATTGAGTAGGATATATTTCATGACTTGCATGGTGACAGACTAGTTCCATTTTTGAATTTTTGCAAATGGTGTCTATACCTTCAAATGAATTTCAATTGAAATTCATCAACAGTGTACAATGTGGCCCAATTTTTTTTTATACTTTTTCATACGCAGATTTCTTAAAATTGGGGAGACATGTTGAAATTATTTTAAAGACATTCCTGAACAACAAGATCTTGGTGGTATATGGCGAAAACGGTGTTGAAAATAAAGCCTACATGTAGGTTAAGAAATGGCGGCCAGTTACAGATTTTTTTTTCCAAAACCGGTTTGTCCACACGCATACGTACGTGTATGAGATAATGATCAAAACAATAGCACTGCGTACACAAAGAACGTCAATAACAGTGACCATATCTCAATCTCATATACACGTATGGACAAACTGTTTTTGACCATTTTTGTCGGGTAAAAATATTGATTTTTTTTTTCTTGTAGTTTAGGAATATCTTAAAACAATATCAATATGTCTCCCCAATTCTTAGAAATCTACGTCTGAAAATATGTAAACTTTTTTGGGACCACTCTGTTTATGCTAAAGTACAATCTTTAACCTTAAAGCTAAACTCTAACATATACATGTATATCTCAGAAACTTCTCTTTCTTGCTTCATACTGTAAAAGATATATGGCAAAAACATTTCAAATTTATGATTTACGTAAGTGTAAACACATAACTACCACTATATTTCAGAATCCACAAAAAACTATGAACAGGGTTAAAACACGGAATATGGACACACATGAATTTCGAGGAACAAGGAATATATGTAATGTAGTGCATCTGTGTTCACGATAAAACAATTGCTGACTGCTGTAATGTGGACAATATTAACAATTGAGAGGAGCACAGCAGTCAAGAACTGTTTTGTTATAATTCGGTCTTGTGATGGATTTGTCACAATATGACTTCTGGTGAGTACAAATATCATAAATGGTGAAATTTGAGTGCAAAGTGCACATATACGGAAAGTTTTACAACCAAAGCTGACCCAACCTCGCAAAATGAACTTTAATGAGTTATTACTCTTAATATCAAAGATGTACAATGTACTCTACCACCGAAAAATAGATTAATGAAAGAAAACTCTTTTTCAAGCAATTCAAAAGTTCTTCACTTTTGAATGAGACACTGAACAAAAAAAAATCGGCCCAAATTTTTAAAAATTTAATTACATTGTATTACTTTACAGTTTTTGAATTATTTGCAGACTCCCAATAAGTCAGTTCTCGCAGGGTAGACTGTTCCCGCCCAAATCAGAATCAATAATACAGGGAGCCAGTCCACTCAAAGTCTGGAGCTTAGTGCGCAAATGCAATAAAAAGAACCCAAAAATATTCAGGGTTGCACACACAAAAAATAGAACAATATTGCTTTTTCAATTATTAAAATATACAAGTTGAAAAGTTGACAGTACAAAAAAAAGGATGTTTTGTTAAAGAGCACGGACAGTGACATCTTTAGGCCTAGTAAAAAGAACACCAGTTGATCATCCGGGTTTTTTTTTTTCAAAAAGAGGAGGATGAGGAGCTTTTTTTTATTGAAAAATAGGCTAAAATAGCCATATTTAGCTTATACGGTATGTGCCTTAAAAAGGAGGAGGCCCTTTTATTTGTTTTATTGAAAATAGGCTATAGGCCTAAAGCTAGCCTACACTATATGTGCCTTAAAAAGGAGAAGGCCTTTTATATTTGATAGCTCTGGGTAGTTGTCTACTAGTTGATGACCACAAAACCTTCTTAAAGGGAATATACATCATTTGCTTTTGCTGTAATTTTCAGAAATGGATGGAATTGGGGGGTTGGAAATACATGTATATAGCAAATATAGTTACACTGACTTTTTTGAGGTTTTGGGTTAAAAAAATGCTATAAAAACCAAGAAAAACAATCATTTTCCTGTAGTCTGGTTCCCTGACTCCATTTAAGAAGAAACAGAGCAGTTTACATACATTGGGGAATTGTACGGTCAGGGAACCAGTCTAGCTGGCTTGTACCCGTTCATAGGTGTGTAATCGATTGCAAACAAGTGCGATGGTCAATTGGGGCCAGTATTTGAAAAAAGCCAGTTTTTTCCAACGCTGGTCGGCCGATCAGCGTTGGAAATTGATACAAAAATACCACTTTTCTTGAAAATGACAGTATACCAGGTGCCATGATTTTACAGGATGCTTTACACTGTCATTCACTAACAGTCCAGCAAGGTATTTCAAAATGATTTGGTAGTTTTATTTTTTGATGATTGCAAATGTTGTATTTTCCCTTTACAGTGCTTATTGAACGTTAGTAAAGCTATTAGAAGCATCTGAACTTCTGAAAACATCTATACAAAATGTTATGCCTGAAATTTACAAAATTAGAAAAAAAATGATGCAGCCTCAAGTCAGAAAGGAAGCGGGCGGGGGCAATCACCTGCTATTTTTTTTTTTTACTTGGCCTTAACACATGTTGCATATGAAAATCAATACAATAAATATTCGACTACAATGTACATTATTAATGTCCAATATTCATTTCATCACTTTCACATCATCACTTTCGAATTCCAGAGAAACGGTGAAATCTCAATAAGTCAAACTCTTAAAACTCAAAAACCCTTCTAACTCAAAAGTAAAAACTTATTCCCGTCAATTGTTGTTGAATAGAAAATCCATTGGATAACTCAAAACTCTGCTTAACTCGAAATTTGAGCCAATTCTCCTGAGGTTTGATTTATCGAGATTCCACTGTATATCAAAGTGAAGACTCCTTTTCTAACATTTGGTCACAAATGCAAAAAGAGTCAGATCAAGGTAGGCTAATTCTTTATTATCACATTTAATATTTGTTATTATACAACAACTGAATAAATCCCCGTCATCTGATTGGTGGATCGTTGATCACATATTATTGAATCATTCCTCCCAACGCATTTGAATTATTCGTCCCAAAAGAACGAGATAAATTGAATATGATTGTTCTCAACCTGTTGAGCAGTTTGCGTAAATTTAATATGATGAACTTTTTTGTCGAACTTTTAAACAGTTTTTAAAGTGAATAAATTGACTATTAAAAGTCAACCAATCAGATGACAAGGATTTATTCAGGTGTTATGTAAAACAAATAATGAATGTTTCACGTTCGTGCAATGGAAAGAATAATTTCATTCGGTGTTCCATTCCATGTGGCTTCACCTCGTGGAATGGAACATTTCATCTGTCACCTCATGAAATTATTCTTACCACTGCACTCACAAACGTCCATTATTTGTATAATATTATATAAGATTCAGCGTCTACCGGTCTTTTTGGGTGGTGCAGGTCGGCTCTTGATTTGCTTACATTTAGGGATGTGTCTCTCAGCCACAGCGGGATCAAATCTGCGTTGACAATGAGGGCACTGCTTGTAGTCTGAATGCGTAGTTGCGGCCGGGGGAGGGAGATCCCGAGGGTCCCCACCCTTGGCGACGTGATTTTGAAACTCTCTGGCATCTCGAATGGCACGGATAAACTCGTTGTGTTTCTCTCTCCAGTTGGATTTCTTCTTCTGTAGATAAAAAAAAAATCAGTGTAGCTACAGCCAAAAAAAATGATTTCTACAAAGCGTTCAAATACAAAAGAAAAACTAAAACAAGACAACACATAAACTAAAGAAACAACAATCATCTTATGAAAGATTGTGGTTCGAGTTTACAACATTTAAAACAGAAGTGCACCTTTCCATCTCTGGCTAGTGAAACAATGTTGTACAAGTTCAAAATGGTTGAAGTGGTCATAAATTGCCTCAGATCGCACCAAAGAGCATCTAGAATCCAAAAACTTGTCCCATGCCGTATTTTTTTGACCCACTTTTTGGGAATGTTGGGGGACCAAATTTTTTTTTGGCCCCTCCCCCCAGAAATTGTGTTCTGGATCTGCCCTTGGGTGGGCACACAATGATTGTGCAACGTCAGTTTTTGTACAAATAGGCCTACCTTCTCAAGAAATACCCAGAACATTATGAGAAGAAGTGCAAAGAATGAATAACATGTTTGTTACAACTTACAGGTCTTTCATCCTCCTTGTGTTGCCCATGTTCCACATAACCAGCAAGCTCTGTTCCCTCAAGACGATGTTTTCTTGCGTCGAAAACCTTCCTGGGTTTCTTCTTGGCTGTCTTTTGGCAAACTTTGGCGTGCTTTCTGAGTCTGTCTCGGGCGAACTGCCGTCCACAAATAGGACAGCCCTCGAGGTCCAAGTCTACAACTGCATCTTCAGACGTATCAGCAAACTCAGCGTAGTAACTGGCTGTTGATAACTCTGGCATTTCATCATCGTCTTGGATAGAAACAGACGTTGAGTTCTCTTTTGGCTTATTGTGGTTAATGTTGGATTTGCGTTTGCTGCGTTGAACTTTCACAGGTTTAGACACAATGGCTTCACTAGAAGCAACTGAACTTGTTTCATTATATCTTGGGCTTTCATTTGAAAGACCAAACTCCATTTGGTTCGGAGAGAAAGGCTCTTGTTTTGAATACTGAGCAGATTGGTTTGACTTTGTCTTTGACTTGGTTTTAGGTTTTGATTGCCGAGGGGATAAGCTCAGTTCTGCATTTGATTCCTGATCCAGCTTACTCAGCTCCAGCTGCTTCCTGGCAATTTGTTCTTCCAGGTCTGTCATGTATCTCTGGTGTTGCTCCGCTTCATCTAATTCCTTCTTTCTCTGCCGCTGTATAGCTTTCTGTTCTTTCATATCACGGTCAAAAAGATAGTCAGGCTCAAGCTCACGTTTGCTCTCTGACTCCTTGTTATACCTTTCCAACCGGTTTGCCCGTTCGAGGTCTTGTTCCAACTGCCATTTTTGGAAGTCGGACGTTTGTTTGGTACTTCGACTTTGCCTCTTTGTGTTTGGGGACTGGTCTTGTTTCCTTTTGACTTGGGCAGCTTTGGGAAAATATGGGGGAGGTGACTGATCATCTTCATCTTCGTCAGAGTATGTTGCAGGAGGCTTCCATTTTGGCTTGGGAATGTTTCCACTTTTCTTTTTTGACTGAGAATGTGGCTTTCTTTCTTGGGATACATCATAGCCTGTGTTATCTTGATAATCAGAATCGACAATCCTTGGTAAGGGTTCCGATCTTGGTTTAACTTGGTGCCTCAGCTTGTCTGGCTGTTCAATGATCTTCTTACTCTTACTTCTGACAGGTATCTCACTTTCTCCTCTAAGATCTGAAGTTGCTGGCTCCGATTTTGGTTTGATTTGAGCTTTGGAACTCCTCTTCACTTTGTGTGGCACTGCTTTATTCTGGGTTTCAGTTTGGTTACTGGTGGGTTCACTGAACTGTACATGTTTGCGATTATAACCAAATCGTTGAGCTGATGGCTCATTATACAGCATGTCTTGGCTTTGTTGCTGCTGCAAACTGTTCATGCTTTGTGACTGCCCTTTTTTGAGCGGGGCCAAGGGGTTGGAGCGACTCAAACCAGTCCGTTGATGCTGGGACAGTATTCGCTCACTGCTTGCTCGTTTCAAGCGATGCAACTGTGTCTCTTTCTCCTTCTCCATCCTGTCCAGCTCACCTTGGTTTTGCCGCTTCTTCCATTGAAAATGTTCAGTTCTATCCAACGAAGAAGCAGAGTTGGACTGTTCTATCTCATGGCGCTCCCTGAAAAAATCTCGGACAATTCCTCGTTTGTTGGCCGCACCACTTCCAGTTACCCGTCCAAGAGCTGCATCCTGGTTATCCTGGTACATTTGGATCAGCTTGGCTTCTTTCTCATGAAGAAGTTGCTGTTGGTATTGGTTCCGCATCATCAGCAGACGGGAGGGTTCGGGAGCACTATGCCGATGCTGTAATTCTTTCACCTTGTGTCTGTTAATAGGGACTGGGATGTGTGAAGAGGCAGCCCGTCTTGTTGAACCCTTTCTAGGGTTAGAGTATGTGTGCGTATCTGCCATGCTCATTATGAAGTCAGTACAGATGATCACAGTTAGAACCTTTGAACTATTTATCTAAGACAATGAAATGAAAAATAAATAAAATAATTAATCCAAAAAGTCACACATGTCATACATAGGCCTATGTTGTAGGCCTATATACTGTTTCGGTACATTGTACTGTGGTCAAGTCTTTTTTAATTCAAATTTTGAAATAAACAAACACTATGTCATGTCATTGTAATAATGTTATTTGATTGAAATATTATTATTGCTTCATTTGATGTTTTTCACACGAATATGCTTCAGTAATACGTGTGTACACGTTCGCGGTGAATCACGTGCGCTATGCCTATGGCCGAGGCACTGAATTGTCTGAGTTTATTTTTAACAAGTTCGATAAACCTACATTTCACTTACATTGTAGTTACAAAGTTACATTTAAATTTATTTACAACTGCATGCGTTCCACGAGATCACAGCATCATCATATGTTGGTGCATTTTATTTACGAATTTACATACAACTGTGTACACATAGCTATTTGCTTACCACTACCAGCCTCCATCAATTATCAGATAAGAATTTCAGCTGACATGCATAAGTAGGTGTATCTTAGAAACGGTAAATAATCCATGACGCGCAGTACAGTAGACTGGTTCCTGTTACAGCACAAATGCATTTCAAAGGGACGGTGATCAAGGGACCACTTTAAACTACACGACCAGCTGAATTTGCCAGCGCGCGCGCTCTATATATGCCGTACACAAAGTTGTGTGGCCGTTGGTCTTCTCAATATGGCCGCCACTTATGGAAAGCCGTGCTAGACAAAAAAAACGGAAATTGTTTTTGATTATCCACCGACTGGATGAAATGTGGAAAAACACTAGACTTTATCCACATAAATGCCAATATACTGCAAAATAAAGTCATATAATAAAAAAAAACTAGAACGCTAACTCCTCACTCAGTCCCCTTGCGTGCAACTTTCGGATGCGTTCTGCAGACATTTTTTTAAATGTGTATACTCGTAATTCAAAACATAAAGATAGAACGTAATTTCACCGGTGAGCTGTAAATGTCGTTATTATGCGACTATGCGGGAGTACAAAAAAACCCGCAGCTGCATTTTTTTTTATTATGCGCGGATGTACGGAAAAAAATCCTTTGAAGCGGACCATGCACAAATTAATCGTTTATTGCCCCTAGAACGAAATGGAATGAACTCGAACATTGCGCATACAATTTCGGTTTTTAGTGAATGCAGGGGAGTAGCCGTGGGGAGGGGGGTATTTGCCCCCCCCCCCAAAAAAAACTTTGTAAAGACTGCCTTTTCCCATTCAAGTGCCCCGAATATTTTGTAAAGAGTGCCCCTTTTTGTTAACAAGTGCCTTTTTTTTTTAAACAAGTGGCCTAGCTTTTGTGTAAAACAAGTGCCCTTTTTTACCAGCGGCCTTTTACGCAAAACGGAAGGTAGCGCTCATTTGCTTTGTTACATTTAGAACGTAGTGTAGTAAATACGCAGCAACAGGACCGTTTTCAACGTTAAATTGAAAGTATATCGAGACCACAATGACGAATATTTCTGGATTGCACATCATTTGACTAGAGGAAGGAACTCACATTATTTCAATTAGTATCAGACTTATTTTGTTTGTCATCTGACAATAAAGTGTCCTTCGGTAAAATGGCAATTGTGTAAAAGAACGCACGTTTTACGCTACTTTGCGCCAGAAAACCTGCTATAACTTGCGATGCGTTTGTTGTCATTTGGATCAAGTGGCATGTTGGAGTCTAATACTTTCTCATTACATCCATGTAAACTTATGGTGATTGGTCAATTGTAACCCATTGCCCTAGTCAATAGTAGCGTATTTCCACCAAGAAAGTTTCCTACGCAGGGTTTCCTATGCAGGGCTTATGCTGGAAATGATGTTGGAAATAAAGTAAGCACTGGGGACGAGGTTGATACTAGATAGGCTATTCAGAACCACACTTCTTCACAACCACACTTCTTCCCAAGAAAAGATTTCTTTCGACATGGTGTTACCCGCAAACTTTATAATTTCATGTCTCATCCACCATGCAAAGCTTCAAGTCATATATAGGCATAGAAAAGTGACTTGTCACGTGCAAGGGATTAACCAATAATAGGGAAAAGGAGTCCGATTGTCACAGGAGTTGGAATTTTCATATGACACCAGTCATATTGAAAATTGGTAATTTAAGGCACGTAGCAACATCGGTAATTACTAAATGGACCTACCGAGTAGGGAGAAAAACCTTTCATAACATGGAGCTATGTTTAAAATCATACAGCTCCATTCTCAAAGCGAAGATGGCACCAAATACCCTGAGAAATATCTGAAAATGTTATCGTTCGGGAGAAAACAATCATTAATGGTTAAGCACAAAATAGCGTGCCCGCGGCCCGGACACACTCGTTTTACGTGCGTAAGCAACGAAATCCAGTTATATTAGGAGACCCGATGTTTTGTGCCGATTATGTTTTCTTTGTTGTCTCAAATTCTCTGAGTAGCTAATTAATTATACTTACACATGTTCCTCAATGGTTGAGCAATAAAGTCGGTGTTTGTCCTTTGATTGCTGCTTTGTCCTTCAATTCTTGCCGGTTTCAGTGGCGCACCCAAGGGGGGGGGGGGGGGTAGGGGCTTGAGCCCCCCCCCCCGGCCCCCTGAGGTTGTCAATGTTTTTGTTGTTTAATTTTCTTTTTTTAGTCCCATGACGATTTGACCTTGGTGATATATTTGGCCTGTTTTCGAGTAGTTTTAGAGGGGCGTAAGTGGCGCTGTCACGCCCCAACTATCGCATCGGTCCCAACTATAGTTGGGTCTGTCCCAACTATAGTGCGGCAGTTGGGTCGGCCCAACTATAGTTAGGACTGGAGTTGCGCCGGATGCTTCATGCTTGATAGATCTTGTTGGATTAAATGTTCCGTGGCGCTGGCACTGTGTATTCGTCGTGCATGCATGCCGCAAGGCTGACCGGTCACGTGGTACTGCCTAGTTGGATGAGTTGTCCAGCTTCTGGGTTTTATTGTCCAGCAACATTTTGCAAAATTCAAAGATTGCCATGGCCGGCCAACTATAGCCCCACCCATAGCTAATGTCAAAGGTCCCAAGTAAAGTCGGACAGTATGTAACAGAGCTGTAGGGAATGTTTTATAGTCATACATCAATGTAAACTATAGTTGGGACCGCCAAATAAAAATATTGCGGTGGCCCAACTACAGATGGTCCCCACCCATAGATAATTTCATTGGTCCCAAGTAAAGTCAGATGTGTATTAGAGTTGTAGGGAATGTTTTATAATCGTACAACAATGTACACTATAGTTGGGACCGCAAAATAAAAAGATTGGGAGTAGCCCAACTATAGATTCGCCCCATCAATAACTAATTTCAGTGGTCCCCAGTAAAGTCAGACGTGTATCAGAGCTGTAGGGAACGTTTTACAGTTGTACATCTATGTAAACTATAGTTGGGACACCGCAAAATAAAAAGATTGGAGTGGCCCAACTATAGATGGGCTAGCCCAACAGTGGAACTTACAGTTGGGACCGTCCCAACTATAGTTGGGACAGGCCCAACTATAGTTGGGCCAGCCCAACTGTGGAACTACAGTTGGGACAGGCCCAACTATAGTTGGGACAGGCCCAACTATAGTTGGGACCGATGCGATAGTTGGGGCGTGACAGCGCCACCGACGTCAAAATAGTCCGTCCGCCCCCCCCCCCCCAACAAAAAAAAACATTTTTTTGCGGCCAAAAATCTTGGGCAAAATATTTTGGAAAAAAATTAACTTAACAAAAAGTGAAACAAAATTGTGAGTCCCCCCCCCCCCCAATCCTGGGTGCACCACTGCTTGTCTTGCGGTTTTTTTTTTAATTGTTTGTTGTTTGTCCTTTTAGCATTTATTAATTTTTTGCCCTTTTGGCCGCCCATATTTTGTTGCTTCAAACCAAAAAATGAACAAAATACAAATAATGTTTTTAGTTACTGAACGTGCTGCAGATGGGGGACAAAAGGTCAACCAAGATGTTTGAAGAGTGAACCATGATGACGTTGAAAACAGAACCAAGATAGAAACTTGTCCTTTATTTTTTTGAACACCCAGGGCCTTTCAAGATGGCGTTCCAAGAACTTCAGCGTGTATCCTGGATGCGCTATCCAATAAAGATCATAATAGCGCCGCGCGGTGGCGCGCTATATAAATTTATCAACGTCAGCTAGGTAGCTAGCTGTTTGACACGAACATTAACAATATCGATAAACAACTTTTAAAAATTAACAAGAGCTGCAGTTGCCTGCGGTTAACATGGTAAAAGAAGTAACATAACCGGTAATCGGCGGTATTCATTATTCTTGTATTGAGTAAAACTTACGTGGACAGAAAGTAGTATCCAGACACTACTTCGGAAAGATTCCCATAATATCTCATTATCTGGCCATCACTTGTCACCCTGTGCACAAACCTCAATTACTCATCTGTATAATGGGGCGCAGTCTAGTGATTGCCTTTCTGTAGCATGTGCAATACATGCAGTATGCCAATGTTAACAAGTTTTTGAGTGACCAAAATCCCAACCCTGGGACTTGAAAATAATGACTAAATCCCGACATCGGACATTGGGCAGGGTGGGGGGGGGGGGCATTTTATAGGCGCATTAAATTTACCCCGAGAAAAATGTTGCAACCTGACGCTACTTTCGAAACAGAAAAAAGACAATTTTTTTGTTTATCTTGTACTTTCATGTGAGAACTGTAATGTTGATATTGATAAAGTCTTTAAGAGAGGCGAATGTGTGGCCAACTTGGTGAATTTGTACATGTCACGTGTCGGTTGAGGGCTTCAACATGCAGTGACATGTAAAAATTCACTAAGTTGGCCACACATTCGCCTACAAATCTCTCTTAAAGACTTTGTCAACATACATGTATTCCTTACAGTTCTCACATGAAAGTATACTTTCTAAGGTACAAGATAAGCAAAAAATTGTCTTTTTTCTGTATCGAAAGTAGCGTCAGGTTGCAACATTCTTTCCCTTACCCCTAGAACTCTGGGGTCAGCTCTGCACAAGCGCTTGCGCGGAGCCCCAGATTTCTAGGGGTATCCATGGCGGTATTCAATGTCATGAAACGTGGCTTGGAGTTGGAGGACGGGGTTTTAAACACTGGGCTCAATTTGACGGTGCTGCTAAGCGCACAATTTTTTGCTAACACAGCCTTCGCCTTCGCCTATTTCATGGAGACTGTAAGCAGTCAAAAGTACACAAAAGTATGCTTGTGGCGTAACAAAAGAAAACTCCATGCCTGCGTAACAGTTAGCACATCCACGCCATGAAAGAGTGCTTAACAGTTGTTTGTAACAGTAAGCAAAATTTTTCTAGTTTAGGGCCACCCACGTGATGGGCCTTATACTTTCTGACTGTCACTTTCATAATTCAGCAAGATCTCTTCCTTTTGAATCCAGGGATAGTCAAAGCCGCTGAGATCTTTCAGACCACACAATGAGACCACAGCCTCACGATGATACACTTACTGCCACCAGAAGTGAGAGCTTGTCTTCGCTCTGGCGTAGCCGCCCCAAGCATCGCACAGTGCGTGGAGGAGTTGGTGCTGAATGGTGTAGATGCAGAGGCAACGTGTATTGCTGTCAGAGTTGACATTCCTAACTGCAGGATACAGGTTCGCTAAAGACCAATTTTCCCCCCACTTCATCACGAGGGCGTATTCACACAAAAGAGCAAGAACAGGATTTTGCATCTATAAGGGCATCATTTAAAGCTATAGTCCATCATATGCAACTATCCAAAAAGTAACTGACGTAATTATTGTTGACAAACATACTTGGTTGAAAGATAGTAAGGGGACTAAACTCCCTGTGAAATTATTCTCTCTGGCAAGCTGTCATTTTGAAGAAATCAACGAAAGAAGGCCTTTCCAACGGTGCGTCTTAAGACGTGTCTTGGACGCTGAATTCAGGCCCAATTCAAAAACATGATTCAGCAACTTTTGATTTGAAATCAAGATCCTAGAATGCTGTTTATCTCAAAATGTACGGCTGAAGCTGAGCTGAAACTTCATCAGGTTATCTGTTCAGCAACCATCTTTAGCATTTTGAGCACTATTGTTGCTTCAAACGAACAAAATGCACATATTACAAATGATGGACTATACCTTTAAAAATGCGGGTTTCATTATGAGCCAGTTTACACTGTATGCATGCATACCATAGCGGGGAGAAAAAACACACCTCTTGACCCTAGAAATCTGAGTGGTGAAACTCGAAAAAAAAAAGCACATTCAATACGGGGTCTAGGCCTACCTGATGTTCCCCAATACCTATGTTCCCCCAAATCCTTAGGATTATGGTTAGGGTTAGGTTTGGGAACATAGGTATTGGCGAACATAAGTATGCACCCTTCAAGACTCGTTATCTGGGACCCAGTCACAAAATACCTGTGTTGTAGTCGAGTACTTTTATCTGAGTACCAAGTACTGCCAAGTACTGAGCTAAAGCCTATCGAGTACTGCTCCCATCCAAGTACTTTGACCCCCTTGAGAACGAGCACAGGTACCCGAGTCCAAGTAATTGGACCTTTAAGTACAAGTTTTGTGAAGCCGAGTCCGAGTGCTTGGACCTCCGGGGTCCGAAGTACGAGCACTTGCATCTCTGAGTACGAGTACTTGATGAAGTACTCCGATGAAAACAATTAAAATCCAGAGTCATGAGTGGCAACTGAGTGAGGAGATTTTTTAATTCAAAACTAAGTTACTCAATTTTTACCCGAGTTCTTATAATCGATTACATGCAATTGATGATGGAGCACAATATTGAGTCCAAGTACTTAGCTTCTCTGAATTTGAGTCTGAGTATTTTGATATTTGAGTGTGAGTGCAAGTATGTACGAGTACACCAACACTACAAGATTTGTACCATTTAGCCTTGATCCCTTTAAAAGAGTTCAATATTTCGATTTTGCCCTTCACTGACGCATTGTATAAAAAATGTATACTCAGTGTTGTCCCCAAGTGATTGTGAGAAAAAAATCACTCGGGTGGGACTCGAACCCATGACCTGCTGCTTACTGGCGCAGACATCTTACCATTCCACTACCAAGCTTACCGAGGTCAGCTGGCTGGGTCGAATCAGATATAGTGCTCGGTGGCAACGCTGAGCATACAGTGTATATAAAATATGTCGGTGAAGGGCAAAATCCCAGTCTTGAATTTACATCACCCCGACACAAATTCCATCTTATGAATACTTTTAAAAGAGACTGATGTCTTTGCATGTACAGGTTGTCGACAATGGAAGAGGTTTAACCAGAGATGATTTTGAGCTAGTCGGTCATCGTTATGCCACCAGCAAGTGCAGTCAGCTGGCGGACCTAGACAACCTGGATAGCTTTGGCTACAGAGGGGAGGCCCTAGCTAGCATCAGCCACATCTCCAGAGTGCTGGAAATAGTCAGCAGAGCAGAGGGCTCCGATGTCACCTTGACCAAGCTGTTTAAAGACGGCAAATCTGAGGTGTGTTGAAAGTGCTTATGAATCTCAATCTGCACCCAGCCTTTTCCTGGGTCATATCACCTGGATGTTTGGTATTTTTTATCAGGCATGTCAGGAGGCTCCAGAACTCCTGTGCCAGCTGATGCCAAACAGGTATATACATGTACCAGATCCAAGGCTACAGCAGTCTGTCCGACCACACAACCTGGCAGTGGAGGTACCAAGATCGAACCGAGTCAGCCATCAAAGGCCCTTTTTACCATCTACGGCCCGCATATGGAACTCTCTTCCTGCCCACATACCCACTATCAGAAATCTTGCCAGGTTCAGTAGGGTGGTGAATCGCTATCTGGCCTTTATGGATGACAAGCCGTCAGCAGTCTCTATTAGTTTCTTGCTGTTAAGGTCCAGATATGTCTGGTGAAAACAAAACCCACTTGGATTTGGATTTTGACAACTTGTATTTTATAACTTCAAACATTTTTCCCAGATTTGGGCCCCCTGATGAAAAACACAACCCTGCCTCAAGAATTTTCAGTAATATTTGTGTATTTTTTTGTGATTTTTTAAAATCTCAGCTTTAAAGCTGATTTCAGCTTTTTTTGTTTTGGATTTCAGCTTTTTTTTCCCCTCACGTGCTGTGTACAAAAGTATAGGAGATTTCCAAAGTTCAGCTTTGTTACACCTTTTCCAGCTGTTTCCAGCTATTTTTATCCGATATCCTAACCCCTGATCAAGATACATGCGCTACCTAGTCTGTGTGTTTGAGAAATATAATATGGCTTTCAGAGCCCTTTCAAAGGAAAAGTTTGTGGCATACCCATGATTGCAGATTTGAACTATTCATTTGGACTTGATTTAAAAAAAAGAAAGTACACTGACTCAACCGAGAATTTGAAATAAAGAGGCCATCAAACTTTGTCAGTCAACTCACTTTTCTGAATTTAAGAGATTTGGCATGGAAGAACAGGTTTCCAAGTCACTCTGGAAATCAAGGATAACCTTGAAAATGAGTTTCCATTTTCCCAGACAGGGGAAACTCAGGCAATTTTACAGTGACGCAGAAGGGAAAGGTTTTCGCCACTTTGGAAGTATGTGCATCTTGTGCCATTTTTCCAAGTTGTGTCCAATGACTGGCTGGCGATGGTGGTTTTTGAATATTTATGAATATTTACACACATTTCTCCACACAATAACAATTGGCCGTGCTGCACCACCTCTTGACTTCCCAGCAACCTTATTAAAGTGAAAATATTGCTCATGGAATTTTTGTAATTTCTTAGGGAAATTGGGAAAGTTCTAGGAATTTGGTTTTCTTAAAAAATGCCCCCCCCCCTCCCATCAGATATTTTCGGTCAATCAAGTTGAAATTGTAAAGTAATAATTCAATAACTAAACAGTGCCCGATTTTTTTTTGGTCGATGTCTCATTCAAAAGTGAGTATCTTTTGCATTGCTTGAACAAAATAGCAATTTAGAAAAGGAATCTAATTTTCCGGATGAAACTTGAAAATAGCACAGGGAATGCAACTTTAATAATAATAATTAACACTTATATAGCGCCCGGATCCATAATATGCTCTTAGGCGCTGTACACATTTAAAAGATAAAAAATTAATGGCAGATTTATCATTTCTTAACTTGATTTGACTTTCAGGTGTTTGAGATATCAAGGAAGAGGCCAAGCGTGGGAACCACAGTCACAGCTCACAGTGTGTTCTACAATTTGCCCGTCAGGAGAAGGATGGTGTCCGATAGTCTGGACTACGAGAGGGTCTGTCAGCGCCTGGAAGGTCTGGCTCTGATACATCCCCATGTGTCCTTCTCGCTACGGAACGATAGCACGGGAGCCAAGTCAATACAAACATTCAAAACGTCGTCTGTGCTAAACACCTTCCGATTCCTCTTTGGCGACCCCAAGGCCAGATGTCTGAAGGAGGTAACTTACCAGCATGGGAAATTCACTGTGTGTGGGTATATGGGTGTGGAGGGCCACCCTAACAAGGACTTGCAGTTTGTGTATGTCAACAGTCGCTTAGTTCTGCGTACAAAACTGCACAAAGCCCTCAATCATCTTCTGAGAAAGTCCCTAATTGCTCACTGCAGGCCTATGAGTGAGTCTGCGGAGAAGCCTCTGACCGATGTCACTGATAGTCCGTGTAATGCAACTGATCAGTACGGCATCTTTGTGTTGAACATCAAGTGTCCTCGCTCGGAGTACGACGTCTGCCTGGAGCCATCTAAATCTCTGGTGGAGTTCAAAGACTGGCACGGGATACTGAATTGCATCGAGCAACTTGTCCACCAATTTCTGACGAGAGAAAACCTGACGATGAGAATAGACAAGCAAAGGGACCGGAACAGTCCCGGTGACAAGTGTGACGCGGTGCTCGGTGATGACTCCTCCAGTCAAGACCAAGATGCAGATTCTGACACTTGTGAAGCAAGTGAATGGGGTGTTCGCGGATCCCTGTCCCACAAATACGGGAAAGGTATAAGTGCCTCGTCCTGCAGCAATACCTTGAAGTCCCTGACTGTCCGGAGGACGCAGTGCAAACTGACCTGTGAAACGGTCAGTACAAACATTCCCTCCAAAGATAGCTCAAGCTGCGACGGTTGTGAAAACGTGGAGACCTTGGTATCAGAAGTAGAGGAAAAATCAACGAAGCTAGAGATGCCTTACAAAATCAGCACTGAAGCTGATGTAGCCAAGGACAAACTTCCCTCACAAGTGAAAGAAATGTCAGCATGTGATAGTGGCGTTGTTGAACATTCTGAAATAAACGAGCCCTCAGGAAGTGGAGAAATGACAGGCTTTGCCAGACAACATCCTATTTTGCCATCAAGTACTATGACTAATACATGCTTCAAACACTTGGAAAGTAGCACTCGGCTAGATGGTTTGCTCAGTGAAAATAGCGCCGAAGCCAAACAGCCAATTTCCATCAGTGACAATTTTTGTGTCGCAGTGCCCTCGGAACTAAATGTTGAGCCAGTAAAGCTGGCATCAGAGTCTGAAGAAACAGGACACGTGTCTGACTCACAACACTCATCAGAAAGCAAAGACAACTCATCTATGGATCAAGCAGTGCTCTGCATCGGATATGACATACGAGACCCTGCAAGCCAGCTCAGCACTGCAGACCTAAGTAAGGCAAGTTGTAAGACTGGCAGGACGTGTTTACAGTTAGGTAAAGTACATGATGCTCCTTCAGATAAAACTTTCCTCATATCTCATCTTGGAGGGAATGAAATGGTGCACCCAGCATCTGAGTTGAACAAAAAGAATACGCCTCCACAAAATAAAATTAGAAGAGTAGGAGAAAGTAATTCCCAAGAGAATTGCTTAAACTGGAGTAGTCCACTGAGTAATTCAAGCACACCAAGCATAGACCAAGAACAAGATGATAATGAGGAATGCGATAGTCAGTTCATTACACCAAAGACGAAGAAACCAAACAAGTTGGCGGGTGGTAATGGAAGATTCATGCGGCAGCACGGAACAAGTCCTACATCAAGTTCTGATGCTTCAGGTTTAGATTCGGAAAGTGAGACTTGTGTGTCAAACTCATCTCTTTTATTTGGAAAAGATGAAATTGGCCTGTCCTCGGAATCAGCAAGCTCTGTATCTGTTGACGGCGGAAGGAAAGAATCACAGTTATACTTGGAGAAAGCGTGTCATAAGATTGCTGAAGTCGAACCAGCGCAACATTTTATTGCTCTCAAGCCAGCCGTTGCAAACGGAGAACAGAGTGATAACACCGGCACCTCTTCATCAATGTACTCCAAGTACCTAGGGAGGCCTACAAGTTCTTTCCAGACTTTTAAGAAGTCAATTCAAGTAAAAGCTTTCTCCAGTAGGTCAAGTGGACACCGTGTCTCTGATTTGCTTCGCGATGAAGAAGAAATGGACAACTGCGAGTTTGACCCAAAAAGTGTTGGGTCGCAAAATCAGTCTGCACGCTTTACCACTGCTTCTCCAATTCTGCTGAAGAGAAGATTTACTCAAGGATTGCTAATGCGTGAAAAGGATGTGGCAGACACAACTGCTGCTATACATACATGTAGAGTCACGGACCTTGGAGTGGCCTTGAAACGAAATTCAAATTTGGACATTGGGGAGAATTCGGAGACAGCACCGTTGGCTTGTTGTACCAAAAAGCCAAAATGTGACAGTCACACAAGATGTGCCCCTGACAAATTTGAAAGCCCAGTTGTAGTTGAGAGTAAAGGAGCTGTGCACCTGATTCCAAAAGACCAGGCATGTATTGCAACTAGTGAATCAACACATGAGGAGAAGGAAAGGAAAGGTACAAAACACATCAATATTCCCCTGCGACCAAATTTGAAGAGACTGAAGCAAATATCAGTGCCAGCAACTTCGGCCCAAAGTGTTGCAGAACTACCAAAGGGCATAATGAACAACACAGACCAGGAGGGCAGAATTTGTGAACAACAAAAAACACAGGAACCACCGATAAAAAGATTTATGACATCGGATGGTTTCATGTTGCATGCAGATGCTTCAACCAATAAACCAGTATCTGAGAGAAAGGTTTCTACTGATGTTGAGTTGTTTCTACAGGTTGTTCCTAGATGTCTTAGAGATCCTCCAGTCTGGAAGGAGGGGGATAAGCAACTGGCTGAACCTGCTGACGCAGACACCCGTGACTCAAGTCAGATCAAATCCAAAACAAATTCACAAGTAGGGAATATACAGTCGTGCACATCAGCAGACATTGATGAGAAGTCTCATGCAAGTCCTATGCAGGTACAAGAGACAGCGTCTTCACAAGAGAAATTAGTCTTTGAAAGGAGTGATGATCACCAGGAAGTCCAGCAGTCTGAAGATGGTTGGAGAAGTCTTCATGAAGAAAAGAATGTTTTCTTTCCCTTACAGTTGTTTCCATCTTGTGCACAGACACATTCAGGATCAGCGTTAGAGAATATCTCCGACTGTAACTCTTGCCAGGAGATTCCGCTGAACTCTCAGGATACAAGCAGCGAGAGTTTGCTGATGCCTGCCGGATGGTTGGATTCCGACAATCTTGAGGTAGCAGAAGAAGACTTTCTCAATCCAAGACACTCCCTTGCAAGATGTGTGATCCCTCAAAAAGAGTCTGCCATTTCAGAATTTACTGAAACAGGAAGCTACCAATGCCCTATTGATGACAATGTTGAATGGTTGATGACATATGCTGACAAAGCTGCACCAGAATATTTACAATCAGACGATGATACCAGTACTCCAGCTACCATCCTTCGTAAAAATCTTTCAAACCCATGTGACTTTGAAGCAAATTCCACCTGCTGCATCCATGGAAGTGTGCAAGTGCTGAACTATCATGACAAAAATTCTGTTAGTGCCAACGAATGTTCCGAAGTGTACGACACTGAACTTGTTGAAACTCAACAAAGAAGCACGCAAACTCCGTCTGATGGAAAAAACATGAACTTGAATGATCCCAATCAAAACGAAGAACCTTCAGATAAAGATAATGCCACTTCTTGCCCGGCAGTTTTCACAGATACTTTTGGTAAAATGTGGACTAGTCACTTTAATGCCAAGTTGAGGACGGAGGTATATGTCGACTTGACAACTGGTAACTGCAGATTGGAGATGCCTCATACCGAGAGACTTGGGTCCTCCGAAGATGGCATGTCACAAGAGGATGGAACTGATGCTGATAATCACCCATCTGCTCTCATTATTCCTACTGGTGAGTTTGCATGTGAATACTTGATATTACAGTATATTTATATCATTTCAACTTAATCTGCCTGCTGCCATGGGTCCCAGCACACAGACATAAAATATACATGTACAAAGATGTTATTTTCCGGCTATTTTTGTGCCATTTTCAAATTTCCCCTCGAAAAATAGATTTTGTTTTGTTCAATTGCCAATCTGAGCAATATAAAACTTATTCAGTTTTGAACGAAACATCAAATGAAAAAAAAAGCCACCGCCATTTGGTTATTGAATTATTCTTCACAAAATTTGAATAATTGACTGGCTGACAACAGTTCGGCTCTCGCAGGGCGGGTTCATGAGTGCGCAAAATAAAAGCCCATTTTAGAGGGTTATAGATTTCAAAATTCAGAATAAAGTAGTCTTTTCGTTGAAACAAAACATACAAATGTAAATATTGTCAAAAGAAACAAATTAGTTTTCGGAGAGCAAGTACAATTGCAAACATCAAAAGCTAGGTTACCTCTCCTCACTGCATATCCATCTTTACTCAAAAATCCATCCAATTCATGGTCACGCCAGTTGGTAAATTTGACAGGACTGTAAAGTTTGTAAAGTCATTGTCAAGTCATGACCACAGAACCTCTAGAAAACTCTCCTCACGTGGAATTAAAATAATGCATCATACATTCAAGCCAGTGGGTGCCATATTGAGCAAATTGAACTTCTTAATGATTAAGTGTTCTCATTTACATGCCTTTTATTTGACTCATTTTACATTGATCTTACTATCTCTGGCTGTGTCTTGCAGGAAGGAAACGGTCCCACCTACATCGGTCCCATTCACTGTGTGCCCAACCATTCTTGAGTGTGTCAGCAGGCATGTATGGTGTTCCTTCAAGGCCAGCCACATATCACAATCTGTCCCCCTCCTCCCATTCTGCACTCATTGACATGGTAGATGATCACATTGACCAACAAGGAGATGAAATTGCCTCCAAGTGGAGAGGAGATGATCTCAGCAAGCAAACAGGTACTTAACCCTTTGGTCACTGTAGCGCCTGAAACAAGCCTGCCTATTAGTCACTGTAGCACCCGAAACCGCCTTAGCACTCTACCGGTATGTCTTTATTAATTCTTCAGTGAATAAATACAATGTTATACAATATACAATATACATGTACTAAAGGTGCTGATGGATTAAATTGAGATTGTGTTTGTATTGAATATTGCTTGTGCAGCCAAATTCACGAACGCACTCGGTGAGCATCATGATGTTTGAAAGGCCCAAGGATCAACTTCTTTGCCTCTTACATGTAAAACTCAAAAATGTAATAGAAAAATTTGTCCAAGAACTTTCTGAAATTTGAACAGTTTAATGAAATACATATTTTGTATGTCTGAAGGACCTTTACCACTGCTACTTTTGCGGTTTTCCTTGTTGCAGTTATTTTGGTGGCAGTATAGTCATCCAATTTAGGGGTGTCGTCAGACCAATTTACATGGTTGAGGGGGGGGGGGGACAACAAAATTGCCGACACTGAGATCCTTCAAGATGGAAGGTAGCCAAACATTGTTTTGAGTCACTCAGCAGCTGCAAACAATAAATGGGGGGGGGGGGGGGGGGGGTGAAGCCATCTAAATATTGGATCGTTCTCCTGGACGCTATCGAACAATAAGTGGCGCTCTTCATAACGGCAAATTTGCTGACAGATGTGATTTTGCTGACAGGATTAATGGGGGTGTGGCACTTCCAAAACCCACCTCCCCTCCCCAGTAGTGACGTCTGTAATCCACTTCATGGGCTTAGCCAGCGGAAGGGGGGGGGGGGGTATGGCGGGTATTTACCCCCCAATATTTTGTTAAGACTGCCCTTTTCCATTCAAATGCCCTTTTTTTCACCAGCGCTTACCCCCCAATACTTGTAAAGAGTGCCCTTCTTTTGTTGACAAGTCCCCTTTTTTTCTGAACAAGTGCCCTTTTAAAAAAAAGTTGGGGCCTTTTTGTGCCATCGGCCATTACGAGAGCCATTTTTTAAATTTCGCGCATGTATGGCCCTGAAAAGCACCATACATTGATTCATTAATTCTCACAAAATTGATTGATTCTTACATGTAGATACTATATATATCATTCAGTTGCTTCTTAAATTTGGCATTAGCACTCGCTGATTTATAACATCTTTTCTCTTTTTTTGTACAGTTGGTGACAGCTCAACGGATCAACTGTTAGTCAACTGGACAAACCCAATGTTTCCATCACTGGAAGCAGACATCTTGGATGCCAAGTCCTCACACATGCTGCGTAACTGCATCAGAACACAGAACACAGTTAACCCTTGCAAGTTCACCAAAGCGATGTTCCAGAGAATAAAGGTGAATTTTTTCAATGGATAAGATATGAATAACCAGTTTTGAACCTTTCCTTCATATTTTTACTATCAGAGAATAGTACTCGCTTCAAGAATAACTTTGGAGATCAACTTTGGTGAAAAATGAGGCTTCCAGACTCCATATCGTACAGGTGTCGCGCAGTATTAAAAAAAAAAGTTTGTACGTGACGTGACGTACAGGAGATAATGCTCGAGCGCATATAGGGCTCGCAGCTTTCGAAACAATTACGCAGTATGCTCTCAATAGTCAATCAGCATCGTTTTTTGTATTGTACACGGCCAGGGGTTAGTACAGGAACACGCACGCAGTCCATGGAGTCGAGGCTGGCACAGATTATAATATTTCTCGGGCAGTCACTTGTGACCACCCTCTGCACCAAAAAAGTTAAGCTAATACTGATAAGAAGCGAACCTGGTCAGTTTCCTTAAGGCATTATTTGACATGAAGTATTCGTTATGTCTACAGGTGCTTGGTCAAGTGGACAATAAGTTTATTGCTTGCATGGTGAGCAGCGATGAGAACAACAAAGCATCTGAAGCCAACCTGCTGTTGATGATTGATCAGCATGCTGCACATGAAAGAGTACGTCTTGAACAACTAGTATCAGGTAGATATATAACCTTGACATCTTTGTGGTACGGACTCCGTGCACAAGTACCACCTCCATGGTTACATTACCATGAGTATGAGTACTTTGTTTTGAGATTGAGTACGAGTAAAAATATAAGTATCAAAAAATGTATGAGTACGCGAGTACGAGTAAAAGTAAGAGTACTTTCCATGAGTAGTAGCTAACTTCAATGGCTACACATGTTCCCAAGTACCCATGATTCATTTGGGGTTTTTTTTGTTCACAAGCCCGCAGGGTCTTCACTTAAGCATCACTTGTTCAGTTTATAGGCATGTTCAGGCTCAATTACTGACCTTAAAGTGTGCGCTGTGCATGAATGTGCCATTCAACATAAGTGTACAAGAATTTGATGAGACCTGCTCCTACATTACCGAGACAAAGTTGCAGAAGTTGCATTTGATGTCATTCTGTGGTGGAACTTAACATTTGTGAGATTTTGAGGTTTTCTGAATCAGTAACTATAAATTTCCAACCTCCCAAAACATGAATATAATCCATCAAGCAGTTAAGTGTGTGTGTGTTTTTTTTTTGTCGATTTAGTAGGGGAAAAATGTGTGTAATATTTATTCACAAAGCATTTCAGTATGTCTGTGTATCTCATAAGTGGGTCGTCAGGCCTTTATCACTTAATCCTTCTCCCAAGGGTGATAGGGTCACGGTACTTACGAAAATCATATATCATTTTGAAGCTGAAAACCTCAGGAACTTCAAAATACCTAAACCTATATTTGTCCTGGTTATTGTGGGAGCAGGTCACATGTTATCAATGATGCAAGCATCGTGTCTTTGATATCCATTTTCAAGATGTCACTTATGTTCCAACAACTGACGATGAAGATTGTGGAAGTGACACTGCTGAGCAGTCACAGGTGAAATCCTCGTCTGTCGTACCTCCGGTTGCACTCCACTTGACTGACAAGGAGCTGCGCTTGCTTCAGTCCTTCAGCGACAAGTTAGAGAGACTGGGCGTCTCTTACCGCATCGTTGACAACGATGACGAATCTCACGAGACCGGCGGTCGTGTGGAGATCACCAGGCTGCCTTCCTGTCTGGTGGAAAGAGAAGTAGCAGAACTCAGCAGGAGTAGGCAACCTGTTGCAGTATCACTAGTCCAGGTCAGATGGGAACAATGAATTCTCAAGCTTTCCGACAATTGACCTATCGCCGTTTGCGAGTTAGCCACGCCCCTTAGACAACCCTATGGAGTTTTATACGTTAAGTTTTGTTTGTCTCAGATTTTGCGCGTTCCGCGTCCATTTGTATATCATGTAATTGGACAATATTTCACAAGCTGCGTTGACGCGATTCTACCACGATAGATTAATACTGCCAGGGAGAAGATCTTTGTAAAAAACTGTGCCTCTCTTTCCTCCTTTGTTAAATCTTCAAAACTAGACGCGCCGTCAGACACTAGACCTTAATTGTTTCAATTCACGAGCGAATCATAAATCGAAATGTGTGGAATGCATTCACTATATGCGCGTGTAGAAGTACGACACAAAACAGTCGTTTGATTGTGGAGCCGTACCTTGACGTCATCAAAATGGATTTGTAGCAGATGCTACCGACGGCTTTTGTTTTCTGTATCAGTTTTTAGCAGAGCTTTTTTACTTTTTAGCTGAAACTCCCCTTATTTAGTTTTCCATGTTGTGCAGTAGATTTTTTCAAAAATAGTCAAGGTTTGCCACATTAATGCGACTGATTTTTAAGTGAGAATTCTTTGTTTGTAGAGCCATGACATTGGGCCCAGTCAGTCTTGTCCTGGATGCTAATTATAAAACCCAGGGATACCAAGTTTACAAGAAAACTAGAGCCCAGCAAATTGAGCATCTTCCTTGTTTTGTAGGCTTTACTGGAGGAACATCTTCATGAATTGCAGAGAACAGCAGGGGCAAGTGCTGTCCTCCCAAAGACGCTCACAAGGATTCTGAACTCTCAAGCTTGCCACGGTAAGCTCTTCTCAAGTCTAAGCCAAGTTATTGAGCATTTATGACAGTACAAGAAAGTTCCCAGATACTGGATGCCATGGCCAATGGCAAGGCAGCTTTTTTGATAAGGGAATAAATGTGTGCTCCGGAGGTTTTTATCACTCTGTTTAATACCACTTAGAGTCTGGGTGCTGATAATTACCCGAGCCGGAGGCGAGGGTAATTATCAGCACCCAGACTCTAAGTGGTCTTAAACAGAGTGATAAATACCGACGGAGTACATATTTATTCCCATTCATAAATACCTTTTCGGTAAAAAAAAATCATATAATTCGTTCAAAACATCCCGATTTTGTTCAACAAATTCACTTTATGCTTTTTGAAACATCCCTCCTGCAAAATAATGGAGTGTTCAACTGGCGAGTAAGATGAAAACAACCCTTTTATGGAGATTGACGCGCGCGTATCATGTTCTACGCGATGTCGCGCAGAACGCACCTGGCGCGTTGCGTTTTGAATTTTGAACTATAAAATTCTAACTCCCTGGTAGTGTTGCGCATGCCTACGTGAGGATTGTGAACGTTCAACCAATGAAAAGATAGAGGCACTGGATTTTTAGGAGTCCACATTTTATTGTGACACTGGAAAAGTGTTTAAGACCAGCTAGCCATGTCTTTATCATCCGTTTAATACCGGCCACGTGACGGGCTCTCGACCAATAGGAATGCGTAAACTGTCTGAGGTATTTATGAATAATGGATAAAGATACCATTCAATTTCAAATTTTTTTTGTTCAGACAAAAAACCCTTGATCAATTATGTGTAATGCAGTATTCTAACCACTGGAACCGTTTTCGTGTTAATTAGGTAGGTGGTATAAGAGTTAAATAATGTCAGCCGTGGTTGATCGCTTTTGAGCACTACATGTCAGGGTGGCGCAGAAAGAAAACTTCCTCACCACGCAAACAACCAGAATTGACGGTGTTATTTTGTCTACATTGTTCTTGTGGGTACAGACAGCTAGTCTGATAGAGAAAAAAATGACACCACAGCATATCCTTTATTCAAATGAGTGGAAACTCTATGTGACCTATGGGATCCGTGCACAAGTACCCCATCAACGGCCAGAAAATGAAAAGTTGGGGGTAACCTAGACTGGTTCCCGATCCATCCGCTGCGTATTTCGAATGCATCCAAAGTTATTGAAGGCGGGGACTAATCTCGGAGACATCGCAAGTTGAATTCGAACGTATTCGTGCGCCGACGACGCCTGACGCTCACGCGAAGAAGCGGTGGCTATAGCTTTTGCACATTCAGGAAGTCGTGTGTACTTCGCGCGAACCAGCACAATACAGTACGCGCACGCTGTGTGGCCCGTCCACGGAGCTCTCAAAAGAGGTAAAGACGCGCCCTCTTTTGTGAGTCCATAGCTCCTTGCCCCCCCCCCCCCCCCAAATGCGCCACTGCTCTTGGACAATCAAGAGAGAGATCTGTTGGTGAGATACATGTTTGTCACAGTGAAAGATATTTGAATGTCATAAATACTCATCAGTTTTTCTAGTTTTCTTGATCATGAATTATTATTTTTTTGTTGCAGGTGCAATCAAGTTTGGTGACCCACTGAGTCATCGTCAGTGCTTGTCTCTGATTGGCCAGCTTTCTCAATGTCAATTGCCATTCCAGTGTGCCCATGGGAGGCCATCCGTAATACCCCTGTTTGACTTGAAACTTCTGGCGTCCACAGTTTACGATAAGGTAAGTGAATCTACACTAAGTTACACTAAGTAACTAATTATACATGTTCAGGATTAATAAGTCATTGATATATCAATTGTAGGTTTTGCCCTTCACCGACGTATAAACACTGTATACTCAGTGTGTTAACTCCCGAGCGAAAGTTGGAAAAATCACTCGGGTGGGACTCGAACCCATGACCTCCTGCTTTCTAGTGCAGATGTCTTACCACTCATTGATATATATCGATAACTGTGCTGTGTAAATGCTTAAACACTGCATTATAATACACAAAATTGATAAGTGTGTATTGCAATGTATACGCCTTTTGTAATTTTTCTGCTCAGATTGGTAGAACTCATACATATTGTAGAATAATACTCTCCATTGGTGTATTTTGTTTATATGTTTTTTAATGTTTTATAGGTTGATGAACACAAACCTAGATTATGGCATCTACATGGTAAGCTGGAAAAGATGAAGAAAGGCTCATAGATTCATTCGCGATTGCTGAAGGCTGCTATGATGTATGCAGATGGGATGTGCTTTTGGGTTTCTGTCAAGGAAGGGTTGTTTGATTGGATAAATATGATTTTTGAATGAGGTTTTTCATGAACACGAACAATCCAATCGATAATTTTACAAATTGCATTTGTTGGGGGGGGGGGGGGCGTTCCCCCATGTCGTGCCCCCCCCCCCCCCCCCCCCCCCCCGGGGTGTTAATGAAGCATGCACTGTTCATACACCAGAAAACCTGAGTGTTACATGATGTCATAATGTATGTGTACTTGCATTCCCATAACACCTTTTGATAACATGTTAACTGGTTAATGTTGCACTAACTTGCCCTTTGATTATGAAATAATTCTGTAAAATAGAAACGTTTGTGTTCAGTTAAAATCATATATATACATCTTACCTACTAAAGAATATTTTACGATCTTACCATACTTTTTCAGATTGTAAACAGTCCTTTGGTGTTATGTTGTGCATGTTTCTTGGAATACACGGGGTAAACAATCAATAACATTTGTTTTATATTGAATTATTAGAAAAGTGGGTACATGTATCATCAAAAAGTGGTTCAATTTCCCCCATTTCTACCTTGAATAGATCTGTCAAATTTCTTAATGAAAAAATAAACTGATACATTTTGCTTATGAGTTGAGTTATCGAATGATTTCTGTGCTTCCACTTCATGAATAATTCTTAAGAACTGAAGATAAGAAACAGACTGAGCAATGAGCCATAGGACTCATATAATATATATACAATTGGAAGCATCAGGTTTTTTAAATGTAATTGAATGTGGTCTTCTCACAAATGAGGTTTACAACATCAATATAATTGGGGTCTGTATTCCCAGTAGCCCCATATTTACTGTCTTAATTTCTCCAGTCCACGACGTAATCCATTGGAAAGTTCTGCAGAATCCAGAAAAAAAACGTATCTCAATTCTTTAAAAAAATCCAACATTATTAACCATTACCAATGGTACTAAATTGTATTTGTGTTTATTCACTGATGAGTCCGTTAAACCATAGAGTGCTACAGGGAACAGACATGGAAAGGGGGGGGGGGGGAGCTACCAGAGTTAAGCTTATACTAGTGTTCTCATGGTATCGCCCCGCCCGTCATTGATGGCATCTACATTGCTGTACTCCTTGACAAATCCTTCATGTACACATGTACACTGCATGCTGGGTCTAATGTTGACCAAGGTATTCAAGCTTACTGTTATGTGTACCAGATTTAGCATGATACAGTTGTGATACAGGGACCCACTCATGACAATGGGAATGCCGTCGGTATTTGCAGTACTTGTGCAGGATAGTGACAGATTGTTTTTAGCACCACATGAATTTTCAGTACTTGCTTTTATTCTATTCATCCCATTGTGATTTTACTGAGCATTGATATGTATATATTTTGTACATAATACATATATGTTAAGGTTATAAAAATTGAAATAAATATATAATTTCCATGCCAATTTCAAAAGTTGCCAGTTCAAAAGTCATTTGTGAGAGATTTTTTGTTGTATCCAAGCCATGTTCATGATATACAATTTCCACCCCCCCCAAAAAAAACCCCCAAAACCAAATAGGGTCTTTAAAGTTTTTGGATGGAATTGCAAAACAAGCTGTTTAAAAAAAAAATCTTTATTTTAATTCTCAGTGGTTCATTTTTCTTAAGCCTTTAAATTCCTGATATGTGCCATGCATCGTGGCATGAAATAACAAAATGTGTCCATCTCAGAAAACTACACTTTAAACCTTGTCATGTGTAAGTTTGCTTGAGTAAATGCACAACATAAATTTTTAAAATAAAACAATATTTCTCATCTAATAAATGACACACAAAAATGATAACAAACAAAAATGATAACTGAACACATTGTTCATGTAATACCTCCAGTTATATGAATTTTATTTTTCTATTGTTTCACACATTTTGAATCTATGCATCACCAAAACTATAATTTTTTGTACAAAGGATTTGGAAAAAAATGGTGGTTGACAAGGCAGCACAAGCCCCCTCAGATAGGGTAACTGTGTGAATATCTTAGGCAATCAATTCACGTGAGCAGAGAGCCACTGTTGAACGTCTGATGTATCTTGGCATGTAAATTTTACCCGACCTCGCGCGAGAGGCAATCATAGTGGTCTTTAGAGACTGTGACGTCAATTTGATCAGAATTGTGGACTAAGCTGTGGATTGGTAAAATTGGATGCCATGTTTTTGTAATACAACAACAGATTACGGAAGACCCGATAAAAGGCGCCCGCTGGATGGTCAGAATTTCAAGGTCAAGACGCAGTCTTGTTTTGCATAATTAATCGCCGAATTTGCTCGCATATCATAGACCCTTGCTGTGCATGGGGATATTCCATAGACTATATTTTGTCTGCGTTCTGATGCAATTCCCGATGGGAACAACACATTTATACCATATTAATGCAATTGAATAAATCAAATTAAGAAACTCGTTCATTTTCAACATTTGATTCTTATTGCCATCGAGTAAATGAGTTTGAATGCCTGGACATAAACACTAATAATCTAATGAATACCATCAGCGAACTTTACCAGTCCTTGGTAGTAACTAGTAAAGTAACACCACAATGGGTGCGTTTGTACACAGGCACACATGATCACACAACCCTCCAGTTGCTATTGATGTACATGTACTACTTTTCAGAACAACTCGGTCAGGAAGGTCTTCCTTGGAGACTAGTGCATGGTAACGCACTATAACTTGCAAATACCATGTGACACTTTCTCGGCCAATCAAGAGACAGAATCTATAGGTGAGGCGCTATGTGAAATTGCACATAATCTGAATTCAAACATTTCTACTTTTTTTTTTTTTTTTAATTGCAATAGATGACTTTTAACACACTTCAATTACTTCCCACACTTACATAATTTAGTCATAACCCATGATTCTCATACACTTCAATAACATGCAAACATTCCAGAAAGAGCTACATTTTGTAATGTCTACACCAAAAAAAAAAACTGGAAGATGGTAAGGATGTTAATATGAAAGGTCACTCTTTTTCTAAATTTTGTTTATATTCACAAAATTAAACAAAACAATTCAAATAAGTTGAACTGTCTGCCTTCTTCTTGTGAGTTAGTACGTGAAAACATCAAAGATAAATAGTGTTCTTTCACATTTTTCCATTCATCATTGGAACTGGTAATTTTCCCGCATTTTTAGCATGACCAGGTACATGTTGATGTCTCCAGCAATACCACAATAAAGAATTTGTTTTATGGACTTCATATATTGCTTTTATTTGTTATGCTTAAAGCCAATAACTGAACAAACCCAAATACCTATATGCATACTTTCGATCAAGTTTTAACCAAATTGTATAAGAATCACAAACAAGCAATATATACGCGAGACAAACGGATGTTTTCCTTTTCCAAGATTTTCCTATAGACTTTGGATAAAATATCTTCCACGCTTTACTAATCATTGTCCTACTGCAATAATAAAAACATTGACAGACTCATGCATATAAATGTTTATGTACACTTGGGCATGCGAGTGTCAACAAATGTGTCAGTGCAGATGCCCATACGTGTATTACATTTTATCAAAGACTGAAGCATGCGACTGTTTAATTAAAATGCATAGGGTGTCAAAACAGAAAAATCCTGTCTTTACGAAATTTGTCATATTGTACTTTCTAAAGACTCGAACAACTATATATAAAAATACCACGCTATAACAAGCAATTGTCTGTTCTGATATAGTCCAGGGGTTTTGTTTGCCCCCGAGTGTAAATGGAACCATCAGCAGGTGCCATTTGCACTCCTCAAGCGTACAAAACGCCATGGACTAACATCACAGGAGACAACTGTATATATTCCCGTACCAAGTCCATAACACTAACTACGATTCATGATACCAAGTACTTATAGGTACGTTATTCCTTACGAATCCATATTGTAGCATGAGCGACAGACCACTGATTCTTACGAGCCGTTTCTCGGATAAAGAACTGCATGTTTTTCTCTGCTATCAGATCAAAGTCAGGACCCAGGACTTTCTTGAGCGTGTCAAAGGTCGTGACCGGCTGTCCATTCTTGTCCTTGTATCCACCAAGCCAATTGCTCTTGAAGGAAAAAACAAACAAAATTCTGTCAGTAAGTTAATAACATAGTAAGATTCCTTTCCTACATTAGGGGCGGGGCTTAATGAATGGGACTATTAACTCCCTCCCCCTCCCGGCTGGCAATTGCAACAAGGCCAGCCCAGTAGTAAAAATAAATCAAGTGATTGTTTTTAACAGTTGAGCGCTCCCTGCCTTCATAAAGCAAGATTGACTGGCTGTGATTGTTATGAAACCTGATAAAGCTATGCTTTGACTGGGGGATTGATAAGCCAGCTGTGCCTACCAGTCACCTGCTTTTGTCTGTTGATGGCATTTCATTGTCACAGTGACTACAAGAAATATGATCCGACTGTTGGTGACTACATTTGTAGCTTGTGTAAAAGGCATGGCAGGGGAACAGGATTTAATTTTTGACTGTCTGTGACTGATCAAACAAAAGGAGGGTTTTTTAATGTCATATACGTAGTTGCCTCACACTTTTTGGCAACGTGCTAAGGTCATAATGCTGTGACTTTTATATCATCATCTTCCAATACTGTGCAGATTATTCACACATTGACCCATACCATTTCGCTGTTGTAATTTTTGTGGAAATATAGACAATAGCCAATAGTCAAGGTTTTTATTTAATCATTAAAACAAACTGAAACTTCCAAAATGTGTTATCTTTTATCTACTCCGTTGTTTTTAAAGGGAATATACAACATTTGCCTTTGTTGTAATTTTCAGAAATGGAAGGATTTGAGACGGGGGGGGGGGGGGGGGGCAGTATTATACAGCAATATTGTTACACTGACTTGTTTGAGATTTTGTGTTCGTAGATATGCTGGAAAAACCAAGAAAAACAATCATGTTCCTGTAGTCAGGTTCCCTTACCCCACTTAAGACGAAACGCAGCAATTTATCGACGTCAGGGAATTGTAAGGTCGGGGAACCAGTCTAGCTGGCTTGTACCCATTCATAGGTGCGTAATCGATTGCAAACAAAATGCGGACTAACTAAATATGGTAAATGGGGCCAGTATTTGAAAAAAGCCAGTTGTTTCCAACGCTGGTCGGCCAAACAGCGTTGGAAATTGATACAAAAATACCACTTTTCTTGAAAATAATAGCACACCAGGTGCCATGATTTTGCAGGATGCTTTTTGATGTTTGCAAATGTTGTATATTCCCTTTAAGTAATCACAAAGCTTAGGCCAAAAAAAATAAATAATCGGTCTCTGGTCAGACCGAAGTTCCGGAATTGATGCGGCGACGCGGGTTTTTTCTTCTTTTTTTGGAGGTTTTTTTTTTCCAAGCTTGAATTGTACAGACAAGGTGGGTACTATTTTGCTTTTTTGTGTCCTCATTATACTTTGGTGTTCTCCATAATTTGCCTTGGTGCCCTTTATCATGTGCCTTGGTGCAATTTCCCCATTCCTTGGTGCTCCTTGGTACCAAAATTTGAGGAGGTGCGACAATAGAGGGCACTGTTGTAGCTTCCGTGTTAATTTGAAGAAGAAAAAAAAGGTTGACGCGCATGATTAAAATCGACGCGCTCGCTGACCTGAGAGACCGAGGTATTTTTTTTTTTGGCCTTACATGTACTTACTTTTGGGGTGAACTGCGCTAGCCAAGTACAGGGTGTTGTCAGCATGAGAATACCACCGGGTGCCACAAGGTTGGGCAGACGATTCAGAAAGTCGTAGGGGTTTTGTAACCGACAGGTGAGATTAGCTGCAACAACACAACCAAACTGGCCAAGGTCCAATGGTAGACTGCAGGCATCCCCTTGCTGAAACTGAACTCTGCTGCAATCCTAGTTGGAGAGAGAAACAGTGACACAGTCAAAAAATCACAGTCTGATGCTATTTTCAATCAATCTTTTGAAAATAATTGCCATCCTTTTATTTTTGAGGTTAGTTTGAAAACTTACATGTACATCCAGACATTGCTCTTTGAAAGATACACGTATTTCAATATCCTACAAATGCTGTGCAATGTAAAGGTTCTCCAGTTACTTTCACTGGAGTGTGCAGTCCATATGAGATATTGTCTTTGAGAAAAATACTAAAGTGTTTTGTAGGAACTGGAAGAGCAAGGGAGCTCAATACTCAAAACTTGATTTAAAAAAATGAACCATGCCAAACAAATGAAAACTGTAAACTAGTAGTGGGAGAAAAATCAGAGATTTCAAAATCTTTATCCTAATTATTTTCAAACCGAATAACGGTTATATGTGTCTGATTTCACAGGAAGTTCCCATCCAGCTCACAGTCACGCCAATAAACGGTGAGGAGTGAGGTACCACAAAAATAACCCCAACTGGGTATACATGTACTTTAACCTAACTCCCTAGGCCTTTTTGCTAGGATGTAGCCTCAATCCTGCAAAATCCTCCAATTGGAATCATGTAAAAATAGAAAACAGCCTCAATCCTGCAAATTCCGCCATTATTTCTTGAATATGGTCTGTGGAGGGGTGACCACTGCCTGAATCCTGTGGCAGTGACTGTCAATATGTTGAGGCTTGGCCAGTGACACCCTGGAGCAGTACGGAGGATTTCAAGCATAATCCAGGCCTATATTTATGGATGGCTGAGCAAAAACAACACAAGGTCCGGCCAAAGACCTTGATAAAATGCATCCTACGAAATCAGTAACACACTTTTGCCATGTAACCTCAATCCTCCAAATTCCTCCACTTTGGCAAAATGGATTTTGAAGGATTCAGGGCGGTTAGGGATTATAGGATTCAATGACTACTGGGCCTTTACAAAAACACTCAAGAGCTAATGTTGAAAAAAACATGGATGGAAACTCTCTGCTAAGTCCAATGAGCAGGCTTTTCATATACCAAAAGACCACTAGCAAGCGAATGCAATTACAATTGGCAACCATTGGGGGATGTTTCAGTTGTTTTCTTTAGCCTGTGTCACAAAAAAAGAAGGCTAAATTTTGTTTAAGGTTGGATTTGAATATCCGGTTTCCAAATTCAAAACCGAATAGTGGAATTCAAACATTTTTTTAAAATCCGCATTTAAATCCAATCACTACTGCAAACAGTTTACAAACATTCACAGAGCTAAAATAACATCAAATCGACAGACTCATCTTCATAAACTGGATTACATACAATCGCAGGATCCACAACTGCCTTGAGTTGAGTCGATAAATCTCCTTCATCTTGAACAGAATAATCCAAGGAACCCTGGTCTCTCAACGCACAGCAGGTATCCACAAACGCTTGGCTGTAGTCTATTCCTATGACCTGCTCAAAGTCGCGAGCAAGTTCAAATGCTGTTCTTCCCACTGCACATCCTATATCCAAAGCTCTCTTCGGCACTTTTGTCTACGAAAAAGGACAAAATAATGAAAAGGAGAAAAGGAAATACTCTTGAAAAAGACATACAAGTATAGATACTTCCAGAATGGCAGTGCAATGTACATACTATTATTACGCCAATTAGGCCTAACAGCATTAGCATCGTTCTGCTCACCATGTATGATGTACAGACATGGAATCAATGGCATAGGCCTATGTACAAGTACAAATGCGTAGTTTGACATGCCCATGCAAATAGAATGAACTCCCGATGTTATAAATGCACACCTACACCATATCCGACCCCAAAAAAAGTATAAATACAAGGGGGAAACGTCGGGAATTTAAAGTAGATCAATGGCTGAAGGAATCCTGCAGAATCAGCTGGATTGTGCTAGGACTATGCAATTACCAATGCCCAACCTCTACCCAGGGATAATGGGGGGGGGGGGGGACCTTTCCCTAGTGACGTTGCATTGCAACAGTATAATAATTTAAGTACGGCCCAAGAATCAGTAACAAGGATGCAGCTAGACTCGCCAAGTGCAGCCATGGCTCGGCATCGACAAGACCGTTCTCTTGTTGCACATTCTTAAGAATGTGCGCTCAATCTGGAAGATTTTTTTCCAAAGATTGCGCAAGGATCCAGTTGCGCAATCATAACTTATGATTGTGCAAATCACAAGAAAGCGCACAACAGTGTAAGGTTGCAGCATTTTTTCCTTTCAAAGTATTTTCAAACAAAATTTCAAAGTATTTTCTAACAAAAATTGGAAATATTTCTCCGTCTCAGATTCATGTCTTTTCAACATTTTTGCAATGACTGAATGGCTTCATTAAGATAGACCTATGTGATGAAAACAGTCGCATCAATTTGCAACATTCTTTCCAGATCCCCCATACATGTACGTCAAATGATGACCACCCCCCCCCCTACACCCCCCCACCCCTTTTTGCAGTGGCCGATTGCATGCTGCCAGGATCAAGGCAAGGTAAGCTGTGCATGCTGTATGCATGGGCCCTATTCTTGCAGGCGGCCTGATACTAGTACTAGGCGAACTCTCATGATGTTATTTCTCCTTTCGATGAAATTTGCCACTTCCTTCTTTTCATTATTCTTGGAGTGTAAGAGTTGCATCATGTTTATGTTTATGTACCTTGTTCACTTGACCCCTGTACACCTCCAGACACTCATCTGCGACCCTCCGAGCAAAATCCAGCGAACTTGTTGGACCGAAGTCATACCGTAAAACTTCGCTTGGTGTCCCGTAATGAAACACCAAGTACTCGTTCACGAGTTTAGCGGTCTCGTAAACGTTATCCTTAGCTTTTCTTTCACGATCTATAGTAAGTAATTTGTACGTAGAGTACACGGCAACTCCTGATGTTGCTAAAAGAGCAGTAGCCGCAATTGTTGGCAGGTATTCCGTGGCCTGAGACAGCATTTCAATTTTTTTTTAATGCCAATGCAAAGCTAGCCGATAAAAGTAAAACTGAGCAGCGATTCTTGTCTACCGGTCCGTTCGTTGCCTGTACTGTACACGTACACGTGTTATGTGTGTAGCTGTACAGTACTGTACGTGTAGCTCTAGCAAAAGGCCGGCTGATCTGTAGTCTTGGTATGTTTGTTACGCAATCGTCTGCCGCAAGAGGGCGTTATCAAGATGCAAACTTGATCGCCACTTCGCACGTACGCACGTATTATTGTCTGACTCTGCGGGCAGCCAATAATTCGAATCGTGTAAAGAAAACAAATCAATAACCAAAACGTCCGCATGTCCGCCTCGCCGAGGTTTCATTCAAAAGTGACAAACTTTTATCTTGCTAGGAAAAAAGCAATTGAAAACCTTTTTTTTCTCAAAAAAACTAGAAACGACGGGGAATAAATCTTTAATCGCACAAACACGGACACTAAAAGAAAGCCAGGGAATAAATGAAATAAATGTGGTCGATTTAATGTCCACATAAATTTGGCCCTTTCTAATTCTGACAAGCGCAGTCCGTCTATTTGACGCTGCAATATTTGACGCCCTTTTTTTGTTAACGTACAGGTAAAATAAGGGAATGTGTGTGCTTGGCCGGTTTTAAACACTGTGTTTAAGACCGGTTGGAGTCTGGATGCTAATAATCACCCGAGTCGAAGGGTGCAACCCCTGTTCAGCTGCTGACTAATCATAAAATTATAATAAATAATGGAATGGAATGCACGGTTCCTCAGTTTATTCTCAAATTGCGTTACAATGCAGGGAAAGCATCGTATACATATTCAAAATTTCCCGGGGGCATGACTCAGCACCCCCTCGCCTTCTCTCACCCCCGGCCCCATTCATAATCATCAACACCTCACCCCGGCCTTTCCTGAAAGCTAGATCCGCCCTGCCTGTGTTGTATCAAATAAAATGCAAACAAAATACAACGGAATACCAGACGGAATGTGTTATAACCAACATAATGTGTAATGGTTTGAAAGATACACCTTTCCACTTTAAAATGAGACACAAACGTCCAAATCTGATAATTGTTGACAGAGTTATGAGTAATTTTCCAACTGGACCAAGGGCCAAGTTTTCAATTTTAGGCATTGGGACAAAGGTAGCCTAATCGCCTCTGTGTGGATAATTGCCTGGCCGACAAAAAATATGTTTAGCGAGTATTTACAATTCTAAACACTTTCTTGCTATCAGTTTGTAAACATGTTTACATGCTAAACATTATTAGCATGAAGACGGATAGTGTTTAGCCATTGAAAATTGATGTTTAGGAATTGGACACATGCGTTAAGCTGGTAAACATGTTTACAAACTGATAGCAAGAAAAGGTTACTTGCTAACAAAATTGAAAACTCAAGTTGGTCCCATGGTCAATTTGACCTCTCTTGGAAAATTACTCATAACTCTCTCAAAAGTTATCAGAATTTGACGTTTGAAGTCTCATTTTAAAGTGGAAAGGTGTATCTTTCTAACCCTACCTATATTATCTATGTTGGTTACACATTCTACGTCTGGCATTCCGTTATGTTTTGTTTGCATTTTTTTTTTGATACACACTTGTATATCTTCAAACGATCCCCGCGAGCGAACCTTTATGGCGGGTGTTCGCGTATAAACCACTGTACATGACAGGATATAAAACGTCTTGAACCAAGACTATGCACCTTCTTGCTGCATGATTACATTAGGTAGACTTATGTATCTCACATTTTTTCTGACTAATCAGCCAGTGAAATTCATGAAATACACATTTGACAATGCAGTATTAATTTGAATCGAGAAACACCAATTTTTGTGTTAACAACTCTTAATCTTAAGTTACGGGAAATGATTGAAAGAGGCTTATTTGTCTTCCCAGGATGCACCATTCAAAATGGCTTCCAATGATGTGGAAGTGGAAGATTACTTGGAACAGTGAACGAGATTTCCCGTCTTAATTTTGACTTTTTGTCGTGAGAGGAGCACGTTTTGGCCAATTTCTGATTATGGATACACAGAAAACAAATCCCTTGTATAGCTCACCGTACGGAGGTGTTCCTACATTTTCGAGTGGAGCGTTACCAACAACTTTTTCACCTAGCGGAATGGCAGCTTCTGCTGCGCCAACTGCGCCAACGATATCAACTTCCACAGCGGCCGCATCAACTTCGCAGACGTGGCAGAATGATTTTGAGTTTGTGTCAGATGATGACCTTACCTCAGCTTCAGAAGCGCCCAGTAGGTCATATTAGCTTATGTAACTGTACATGTTATGTCTTTATTCGCCAAGGTGATTCTAAATGAAACAGGATCTTACTTTTTAGGCGGGATGCATGGGGCTGGGGGCGGGGTCAGTAATGGGAGAGGGGGTAGGGCATTATTTTATTTCCTCTTGTGTCTTGACTGAGTAATAATGTTTTTCCGACTTTTTCAAGGGAAAGTAAATTCTTGTGTGTTAAAATACATCTCCCATCATGCCCATCGGCCATCATAAATCTCAAGTTCATTCATGTTATTTGGCCCTGCCTTAAGTTTTAATACTTTACAAACTAGGCCTTTTAAAGGGAATATACAACATTTGCAAACATCGAAAAATAAAACTACAAAGTTTTTGCGAAATACCTTAATAGGATGTTGGTAAATGACAGTCTAAAACATCCTGTAAAATTATGGCACCTGGTATACTGTTATTTCAAGAAAATTGGTATTTTTGTATCAATTTCCAACGCTGATCGGCCGATCAGCGTTGGAAACAACTGGCTTTTTTTCAAATACTGGCCCCAATTGACCATTGCACTTGTTTGCAATCGATTACAAACCTATGAACGGGTACGAGCCAGCTAGACTGGTTCCCTGACCTTACAATTCCCCAATGTATGTAAACTGCTCTGTTTCTTCTTATATGGAGTCAGGGAACCAGACTACAGGAAAATGATCGTTTTTCTACGTTTTTATAGCATTTTCGAACCCAAAACCTCCAAAAAGTCAGTGTAACTATATTTGCTTTATATTTCCAACCCCCCAATTCCATCCATTTCTGAAAATTACAGCAAAAGCAAATGATGTATATTCTCTTTAAGCAGTAAGCTTAAATTAAACATGCTAAATTTAACAAGTGAATGGTAAAATGGTAGTTTGACAACATTTTCCAGTTGTAATTTTTAAAGATAGTGGATTTTTTGCCGGAGGTAATGACGGCAAACTAACGTTTACTAAAGGTTTGCCGGCGGCAATCCATATCAACAGAGGGTGCTGTACTCTTTTAAGATAAGCCTGAATTTATAAGATGTATTAAATTCCCACTAAAAGTTATGTAGCACGTTTGGTGTAGTGGTTAAGCAAAAGCTCTAATGAGCGGGATGACTCGGGTTCGATCCCGATCCCCGCCACATTTTAAAGTTTTTTTTCCCCATCCCCAAATAAATAAGAATATTCTTCTTTTATTATTTTAATAACGTGTCTCAAACATTTTATTGCAGAGTATTACATTTTCTTTTTCAGATTTGTGGCTCTGGAGGATTTTTTTTAAAAGGGAAATAAAGTCCGAAATTATAAAATGGTCTGAATCCCATCTTGTGAATACGAGGTTACAACGATAATATTGGCATGGAGCCAGACTAAAATTTGTCACCGGAAAATGTTTTTAAGTACAAAAAAACAGTAACTGCGCATGTTCAGTGCATATCCGGCAAACTAACGTTTACTAAAGGTTTGCCGTCTCCGGCAAAATATCCACTGCCATTTTTAAATGCATTGTGATCCCTTTAAACTGTGCCAAGATTTAAACATTTACATTGTATATGCCGTGGCCATCGTTACTTTCAACTGCTATCGTTACGGCACTGTCTGGTTCCCTGACGTAATAGTATTCAACGTCACAATCTTTTGCTGTTGAACCAGACTTTCGGACTTTACTTCCCTTTTAAGAAAAATCCTCCAAAGCAATACCATTGATTTCAAAGGGAAGAAAATGATATCTGCTTAAATAAAAGAACAACTTGATTAAAAACCTAAAACTTAAAAATCTATTAAAAAATTAAATAATAATAATTGAGTTGAGTATAGCGCAGCAGGGGTTCAAACCAGGGTCCCCAGCTCATTGAGCTAACGACGTAACGTACCAATCGAGCTACTGAAGCTACTGAAGCATTCTAGTTGGATGGGCAGTTGTATTAAAATTCGCATTGTGTTTTTACAATGTCGTAACAATAGTATTTGAAAATTGCGTTACGGCTGTCGTAACAATAGCCACTACGTTTATTTTATGAGTAGGCCTATAATTAATTTGTCAACACTTCGGCACAATTGCAGAATACCCCACCACTCGATCTATCCACCTCGTAGCCGGCTACGAGGTCACGGTTGGTTGACCTCAATAAACATTCTCAGCGCTACTTGTATGTACTATGTGTCATGCTCCATTGCACTCCCACTTCGTAACCGTGTAGCCGCAAACAGGGTAGTTGGTTTGGACTTAGAATTTTTCAGCAACTCCCATTCCTTTGTGTTGCTTCGTTCTCAAGCATATTCAAGGGGACTCCCACTCCGTATCCACGTAGCTGCCAACAGGGTGGTTGGTTTGGACTTAGAATTTTTTTCAGCAACTCCCATTCCTTTTGTGTTGCTTCGTTCTCAAATAATGGACCCCCACTCAGTATCCGCGTAGCTGGCATGGACTTGAATTGTTTCTTTTCCAGTGATTCCAACCTCGCAGCCAGAGAATTTAGGGGTGTATTTCCGAGTGGCGGGGTATTCTGCAATTACTCCAACACTTCTTAGGGCCAAGTTAAAATATACACCAGTTTCTCCTCCGTGCATGCTTCCTTTTAGTTTTACCCTCCTGCCTCCTTTTTTTCCTGTATTCTTTTGGTTAATCGTCATCGTTAAATTGTTTTGTCTTAGTATTTGTTTCCAGTAAAATTGTAAAGTACAATGTATGCAAGCTCAAAATCTGGTAGAAAGGGCTCCTTTGGACACAAAAGAGTATCAGCAAAAGAGTTGAGAAAAATTACTTCTTAGAAAATCTGCCATCTTGGGGAAAAAAAGGGTTTCCTCCTTTTTTCAAATACCCTGGACAAAAAATTATGTTTTTTTGGTTTTTTTTGGGTTTTTTTTAAATGTGGCCCAACCCTTGCAATCCTGAATTCCCCAACTTTAACACAATAGTTCACACACCTTAATACCTTATGCAGTTAATTAGGGTTATGGAATGTTGGGGAAAATTGCATCATGCCAAGAGACTTCACTAGATGCTCTACCAGCCCCAGACCGTGCTATTTGGGCATTGTGTTGACAATGAAATTGGGTCTGTCAGACCAGTTGCGTATTGCCATTGGTTTTGTTAGTCATGATTGTATTGTCAAAAAGTTTAACACTAGAATGGTAAACTGACATTGGTACATATTTACCAAATGACTGTGCATACATGAAACACTGGCAGCCCACTGTGTTATTAAATTTTGATATCCATAAGGCCAAACAAAAATAACAGTTCTGCTTCCGATACCCTACCTATCCTATTTTGACAGCCCCTACCCTAATTTTATTGGTGAAAAATGAGGGAAAACCCTGAAAATCATAAATTACTACCTTTTACTTTTGACTACAAGCAGACACCTTCATATGATCGTACACAAAAAAATGCCAACAAAAAAAGAAATTCCCTACGTACCCTATTTTCAAATGCCATGTAATCAAAAGCAGAACTTTTTCTTTTCTTTGGCCTAATTATATCGAGAGAAGTTTTGAATAATAAGTGTACTTCCACATTACATTTCTACAGCGGGACAAACTGGCGACGTTCAGCTAGACATGGGAGACATGCAGTACACTGATGCTACATCCACAGACTTCAAGGCACAGTCGGGAAGTAGTGCCTCACAATTCCTGCAGAACAAGGGCTACGGCTGGCTGCTGGAGGTGGAAGATGTCGACGATGACAATAAACCTTTGCTGTGAGAAACATGCTTATCTTTGTTTTTCTTCTTACGTTTACTATTGTTCTTTTTTCTCTAATCCTACCCCAAAGGCATCTTTGCTTTGGGGCCTCCTGAATCTGAAGTCAGGTCTGTGAACTTTCTTCACCTTCTCAGACCTTGCTTTGAAGCTCACCCAGGCCTATACATGTACATGTACATAGTTTAGTTTATCAGTCTGTGCCTAATTTCCTGTTTTTTTCCTAGAACATTGCAAAAGGGGTTTTCCCTCACACTGCTTAAACCAAACATTTCCTCGCCACCTTCTCAAGGTATCTTCTTATTTCTAGTCACAGTGCTTGTGCACATTTTGAGCAACCCATGGTTTCAGATAGAGAAACTAAAGTTCACACTGAAAAAAATGAATTGAATGATATGGAAAGTACCACCGACTATCTAATGTGTGTTGGAATTCGGGTTTCAAATGTTTCTGCTTTGCTTCATCTGTTTTATTTTTTTCTCCCTCTGTTGTCCAAGGGGACATTGTAAGTTGTATGTATAAATATTGACCGGCAGTAAGGTCAGAAGTGCAAACTGCATCCCCAGGGACTGAGAGTGACCACAAAAGGGTCACATTTCCTGAGGCCAAAGGCCCAAGGAAAATAGGCCCCTCTTTTGGGGGAGGGGGAAGGGGGCATGGACATGCTCTAGTGGCTGTGTAATACCAGGCAATATTAGTTATCCCAAGAGTGCGAGTGGAGCAAGTAGTAATGTGTGTTTATTTGTTTATTTTATTTCTTTCTGGTAATGAAACCAAAGATTTCTCAAAAGTGCCCTAGGTACTGTACCGGTAGGCTTGAAAGCCTGAAGAAACCTATGGAGAGAAGACAATGAGAAGAAATTACAGTTTTAGAGGTGGGAGGAAAACCCCAGAAGAACATTCTAGGGGAAATCAACAGAATCAGGTAGGGACTGAGAAGCTGGTCAGTGTGTGATCCGGGCAGGAATTGAACCCGGGTCATAGCGGTGAAAGGCGAGGAAAATGACCACTGCACCAACAGGACGTGAACCTGACTCCCCAACCTGACTCTGCCAACCTGTGTGTGGAGCAGGAAAACACATGAATCTTAGACTAGCATGCATCTTAGACTAGCATGTACCTTCAGACTAGCACCATATGTGGAGTGCAATATGGACCATATGTGGAGTGCAATATGGACCATGCAATATGAGATAATACCACGCTGTTGCCTTGATTTGACCAATCGGGTGTTGTTGAGTATAGAGTCTGACTGGGCCCTAGCCTCGAGATATTTCATGTGCATGATACGTTACATGTGCCTATTTCACACTTGATCCAACTTTCATATACAGGTGTAAGGGAACCCCAAGTGACAGTGTTTCGACAAACTAGTCTAAACATTTAACACAGGTGCGATGTAATTTCGCCATGTCACTGCTGATTTTGTTCTTACATTACTTACAATGTTTCTGATTTACCAGCGAAGAGCTCGACATTGACCTGAAGGATATTTACTACAAAGTGCGCTGTGTGGTGTTCCCCTGCCCCTTCCTGGGCTTCCAGAGGCAAATCCTGAGGGAAAGCCCTGACTTCTGGGGTCCACTCCTGGTAGTTCTCCTCTTCTCTGCAGTCTCCCTCTATGGACAGTTTAGGGTAAGTCTTGTTTTCTGCCAGCTTAAACCCGATCTGCCTGCTCTGTTGGGCATTAGCCTAACAACAAACCCCATATCTCTGTACATATGGGCTCAATTTCACTGGATCTACTAAGCAGAAAATGCAGCAAGTTTATGTGCTAAGCAAAATCATGTTTTGGCTGGTAATTACCTGTTTTTTTTTAAGGAAATGTTTCGTTGGCTTTGCAATTATTTTGGTAAACGGCTCCACAAAATTTGCCCCTGGTACTGAGGCAAATCTCAAAAGATATTTTAGTGGGGTGTCTTTGTCTAGGATTTTGATGGGGAGTGGCTGATGGGCCACTGGGCCACTGAATGTACAAAAAATGTATGTCCTTGTGGTTTAAATTAACATAGACTAGCTGTCAATGAGAGGGGTCTATAATCTGTGATTCCCTTTCATCCACTCTTTGCTCATTGCATATCTACCGTACATGTACATTTAGTGCCTAAGTTTACATACAACTGTTTCAGAAGTTACTTTTGCTGCTTGGAATGACACATACTTGTGTACATTCAGGAAATTCTTTTTGAAAATAAGTTGAATCAGTCCTCTAATTCTTTAAGTCTTTATTGCTGCATTGTCAGAGTAAAACATGATATCAAGCTTCTTTATGTCACCTTTGTTAAAGGGAATGTACATCATTGGTTTTTGCTGTAATTTTCAGAAATGAACTATATGAGGGGTTAGTTCAATAGATCAAATATTGTTACACTGACATGTTTGAAGTTTTGTGTTAGAAAATGCTGGAAAAACCAAGAAAAACAAAAATGTTCAAGACGTCTGGTTCCCCGACTCCACTAAGGATGAAATGAATCAATTTATAGATGCCGGAAAATTGTAAGGTATGGGAACCAGTCTAGCTGGCCTGCACCCGTTCATGAACATGTAACCAATAGCAAACAAAATTTGGACTGAAAAAATAGTAAATTTGGAGCAGCAGTTGAAAAATAGTTAGGTTTTTCCAACGGTGGTCGGCCGACCACCATTGGAAATGTATACAAAAATACCATTTTCTTGAAAATGACTGCACACCAGGTGCCATAATTTTACAGGATGCTTTAGTCTGTCATTTACCAACATCCTAGTAAGGTATTTCGTAGAAACTCGGTAGTTTTGTTTTCGATCTTTGCAAATGTTGTATTTTCCCTTTAAAACCCTTTACAGGTGGTATCGTGGATCATAACTATCTGGATATTGGGTTCTCTCATCATCTTCCTTCTTGCTAGAGTCTTGGGTGGAGAGGTAGGTATACATGTACCAGTACAATTAGTCAATTACATTACATCACCTCCGTAACAAACGTATCCTTTAACTTCAAGTCATCCTTTAACCATAACCACCCCAACTCCATCAAAATCATCCCCCCATTTTGATGGATTTCGGGGGACTTGGTCTAGGAGGCCTGGCATGACTAAATATTAATGGAGTATGATGGACTTGGGCCTAATGACCTGAAACAGTGCTAGGGGTATCCGAATGATTTTGCCTAGCTTCCTGTACTGCTATTGTGATAAAAGCCATGTGTAGCAAGTCCATGAATGTCAACCAGTGCATCAGTGGTGGATTCCATTATGCCATGTACGGTTTTGTATTGGAAGCACAGTGATTGATGGATTTTGATGGACTTGGTGCAGTTCCTAGTAAAAGATGCTAGGGAGTTAAGGTTAAATTAAAAAAAGCTTGCCTGTTACTGCAAGAGAAACTACATTTTTATTTGAAAAAGTTTCACAAATGCTTCATTGGCAAATTTGGCTGCCAAGCTGTGGTATTTTGCATCTAGTTTTGACAGCTTTGCAGGTGGTCCTGATTGATCACCAAATAAAGCAGCACTTGGAAAGAATGAGCTATCCTACTTACACTTCTCAGTAATGATCAGTTATAAAAGTACTGAATTTGTGAGAGAATACTTTAAAAATGTTCACTTCTCCCGATTGGTAAGATTTGAGGCTTTGCATGGTGGAGAATACTAAATAATGAAAGGTTTGCGGAAACACCATGTGCGAATAATTTCTCAACCATGAGCCTAAACTCTTTCTTAGAGTTTAGGCACTCTCCTGAAGACGGTCAGAGCATACTGACCGGAACGTCAAGTTTATACCTCTGGTTCTTTTCAGAACCATTCTCCCGATTGACTTTATGCGCGACCAACAAAGTGGTGTCTGAATACTGTGACCTTTCGGCATGTATTTATGCATGCCGAAAGGAATACAAAGTGCATTCTATTCATAAATAGAATGCAGTTGTACTATCGCTAAAGTGATTCTGGTTATTTATATTATTGATTGACTGGCTGACGGATGTGTGGGTTTGGGTTTTCTAGACACAGCTGTTCAGGTTAATGCTTATACAGGTGGCCTTCATTTATACATGGTATTCGCATACAGCCCAATAGCAACTGGCAAACGCAAGTGATAAATTTGTGAGAAATTGTGAGAAATTGTCGCTTGAATATAAGACCCTGATAAAAATGGCTGTATACACCAATTCAGAGAAACCCAGTGATACATTTTCAGCTTGGGATAAAAACAAATGTCTTGCTATTCTAACTATTGTGTAAAATAGTTAGGTTTGAAATTTTGAAACCGATCTTGAATTGAACTATTTGAAGAGGTTAAACATTTAACCTGAAGAATTTTCCAGAAAGTATCCAATACTAAATCAGACCTTACATGTACAACTGAACTTAAAGAAGGGGGGGGGGGGGGGGGGGAGGGGGGACGGGGGGGGGGGGGGGGGGGGGTAGGCTCCGACCTCTTTTTCAAGAGACCCAAATCTTCCCAGAAGTATGGACCCACGGACACAAGCAATTGATTAGCAGTAATTTGATTAGCAGTAATAAAAGCAATTGATTAGCAGTAATTAAACAAACCCTATGCATAAAACATAAGATTTTATAATTACATGTAGTTTAATATTAATAAATAGGTAAATATGAATTAAAAAATACAATTTATAATTGGCAATAAGGGCTTTGACCCATCATTAGATTCTATTGTAAGGCTATCGAAATGAGTATAATGTAATTCTATTTAGAGGTGACCCGTTACCCACAGTGAAGGTACAAACAGTCCCAGAAATGGATCTACCAATATCAGCTATTGGTATCGGCTGTATCGGTATCGGCTGTCAGTGTACTTTGGAAGGGAACCCATAATGGAAAGAAATTTACAAGTACCTAAAGGCACCACAATTCGTAAATGACCACACTTGAAAAGGCATGTTTTAGGCAGCAACAAATCATTGCAAGTAAACATTGAACAATGAAAACTACAAACGGAAAGTGGAGGTACATGTACGCATAGCGTGACATCGGCTGCATGACAGATATGTACATCGATTAACGCGTTGCCATGATACAATGCACCGTAAACAACTATACACACATTGACAACGTTTTACGTGTATCATTTCAGGTTCCACATTACCACCACTGGGCACTAATCCACGTTGGTCATTGTCTTGGTTGACTTTTGTTTTCCCCAGGTCAACTATTCCCAGTGTCTTGGTGTGATTGGTTACTCGTTACTTCCTCTCATCATCACGGCTACCACGTTACCGTTACTGGGCACCATTCCCTACGTTGGATTTGTTGCAAAGGTAAGCGTTAAAACATACAGCCCTCCATACAGACCTACGTACAAAGATAGCCGGACAGTCTGTGAAGTTTCTGTAAAATCCTCAAAGTGGCTGTTGTAGTGTTTTGCAGAATTTATAAAGTTGTAGTCCAACCACTATTTATATATTTAATATGGAGGTTCAAGGACAAAGAAAATGCGAGAAAAATACTTTGTTGGGTATTTGCTCAGGGGTGTCTTTTGGAGGATTCAGGAAGGTTTCTGGTGTAAATTCCTCGGGAGTTTGGGTTTATCAAGTTTCCGTTCACAAGTACCCCCTCACCGGCAAAGGAAGTACAGTTGGGGGTGACCGACTGACGCCATCTTGCCTGACTGCAATTTTGCCGCGACGCCCGGCCGTACCACTGGATGTACATAACATACATGTAGTACAAATCCCCTGGTGTACATGCGTCACACACAAGGAACGGTGTGCGTCAACCAGCTAAATGTCCCGTCCATGGGACGTCATTGTTAGGTAAAAGGGTGCCCTCTTTTGTTAGCGCCGGAGCCCATACGTATAAGATTCATCCGTGGTATTGCCATGACAGGGCAGCAGTGCTGGTGGCTGTCCTGTGATGAATTCTCAGACAATCTGTATTCCGCCGTGTCCGAATCACATTGCTGCGGCTGGAAAATAGCATGCGCACCTACGGAAGCCACTGGCTGGCTGCTGCAGCCACTATCCATAGAGTTGTGTGTCACTGCAGTCCGTAGCCATGTGATTCCAGCACTGCCTTAGCATCCATAACTGAGGTGGACCCATGCTCCTGTGCAGGTGGTACATTTGTCCACACTCAGTTCTCATTTTTCCTTACAACACTGTTTGTTGCACTTCAATCGGACATTCCGTTGACAAAATATGGCTTTTTAAAATTCTGCATTAATTGACATGTCAGGAAGTAAAATACTGAGGAAAAGGCCTTTAAAGTTTCAAGTTTTGTATTCGTGAAAATGAAAGAGGCCAATTATTTTTGTCCTTGGAAACACTTTTATTCCACGATTTTTATATTATTTCTTTAAAGGGAATGTACATCATTGGCTTTTGCTGTAATTTTCAGAAATGAACTATTTTGAGGGGTTAGTATAACAGATCAAATATTGTTACACTGACATGTTTGAAGTTTTGTGTTCAAAATAACTGGAAAAACCAAGAAAAACAAAAATGTTCAAGTAGTCTGGTTTCCTGACTTCACTAAAGATGAAATGGACCAATTTATAGATGCCAGAAAATTGTACATGTAAGGTAATGGAACCAGTCTAACTGGCCTGCTCCCGTTCATGAACACGTAACCAATAGCAAACAAAATTTGGACTGAAAAACAATTGGTAAATTTGGAGTAGTAGTTGAAAAATAGTTAGGTTTTTCCAACGGTGGTCGGCCGACCACCGTTGGAAATTTATACAAAATACCACTTTTCTTGAAAATGACTTCACACATGGTGCCATAATTTTACAGGATGATTTAGACTGTAATTTACCAACATCCTATTCCTAGTAAGGTATTTCGTAAAAAATTGGTAGGTTTGTTTTTCGATGTTTGCAAAATGTTGTATATTCCCTTTAAAATGTGTGTAATACTGGTTTTTTTGTTTGCATTTATCTCCACCACAGCCTGTGCCCAGTTCCGTCTCATTTTGCCAGAGCGCCTTACAAATGTAATTGATAGTTTCCTCTTGTTTTCCTCTGCAGTTTGCTGGGGTTCTGTGGGCTGCCTACAGTGCCGGATCCTTACTCATACAAGACAGTCTTGCCCACAAGAAACCTCTCCTTATTTATCCCGTCTTACTCTTATACATATATTTCTTCTCTTTGTACACCGGTGTATAGACAACAGCTTAACGTTTATATTAAAGCCAGATTTTATAAAAACGCTGCAACAGCGAACATTGCTGTAACAAAATCAGGGAAAAAATGTTGCAACCTGACGCCACTGTTTTCTTCATATATCATCTCAATGAAGGTCAGTCATTGTAAAAATGATGATAAGACACGAATCTGGGACTGAGAAACATTTCCAATTTTGTTAGGAAATACTCGGACAATTTTCTCGACTCTCCGTAGACTTTGTACACAACTGCTGAAGTGGCGTCAGGTTGCAACCTTTTTTTCCCAAAATCGGTTAAAAATCTGGGCCCAATTTCATGGCGCTGCTAAGCACATGATTTTCTGCTGACTGAGCCTCCGTCTATTCTTGAAGACAGTAAGCATAGCAAAAGGCATGCTTACCTCAGAGAAAAAAAGTTGCTGAAATCAGTGACGTAACAATAAGAATCTCCATGCGTACGCAACCGTTAGCACATCCACGCCATGAAATAGTGCTTAAGGTTAGCTCAATTTTCTGCAATACTTAGAATACTTTTCTGCTAACTGTTAAGCAGCGCCATGAAGTTGGGCCCTGGTGCCAATTTCATAGAGCTGCTTAAGCACAAAATTTGCTTAAGCACAAAAACGTCTTGCTTAATAAAATCAGGTTACCGGCCAAAACTCCATGCGATTGTTATGCTAAGTAAACAACAGCTAAATACCAGTCACAAGCAATGTACATCACATGGAGTTTTGGCCGGTAACCTAATTTTACTAAGTAATGTTTTTTCGTGCTTAAGCAAATTTTCTGCTTTAAGCAGCTCTATGAAATTGGGCCCAGACCCAGCATACAAAATAGAAATAGATGTACGTGCCAATGGGTAAGTATGGTGATGCTCTGATGTACATGCAACCTTCAGTACAAGATGTGTTTCAGTTTTCTCCAGTGTCATCTGATTGTGTCATGTTGTCTTAGGTCTTTCAGGGTGGATACAAATTGAGGGTAGGTGACTTTAAAAGAGTGCTGAGATTTTGAGGAGTAAAAAGCAAAGGTTGGTTTTAATTTTTGCAGAAGAGGTACTCTGGCAATCAAAGCCTTCTGATTGTTTTCAACATCAAATTAGAAACCAGGTTCTACCGAGAACTATCCTAATCGTTCACGTTTGTCTTTTGTTTCTGTGTTCTCCAAGCACAGATTTATTGCAAAGGGTTTCACTGATGAACACGAGATGGCTGAAACACTTCTTGCCCTGAAGGTTCTCATTAAAGGGTATAATCTTCTGTGAATAGCTGAAAGAGTTCTTTTATTTTTCCACTGTAGATTAATTTTGTTAGTTTTTGCTTGTTATTCTGGATGAGAAATTTTCAAACTGTGTCATCATGACATGTAAGCAGATTTGTTACTGTGTCCGACGAAATTTGTCTTTGAGACATTTTTTTACTCCGCATATTCCTTTTGTACATTAGCATGAGTAACAAACTAGGCTCCTTATTGTGATTATGTGATATATCACAAGGTTTGACATACTAATAAATGTGGACCTTCATTGGTGACCCAGGTTCGATTCCTCTCGGGCCAATATGTGGATTGGGCGACTCCCTGTGTGAATCCATGGGTGTTCCCCAGAACATGGGCGTCGCCAGGATTTTTTCTAGAGGGGGGCAACAAAAAAATTTGCCAAAAAATGCTTGTATTTCTCAACACATTCTCGATTTATCAGTTTTAGAGGGGGGCAGGGACATTTTGCCTGCCCCCCCCCAACTTATTAAATTTACACCACTTTGTCTTCGCGCCTCTTTTCCTTTTCTTTTTTTTTCTTTTCTTTTTTCTTCCTTTTTTTTTTTTTTTTTTTTTGCTTTTCCAGGGGGGGGGCAAGTGCCCCCCTTGCCCCCCCCCCCCTCGCGACGCCCATGCCCCAGAATATTCTTCTGGGTTTTCCTCCCACATCTAAAATTGTAATTTCTTCACATTGTCTTCTCTTTACTGGGCCCCATGGGAGACCAGTGGATTCCACTGAATGGGCTACCTGGTTAAAATAAGAAATACATGTACATGTAAATAAAAGCAGTCTCTATTCACAGCTTTGGCAAAATAAATAAATGATTGTATTCAACGGAGCTTTGTAAAGTATTCATTGTATAGAGATGACATATCAGTTTTGAGTTGTAAAGAACATTTCTTACATCTGTTGTGTACATGTATGTGGAAGACTCTACTTAATCCGAGTCAATTTTGGATGAGGTCATTACAAACTTCTGGCGTCATGTATGATGGCAGATCTGTGTTCCTCTGTGACACGCACCGGTTGACCTGTTGTGCTGTCATTGTCACTAACAAAAGTTGTCGCACCGGTTGACCTGTTGTGCTGTCATTGTCACTAACAAAAGTTGTCCTCGGTGAGGGCAGGATATCACTCCGACTGGTTGTAACAAATATCAACAGTGTGATGTTCTTTCTTATGAGATGGAATTGTATGCTTCAGAGAAGTTCCATCTCATAAAATCTTTGGTTGCAGTGCCTGCTGCTAAATCAGACTCGAACCGGCCAGCTGACCTCGGCAAGCTCGGTGGTCGAGTAGTAAGACGTCCTCACTAGTAAGCAGGAGGTCGTGGGTTCGAGTCCCAGCCAAGTAAGCTTGTGATTTTTTCTAGCAAGCCCTCAGACAACACCGAGTATACAGTGTTTATAAAATACATCCGTGGAGGGCAAAACCCAATACTGAAAAACAGGGCGAGGTTCTTGGAGGAAATTTCAGAACTTTCACAAGGGTCATATGTTTAGCACTGCTGCCGACAGCTGAGCAAATGAGTTTCTGCTAACAGGTTCTTTGAGAATTTTATATAAGGCTGTAAGAAAACACACCAAAGGGCATGCTAACTTGCGAGGCAGAATTTTTTAAAACTAGTGATGCAAAACTATAAATCTACATTTACATGTGTTATTTATTGGCCATAAAATATTTTTAAAGTTAGATTTTTATTTTGCTGTAATAAGCATAAGTTTTTCAGCAATCACTAAAAGATTAAATCAATTTAATATTTAAGTAATTCTGTCAAAATGTAGGAAATGTCCTCTTTTCTCCTAAAATAGAGAAGGATGCTTCAAATGAGACAATCCATTCTGTACAGTTTTAAACTGAAAATGAACTGATATCACATTTGTTATGGGGCAAAGTACATTAACTTCCTGTTGACAATGCGTTTATGCTCTGGTGTGCTATTGATTATGAGTTCTGTTGATAACCTTCAGTGATATAAGTCATGTACCCCGTATTGCAGAATTTTCTGGCACACATGTATTTGTTTTTGTGATTATTTTAAGATTAAAATGGCTATTATGGTGGAATCAACAAAACACTGTTAGTTGTGCCTCAAATATTTGAAGCTTCTTAGAGACAGCTGATTAAAGCAACAAGACTAGGCGTTTCAAGTTGAACTGGATCCCTAAGTCTTACTTACATGTAAGACATTATTTATACCCAGTGATTTAGTCACCAGAGGACAATAGGCGGTCCTGCAAAAATTGAATTAACATGTAAAAAAAAAAAAAAAAAAAATTCTGATGGTCTTGCTGTCTCTCTAGTCATTGCTAAATATTGAAAGTGCAAAAATTTAAATGTGTATTAAAAGCTTTAACACTGAAGTTTAGCAGTTTTCCTTGACTAACTTAAATGTTACCCCAAAAAATGAAAACATCAAATATCCGGATGGTATGTTGACGTGTTTCATTGAAAGAAATGGAGCTTTCTAAACTGGAAAAACAAATTTCAAGAGACATGTCTCTTAGGTTACCATGACAACATATCTGAAAGTTGCAATTTAAATGGGTTTGGATGTTTGCACCTCCTAAAAAACTGGACAATATGATGTGTCATGTACCAGCAGCATTCTTAAACATGTTCTCTTTTTCAAAACTACCTCGGATCGGTTCAACTGGGGGAACAAATCTTGCTCAACATTTTTAATGTATTTTTCAGATTAAACCACAATGTAAACAGACAAAACACATGGACACGAAGTGTTCTCTTGGAAAGTAATCATTTAATGATATTGTATGTCTTGATGTCATATTTATTTGACAAACTGATTTCACATTTATACATTTTGTCCTACCTGTATGGCACTACAAATGCAGTGGGCCCACACTTAAGACTAGTTTACACTGTTACAACTCAATGGTTTGTTTTGGGACTGGGGACGGTGAGGCTGAAATTTGGACTTGCAGAAAAAACCCACTCATGGTACGTGACAATAAGCCTTTTCGGAGTTCCAACTGCGCATTCATAACCTGTGACAATGCGCATTGTTTGTCTCAAATGGCCTTTGACATCATCGCGCCACTGACTTTACAAAAAGGCTGTTTGTGCATTGTGGGTACTGTCAAAGGGCATTTGAGACAAACAATGTGCGTTTTGTCACAGGTTACGAATGCGCGCAGTTGGAACTCCGAAAAGGCTTATTAATCCATGTTTCTGAGCACTGACAAATGAGAACTCGGTCATGTTCTGTGGGTCACCATTCCAAGCACAGTGGTAGCGTGTTGGGAATGGGCTATTGGGAAAATGTTCTGTTCTTGTACAAGTCCATGATTTATAGGACACCAGTGCTCATATACTATGGTGAAAGGAGGGAGGGAGGGAATTTCTACTGTATAGGGGGTGGGGGAGTAACTTCCCCTACCCCTCCACATGTTAACGGAAGAAAGCCTCACACGGATCACATTTATAAGTCAGCTGAATTTTGCCACATCAATTTTCTACAGGCAGCTCAGTGTCAATACATGATATACAAATGTGAATATGTACATATATCTGTTCAACTGTTTAGTCGCATTTGTTCAGTTTAAACAGACGACAGCAACTGATTTGGTACACACATTATTAAATAAAGTATCAACACGCAACAAAACTCAAAATAGAAATTTGAAATTAACGTCAATTTGGTAGAATTTTATCAGTAAAAGTATGATGAAAAATATATATATATTCATCTCTTGAAAATTACGTAAATACTGGTAGTTAGGCCTACATGACAATTTTCGGTTAACAGAAAGATGGCTGCCAAGATGGTTGCCATGGTTCTAGTCACGTGACTGCAAACTGAGATAAAAGGCACTAACTGTGAGGTAAGGTGAAACATCGATAATTCTACGTACAATGTAGTTGTTTTATCATTGACTAAATGTTGAGT